TATACATCAGTCTGTTGTACTCAAACCGGTGCCATTTCCCCCTCCCTCATACTCCCTTATGTACAGTGGCCGAAACAGCTTGCTGTCTACAGCATTGGGTATGTACAGTAAGAGATAGGTTCTCATTACTAGCAGTTAGCGCTAAAGTTCATTATGTGCCTTTCTAGTTACATGGCATCGCTTGACTTGCTGTCCTTCATTCCCATGTTTCCAGTGGTGAAAATGAGTCGAACATCTTTTTGGAAAATGTCTTGATTCGGTTTGAGTGACGAAATATAGATTTGTATTGACGGTTGCCATTGGTTTTCAAGTTACAGTAAAAAATAAGCGGAAGAGTGATAATGCATGGCTGCTGGCAGTTGCCACCCTAACGGGCTACTCATTGCCGATTCACTCCCACGTTCTCCCTCTCACAGTCAATGCTGTGAATTGGTCCGGCCAATGAGTTGAAAATGCAGAAAACTAACTAACTAGTGCTCGCTATTTGAAATAGTAGTACATTATGATAGACTCGGATGGAGAGCCAAGGACTAATTTATAGTAAAGAAAGGGACCAAGGAACTACAAGTTACGCTATACTATCCACTAAGACCATCAGTTACTAAACAATCAGCTCATGCGATATCATTGCACGACGCTGACCGACTGTACTGACACGACACTGGCCGACGGTACTGACGTTCTGAACTGACGGCCTTACTGGACAGTATAGTGTAACTTGTAGTTCCTTGGTCCTGTTCTTCACTATAAATTAGTACATAATGACTTGGCAATGCTTCGCATTACTCACCACCACTAGTGCCAGAACCTTGGCGCTCTTGATGAAGCATCCAACGCACAGCACGTTGCTGATACCCGCGTAGCCGTGGAAGCAAGTTAGGATGTTGTGTTTTGTTCAGCTCCTGGGCGTGCACCTCCGCTGTTGTTGGATACCGGTCAGGCGATGCACTTTCCCTGCTGAGGTCCGACACATACGTATAGATGCCGTCTGGATTCTTACAAGATAGTGTGAGTTTTTGCTTGTTCAGTAGCTCACACCGGTCTGGTACACACACACACACACACACACACACACACACACACACACACACACACACACACACACACACACACACACACACACACACATATTATAATTATATATACACACAAGTACAATATATATCACAATTGATTCAGTAGCACCCACACACAGAGAATGGCTCAACCATGACCGAGCAAGACCCAAACTAGTTGCAGTAACATTGGTCGTCAAAGAAGGGAGGGGGGGGGGGAAGGGGGTCACTCTCTCCGCTTCTGGTTTGCCATATTCCTATATTTCCGAAAATCCAGCATCCTCGTTCTTATTCTGCGCCTGTAAATTCACAGAGTGCAGGTATACTGTGCACGGTGATTTACACTGCAGACAATCAACACACCTGCACAATAATGGGAAACTAGAGAGAAAGTTACTATACTACTGCCATTTGCCAAATTAGACCTGGAAAAAAGGACAAACTCCTGAAATGTAATATTGACAAATGAGTCAGAACTTCGGTTTGGCCGCTATTTACCAGCGCTGGAAATATCCAGATCAATCCTCATCAGCCATTTCACTCTCCTTGCTTGTATCAATCTCAAATTTAATTTAGTGAAGACTCACACAAGTCCCAGCCACAACTTCAGGATTTTTTCTAGCCAAAGGGGGGGGGGGGGGGGGGGTGCAGCCCCCCCCCCCCCCCTCTACTCTGATGGCGCGCCCCCTACTCTGACAGCTCACCACCTACACATATTTTCGATTATTGTGTTTTTTCAGTTGACACTACGAAAATGCGGACACAAATCGATCGTTCCGGGTGCTCGCCGCGCCCGCACGTTACATGTTTTGATACAAGGCAATAATGGAACACGGAAAAATGGTTGAACAGTTTGTTTCCCTGCCCCCCCCCCCCCCACCCCCTCCCCATTACGTTATTAGAGACCATTAGCAAACCATCGGGTGTGACGATTGGGACAAACTGGAAACGAGGCCAGCGCGCGGGAAAACTCGAATCGTTTCGGGAGCACGATTGGAGCAGCCCCGACGGGTGATCACGAAACGATTACGATTCCGGTTGCATCACGTGCCTGAATGGTTCAACGCACGGCTTCATGCCGTACATGTTTTGACGATTGGAAATCGGAGCTGTACAATCTTTCGACCTTACACGTGACAGTTTGCTAATGGTCGCTATTTCCTGGCCAGAACCCTGAACTTGAAATCCTGTTCCCATGAACACATCCAACGGAAAATAGAAAATCCGTCTCCCCCCCCCCCCCCCACCCATTGCCAGGCTAGTGCGTAACTTAAGGCTGTTTGAAGTTTCGATCATATAATATAATATATCATATAATATATGATACCAGCAATCAACAGTTGCAAGACTGACTTGTAAACGGTTAACCCTTTACCATCCGACCAAATTTCCCCTACAGTCCCAAATGCAATAATTTTCACCTTATTCTGAGAATATCTTCGGTTCTAATCAACCAATTTTCACAATCTTGGGCATTCCGGAAAGCTCTCCACGGGCTGCGTACATTGAGCTCAAACAGGACACTACCGAGATCACATATCCAGCGCCAGGGAGCTTCAAATACACCCCATCGCTGGATATACGAGGAAATTCTCTCCTCGCCAGCCATTTCTCGCTCCTTCATCGTAAACTTTCCAAATTTTTTGCTTGAGTTTCTTTTCATGCTGCCCACGCGCTCAAAGCATGCAACAGTGACTCAGCATATCAGGAGAGGGGAAAATCCCCGCTCAAGGTCAGTCACTCGGAAAGAAATTCGACTTTTGCCGTAGCTGATATGTCAAGCGAAATATCTTTGGAATGCGACATCGCAGCTCTTTACCGATTGTTGCAATGGAAAGCTGGGCTCTTCGGCTTCTTCCTAGATACTTAGTTCTTTAAATTCCGACAAGAATCGATCGAGTTACGAATGTTTTAGTGTATGCATGTCCATCGATCTCTAGTGATCGATTCAAGTACACACGGATGGTTTAAAAGGGTTTTAAAAGTGGAAGTTAAGGCAAAAAATCAAAATTTCACCAGTTGTAGTCTTCGGGGTGCTGAGTCGAATGGTCTTGGTCTGAGAAAGCTGAGACGCTCCCTTCCTACTTGAATCCCAATCGAACTCGCGCACTTCCACCGAAACTGGGTGACTGCGCCCTACTAGATGGGGGTTTGTATGCGAAATGTCACTAAAAGCGCCATTTCGTTCTTATAAAAGCATGAATGACCGCCATTGGCCCATATGTTGTAGTCTTTTGGACGCTGAGTCGACTGGTTTTGGTCCGAAAAGGCTGCGATGCAGCGTTCCTCCTTTATTCCCAATCGAACATGGTTGAACAAGCGGTCACGTGCTCCTGCGTACACCAGTCACCTGGTCACCGTGCCTGCAGGGTACAACTTACTAGCCTGTTTGACCTTTTTTGGGTGCAGTCCTGTCACTCGAGTTGAACTCGAGTTGAACCTTGGTGTGAAAGTTGTCGCCTGCTGGCGTGGTGACCAGGTGATTTGGGCACCCAGGAGCACGTGACCGCTTGTTCAACCATGTTCGATTGGGAATAAAGGAGGAACGCTGCATCGCAGCCTTTTCGGACCAAAACCAGTCGACTCAGCGTCCAAAAGACTACAACATATGGGCCAATGGCGGTCATCCGTGCTTTTATAAGAACGAAATGGCGCTTTTAGTGACATTTTGCATACAAATCCCCATCTAGTAGGGCGCAGTCACCCAGTTTCGGTGGAAGTGCGCGAGTTCGATTGGGATTCAAGTAGGAAGGGAGCGTCTCAGCTTTCTCGGACCAAGACCATTCGACTCAGCACCCCGAAGACTACAACTGGTGAAATTTTGATTTTTGCCTTAATTAATTAACTTCCCCTTTAACATCTCTGCACATGCCCATAAGTTTCAGGTACGATTTTTTTAGCATGACTTTGAGCGGCTTACCCAGTATATCCTTGTGGGCATTGTCAACAAGACGTGTGAAATAGCAAGCCAGAGGATTGAAATTGGACCGGCTCATTGCATAAGGGCGCATCACGTGCCTACGATTGTGAAAGCTGCCATACTTCAACTTATCCTCATGCACAAACGCAGAGCCCTTGGCATATATCTCGACGGGCAACTCGACAGGCAAGTTGAGTTCATTGGCGTATTTCCCCTGCAGGAGTTGTATCCAAGCCTCGCTTTCGGCTGGCACAACCGGCATCAGGTGCATATTTGATAGTTTTAGGAGCATGTTGTCATTGGCTACAGCGTACGCGTGTTGAAAACATCTGGTGCGGTTCTCAATCACAAGATGCAATAGTCCATCAGTAGCTGATGGGGCAACTGATCGAAATTCCAACTTGATGCTCTTGAACTGGACTTCAGGAATATCACGTCGACTCACTTCAATATATTGCTTGATTGGAATTCCCAAGTGACCCTTTCGGTCGGCGACGTTTGCAGGCAATAGCCATACCATGATGTTCTCCGCAAATACACCATGGGTGACCGTCGTGGGCTGCTTCCTGGCATCGTTTCCTGGTCTTGGCTTCTTGTCCTGGCCAATTATACGTGATCCAGAAGTGTCTACTGTAGCTGCACTGAGATGACACGTGCTGCTCTCGATCTCCTCGTGCTTCCTTTTGGCAACTATTACTTCCTCCATTTCCATGCTCACCTCAGGCCGCAATCAGAAGGGCAGTTTCGAACACCACTGTCACCAGCAGGATATGTCTTTCTCAGTAGATTGTGAGAGGTAGAGGAGAAACTCCTTCCAGGTTTGGTGATGATGAGCTTTCTCTCGATCTCTCTTTTTATTTCGCCTCCCTTGCTGCAGTGGCGTGGCCGCCAAGGCGCCAGATTAAAAACCGCCAAGTAACTTAGTTCCCGCCATAATGGCAAATTCTTGTTTTCTGGTAATATTTCTCGAGATACAAAATTATTTTTACGCTTTGTAAAATAATGGGCAAATTGTTCATTTCATAATCGAAGCAATTTTCGCAATTTCGAGTGCATCAAGAAGATTTAGGAAAGGCTCAAATGGTCATTGCACAGTCGTTATACCGACTCTATTTCCCTTAAAATTCTTTCCCTTTTGTTCTTCTAGCCTCGTATTTGAATGGCTTACTGACCCCGTTGATTTATGGTAGAAATTTACCATCACAATCACGAGATTGCATGCATTTCTTCATCTCTCATTACGATGTTCTGGGACTGGTAGCTTCACCTGGCTGACGGGAGGTTAAAGGAGAATGGGTAAGCAGGCTAATTTTCAATAGTCACGAGCAAGAGACACTGAGTTCTGTCTTGGCCGAGCTTTCCACTCAGCCCTCGCTATCTCATCTGCAGTGTACGCCAGAATGCAATACTGAGTACAATTGTAGTATCCCGTATGCACTCTTGCTGAACTTCAATTGAGGGGACAAGGTGCTAAATATGTTGCACTTTTTTTTCTTCACTTCATTGATATGTAGCCGAGAAAGGGGTAGATGATGATCTGTTTGAAGTGTCAGAGGAAGCACTTCTCAGCACAGACTATGATGAAGATGCTGACTTTGAGGCAGGCGAAGATGAGCCGGATCCGGATGAATTGGACGAATTAGCAGAGGTACGCATATTGAATTTCAAAGTAATATCGTGCTTGAAAGTGATAACATCGAAAGCGCATGGCAACGGAATTTCTTGGTCCGTTGCTATGCACAAGCACCGCACATTTTGAATTTTTGATTCTATTTTCGATGCCTTCTTCTTTCATGTAAAAAAGAGAAGAAAACACATGAGAACCGAGTTATGCAGCAACTATCCACGACTGTACCAAGATAATAAGCAGCCAGAAAGTGCGATAATAGGGCACGGAACTGTCTTGTTACAGTCGTGGATAGTTGCTGCATAACTCGGTTCTCGTGTGTTTTCTTCTGTTTTTTACATTTATTACCAAGAGTACATAACCCCCTGAGTGTGCAACACCTGATCCAGCTCTGCATAGGGTCTTGGTCGAGCGTAAGCGGATCATTGCGTCATAATATCGTACACAGTCTGAGGGGAACCCGGGGAGTCGCGGGTACTCTTGGATCAAAAACAACGGTGCCCTGCCTCGAGACCGGCCTTGCGCTGGTGTGGAGGGTGCGCATGACATCAGAAGATCCGATTACGCTCCACCAAGACCCTATGCAGAGCTGGATCAGGCGTTGCACACTCTGAGGGGTTATGTACTCTTGTTATTACTGGCTCAGTATTGCACATGCTACAGCAGCGGAACCATGTGTTGCACAGTAATATTATACTTATTCCCGTAGCTATGCAAAAGACGTTACTTCAGTAACGTCTGGCGCTAGCCAGGGTCCACACAGCTTTAATTCCGTGTTTGTTTGTGCCATCGGCATGCCTGGCGCTATACTGTACCTGTCCCGTACCGTACCATCAAAGACATCAATACGGTGTTGTACGGTATAAGGATGTCGTATAGCATGTCGTACAACAGTACGATGAAATTGTGGGAGAAACCAGCGACCGCTTGGGAACGATGAACATTACAACAGTCTTATTGTGAGTGAGAGTCAGGCCCAGTTTCTGAAGATCAGTAGCGAGTGCTATCCCGAGCATTATGTTAGCATTAACAAAGCATAGACAGGATGCGTATTATAGGAGACCCAAGTTGCTGAAGATCAGTAGTCATTGCTGATAACGTGCAGAAAAACTAAATCCGCAGCCTCTTTTGCCGTCGGACAGTGCGTATTATAGGAAACTGTAAAGGTATGTAATGTGCTCCACAGGCAACCATGCGTTCGGCCGTCAGCAACAGTTAAAGGGGAAGTTAAGGCAAAAATTAAAATTTCACCAGTTGTAGTCTTCGGGGTGCTGAGTCGAATGGTCTTGGTCCGAGAAAGCTGAGACGCTCCCTTCCTACTTGAATCCCAATCGAACTCGCGCACTTCCACCAAAACTGGGTGACTGCGCCCTACTAGATGGGGATTTGTATGCAAAATGTCACTAAAAGCGCCATTTCGTTCTTATAAAAGCACGGATGACCGCGATTGGCCCATATGTTGTAATCTTTTGGACGCTGAGTCGACTGGTTTTGGTCCGAAAAGGCTGCGATGCAGCGTTCCTCCTTTATTCCCAATCGAACATGGTTGAACAAGCGGTCACGTGCTCCTGGGTGCCCAAATCACCTGGTCACCACGCCAGCAGGCGACAACTTTCACACCAAGGTTCAACTCGAGTGACATGTACTGCACCCAAAAAAGGTCAAACAGGCTAGTAAGTTGTACCCTGCAGGCACGGTGACCAGCTGACTGGTGTACGCAGGAGCACGTGACCACTTGTTCAACCATGTTCGATTGGGAATAAAGGAGGAACGCTGCATCGCAGCCTTTTCGGACCAAAACCAGTCGACTCAGCGTCCAAAAGACTACAACATATGGGCCAATCGCGGTCATCCGTGCTTTTATAAGAACGAAATGGCGCTTTTAGTGACATTTTGCATACAAATCCCCATCTAGTAGGGCGCAGTCACCCAGTTTCGGTGGAAGTACGCGAGTTCGATTGGGATTCAAGTAGGAAGGGAGCGTCTCAGCTTTCTCGGACCAAGACCATTCGACTCAGCACCCCGAAGACTACAACTGGTGAAATTTTAATTTTTGCCTTAACTTCCCCTTTAAGCACAAGCACACTATCAAGGCAAGGACATTATTGTATCGTATTGTATGGAATATAATTTTACCTCATTGGCTCAGCAGGTCAATGTGTTACTACAAAAAGGCCAGAAAATCCGATTTTGAGGGGCAGTTCTAATAACATGCATGATGAGCTAGGCAAAAAAGCATAGCGTAGGGCCCTGAGCTTCCAAGCTCTCTCGTTGTGTCAATGCATATTGTACGCGATCTGTCACCTATTATTATTATTATTATTATTATTGCACATGCTCAGGATAAAAAAAGAATCCATTGATGAAAATGTGTGGATTACACAAGTTTAGGGTTCACAGATTGGCATGCTAGCATCGCCAGCTACATCATGCACATGTCAGGCGCGTGCAGATACTGTACCACACTATCGATGAGTGCTCAAATCGCATTTTCCCATCAATATCACTATACCTGCTGAACTTATCAAATATGGAACACCAGCACTGTTCTCGAACATTGCCACTACATTCAACAATTATGCCAAAGACAAATCACTCAAGCTAGGCGATGGGCTACTGATCCCGATACCAAAGCCGGGAAAGAAAAGAGGTCCTCCTGGAAATGTAAGGCCAGTTACCCTGTTGAACACCCTACGGAAACTTCTTTCATTAGTCATCCTGACGCGGATCAAGCCAGCTATCAACGGGTACTTGTCACTGAACCAAAGCGGGTTCCGGTCAGGGAGAAGTACTGGAGACGTGGTATATAGCTATCGGTGGTTATCAGCAAGATGCCAACGGGTTGCGTCGGAGATCTCAATCTTAGGCATTGATATGTCAAGGGCATTTGACACTATATCGAGGGTCAGGCTGGTCGATATACTGTCATCAGTCATTGATCATGATGAGCTGCACATCATCCGATGCCTTCTGACAGACACCACAATAAAAGTAAAGCTGAATAACATTCTCAGCCAACCATTAGTCACACATAATGGTACCCCACAAGGTGATTCTCTATCGCCAGTCCTGTTTACTGTCTACCTCGAGGCTGCATTGAGGTTGATTCGAGAGCGACTCTCACCGCGACCAGCATTGGATATTCAGCTTCAATTGCCCAATGAAACAGCGTATGCGGATGACGTAGACTTCATCAGCACCAGCCTACAATATTTGCACGACAATCAACCCATACTATCATCCTCGTTAGCGGAATACAATTTAAAAATGAATGAAGCCAAAACCGAATATACTACAATTAAAAGAGAAAAGGACAGAGTAGACGAGCGATGGCGGAACACGGTCAAACTGGGATCGATGCTTGGAGTGGAGGAAGATATCAGTCGGAGAAAACGTCTAGCAACATGTGCCTTACATCAGCTGTGGGTGATATGGCTAAGGGGTAACCATGCCCGTGAACCCCTTCGGATTAGGTTATACAGCAGCTTTATTCTCCCAATACTTCTTTATAACTGCGGAACATGGAGCCTGACAGAGACTCAAGAAAAGAAACTTGACTCGTTCCACCGCCAGCAGTTACGAGCAGTCATAGGGGTCAAATATCCCCGTATAATACGCAATGAAGCACTGTACAAGCGCACTGGCTCCAAGCCACTCAGCAGAATCATCCAGTCTGCTAGGTGGAGAATGCTTGGCCACATGCTTCGACTAGACACCTCATCCCCGGTCCAGCAGGCTATGTCAGCGTACTTTCAACCAGGAAGCTCAGGGTTCCGAGGCCGCCCGAGAACAACCCTCCCGCGATCTATCAACAACGACCTGAAAAATTCCAGATCCACAAACTCCCTCACATCACACGAGGATCTAGTTGCACTGAGGCAGCTTGCCCAGGATCGTCGAAAGTGGAAGGAACTAATGTGTGCTGTGTGTAGTGGCTGAAGTTATACAATTACACTAGATACTCTAACAATAATATCGGATACAATTACACTAGATACTCTAGATACTAGATACTCTAGATACTAGATACTCTAGATACTCTAACAATTTTATCACTAATTATGATAATAATTACCACATCAAATGCTGCAGAGACCTATCCAGAATCGGCAATATGCTGGCCCTGGCCTGGAGATCTGCAACTGCAATCGGTTTCTACTTTGCAATACTAACGGATTAGTCCCTTTGTCGATTGATGGATCAATCGGAACCAACGCATTCGTCACTCCGATTAGTAACTTCGGCTCTGCTCTGTTTTGTTTTGAACTGTATACGTATGTTTAACTCATTGTATTTCTTTGTATTCTGTATCTCGTTATCGTTATCTTTTCCTCTAGCCCTCTCGCTTAGGATGAGCTTTCTTTTTTATGGCAGCTTAAGCGAAGGCTATATACCTGCTTTATGCAGGTTGATGCCAACGCGAACAAGCAAAATAATAATAATAATAATATCACTCACTTTCAACTCTACGGGATTCATTACGGTTGGCTCAAACTGCCTGAATTTTTGAATCCACACGCACGAAAGACGTTTCAAGACTTCCGTCGTTCGTATTTTTTCAAACGAGTTCTGGGTTTTCTAGTAACTTTGGCCAAAATTCGGCTAAAAAACAGGGGGAGCCGTTGCGTTTCCGTAAAATATTGAACGGTAAAAGGATAGCCAAGGTCGAGGGCAAAACGACAAGCCATTATTTGTCAAAATCGAACAAGAAACAGCTCGGCGCATCTATTTTCCGTGCACGCGCGTGCGTACTTTGGCCGACAAGGTGTGCAGAATTTCTGAAGAAGAAGAATAACAAGAGCAGCAGCGCTCGGAACAGCCGTGCTGGATACTTCCAATCCCGACACGATGGAGCGTGTTGGCTGTCGTGAGCTGCTGAAGCGACCATGACATTTCTTTTTCTTTGTACACCCGACATATCTTGACGTGCCCTTGCTCAGTTTCGGCCTCTTTACAGGAAGAATATTTTCTTCCTTGGCATCAGCCATTTCGGCCAAACAGCAAGAAGAGCAACAGATCAAGATTTGCAGGGCAAACAAAGGATGCGTGCAGCTACATCTAGTCAGGTTCGATGCAGCTGCGCTTTGCCAGAACCTCAGCAGACAAGAAAAGGCGACAAAGTGTCTCAGATGGAACCAAGGAGCCCTACACATATGTGTAGGGCTCCCTGGATGGAACTGGATCTTTCGCCAAGACCGCCACCGCCGCCATCATCAAGTCCAGGTCAGTCAGAAAAACCGAAGCAAAAATGCAAAGCCCGAGTGAAGTGAAGGAAAAATTCAAAAAGTACGCTCTCCGGCTAGACTTCGAGTCGATATTTTTTTACTTCGACAGGTGCTGTCGTGGCCTGTCGCGCGCGCCTCCATAATCCAAAATGGAGGCGCACGTGACGGGTGCTTTTAGTGGCAAACCGTGAACCCTAAAGTTGGCAGTGACAAATAAGCACTTGTGCATACGAAAAAAGAGTTAAAAATGCCCAAATTCGAAGCATTTTTGCCATCGGAACTCAATCTGAAGGTACCCGGTAGGGAGACGTGCCCGTATCTGAGGCGTCCGGATAAGAGACGTTTGAGTGTACAGGTACAATGTGCATGTAGTGATACGTGAAAACCCAGGGTTCTAGCGCAGCCCCTTACTCATTTTCCGATTTTTGTGCTTTTCATGCCATTCAACAAAAATGCAGTCGATAGTCAGTACTAGAGGGTTCATAAAGGCACATTTGTCTGGGGTGAAGTCAGGTGTTCGCCCCGTACTTTGCATTGCGCATTGCAAGACAGTTCCAGGGTCTGCACCACTCCTTGAATTCCTTGAAAGTCCTTGAATGTCAAAGCCGGATTTGAAAGTGCTTGAATATCCTTGAATTTTCGTGTGGGTGCTTGAATTTTTGAAAAAAGGTGTGTTTTTCCTTGATTTTGGGTTTGAATGCGGTAGATCTCCTCACGTTCATGCAGTAGGTCTACGCGCACTGCTGGGTACCCGTAACCGGTACCGTAGTCCGTAGATCTAGTACCAAGAGTGGATCCACTCTTGGTAGTACTGATAGGGATCTCAGCGCGTGAGCTGCGCAGCCTGTTTGTGCAGGTGAGATTTTCGATCCCAAACGCGTCCAGTGCAGAAACCCTGAAAAATAACATTTTTTTCGAAATAAATCAAGTTGAAGAAGACGGTAGAAATGGCTGAATATTGCGTCCAGGAAAGCACGTTCTACGGCCATTTCCAAGCTACCTATCTCCCAGGCACTCTCTCAGAGGAACTATGGAGGGTCAAAGAGCACAATAGTTCACTCTTGGACGCAGCGTGGACACCTCTTCTTCTGAGCGCGATGTCTTCTCTCTGAGTGATAATCTGTCCCCGGGGAAAATTGCAATTCCGCGGCCGCGTTTTTTTCCGCGTTTTTGCGATTTTTTAAAAGACCGCGTTTTCCGCGATTTTCCCGCGTTTTTTGAACTTTTTTGTTGCACTACACGTACACACAGTGCACTGTTCGGTCAGCAACGTCTCATCGTGGCGGCTTTTTACTCAAATATGACAAGTGCTTACACCAGAGACTTGTAACTGATTGATTTCACTACATACTCACTGAAAATTGCCGCACATCAATATTATTCACCGCATATTTACCGCATATTTACCGCAAATTCACCGCAAATTATGCCATATTATGCCGCGTTTTTCCCCGCGTTTTTTGCGATTTTTTCCGCAATTTTCCCCGGGGACAGGATAATGGCGGCGATGTTCCAACCAACGGTTAGCCCACCAACTAATGTCCTTGAATGTCCTTGAAAAAATGGGGTTTGGGGCCCTTGAAAACCCTTGAATAATATTTTCATGACTTGGTGCGAACCCTGCAGTTCTATTTGAAAATGGAAAATGGGTTAAGCCTAGTTCACATTCGACGGGGCACGGCGGGACGCGACGTAAGGATCGACGGGAAGCGACGGGATGGTCTGACGGCGTCAAATGTGAACACCAGGAACGGGAACGCAACCGTACTACCGTACAGATCGGGAAGCGACGGGAAGAGTTGGATCGATCCAACTTTTCATACCGTAGACGGGGACGCAAGCGTACAAAACGGCTGCAATTCGAGTGTGAACAGGAGACGGCGTCGTGCGCCGACTGCTCCCGATTCGTACTTGGAAATTTTTAGCATTTCGAACACTGCGCTTCCCATGATAACTCACAGAATGGCTAGCACGACTTGAGTTGAATTTTAGCAACATAAGATCTCATGTCACTTATTGTATTTAGGGATAGTTCAGAAGCGTGACAGACGAACTATTCTATCATTTCCTGGGGCTATTATTTGAATGCCACAACTTTCAGGGCTAATTTTTTGGTCTTCACGAAAAACTGGTATTGTGAACTTGATTCCGCTTCTTTCAAGGAGATATAATTGAAAAGAAGTCCCGAAAAACGAGAAATTAGGTCCAAAAGTCACCCCGTCACGGACCGTGCCTTATGACTCGCGCCGTTCGACGGTGAACGTCGCAACGACTGCTGCATGTCATGTCGTACGAATCGTACAGGATTTTACAGCTCACCCCAGCCCTCCCGACAAGCCCTTACGTCCCGTACCGTCGGCGTTGCGTCGAATGTGAACTAGGCTTTACGGGGTAACTGTTTTCCCTGCCCCCTACTATTTTGACCTGGCTAGAACCGTGAAAACCCCAGTGGTGTTGCTTAATCTTTGCTTCCAGCATGACACTTTTTAGTGACTTTCTAGCCTGGGTGTTCGTCAGCTGCCCATTCTTCTGAAGCCGATGTTTGTGTTAGTGTACTGCACTTGGCAACACCCTAGCCTGTTTGTTCTTCTGCATACTATTCTTACATGAGAAAAATAAGCCCGGGCTTATTCAACCTGTGGGGACAGGATACAGCGATTCCGCGGACGCACAATTTTCCACATTATTGGCTTTTTTCATCCGCGTTTTCGAGAGATTTTGCATAAAACCCGCGTTATTCATGGGAATGTACAAGAAAATAGTACATGGTGTTGAAAATGTGCTACAAAGTCGTACCGGTTCATGAGTTTGTACGACAAAGTTGTATACTTGCGTGAAACTGCACGCTAAAGTTGTACAAATGACAGACAACTCGACGTCGGTACTCGTGCATACTAGAGAGGTTCTGGTGAAACGTAGAGAAATCACGTAGAGAGTAGGTGTCTGGGTTAGAGTCTACGGCTTCGCGTGTTTTGGTTCCAAATTTCTACGCGACGATGAGGTTCTCTACGTTGTGGCACACGCAAAGAAATTGGGTACGGATCTGCTGGGTATCATTCGAGTGCAGGCAGAAAACTGGCAAATATGGAAGGGGAAATTCCCAGTACACATTCCACGTGACTTCTCTACGTGAAACATAGAGCAGAACCGGATTTCTTTACGTTACGGGAACGCGAAGAGAGTTCCCGTGATTCTTTGCGTCGCATTCTCATAACGTAGAGCAAAACCTCACTAATGACCGCATTATACCGCATATTTGGCTTATAATGGCCTGTTTTCGCCCACATAATTATGTGCATAATTTTGGGATTTTGTCCGCATTATTAGTTCAACCTTAGGCCTTGATCTGTCACCCAGTCATTTTAGAGAGCGCGTTTACATGGTGAGGCGGGCTTATTCAGCTCGCCCCGAGTTGAACTAGCCCTACCCTAGACCCCCGAGCGTATTCAACCCCCATGGCTTAAAGTTATAAGTGAGTTTTTTTCCGTATTTTTCGATTTTGCCTCGTGAACCAGATGAGATGTCGCCGTGAACAGTGCGTCTCCTTTGTTTCTTTCTTGGCATTTTTTCTTCTGATTTTTCTTTCAGTGGAAAGTCCTAGCCGATCCTTCACCTTCTCGAAAAATAAGTGACAATCGGAAGGCAGTAGAAGCGTGAGCCGGCACTTCTTGATCCAAATTTCATCATTCACGAACATTTACCACTGCATTCAAGTGCGATTTGAAAATAAAATGCGCGCAGAACTCACAGTCACTCACCTGAACTCAGCCCCGTACAACCGTCATGTGAGCGGTTGAAAAATAAGCCTGCGAATAAGCCCGGGCTTATTTTTCTCATGTAAACGACCCCTATTAAAGTAGAAACCGTTTGAAAGCACAAAATTCTCCGCCGCCCATATATAGAGTACACATCCACTATTACTGCAGAACTCTCAGACCACACTGAAACAAGGCACGGGGTGCTTTTCGTCCGTTTGCTTTCATTGGCAGGATGCTGACATACCTATTGAGCTACTGCTTGCCCGGTACGGTTATGGGGCGGCTGCTGCTGAAGACAAAAGGACTGCTGATAGCGATGACATAGCTGCTACTGTTGCAACCAATGCTGCAACTGCTAACTGTGGCGATGATGCCAGTCCAATCGTGCCAACAGACATTGCTGCATCTGCCACTATTGAATCAGAAGGAACTTCGGACCCGTTATGGAGTGCCCCTGAAGAAAGTAAGAGGTGTTCTGTTGATCTGTTCTGTCCTTGCTGCTTGCTGGTTAGTTGTCTCCCTATTGCAAGAGTACCGTATATTCTCTATTATAAGCGCTGTGCTTATATTTTTCAACTCCCCTCTACCCCGTACTTATATTGGAGACCACCCTTAACCAATACATCCGTACAGAGCAAGAAGAAATACATGCTAGATATCATGCATGCAGCATTGATTTCCACGAAGACCGTGCTAATAATAGAGTCTGTGCTTATAATGTTTCGAAAGGTGCTCACAGTGCGCTAGTACAGTATTAGAGACTGTGCTAGTAATGGAGACCTGTGCTTATAATAGAGAATATACGATATGTGGGGGGGGGGGGGGGTAAATGAAGTGAATCGTATCGATCCTTTCCATTGGCTCTACTACTGAGTACATTGTACAAGCCTACACCCCCACCATGTTATACAGTACACACAAAGTATGAAAGACAATGGTACGACCGGACCAATTGAAAACTGCTACTATCAGTGCATAGTCCTGGACGAGTTGAGCGTATACATGTATTGTGCTCATGATTGCGTTGCGAAGGCAGTGGATAGTCACGCGATAAGTTAGCAGCTCATCTCGTGTGCTCTGCAGGTACAAAACCTAGCACGCTGATGCAGCTAGTCAATGCTGCTCCTGACATGTCGGAAGATGGCGAAGAAAGCGATGAAGAGGATGAAGACGAAGACTATATGCCCCAGCCTCCATCGCCTACATTGGACTGGAGAAAGGTACAGTGGCGCAGCTCAGTTTATGAACCAATTGTGCCGTGGGCTAACTACCTCAACTCAATTACCCCCTGCTATCCATTCATATCACTCTGTAACATTCAGAATTAATTTTATTGTTCGGTGTTTTGGTATTGGACCATGATCAGGAATGAGTCGTCTGATGTGAAAGAATTATGGACGAGTTTGCTGCTTAACAGTGCTGCTGCTGCTGCTGCGGCTAACTATATTGATATTGCACGTGACGTTGTCTGTATTATAGGAAATTCGGCAAGGTGATGACTACCAGGCATCCATTCCAAACCTGGAGATTGACATGGAACAGATGTCGGTAGATTCAGGTAAGAACTTGCACTGGGCTGCACATGTCCGTTATGCTCACGCTCGTTTACCATTGCAAATATTTTTTCGGCGCATTTATGCTTATAATAAATGTGTCTTCAAGTACACTGGAGTACATTGTAGTGTGCATTGCAATGAGCCCTGTATCTGCTGAGGGATTGTAGGCAGCGGTGCAACTGGCTGCGAGTGATTCTGATTACTGTCAACTTTGCGTATAACGACACTCGGCCGGGCATCAGAAAAGTGTCCTTATTCGCGAAGTCTCGTTATACCCGAAGTCTCGTTATATGCATTACAGCTAGAATGGACTTGCTCTGGGCATGAAAATTCTGTCGTTATTCGCGAATTGTCGCTATATCCGCAGTCGTTATTAGCCAAGTTGACTGTATGTAAGTTGCCGGTATCGTGTTATGCGTGGCAACACAGTCATGTGTTTGTGTATCACATGTAAGTAAGCCAATGCCATTGCTCAGTAGTCGAGACTAGCGAATGTCACAAGCTGCTCGGTCTTGTTGCAGTGTCACAGTGCTACCATAAGCCTGCAATGAATGTTTCCCTAATGTTCCCTTGTTTGTTATCTCTACAGCGTCAGCTGAACCTCCACTCTGGAAGCCTGATGAGCTTTCTGAATCTGAAGGTGAGTTGTTTCATTGCATCTGGCCTATAGAGAAAAAAGTATGTGTTTCAACTTTCAAGTACAAGTTTGTCCAAGGACTGAACCATGGACCTGAGTCACAGAAAGCGAGGGCTGGCAGCACTCAGCAGTCACAGCGAGTGTAGAGAGCATGTTTCCAACTTTCCGTGTATGTACTTCGAAGTACCATCCAGGCTGCATTTTAGTGTCAGGAGAATGCTTGACCGTGTTCTGCAACCTAGTTGCTTGTACCAATATAATAATGCGGTGCATCCCGGGGTCATGGCAACAGAAACATGTCACCCTAGGGTTTTGGGGGGGGGGGGGGGGGAGGGTGTTAATTAACAAACTGCCAAAATGTATAGGCTCGTGTATATCCTTCGAAGTCATTTTACTGAAGAAAGAAATTAGAGCTGAGACAGAAAAACACCTATAGATAGTCAGAAGCAGTACTAGTAGTACATGTAGTGACATCTGGTCAGCTGTAAACCAGGAGGTGACAAAAGCTGCGGTAATAGTAAAGAACTATTGGTGAATAGTTGACCTACAGTCCGTTTCAAAAAGATTCCTGGCGATCGCCCGCGGAGTTTGCCGTCTTACCGTATGAGCACTCGAGCGCTGCCTGGAAAAACTCACTGTGAACTCGAAGAAATATTCCGCGCGAAAGCAGGAAAAATGACAACTCACTCACGTCGTTGATACAGTCATGTACGTCTGGTTTACAACAAACGAGTTCTTCCTCGTATCGATAAAGGAGTCAGAGAGGACATGTCGGAACGAAAGTGTTGTAAATGTTGACAAGCGGCATGGGTCCCAATTCGTTTTGTGACCAAAATAGTTTCTTTGAGCTGCGATGCAATTTACTCACCATGCGACGAAAACAACATCGACACGGACTCATTCCCAAGGCCATGACTTGGCAAAGCTATCCGTGTGACTTCGACGACATTTTGAGAAAAGCAGACGCTTGTGAACGCTGATAGAAGACGGCGTTGACTGCTAAGTTCAAATAAATTGGCGATCTTGAAATACTAGAATAAATCTCAAAAAGCTACAGCTCGATGACTTCCATATTCACTCACACCATTGCAGTGTTGTGGGTGTGTTCACATGGCGTGAGCCAGTCAAGTGTCAGTCAGTTCAGCAGGAAGCGCGAGCTCCAACAACAAGTCGTTTGGTGCAGCCATCTTCTTTGTCGTGTACCAGCTTGATCACCAAAACAATGAAGAAGAAAAAAGTTTGACTTGACGATAGGTTGGGATTTGAACTCACAGCTTCATGGTCAGCAGACAGCATTCATAACCACAAGGCCAAAAAGGAAAGGATAAATCGTGGGTTTTGATAAAGAATCGATACTGGCTTCCTGGGCAAATTGTAAACCATGGGAAAAGGCCGGAAACCTGGCCGAAATTCTAACTCCTTAACGGCTGGTCCAATTGTTCCGAAACCTTCACAGAACAATTTGCCGTGTCCTAACAAGCCATTCTATGTACTTTATTGTCCAACTTTCCCTTATCTTCATACTTTTTAAGACCCAAACCTGATTGTAAATCTTTTTGAAACAGACTATAGAGGAAACTGAGGGGGTACTACTTTGATGTACTAGATAAATCCAAACCCAGGTTGTGTTAGCGGCTAGCTCTGAGGGGGTACCAAAAACAAGTACTTAAAACCTTCCATCAGATACAGACGCCAAGGTGCAAGGTCTCGGACAAACCTTATCACAGCATTGTGTAACACTTGATTTATTATACCAACAAAACCTGGAGAGGATTGAACGTGTACCTTAGTCACTACCTGACTCCAATGGTGAATACGCACAGCCCAAACGAACTAAACAGAAAGTGTTTCCGGTGGCTGGGATAGAGTGGAAGCGCAAAACAATCCAAGGAACATTACTCAGTACAGGGGGGTCTGGCAAGGCATCCCGAGCTGTGCGAAGCGCTATCTTCTTGAGAATGTTTACAGGAACCCACAGGGACCACTTGCCTGATCGCTCATGGTGTGAAACCTAGTTCACTTGAAAAATCAACTTTGTGAGTTTGCCTAAAACGCTACTTTTTCTAAACCGGGAAGATGTCAGAAACAACCTGTGAAAGTTTGAAACAGAAATTCCAAGGCAATCCAGAGTTATGGATGATTGAAGTTTGGTAAATGATCGCCTGAGCAGTCACAGAGAGCAATGCAAGGATGTACGGGGACGGTGTGGTTTCCACCCAGCACTGCACTATCTGGTGCGTACATGTGGGTGCGAACTGAAGTGCGTTGCGATACGGGATGTGCAAATGCATGACGTGTGCGCCTCCTTGCACAACTCACCCGTTTTCACCGTCCCCACTTCTAAAGTGTGCGTGCGGTTCACTCGATTTTTTTCGTCCACCACCGGGAAATCGCCATGGGCTAGTTTCTGTGATCATTTTCCTTCTAACGCGATAAAGCACAAGCCTAAATGTTCTAGAATCCTCTGCTGAACACAAAAATCGGGTGCTCCTCCTAGGGCCGAGTATGCATCTGGTAGAGATCAGTATTTCGCTATGCCTCTGCGCGAAATGCGGCTCCACTTTTTGTTCAAGCGCGGCATGTGTGGCGTCAATGGAAAGGTGATGACCTCAGCTACCTAAAAATAGCATCGACAAAGGAGTACTGGTCACGGGATCAGATAGAAGCGGGCTTGAAGTCAGACCAAAGAGCTGTCACGTGGGGCCCCATTGCCGGGCCGGAACTCAACTCCTTACCTACATGTACATGCTGGTACAGTTGTGCCAGCTATGCTAGATTCATTTTGCTTACTTTCAGCTTTTGTTTACCACATCATCTGTCTGCTGCTGCTGTGTCTTGAACAGTGCAAAAGTACTTGAGATCAGCGCTTAGTCGTGACATGCAGGAAGTGGCTGGTTCACGGAGTCAAGCATATTATGCCTATGCGCCTGACAATGAAACTGTAAGGCCAAAGATAATGTGTTGTGCCTGCTTAATGTATGTGTATGTATTTCATTTGCTTTACTGTTTTCTATGCTAGTCTGGCCAATCCTCATGTCAGCATGCTTTTGTGTGCGTGTGCATGTGAAAGGGTAGGGGGACGCATTTGTACTGTGCATTCATTTAGTACGCTGGCCAGAGTGGAAAATTGTGGATCTCGTGTAACATTGAAGTACACAAAGGTTTGACATGCTGAAGTTATAGGGTTCCATTCAAGGAGTCCCAATGGTGTATCACACATAACTAATCTTTGGGGCAGTTTGACGAAAAAACGTTTCCAAGCTGTTCTCATGGTAACATTATCATGAATTCAAATTTACATGCACATGTACTTCCGCTTGTACTATAATCATGAATGTTTCGTACAAGGAGAGATTTCCAGAATAGAGCAGTACACAAAGTATGGTAGCAATGGCGTATGTACGAAGCTGGGCTCTCAAACATCTTCCGATATGCTCGATGGCTTGGCCTTAAGGAACTTGAGCAGCCAATAGTAAAGCTGTGTCCACAACTGGCGCGTGGATGCGGTACGCTTGCGGTTCATGCGTGCCCATACGCACGCTCAAGCTTTCACAAAAAACAGCAATCCGAGTCGTATTTAGCGCGTGCAACACCTTCGAGTACTAATTTTTTGACCCCGCCAGTCAAAGTGACTTGCATGTACGCTGGTACGCGCCTGATACGCGCTGAAAATTCCAACATGTTGGAATTTCCTATTCAGCGCGTTTCCGTACGCATGGCGCCCCAAAAGCCAGCAAAAATACGCACAAACGCGTGGTGTCACGCGTACACGCGCCAGTTGTGAACACAGCTTTAGGCACCAAGGCAGCACTCTGCGCACACAATCAAAGTGGAATTCTCGATCACCTGTGCGGCTGTCACAGATGAAGGCAAGGCGACGGGAAGGTCCGCCATATCAATGTATGATGGCCAGTAGCAGAAATGCTGTGATGCCTGTGACTGCTTGTGACAGTATGCCATATACTTAGCATGCAAAGCTATGAGTGCCGGTGATGACACGAGCCCTGCAGCGTTCTCATCTGTATAGGCCAGCCCTTTCACACTGCATGTGACACTTCGAGAGAACAGCATACACTGTGGAGAGCTCAGTCGACGAAGAGTCAACCACAGGGCAGTAGCCAATGGTGGATTGCGGAGGGACAGATGTTTGAGAAGCCAAAGCATTGAATGCTGACCACGAGGGAACTCGCTGGTTGCTCTGCACAACTGCTTGCTCGATGGCAGAATCGGATTTTATGTTGCCATCTCGGCAGGCTCTTGCAAGACGCCAGAAAAAAATCAAGCAGAGTGGCAGATTTCCGCAGTGTAGGCTCGTTCAGCATTGATTGCGTGGCTGGCAGAAGCCTCTTGGGACTGACCTTCTGCCGCCCGATGAAGTCTGGAAGCACTTTTGACTCTAGGTGTAAGCGCCGTTTCAGTCAATATTAGTAAATTTGTAATACTGTAAAAGCCATATATATAACGAAGTGCTAACTCTAACGAGTTAACGAGGAGAAATCTGTCGTTAAAATAGAGATCGTTATACAGAAATCGATACGTATACTGTCCTATTGAGCGTTGAGAATGAGTGAGAATCGTTACCTTTGGTACACGTAAACTAGTCAATTTTGGGAAATCGTTATATATGCGCCTCGTTAGAATAATGGCTTTTACAGTATTGGTGAAAAGTACATGTAGAGCAATGTGTGCACCCATATCATGAACAGTGCAACAAGATCAGTTCCATTGATAATCGTGGCAAGAAAACGTTGAGGAACACTAACTTGGTTGCAATGTTTGTGATATGATCGCACACTTTATTTCTAGTCTTTGGCTTCAGGAGGTTTGGGACAGATTTGGCCAATATTTCATCAATGTATTGTTCTCTGTGGACGTGTAGATTAGATATCGTCTTTGGAAGTCATTCTGTGAAAATACACTGAATTACAAAATGGGGTCCCCAGGGTTTTACGACTGTTCCTGCCAGTGGTCCAAAGGTTAGAATGTTGCTATTTGGGCTGAATTCCAATGTTTGAACCTCGATATCACAAGGAACGGATATGGGACCCCCCCCCCCCCCCCCAATTTTTTCACAGGTTCAAAAATCAGCATGATTTGATCTGTATATTAATTATACTTCAGAGTAGTACTATTTTAGTCAAGAGGGGTAAGTAGCAGCATTCGGCCTTGTCCAGATTCTTATCAACCACCACACCACACCGCTGCGCTCTCTCCGGCCGACCTCAACACGTTGCCACAACACACCATCAGCAAAACGACACTTCAGTTGGTATTCTGCTCCTTCAGACAGCAGCTGTTTCGATCATCAGGATCTCGTCAGTGAAGGTTGATAATGTAGAGTGGCTAACAGATAATGAACTTCACCCTTTTGTAGCAAAAAAGGGGAAACAGAATGGCGCATCTTAGGCACAAAAAAGGGGGAAGCATAATGGCGCATCTTAGGCGCGAAGATTAAGGCTAAGCAAAGGCGATACTGATAGACTACACTGAGGATACTAGTAATATAAAGGGTGTTAGTGAGAGTACAGTCATGTAGTGCCAGGTGTGACTTCGATCGGCAACCTTCACTGACGAGATCCTGATGATCGAAACAGCTGCTGTCTAAAGGAGCAGAGTACCAACTGAAGTGTCGTTTTGCTGATGGTGTGCTGTGGCAACGTGTTCAGGTCGGCCGGAGAGCGCAGCGGTGTGGTGTGGTGGTTGATAAGAACTATTTAAGTCTACCAAAATCAGCGATTTATTACAATGATGAAATTTTGGTGATACGTGACCACATCCATGATATAGAGATGTGTACTTGCCTCTTTCTCGTTGTGTTTGCTGTAGGCATTGGAACACTTAGTGTCATGCGGCTTCAATACAAAGCTGGCACTGTCTAGTTTACCGAACCAGGAGGGCGGTAAGAACGGATGGAGTACTTTAACTGTCTTGTTGAGTTTGTTGATCAGCTTCGTTACCGTGTTTGCCCTTTCTACTTGGAAGTACCTGCTTCCGAGCGGTTGCATTGAGAATGCTTGATTACCGGTGAATGATAACCCCTATTGTGCAGGAGATTAGATAGTGCCCTTGAAGGTCCACACGGGTCTCCTTCTAGCTCTCACACACCCCTGATCCAGTACCTTTGCTATTCCTAGTTCACTGCAGTTGTCGCTACCTCGCGGATTGCTTTCTTATGACCCATGGACCTTGGATTCTGGTCCCTGGTTGCTGGTTCCAAGATTCCCAGGGTTTAATCTTCTTGTTCACCTTGAAGAAAACACTTGAAACAATAGCACGCCTGTACTCTGTGCGTGTGGCTCTGTGTGTTTACAGTTGTGACTTGGTCCGAGGAAGAGTGTTCTAATTTTGAGCAAGGTATAATGAATGATGATTGTGTTGTGTGCAGGCTGCTACCACGTTAACGTATTATTATGGCATGCCAATGTGTACTGTACTTGACTGCAATGTACTGTAGCGGACATGGAAATCCAGTCAATTGACCGGGGCCGGCGCCCTCAGCGCATACAGACCGCTGCGTACAGTGCACATGTTGATCGATGCGACCAGCGCGCTGCAGCGCATAAATGCATTTGTGTACCGCTTATCCGCGGCTGCATGGCCAGCGCCCTGGGGTCGCTAGACGTGCTACCGGATTTCCATGTCCACGACAGTACAACCACTGTAATTACGGCCAACTCTGCGAGTAGTGACATTTGGCAGAGCGGCAGAATAATGTCCTTACTCCCAAAGCGCGTTTACTCACGTCCTCCACTTCAATGTATACGGACCCGTATTTGGCGTACATGTATATCAATACGAAACTCTTTCTGTTGGCATAGGTTAGGTTTCTTTGTGTGAATATATACGGCTTCCAAAACATGCAACGACTGTGTACACGTGGCAAAATTAGAAAAACAATCATCTGAATACACAGCACAACACTCCTTTGTTCGTGCCTAATTGCCTATACATCACCTGGGCAGAAGGCACAAAAGTCTACTTGTGAAACTTTTCAAAATGTTGGTGTTGAAGAACCTGATGTGCATGCTCTTTGTTTAGTGCTACAGGTACAGTAGTTCCTCTTTGCCAGCGTTGTGCCTGGCTATGTGATAGATTCCCTTTCCAGGCGTGATACCAGTTTAATTGGTGTGTATGTTTGTGCGCGTGCAGGGCTTAGCCAGTATGGAAAGAACTTCTTCCTGATTCAACGTGAAAAGGTGTGTGTGTGTGTGTGTTTGGTTTTACCAGTACTGTAAAGTACCGCCAGAGCGCCCCACCATCTCGTCCTTTCGTGGCCGCCTTGTGGAGGTGGATTCCTGCCTGTGGGTCATACGACACGGACCTTGTACAAACATTGCACATTGTGCAGTCAATCCGTGCCCAGTTTACCGTCGAGCTCCACATGAAAGCATACCAAGTGTGACCTTAGCACACGAAGGTTCTCACATCGTACAAACTTAGTAGCATTCTGCCATACGATTTTCTTCCCTTGGCTGTAAAATCAAGGTGGGGCGCTCTCGCGAGACGGGGCGCTCTGGCGGTACTTTACGGTAATGGATAAGGAAAGAGGCATGTTGTTTGATATCAATTTTTGAAGTGATCATGGCTACACGGTGCATCTTGCACTGACCTGTTCTGATGGCAGATTACCAAGCGACCTCGGAACGGAGGTCAGATCGCAGTTGCGATACCGGTACAGTACAGCCTTTGCACTTTCCGTGAAAAATCATTAGAACCTCATCGTTTTGCTTTATATTGCTCTAGCAATAGTAGTATCCGTTATGTGGCGGTGGTGGCGGCTGCATTGTTGTTCCTGTTGCTGTTGTTCTTGTTGCTACTGCTGCAGGTTCCCCATCGCTCTGTTTCTGAGCTAATCCAGTTCTTCTACATCTGGAAGAAAACAGAGCGGTACATCTATTTCAGACGGACAAACCCTGCACGGGTATTCAGTGGCCGTAGAGACGTGTACCCTCTGCCCACCGAGTGAGTGCTTGTGACTACAAGGATTGTTCTCTGCCTTTCTTTCATGTACTCTAAGAGTTGAAAGTGTCTACAGTAACGTTAGTTTGATTTGCAAAAAATTCCCACTTAGAGGGCACACAGTTTAACGACCCTGTCAGCACACACCTACCTTTTATTTCTCCAGCGTAGAGGAGAGCGTCGAGGAGAGAAGGAATAACATACTACGTAGTACGTGTAACGTTTCTGGAGTTAGCGATGGATTCTTTCTGGTTAAACGCTAGACTCTGTGCCCCGTTTGAGATTCAACTCTTACAGTAGTACCCTAGTATCACCAGTAAGTGCCCGCCGTGGTGTGAGCGAAATTTCCAGATTGGGAAAAGAACCGTTGGTATCTGTCCTACTGTATTAGTGCAAGCAAGCAGTGAGTTGTATTGACAAACACATGAAGCCATTCAGTGTGCTGATATCGTATGAAGTTTTAGAATGGGTGGATGCTTTTAAATACCAAGAGTACATACCCCCCCCCCCCCCCCCCCCCAGAGTGTGCAACTCCCGCATACCCTGCTGTCCCGACAGAATTTCAAGTTGAAGTCTTTTTATTGTTATGATGCATTGCTCCTTGCAACAGTGATTTACGACATTTGTACGGGGTGTCAACGCATCACACATTTTTCTTTGCAATACAATAATCAATATAGCTTCTACAGGATCAAATGGGGCTTTGTCTGCCACGGGTTCAGGATACCTCTGATATTATGTTTACAATGCGCATTGCATCATAAAAATGGTGTCAACTTGAAATTCGGTCGGGACAGCACCCATAGTTGAGTAACACATTCTTGGGGGGTTATGTACTCTTGTTAATGCGTAAGGTGCGTACCACAAATTTAGGGCTTAGGGCCGATCAGACTGCGGCAACAACGAAATAATCCAGAAATGATAATCCGGATCTCCCTAGTAACTTGACACCACCGTAGCAAAACCAAAGTTTGACACTGCTGCGGAAAAGCTAAATTCGGCTATGCTTTTCTGCTCAGAAAAGGAGTTTGGTGCTGGTACGCCATTGACGCTGGTACTCACTGGTTTTTCATCACGATATCAAAGTGGCTGAGTGGCCACGGACAACAACAAAACTCACAGGAATGATTGCAAGGATTGCACTGAAGGCATTGGCGATGCCGAGGTGAAGGAACTTACAGGAATCCGTTCTTGGAAAACCACTTGACGCTCGAATTGAATTTTGAATTTTCATTCTCCCGTAGATAGTGTGGTCGCGATTTTAATCCTGGACGACTTTCTTTGTTCGTCAGGCATCAGAACTGTGCCACAGTCTGATCTGAGCCTTACACTGACGTCAGGCATCAGAACTGTGCCACAGTCTGATCTGAGCCTTACTGACGCTGTGAGACACTCACTGGTGGGGCTTATTTGTTTGAAGTTGTTTTGTTTCTGCTTTATCTAACGAAAACACTGCGGTGCTGCTATTGTTGTTTAGGCAATCAAGCTCATCCTCGCTCACTGACCCTATGCCTAGCACCAAGTCAAGCTCTGCCAGCTTGGCTTCTAGTACTAGTAGTGAAGAACAGACCGGTACGGCGGTGAAAACGAAAAAGGTGTACTCAGCCAGTAGGTCGCCAGTGGCCACAAACCCGACATGTGGTGTGTTGGTTTCTGCTTCAACGGCCAGCAGCGACGCTAGCTCTGCGTCACGGAGTGTGTCCGCTGCTTCATTATCATCATCCGCTTCTGCAAATATACCTGTGGAACCAGCTGCCAAACGACCATACATACCATCCTAATTAATGGTGCTGGACTCACCGTGTGTCTGTGTATCCCGTCCGTCCTGCTCTCTTGTCATCCGGCATAGTAATGTAGCCATCATCGCCATCATGTTGATAGCTTGGGCTGCACTGGTACCCCAGCCATAGTTCCCCTTTCATCCCTCCGCGTTGGCTTTCTCACGTCAAAGCTGCCCCCTCCCTTTCTAGATGTTTCTCATAATTGGAATTAGTACTCCACGCTGGCATGGAGAGTCACTCAGTGTATATGCACGTTGCATGCCTGAATTGTGTGACAGCCGCAGTAATGCGGTATAGACCTATGATGTGCGTCTGCTTTTAGACGATGTCGCTCACTTTAACTCTTTTTTTCTTCCCTTGCTCCTTAGCCAGGTATTGTGCGCTTACCCATAACAGTGTGTGTATGATTGTGGTTGTTCATCTTTCTAACCGGTGGTGGGTTCCTGAACACCTTGACTGTACAATGCATGTGTTTCTTCTTCTTTTTTTTCTGCCGCTGTTGCTGCTATTTCTGCCGCTGTTGCTGCTATTTTTGCCACCCAGTGTACGCTGTGTGCTCTCTTGATTTGGTGCAGATCACACTCACTATTTGCATGCATTCCGGCTTGTTCTCAAATTTCACGAAACGTGCTGTGCATTTAACTTAACCTCCGCAGAAAGAGGCTTGGCCATAAAACTGTTTATGCTGCACGTTAATGTAGTATTCAGAGCCAAGACTTCTGTGCTTGGAATAGATCGTGTTTGCCTTTTTTTTCTTCATGCATCATGTGTCTCCTATGACCGGGTGAAATACTGACTACTATTGCTAGAACTTACACATCTGCGGCACCTGAATGAATAGTATAGTAGTACACCTGTGTCTTGCTCGTTAGTCCTACACAAGAACCATGCCGCTGGCCACGTCCTCGCTATCTCTCTTTCCTTCTGGCTGTATGCTATTTTCATCAAACCTTATTGTGTGTGGGTGTGTGTGTGTGTGTGTGTGAAGTATGTGCGGCAGAAGCCATAACATGGCATGATAGGCTGATTGCTACTCTAGACGATGGCCTTGAAATATTGACTACAACTAACGTTACTTGCCAGTGTGTTGCCAGTGTTTCATGTCACCTGCCGGTTCTGCACATGCAAGATGCAGTTTGTGTGATTCCTTTCTATGTTCATTGTGATGTGTGGACTACACCGCCAGTGGCAGTGTACGCCAGCGAGTAGATCTACTACAGACTACAGTGCTGCTAGGTGCTGCTGCTGCTGCTGTGCATGTTGGGTGCTGAACCTGCTCAACCCGTTTTACGCAACTGACCAAGCAATTTGTTTTGTACCATGGAGTTAGTGATGTAGCGAACGGCAAGGCACTGCTACAGGAGTACAGCTCCGCAGCTATGCTGCATAAAACCAATCCCACAGCGAATTTTTGTTTAGGTTATCATGAATCATGGAAAACCCGTCATGCCGTAGGTTCAGTGCTAAATCACAGTATCACTAAGGTGATAAAGGGAAATTCGCATGCGTTTTCACCTTTTGTGCGGCAAGCAGCGATGTGCAACAAAGGTGAGAGTCACTATTATGACCTAAACCAAAACTTCGCCGTGAATCGCCATGTGCCGTAAGCCAGTGATACTGTGTCCAAGCATCAGTCCGAACGGATGCTGCTCTTCTAGACACAACACCCAACCCCACAAAGATATCAACAGAGATGCTTTGTCTGTTGTGTACATGCTTGCCTGCAAGTGAAAACGGCTGTCCTCCGGACGTTATGAATAAAAGCAAAAGAAACAAAACTGATGCCAGCATCAAAATTGTCACAGCAAATAGTCAAAGCCAGTTGATAGGAAGATACTATCTCACTGGCGAGTTGCAAGTTGAAACAACGGCTTGCTATAGCACCATGACACAGGCTTCAAAACGTAGTCATACATATCGGTCTTCCTGGTATCTCTCCAGAGGACAACTTCACGATTTTGCTTTTCTTCACATTCCAGAAGACCAGTAATCCATCAGAACAGGCCGAGATTGCAATACGCTTGCCACCAGCACGTTTCATGCACGTCACACACTTGATTCGGTTCTTGTGAGCATCCTCCGACACAGCACGCTGGGTTGCCTCCTTGTCCCCAATAGTAAACAGGATGAGCTTTCCATCCTGATGCCCTGTCAGCAGCTGATCATCGGACCACCAGGTGAGAGATGAGATTGGTGACTCACATTCCAAAGAACATTTTACCGCTACTGATGCTGTATCATATACATCCACTTTACTGCCAAAGACCAAATAGAAGCAGTTTCCATTTGGAGAGAACTTCACATCGGTGGCGGCCTTTGGCAATCTGGTTATGAACGCTTGCCGACCCGTCATCAGATTCCAAGTCATCAGCGTCCGGTCAACACCGACCGAGAGCAGAAAACGGCCCGACGGATGTACATCAAGACTAGACACTGCTCCCTTATGACCCGTCAAGGCATGCAGACAGTCCCATTGTGCACATTTCCATATGGATATGGTCCCATCAACACTGGCACAAACAAGAAATAATGTTCCTGCAGACTCATGGAATACCAACTTGTTCAGGGAGCCTTCATGATGAATCAAAGTGCCTAACTCAACGCCTTTGCGAATGTCTAGCAGACGGATTGTTTCATCATCTCCACCAGAAGCAATAAACTGAGAATGGGCCGCCACTGATAAAACATGTCCAACGTGGCACTGATTAGTAAACTTCAATTGCGTTGACAGAGACTCTCCATCCTCTGCTACAATGTTGATGCCTACCAAGCTGTTCTCGTATGTGCCAATAACGACACCACTATCACCCTCCATTTATCTTGCTTTCACAGTGATGATAGAGAGCAAAATGACTTGTCTGTGCAATCACTAGAAAATTAGTAGAAATACAGTGGTTGAATAAAATAAACATTGTACAATGCAATGACATTTTTGATTCAAAAGAATCAAAACAAAAATGTTTTATCGGCACACCTGAAAAAAATAATTTCTAACCCACGCGCAGATATCCGGATGTCATCAATCATGCCTCCATAAATTATGATATCAAGAGTACATAACTACACATGTGTAGTTATGTAACTACACATGTGTAGTTATGTACTCTTATTCTGTATTGATCTTGATGATACCAAGACTAAGGCTGCGTTTACACGACAACGCACGGCCAGTTTTCCGTTTTCAGTCCCGCATTTCTTCTTTCGTTTTCGTACGTTTACACGATCAAAGCCGATCCGAAGTGGTCTCCGTTTGTATCGTTTTCAAGCGTCTACACGAGAGCAAAGAATCCGCCAAAGTTTGTCATGTGCCAAGTGTTGCCGTGGAAGCACCAAACACACTCAAGTAATGTTTGAAAACAGGCACACGACAACACACGTCACATGACGAAAATTGTAAAAACATTTTTTTGGATTGTCGAATCCGTGTAAACGGCCGAAAACGAAACAAACGTGACGGAAAACAAGGCCAGCACACCGTTTCGACTGTTTACACACCCAAATAATTTATCCGGCACAACATTTCCGTTTTCAAATTCTTCCACCTTGGCCAGCGTTTTGGTTTTCTTCCGTTTTGGTGTACAACTTTTACGTTTTGCTCCGCGTACCGTGTAAATGAACCATGGATCCGAAAGGATTTCGTTGCGTTTTCGCCCCTAGCGTTGTCGTGTAAACGCAGCCTAAGGCTATGATCGTTTGGTCGGATCCAGATCCAGATCCAAATCTCAGATCCGTCGGATCCTTCAGAATCAACCGAACACTTTTTTGCGGACCTTGGCTGTTGCCATGTTGACGAAGTAAAAAATGGCGCTGACAGGTCACCCAAAAAAGGCACAAGTCGTACTGATCGCCCGCGTCGTACGAAAAGTCAACAAAAGTCCACTAGACGTACGACAATGAGTATAAAAATGATTTTTACCCACCATATACGCACAAAGGTCACATTTGGATCCGATGGATCCAGTCAACCCTGCTCCCGGGGCAGGGTTGCTCGGATCCAAATCCGAAGGATCTGGATCCGGATTCGACCAATCGATCATTGCAGATCCAGTGGATCCGATGGATCTGGATCTGGATCCGACCAAACGATCACGGCCTAAGGCAAGAGTACATAAACCGGTTTATGTACTCTTGATGATACCAAGAGTAGTTGATGATATCAAGAGGGGTTTAATATGTAGATCTACACTTGATGATATCGTCATATCGATCCACACCATGCATGTACCATGAGTCGAGTCGTAAATATTTTACGACTCCCTGGTACATAATTATAATGTACGTGTAGGTCAGGGAGTCGTCATCGTCGACGTCAGAACAAGACCCAATCAGCAGATCGATCATCATGCAGTAGCAGGGAGTAGTACAATACAAAAGTACCGGTATTGTCCCTGCTCAGTAGACTACACATGACCAGGCTGCTGTACTGTATTTACTTTTTTTTTTTTTTTTTTTTTCTGGCACCTATGAATTCAGGGTACTGTATTTACTACTCCCCTGAATCATGTGAATAGAAAGCCTGATCATGACCATGCATGATGACTGGACTGTGCACTGCTCAGTCGAGTCGCTGAACCGATCATGCTTTCCCCGCAGATCGGGATCGAGAGGACACATAAAAAGCCCCGGCGCTGCCGGTGATCATCACGGAGATCGATACAGTACAGAATGGTCTTCACTCTCTTTTTGCCATTTTGGGCAGTCGATTCCTGAGCTGAGGTTATACTACTCATCATAATCTTATCCTGAAAATGCATGCACTTCAGTTTTAGTTTGGACAGCACGATGTTCTCATGTTCACGAGGACAAGTACTGGTGATTTGAGGACGAATTGATTACCCCCCGGCCCGGCTCGCCGGATTGTTTTGAGGTGCTTCAGTGAAATAAATATCTAACGTGGAAGTCAATCTCCGTATAGAAAAGTCATGCAGTAAATTGAGTAGGCGTCTGTTTGTACAAAGCAAGGCGTCCAAACGGCTTGGATTTGGCTGTCTACTATTCTGATGGCTTGTCGATCCGCGAGTCTGCTGTGTGGTTCCTGAACGTGTATGAGAACAATTTGGTATTGCTGAATCTCATCCATAGCTTGTTGATCATGGCTGAGGGAGTCTCCAGTGGCGTTGCCTATTTCACCAAAGTGATACGGTACGTTCTAGCTTAGTGGATTGTACAAGTCCTTGTACGTTGTAAATGGTCGATTCATGGACTATTACATAAATTAATAATAATTATGTGTCGTGACTGCTCCTATAATCTCTGCACGCGAACCAGAAACTCTTATTGCCCGCTGGCCAATGCAAACTCAACAAAAATATTTCCCCAGAATGAGTAAAGCGTTTAGGCTTTTGCAATTTGCTGAACTGGGTCTACAGCTAGCTTGCCATGTTCTTGTTCCAGAATCCAGATTTCGGTACAAACTTTCTATCGTATACCGTAGTTTACAATCGAACTATAGGTCGTGTAGATCGTATCAGTGAGTAATAAGGCTGAAGGATGAGGTGTTTGTTCTGGCAGAAGAAATCTGTTGGTCCCAATTGTGCATACTTCAAGTATCTCCTCCTTTGTGGGCCAAAATGCATGATTGCACGCACTGACGCTGTGTACTGAGGTGAGACGTCAGTGTTTCCCCACTGTCCTGGACAGGCCGGAGTGCTGTGCAGCATAGTCATGATACTCTGGTGTCTGCATGACACACACACACATATGGCACAGTGCATCCATTTCCTGTTACTGCAGTTGCAGTGCAAGCAAGAGTTCATAGCCAAGAGTACGCAACTGTAATTGTGCGTCAGTGCGCGCGGCGATGCCTTCATTGCGTCACTTGCCTGCATCACGCCATAATTATACTCGTGCAGTAGAATCCACAATCTCTCGTACCAGCACACCCGTTTTTACTTCATTTGTTTCAGTACCGACGAGAACTCTAAAGTTTGATTGCAAAAACTTGCCTTCACAACTGCTGCACGAATCTTGCCCGAATTTGGTTTCAAGCACAGGGAGAGGGTGGTGTTTGATTTCCATAGTGCTCGAATGTTGCTGCATGATGTAATTAAAAGGCAGCGCATCACACATCCGACCCTTAGAAGAGGGATAGCAGTTTCGTACTCTTTTTGGTTGTAGACTCATGGCATCAGTACATGCCTGTACAGTCAGACCTCGCTTATTCGGTCCTCTTTTATCCGGATCCCTCGCCATCCGGAAGAAAATCGATGGTTACCGATTTACAGCATATGTCGTGTACACATACAGTATGTGTGTTCGATTATCCGGTTCCCTCGCCTATCCGGATATTTTTTTTGTGGAAAACGGATGTGTGCGGTTAAGCGAGGTGTGACTGTACTGGCAAGTGGTAATACAATTGATGTAATGTAATGATGCACTTCTCAATATTCGTACAGCTAGCTGTTTCGACCTTGCTGGTGCCATCAGCGAAGCGCAAAGTCACTGGCTCAGACCGATTGCGATGAAGTCTCGTAAACAACAAAGCATGTTTTAAACCAGCTCAAAGCATCAAAGTCAGAGTGCTCTAACTGTGAGAAACACAGTGAGCTTTGCACGAGGCACATCTGAATAGTTTGTGTTTCTGGCTATTCTCTTCAGCCTTCAGCCTTGACGTTACCGAACACGGCACTGCCTGGTCACCCCATGCTTTGGGAATAGTAGTTCTCGCTTCTATCCGAAAGGGGCTTGTATTCTTTCAAATGGTCTTTGTACAGGGGCTTCTAATCGAGTGAGTACGGTAGCACAGTGCATACATAATATTATACTGACGACTAGTATTGGCATTCAACGACCTGACATTTAGTATTATCTTGAATGCGCTAACCAACAGCCTACCCATTTGGAGGTTCTTGGTTATGAAGACAGTAAAAGTGGGGAGGCTTCCTGCAGTTTCATCAACAGTTAAGTAGTCAGGTTGTGAACCTGATGAAGGCAATTTGCCTTCATCAGAACTGTTGCAGTGTTAATGGAAGAGAGCGTGTGGGCTCTACTACTTAACTTGGTTAAGAAGAAATGTTGAAGAAGGGAAAGGGATCAAGACGAAACCTGTCTAAGCTGACCGGTCAAGACTTTACATGACATTGTGGTCCCCGTGCAGATGATCTTCGATAATAGGGCACCACCAAAGAGCATTCTGTATACATACGGGGTACCCCACTAACAAGATGTGAACTTTCTCACAGTCAGAGAGGGAGAAGCAGAAGTTGCCGGAAACTAAAGCATCAATACACGGCGGAGAATGGCAATAACAAAGGTGTGGGTGAAGAATGTGAGAAATGCAGGAAAAAATGAAATGTGTGACTGCACCGGCTTTTGTGTGATCATCTTGTAACGTAGGGGGAGTATGTGCAAAGTCAAATGGTGCTATTGCTGGTCACTGTGTACATGTATTGGCTGGAGAACAGTGCACACTTTGAATGTAACATGTTTGGGCCCAAGGTCTACAGTGTCTGCTCTAGGATTGTAGGACAGCCGGGGACACGTGTACCTGGCGCAACCATTTCAACCGGGTCGGAGCCGGGTACACATGTACCTGGCGCTGTCTCACCAGCCGAGTCACATGCTATAGGCCATTCACACGGCGGGCAAACTAATCAGGACTTACTTGGTTGGTTGGTTTATTTTAATTCGGACAATAAACGGGAACTAGGCCCAATGATATAAAGGCGAATGGATAAGCCTCATTTAGAAAAGAGAGGACAGGAATTAGAAAATTACGAAAGAAGAAGAAGTAGCTGACACATACAAGCCATGTAGTCAGTCCTTTCAAAGTTCGAAAGTGTAAAGTACCAACCGGGTCACAGGTGACCCGGTACTATATTTTCAACCGGGTCCAAGCGCCGCCCAAGCGGGTGGATTACCCGGCTCACCCGGCGCTGGAGCAGACACTGGTCTAGATGGTGCACAATTTTTGATAGCTGACCGTACTAGCGACATTTCCTCGAGCCTCCTTTCTGTGTCTTGTGTCTTGTGTTGTAGGGATGTTGTTGCGAACGTATCCAAGAAAGTCCCAATGTCTCGTGACCAGGTCACAGCGGGAAAGAGTCCAAAGGACTTTCCCGCATATCGGGTGGTACCTCTGGAGCAAGTCACATGTCGCTTCTCAGGACCCGGCCCAGGTGCTGCCGGTGTGCACACGAAGACTGAAGGCGAACCGTCATGCAATGTGTGTTGCACGTCGTGGGATGAGCGGCACGAGAGAGCTGATGGTGTGGCACTATCGCTGTATGATCAGTCGAAAGATGAGCACCAACGCAGCACAGGTGAGCCTGTAGCCGATGTCTTTGGTATTGTCAGCTACCGTAACGGTGCTTTGCTGTCTGTGGCTGATGGTGTGAACTGGGGCGAGAAGCCGCGCCTTGCTGCACGCTGTGCCATCCATGGTTCGCTTTCGTATCTTGAAGAGAATCTCAAGAATGCCACGACGACGCAGCAGATCATAGCGTGTCTTCTCAAGTCTTTCGACAACGCACAGACGCTGATCATAAAGCAGAATGCGACACTGACGACTCTGGTGACGTGCTGTGTTTGCCAAATCGCCGATGGCCGGTGGGTAGTGTGTGCAGTGAATGTTGGTGATTCTTTCGCGTACATCTATTCCGTTCCGAACGGCACTGTGAGAGAAGTCACCGTGTACTCCCACCAAGGCCCAAGAGATATGAGACTGGCTGGCGGAACTCTTGGACCATTTGACGGCTATAGCCCTGATCTGGCCAATCTGACTTGTTCGTTTACGTTTGTCGAGCCCGATGAGATTCTGTTTGCTCTAAGTGATGGTGTGTATGACAACTTTGACCCTGTTGTCCTGCGCATGGCCACTGGGCCTCCCCAGCCTTCGGTGGAGGGCTTACCTCACCTCTCACAGTCTGAGCGCGATGAGGATGGGCTGAGACGTATGGGGCGCATATTGCAGGAAGAAATGCCGTCAGGCCGTGTGCAGACAGCATCCGACGTCACTATGGCCCTGCTCAGGCATGTGGTAGGTCTGACGGAGGCCAAGCGCCGCTGTTTCGAGGAGCTCATTGGCAGTCATCACTCGGATATCAAAAGCCGGTCTCAGCAGCTCCCTGGCAAGTTGGATCATGCAACTGTGGCAGCAGTGCAGATTGGAGCATTCCCTGTTGATCCGTCCGAAGAACAAAAGCACAAATGTGAAACCCTGGCACTAGAGCTAGGCAACCTATAAATATGCAACACGAGTGCAGACACCTTTCCTCTAGGCTACATGTGAACTTGCTCTTCATGTTCTTGCCGGTCTCCTATTTTTGACTAGTGGTTTGCAGCTGACCTGTACATAACCTTTTCCAATCTCAGTTTCCCCATTATCTTAAGCCGTGTTAGGCACACCTAACCGTTCGCGATTGAATATATTCAAAATCCGCGACCGTTCCCCCAAACCCAGCCCCGGGCCATTTCCCTTCATTACTCAGAGAATCTATTTACCGCTAACACTGCATTCTGCTTTTTCTTGTGCACTACTTCGATAACTGTGTATGGAGCTTTATTTTTGTAACCATCTAGAGGCTATGTGGACAGTTTTTATCTTTGTCTTTTATTATTCTACTTTTATACTAGGCCTTGTTGCTTTCTTACTGGTATTTGCGATTTTATCAATCAATTATCTTTCCCTTTTTTTGGCTTTAATTGCGAATACTCGGCTAACCTCTGCAACGATTTATTCTCATAGGATGATGAAAACGACTATTGTTATTTGTGTGGTTGGTCAGTCCGCATTCCGAAATAGCTTTTTGCTGTTGCTGTGCCATAACATGACGTGCTGTGTGTGTGTGTGTGTGTTTGTGTGTGAAAAAAAATAGGGATTCACTGGCCAGAAAAAGTCACTTCAAACAGCTGTGTGGTGGATACCAGGCTAAACATAGTGGCGGTCAATTCATCAGCCTTGCAAGCTGTTGAATGGTGTAATCCCAGCACAAGTTGCTATGTCTAACATAGCTGTTCGCTATCATCACTTCCGCGATGGGCATGTCTGAGGTGTCTGTGTGTTAGGCCCAGACAGATTCTGCTCCGCTCGCCTCGATATTTTGCCGCAAAACGTTGCTGCGAAATCTTCGATATTTTGCCGAGCTTGGCTGAAGAATCTCGTTATTTTGCTCCATTTTGCTCCGGAAAAAACGTGTATATATCCACTTCCCGTACAATGTTTCATAAAAATCGCAGGGTCGGTTTCTCAACACGGGTTTCCATGCACGTGTCCCTGAGTTCTTAAAAATCATGCGGATCCACTGTGAATCCCAGTGATATTTCGCTGACATGGTCTCGTCCTGGGCAGTGTATCGTGCTGAACGGGTAAGAAATAAGGAAATCCAAGGATCAGGCATCGATTTTACCCAACATCTTGATATTTTGCTCCGGTTTTGCCGGCAATTTCCGCTCTTTCAATTCTTCGATATTTTGCCGAGAGAATTGCCGGCAGGATCTATCTGGGCCTAGTGTGTGTGTGTGTGTGTGTATGCGTGTGCGTGTGTGTGTGCCAGCTTGTTCGGTTAATGGGTGGACATATGCCAGATACTTGTACTAGCTCAGTCTCAGCTACTTGTAGTCTTGGAAGTCCGTACTTTCTATCTGATTATAGCTGTTGAAAGCACATGCGATACAGGCTATGTAAGGTATATACTGTAGTAGTCATACTGGTCGAAGTTTAAAAATAAATAAAAAGGTATCATGCTTTCGACTTGATCTCTGGTCAGGTTTGTCTGTTTCTCAGACGTAAACTAGTACAAGCAAGAGTGCAGATAAGCTCCCAGCTTATTTCTAGACCTAGGCTAGTAACCTGATTATGGAATTTTTTTTCAAAGGGCCTTAATTTTTCACTCCTCATATCAGTGCAGGTCAGTTTCCTTACCCTTGGCCTTGGTACAGACCAGGAAAGTAAGGAAACCATCATAGCGAACTTCAAGCTGTATAGATCTACCATGCCCGTGGCTATGGCAACTAAAGCCGAACCTCGCGAAAACTGAGGCAATGCACATTTCCCCTTCCCCTCCCGCTCAACCACTGCATTTTTCCGGTGATCTTACCCCCATCCTTATTGTGGACCAGCACAAGCACCTTGGGGTTATCATAGGCAGCCAGCTCTCCTGGAGCCAACAAGTCAGTTATGTATGCAAGCGAGCCAGCTCTGCTGTAGCTATTCTACAGCCTCACTGTCAATATTTACCTGATCGTTGCAGACAATTATTTTTTAGGGCCTATATCTTACCCATATTTGACTATTGTGATACTGCTTGGTGTGGCCTGTCAAAATGGCTTCTTCAAAAGCTAGAAGTACATCAGTGCTTACTCTTAAAGTAAACCTCGTGTTATTTTCGACTCTTGATTCCTCCTTGTCTTTTACTTTTTTCTTTTTCACTGTTTTGGAAGTTTGCCGTGGTTGGCTATCACCATCACCCTTCGTTTCACATTCATTTGTCATTGGCAGTCGTTTGACGAGCCAGCACATGTTGAATAAATACAAATGCAAATGCCAGGCATGGGCAGGGCTTGTAGCGGTATTGTTACCGGTATGCTTGCTTGCTATTATGTATCTATATTGTATGATACGTATAGATTATAGACCGGTTAGGAGGTCTATACAGGATATATAGACCGAGTAAAAGACTGAGGTCCCCCGAGGTCTTTTACGAGGTCTATATATCCTGTATAGACCAACTATGAGGTCTATAATCTATTTATCGTGTTCTCCACGCAATAGTTTCTTTTCATATACGACATATCCTTGTAATTCTAGTATTATACTATAGCCTATACCGCATTGTACTGCATTGAAAGTCAAGATCATTGTTTAAACTAGGTTCAGCATCGGTAGCACAGTGGCTGGGTGGTAAGGAAGAGTGATTGAGATTCACAAGGTTGTGGGTTCAAATCCCATCTTGTGTATTTCTGCTTTCTTCAAAAAATTCTTTTTCTAAGTTGGAGAGAAAATTTCTAAGTCCAAGAAATTCTAAGGAGTCAAATATAAGTAGTCAAATATATCGTGTATTTGACTAAGCAGTCAAATACGCGATATATTTGACCGCTTAGGTATCAGGGAAATTAGTGGGGTCAAATACTAAGAAGGCGATAATGCATACTATTATCAAGAGTATAAAAATTTAAAGCTTTTGGCTCAAGTAACAGTTAGTTCGGGGGGGGGGGGGGGGCTTATTCTTGCTATGATGACTATTTTTCTTTACTAATAAAGTCTTATTAATTTTACTGATGTCTGTGAATTAAGTCATGTACTTCTTGAACTACTACTTGACTGCCCACACACTGCACACAGCCTGCTGCACCAAACTGCAGCACAGTCAGTGCTGCACTACTACACATGTACTACATGTAGTAGACCTACGGCAGGTTGTTGTTGTTTCTTTATTTTACTTCACCATATGAACAGGCAAGACTGCCTTCTCACCGGGGCCATTGGCCCACGGCTCTCACAATATGATGAAAATGTTTAAAATGTGTATGAAGAAGAAAGGAACGGAAAAGAATATGAAATGAAAGGAAAGAAAACAGTTATTAATTTTATGAAGGGGAGGGGGTATGAAATGGGTATTATCATAGTTGATGAGAGAAGTATGATATCAAATATTCTTGTTCTATAGACTCTTGACTTTAGTAGTACGGGCCGGGCATTTCATGAAAGTCATGCATGGGCAAGGCAGGATCTGCATCATGTGGCTCGTCCGGGTGGCGGGCCTGGCATGGCATCGAGTACGAGTGGCGAGTGGTGGCCACAACTAACTTACAGTGAAACCTGGTTAGGAAGAACACTGATAAGACAAATGTTTGCCTAAGAAGAACTAGTATTCGTAACTGTATTGGATAAAACCCTGTGTATTCACTGGGTAAAACATGATTATGGATAAGAAGAACTCCCGTTATTGCGAACAAATATCGTGGGTCCCTTGATTGATGTTCGTCCTAAAGTAGTAAAGAGGTTTGACTGTACTTACAAGTACAAGCTCTGCATGTGACATGGTCAGTACCAGGGAGTAGTATTGTACTACTCCCGGCCTGGTCAGTACAGCAGTAGATCTACCAGATGCATGCAGACTGTCATAATGCAGACTGTACTGTGGTCTGTACGACTGTAGCTAGCTAGCTAGCTGTGCACATGTCGAGATTTTTATGTTTGTGAAGCGGAGCCTAGCCGGAGTGATCATTGTTGATTGAGTGCAGTGGTAATGAGTGTCGTCGTTGTCAAAACTAGGGATGCCTCTTTTCGTTTGTCGCTGAGAATGTCGTCTGGTGCCAGCCCCACCACTAACACCACATCAGCGCAGAAAGCTGCTGCAGTTGAGCTAGCTCAAATTGCAGGCCTTCCGCCGGGATGGGATGTTCGGTCCACGACGGACTGGAAACTTTACTTCGTCGAGTAAGTACAGTAATTACATTGTACATTTATATTGCGCCGGTTTGCACTACCTAAATTCCTCGCGTTCATATTGTAGCTATTCGATGCCATTTGTTTAGCATGGTTCCAACGAATACTGGTGCGTGAGCTTCGCTGCCCACTCTTCCCTGCCGATGCCGGCATCTTCCTCCCGACTCTAGTCTAGACGCTACTGCTGACGGCGATGTAGCGGAATTAATCTCGTTCAACAAAAAGTGTGGCTGCGTTCATTCATTGGCTACGCCGCACGCAAACACGTGTGGATCCAGTGGCATGGGTTTACATTGTGCGTGCCGCGGAGGTGTGCTGCTATTGTCTTTTTCTCAGCATAGTTCGTGACTTACTTAGTGGCTATGTACGTGTCGGATCACAAAATCTTGCAACAACTGGTGATATCTGAGTAGGTCTACTGGTTACTGGTGTCTTCGTTATGATAGCTGAATACTAAACCATGATAACATTATTCAGCATTGTATTTATTTAATTTTATTTATGGATTCCCCAAAGGCCGAGGCCTCAGTCATTGTTGTTGGGTTATTCCTCGAATTCTCACATACATTAGAATGCCAATTATCCGCACCCTTCTGGGCACGGGCTGTCTCCAGGGCAGGGGGTTCGGATGAGAAGATTGTTCTGATAAGGGATCAGTCACACATCCATCTAAACACGCATATTCTCCGCGTGTTTTTTCATCATTTTTCATTCTCTTAGGCAGTACAACAGGAACAACGCGCACTTCAGCTCCTCAAAATGACACTATCTTTATACATTTTGACTCCAACCTATTGTAATACGTTTTGTGCATCGCTTGAATGGTGCCGGGTGGGGGGAATAAGCAAAAAGCTCGAAAACCAGCAAATTATCTTTTGTCTAGCCCGACCAGGCGATCCGGATAATCAACCATCCGGATAGTTGACGTCCTGATAATCGGCGTTATACTGTACGGATACTATCGTATAGTCCTGACATTCTTATGCGCTCAAGCTGGTTGTATTCAGACTTGAACATTAATAATTGCGTAGGTTCACTTACATAAGTTACTACAATGTGGACCCACTGCTGTATTTCCATTGCTAGTGCAGTGCATGTCGTGGTATACTGTACTACTACTACGTGCATGCTAGTAGCAGTCAGCACAACGCGGTCACATAACAATGAATTGGCCGTTGTGGATAACGCACAGTTCTAGTGGTGCATGTACTACATCAGTGTCATGGTAGTGACAGACTACCTAGAGAACATATTTACAAGTTTCACGCATTTCAGCGATCATCAGACAGCGGCATTTAGCATTCACCCGTGAATGCCTCTAATGTCGCTGTCTGATGATCGTTGAAATGCATGAAACTTAAAGTTACAGCTGCACAGCCTTTCGCCTCCGTTGTTTATTTGTTTCTTTCTTTCTTTTATTTGAATTTGTTTAGAGCACAGGCAATTCTGCCTTCTCGCCAGAGGAACAAGCTCCGGTTCCTACTAAAGAACGCATAAAAATTAATATTATGAGAGAAGGAAAAAGAATCATGACATGAGAATTCCAAAGTGTATAATTCAAATGGGCGTGTGTACGTGTAAGCAGTGCAGAACACATACAGGTAACATGCAGTCATGTGTATGAGGGGTTGAGCGCCTGTTCGTTTCTCGAAAAATATCGATGTACATTTCGCATATGTGAGCATGTCCAGAAAAAAGACCAAACATATCAATACTATGTACCATTTGTATGTGTTCGTTTCTCAGGGAGGGGGGAGGGGGTTGAAGAGAAACGACTAGTTTTCGTTTCTAAATAAATATCGGTATTTACGGAAGGCCCCTTTAAATATTGCATGTAAAAGTGTATATACAGTCGACCTACCCTTATAACGATATTTGCGTCAGACCAAGAAATATTGTTATAAGGGTAATATTGTTATAGGGGTAACTGATTCATTTCATACACATACGTCATAATTAGGGCTGAAATGATCATTCAATAACTCCTCACGATCGACCAATATCATTAACGATCGATATTGGTTTGTCGATTCTTGTCTGCTCTACCCGTGTACTTCGAACACCAGTTTATGAAGAAATTCCACGATACCTTTTGCTACGGTACATAATTGTGGCTCCGCACTGTTGACATCTGGCTGATTTATCAACATGAACTAGAAAATTTCATGTTGTTTCTAGAGTGAAGTATCTTGTCATCACTCGCTGGCAACTGCTCTTATCTCCGACCTCTCCCACAAATGAACCGAAAAGACAAAGTCTCCTCTCCCGATCTCTTTCAAAGCCAATAATAAATTTTACTGCGCTTAGAAGTACATGATTGTACTCGTCTTCACTATCGGATGGAGTACAAGGGCTAGAATACTGTCACTGATGTGCATGCATAAAAACCCGTTAGCACTCGTTTTGAACACTAACGATTATCGATTGCACTCTTAACGATCGATATGCGAGTTATCGGTATAATTGTTTCAGCCCTAGTCATAATGCATGGATTTTGTTCATTTTTTTACACTCTTCATAGCATAAAAAACTGACATACATCATTTTACATGCACATTATGTACACAGCAAGGTGCCCACTGGTGCTCCTATTGCATTTCGTCATGTCCCAGCGACTTATCAAGTGAAGCTTGCCCTACCTGGATAGTGGGCGCTACATATCCCCTGCTAGATATTGTTATAAAACGGAAAATGTCGATTGGTCAGCCCATTTTATATTGTTATAGGGGTGATATCGTTATAGCAATATTGTTATAGAGGTAAGGCATTGTATACACAAGTCAATGGAGTGATTTGGTTTGGCAGAAAAATATCGTTATAAGGGTAATATCGTTATAAGGGTAGGTCGACTGTACACACTTACAGTCCATTCTGTCCAGAGCCAGTTTACGTGCGCGCGCGCGCGCGCGTGCACGTGTGTGTGTGTGGTGGGGTAGAAGAGAGAAGTCTCCAGGGAATCAAATAGCAGCATTGGTGCTTCTGTGTATGTGTTGATTGCTGCTGCTGTTTGATGTAGTCATGACAAGCAGAAGAACCAATGGAGGCACCCGGTGGACAAGGTCCGGCGCAACATATCCAGAGGTATGTGTGTCCTCTTGGGTTTGTTGCATGTACTGAAAAGCGCGGACATGCACACTTGTACACATGCCATCACAATCATGGCCAGTCAATGCAGCTCAAATAGAGTTTGCTCAATGCACCAGGGTGCAGAGCTGTGTACATACACATGTGTACACACCCGACGAATTGTCATAGTTCTCAGTCTCATGCCATGCTGTAAAACGTCTAGCAGCGCGCATGCATACTGGTCTGTGTAACGTCAGTGTGTGTGTGTATGCCGGTATGCCCATGAGCTAAGATACTTTGCTTCTATATCGGCTGATCTCTGCAGTGGTATTTTTTTGCTGCGTTCATTTTCAGACCTGCCAACTGGTTGGAAGAAAGATAGAGATAGTGATGGTATACGTATGTATCGCCAGTAAGTACTCTGTACTCTGCGCACTGCGCACTGCTTAGTTAGAGTGCATATCACTGCTCTGTGTTGTTTTTGCGCTGGGTGCAATATCAACAGCACTTGGCCGAAATGGATACTGGGGAGCAGAGGGACACACACACACACACACACACACACACACACACACACACACACACACACACACACACACACACACACACACACGCACACACACGCACACACACGCACACACACACACACACACACACACGCGCGCACACACACACACACACGCACACACACACGCACACACACACACAGGGTCAACCCTACTGCCCAACCATATCCCCTGACGTTCATTTATAGTACGATGCTTGGTATTGTCAATCACTGCTTACATGTACAGCCGGTGGGGCGCTGCATTTCGTCCTCCCTGCCAGATTTCACGGAACATGGTTGTTCATGCATTTTGAGTTGATACACTGACTGTCTTGTGCCGTTGTTCTGCACTTGTTCCAGTGAATCAGGGGAGACGATGTACATGGATCCGCGAATAGTGGTGCTGTTTGACGAGAACAGGATCTACCTACCAGCCAGTTCAGGCAAGGCCAAGCCGATACGATCAACTCGGCGAGGACGTTTGAGCAGGACCAGTGCAACAAAGGTGTCAGTTGGAAACCCAACAGAAAAGGTTCCCCCTGTGGATGGACGGCGCCCACCCGACGACCCGGATGATTTAACATCACCAATGGATGACATTTTTGATAGGTACTCAACGGGCATGCAGGTAGCAAAGCATCTCGCCAAGCCACGGGAAGGCCAGTGTGCCGTCATCACTGGAGCCAACTCTGGCATTGGTATGGCTATATTGCTATGTCTCTCTGGACTGTTGGTGTTGGGTTATTCCGGGTGTTAGCGACCGCGTCAGTTCCTGCGGGAAACGGAGACGAATTTGTGCTTTTACCTGAGAAAAACCTTCTTTCAGGGTAATCAGGTTATGTTTGCTGATAAAGTGTAATACAGTATACTGATTATGTAGAAACTAGAATGATGATCCCCAAGGCAATAGGCCCATTGTGCATTGCCAAATGTGGATGGTATGAGTAATGCATGTGAGTACTTTGGGATCAGGAATGCACTGCTTTTTAACACCCCTCACAACCGCCCAGCCCAGGTGGCGGTGTACTTGTGTGGTGTATTGTCGGTGCAAACTACTACGTCATTACGCAATGAGCTTTCATATGTGAATGTCTTTCAAAATTGGCTTGTCTTATGCACTGCTTATAGGATTCGAGACAGCGCGATGCTTGGCACTGAATGGTATTCACGTGGTCATGGCATGCCGTAGTGTGGTGTCCGCGTCGGACGCAGCATTTCGCATCCGTAAGATGAAGGTACAGTCTTTTAATTAAACTGAATGTAGCTTGTTTTAAAACAATCTTGCTGATTAGTTTTAATGCACTTGGCATTGTAGCGACTGCAACACTATTCCGAACATGATTTCATGAAAATGTTGTTTCTTTTGCCTATTTCCTACCATTGCTATTAAGGTTGACCTCGCCGTACAAAATAAAATAATTGTACTGAAAGATCAGTACTATTCATAGATTGAAGGGATTTGATTTCGGTGATACGTGCGCATGGATGCACAATGTATGGCATGCCGGTGCGTTGCACAGTTACACAGTTACACAGTTACACAGCGCCTGTTTAGCCTGTTTAGCTATTTCTACTTACCTGTATGCTGTTGCTGTTCCCGTGGGTGTTGGCAGGACGGCTGTCGCATTGACGTAATGGAGCTAGACCTATCTTCTCTACAAAGTGTACATCGATTTGCCACAGACTTCAAGCAGAGAGGCTGGTAAGAGCACGAGTGAGTTCAAGAATTTCCCCTATAGGGCGATCGATGTAGATGTGTTAATTCCTAAGCGGAACAATGTACACCAAAAGAGTCTGCTCAAATTCTCTTTCTGTCGTGGCATTTTGATTCCAAAATTGTAACGGTGAGACTACGATATGTGTGTGTGTGTGTGTGTGTGTGTGTGTGTGTGTGTGTGTGTGTGTGTGTGTGTGTGTGTGCGTGCGTGCGTGCGTCAATTCATTAGCCTTGCAAGCTGTTGAATGGTGTAATCCCAGCACACGTTGCTATGTCTAACATTATCATCGCTTCCGCGATGGGCATGTCTGAGTCTGTGTCGCGAATGCGATCGGATTTATTCGTAGTCACGAGCACAATGCATGTATATCCAAGAATTCACAGCTACGTAGGTCTACGTATACATGTATCCTTGTTCAGTGCATGATCTGTACGTTCAATCACTCGCATCCCTTTGTGACACCCTTTTTCTCATCTTGCACTCGTTTGTATATCTAAGGTTCAATTCTGGGCACCCTTTTTCTCACCTTGCACTTCGTTGCATTTCTAATGTTTCCGTTCCGGGCACCCTTTGATTCAGTTTGAACCCATGCACCTTGGCTTGCACACGCACCGACATCCAACACGGACTGTGTGTACGACTATCGGCATCTTTGATGGCCTTCACTATCCATTTTCATGCTCACAGTTGGACTCGTTGCACCGTGCGTATCTTTATGTGTCACCTTTTCAGCTACATGCACGTGGAGCTGTTTTAGTTCCACAACTTGGTGCTCTTCTTGCTTCTCTTTGATTCTTCGCTACTCCTTGGGAGCTAATTTCGATGCGTTTGTATATTTATCGCTTGTATATTTCTGCTGACGCTGTACGCAAGACACTTTCACGGCACACTACTGCTACAGGCATACACTCCGACTCACCTATATTATCGCTCTCCCCTTGTAAATATTCAGTTCAGTCTTGATTCACAAGAAAATTGGGCACTAAGGAAAATATGGTCTGCTTCGAGTGGTTTATGTAAAAGGTATGTCCCTGGTTCGCGACATTTTGGTGCCGAAACCCGGGAGAGTCGAGCGGCGACTCTCCTAGTACAGGAATTTGAACGACCGACGAACCATGGAAAACCAAGCGGCGGTGAGGGGCAAGCGCCAAAAGGCTGCTCGTCACCACAAGACAATCAAAGATATGGAAACGACAACGGGTAGTTTCCTCTCGGCAATCTCAACGGACATTGAATCGGATCCAGCAGCAGTCAGAGAGCTATGTCAACACAATTTCCAATTGGACTCGCATCTCGAGGCACTCGAAATATCGCTGGAAAAGTATACTGATTTAATTAACAGGTACGAAATAAAAGGGTCTGACGACCAGGAATTCAAGGAAAATCAAACGGAATGGATCGAACAAATGGATGAATTTATACGTGTAACTAACATTAATTTGGTGTCACTAAAATTCTTACAAATGGAATGTCAAAAAAAGGATCCGCAACCTGCAGCCACGGCAATGGCGGCAGGAACTACAGCAACTATAATGGATGACGACAAACTCGACAGACTGCTGTCGGAAATGGTATCAATGAATCAAAGCAATCAGAGCATCATGACAAATTTGACGAATTCTCAGAGTAATGCTAGCAATAAAACTGGTAACACGGTCAAATTGCCTAAACTGGAATTGTTCACTTTTGATGGTGATGTAATGAAATTTAAGGAATTTCAAGATATGTTTACTGCCACTGTTCACGCAAATAAATCTTTGTCTGATGTGGAGAAGCTATCTTACCTGAAAACACACGTGAAAGGAAAAGCGCTGGAATGTATCTCTGGTTTGGCCCTGTCAAATTCAAATTACAAGGTTGCATGGGATTTGCTCATGGATCGGTTTGGGAAAGACCATGTTGTAATCAATGCTCGGTACTTGGCATTAGTCGATTTGGAGAAACCGTCTAGCCGACCTGAATCATTGCGGAAATTCTTGAATGACGTCGAGGCAAACATCAGAAGTCTAGGTGCGCTACATGAGGACATGTCACAGGCACTATTCATTCCACTGATTACCTCCAAATTACCCAAATCGGTTATGTCTCAATTAGAATTAAAGAAAGGCACTACCACAAAATGGACAGTGCGAAGTCTACGTGAGGCAATGAACCACTACGTAGATGCAATGGAAGCAGCGGAAGCTGCAACTACCGGCGGAAACGAACGACAAAGGGACCGACCATCCAACCCAACGACACACGTAGCTCACTCAATGGCAGCAAACACGGTAAAAATGGAGCGTAAATGCATCTACTGCGGACAATCGCATTTCGCTGATGAGTGTACCAGGTACACAGATGCAGAAACCAGAAAAGATCAATTGAATGGACGGTGTTTCATTTGCCTGAAATCTGGTCACAGTGCAAGGGCATGTGAGCGCACTAAACCATGCTACTACTGTAAACGCACAACACACCATTGTAGTATCTGTCCGGAGAAATTTGGCGCAGGAAAAGTGTCATCCCAAATTCAATCCACAATGGGAGTGGCAATCGCAGATTGCAAAAACACGGTTTTGCAAACAGCAGTTACAATGGTGTCAAATGAAAGCGGAACCCAGGAATGCTATGCTCGGATTTTATTCGACACTGGGGCAACTAGATCCTTCATCACTGAATCCCTATGCCACAAACTGCACTGTAACAAGATTGGAGAGGACACAATCTCAGTGTCAAGCTTTGGTAACGAAAAACGGAAAATCGAAACCATGCCAAGAGTCAATCTACGAATTGAACAACCAGACAAATCTTGCACGGAGGTCTGCGCAAATGTCACATCAATCCTGTGTCACCCAATTCAACGATTCCCGCTTCCAAATGATATGAAGTTGCATGGCATGCCTCTTGCGGAACCACCTGTACAGGAACCAGAGAAGTGTGACGTGGACATACTGATTGGTGTAGATCACTATCACAGATTCATAATGGACGGCAGTATTGCACTGCAGAATGGCATGTGCATGGTAAAATCAACGTTCGGGTATTTACCATCAGGAAGTACGGAGTATCATGGAATTACGGATGATGCAGTACATGTACTCACTACGTTGCCAACGACAAGCCACGATCCAATGGAGGATACTCCTGTCACTGCTATTCTCGTGCAGGGGGAGGGTCCTGACGGATCACCAGCAGGCATGGACCCGGAACAATTCACGTCTTTCGGGAAACTAGTCAGAGTCACAGCGTACGTACAGAAATTTATTGATAAAATCCAAAAAAAATCGGTTGGCAATACCATCTCACGTGACGAATACCAACGAGCGGAATCGAAATGGATAGAATTTACACAACCACAACACTGTTTGTCATGTAAACAGCACGATGGTGGCCCGTTTCAACTTCCGAAACCCCCTCCGGCTTTTGCCCAAGGAAAGAATAATGGAGTTGCTACTGTATGAATTCACAGGCATAGATTACGTTGGACCTATTGAGTTTTAAATCAAACGAAGGCTCGATGAAATGCAAACCATGATAATTACGAATTCAGTCTGAATACAAATAACTGTTTCCACTCAATTTTTCTCTTTCAACACTTCATTTCACAGTTGTAATTGTTCACTCATGTGTATGCTATTTCATAACTATGGTAGTCACTTTCAGCGGGCGGGAGTGTCGCGAATGCGATCGGATTTATTCGTAGTCACGAGCACAATGCATGTATATCCAAGAATTCACAGCTACGTAGGTCTACGTATACATGTATCCTTGTTCAGTGCATGATCTGTACGTTCAATCACTCGCATCCCTTTGTGACACCCTTTTTCTCATCTTGCACTCGTTTGTATATCTAAGGTTCAATTCTGGGCACCCTTTTTCTCACCTTGCACTTCGTTGCATTTCTAATGTTTCCGTTCCGGGCACCCTTTGATTCAGTTTGAACCCATGCACCTTGGCTTGCACACGCACCGACATCCAACACGGACTGTGTGTACGACTATCGGCATCTTTGATGGCCTTCACTATCCATTTTCATGCTCACAGTTGGACTCGTTGCACCGTGCGTATCTTTATGTGTCACCTTTTCAGCTACATGCACGTGGAGCTGTTTTAGTTCCACAACTTGGTGCTCTTCTTGCTTCTCTTTGATTCTTCGCTACTCCTTGGGAGCTAATTTCGATGCGTTTGTATATTTATCGCTTGTATATTTCTGCTGACGCTGTACGCAAGACACTTTCACGGCACACTACTGCTACAGGCATACACTCCGACTCACCTATATTATCGCTCTCCCCTTGTAAATATTCAGTTCAGTCTTGATTCACAAGAAAATTGGGCACTAAGGAAAATATGGTCTGCTTCGAGTGGTTTATGTAAAAGGTATGTCCCTGGTTCGCGACAGTCTGAGTGTGTGTGTGTGTGTGTGTGTGTGTGTGTGTGTGTGTGTGTGTGTGTGTGTGTGTGTGTGTGTGTGTGTGTGTGTGTGTCTGAGTGTGTGTGTGTGTGTGTGTGTGTGTGTGTGTAAAAATGTCACTCCAAATAGCTGTGTGGTGTAGACCAGGCTGAATAGTGACGGTCAATTCTTCAGCCTTGCAAGCTGTTGAATGGTGTAATCCCAGCACAAGTTGCTATGGCTTCTGCCGTAGCATTGCTATCATCGCCTCCGGCGATGGGCGTCAAAGGTCAAAGGTCAGGTCAGGTGTGTACATGTGCTTGCGTATACTGATGTGCATTGCAACAGGCCCCTGTCCATTCTAATCTGCTGTGCGTCAGTAATGGGTCTGCCGTACGCGGAGAACAGCGACGGTGTGGAGATGCACTTTGCAATCAATCATCTCGGTCATTTCTACCTCACCAAGCTACTCACACCCACACTATGCCGGTCAGCTCCTTCTCGTGTCATCGTATTGTCATCAGAACTGCACAGGTATGCTTGTTGGAACGAAAGTCAGGTATGCGTGTACATGTATGGTATACCGGTATGCAAGCCTTGCCTGATAGGTAACATGTTGTTCACGGTGACAGCGTGAACAAGGCGAGGATGCACTGTATGGGAAACAGTAAGACCGGGACTCTACCAACCGGTTGATGGTTGTAGTCAGGAGCACTGTTTCCCATGCAGTGCGTCCTCGCCTTGTTCACCCTGTCACCGTGAAAACATGTACCATAAAGTACCGCCAAAGCGCCCCATCTCGCGAGAGCGCCCCACCTTGATTTTACAGCCAGGGAAAGGGAAATCGTATGGCAGAGTGCAACGAAGTTTGTACGATGTGAGAATCTTAGTGTACTAAGGGCACACTTGGCGCAGGTTTTTGTGTTGAGCTTGTGTCCATTCGAAGGTATGGATTGACTGCAAAATGTGGAATGTGTGTACAAGGTTCGTGTCGCATGACCTACAGACAGCAGACCACCTCCACAATACGACCACGAAAGGATGAGATGGTGGGGCGCTCTGGCGGTACGTTACGGTTGATGGACTTCTTGAAGTATGTAGTTATCATAATGCTACAGGTTGATAACCTGTGGGCCAAAGGAAAAGCTAAAACTGCATTGCTATAACACTGAGTTTCACACTCCAAGCAATCATCAGGCAGCACTTGTAATCAGTACTGTACTATTATAATCCGCTGCACACTGCCACACTGAGACTGCACACTGCCACACTGAGACTGCACACTGCCACACTGAGACTGCACACTGCCACACTGAGACTGCACACTGCCACACTGAGACTGCACACTGCCACACTGAGACTGCACACTGCCACACTGAGACTGCACACTGCCACACTGAGACTGCACACTGCCACACTGAGACTGCACACTGCCACACTGAGACTGCACACTGCCACATGTGGCAGGAAGCGACTGGAGACTCCTTACTATGAAGTACTACACATACAAAGAAGGATTGAACAGTCTTTCCAGCTGCATAGGCAACCATCAGGCAGGACTGACTGCACTTTCCGTTGCACATGTATTTGACATAAGCAGCGAGTGTGAAGGACTGGTGCGCTAGTGGAGGTTTCAATGGTGGTCTAGCGCCCTAGTGAAAAAGTCTCAGTGGTGCCCCAGCCATAGTGGATAAATCTCAATGGCGTTCCAGTGCTAGTGGACAAGTCTCAATGGTGTTCCAGCACTAGTGGACAAGTCTCAATGGTATTCGAGTGCGTTAGTGGGTAAGTCTCAGTGGTGCTCCAGCACTTGTAGTTGTACATCTCGTAGTCAGACCCACGCATGCACACGCCCAGTGTACAACAGAATGCAGGTGCCGTTCATCACTGTGTGACAGTACGGTGATGGCAACAAAACTGCGTTGCTGTGCTCTATTTCTGTGGAACGTTTGTACGACCTTCGTTACTGCAGGCTGTAACGTCAGGGTCTTACAAAACTGCACTGTGCGCAACCTCTCTGTAAAAACTGTTGCATACTGTGTTTGCTGGAGCTCGATCACAGAATGGGCAGAATGACTAGCACTTACCCGTTTCATCCATTATTGCTCAATATCATTATGTGATTTCACGTTTGTTTACAACAGAATAGCTTCGCTTGCTGGATGCAGCGGTACAGTTGACTTCGACCGCTACATGCCATTGCCCCAGAGTAACTACTGGCCGCTCACAGCATACATACAGAGCAAGCTGTGCAACTTGCTGTTTGTCAAGGAGTTGCGAAAGCGCATGGAGCGCAATGCTGCGAATGTGTCTGTTGTGGCTGTGCACCCGGGCATGACGTCATTCACTGCACTCACGCGCCATTCCTGGGCATTGAAAGCGGCATACACTCTACTCCGGCCGTTCTTCAAGACCGTTGTAAGTCGAGAGGGGCATATTCGTTTCCCTCTACTGCCTGTTTACCGTGTGCTCTCCTTCCTATCCTGGTCAGTCTCTTCTGTCCTCATCCTCCTCCTCTTCCTCTTCCTTTTGTTATGACTCAGTGTTCTGTTACTGCCCATTCCTGATCAAGTTCAATAGGTGATCTCTGTTGGCACAATGCTTTATTAACACCATAATAATTCGAACTTAGAACTTCATGACTATAATAATTATTTGAAGAACATAATTAATTTACTTGTGAACATCTCTGAATCCTCATGCATCCAGGAACAAGCTTCAGCCACTGTGGTCTACTGTGCCCTGAACAAGAACATAGCCGATAGTGATGCACTGTATTACACCGACTGCATGCAGGCTGAGCCCGCTGTGGAAGTGACCAAGTCCAATCTTGCGGATCGCCTATGGAAGCTTAGTGAAATGCTGTGCAACGCCTCGCTGGGTAAGGACTAGCCGAGTCCGTCTTGATGATATCCACTACTGGCTATACCCAGCGACGACGACGTATACATGATTTGCACGTGACCATCTACAGTAGAGCGCTGGGAGTGAGTAGCTCGTTGAGATAAGACCAATACGCATAAGCTACACGTACGGGATGAGTATAGTGACGATTTCCAAATTTTCATTTCTAGTTTCGTCCCTTCTTTTTTAATAAACTGAAACAGTAGAGGTGGTAACTTTTATTCAGCCCGTTGACTATATTCTACTTTTGATGAGACTGCCTGGAAGTGAACTACTGTAAGCCGTCCAATTGATGCTAAAGAAACTTATTCCAAGTACCCATGTCCTGAGCTAACACACAGTCGTACCCAACAATCCATTGCTTGTCCACATTGTATGCCGACTGATGATCAGATTTAGCAAAGCTCTACTTTATCCTGCAGTTTATTCAGATCTATGCGCAGTGACGCTGTGCACCGCTCACAACAGTAACACACCCAGGACAACACATGCACACTACCAACACCATCTGCAACCGAAAAGTTTGTATTGACTATTGACGCAAGCTGGGGACTGATGCCAAAGCATGTGTTCTAATTTCTATGACTGGTACTTGCTCTAGGTATAGCACCATTTGCATTCGAAATGTTCATATTGACACAAGCCTAAGACTGATGTGAAAGCAAGTTTAGTTTATATAGCTGACTGGTATAGATTCTTCAAGGTCTTGTTTAGTTACGATTTTATTCACTTGATATCATAATATCATTGATATGACTACATTCAGTCTTGTAGTTGTTAGTTTTAGCGTATGCTGTACCTCATCTGCTGAGCAGTATAGCTCATATTCCTTACCAGGTTTTGGACTTTTTGTGTAACTATGTCCAAGAAGAGCACGTTTGTCATTGCCATTATGATCTTTGTTCTCACGATGGCCAGTGGCCGATAAGAGGTAGAGAAGTGTGCGAGAAGGTAGCAATGGAAGGCTAGCGATGAGAGGTGCTCACCTAGGTGTGCATAATAATTGTACTACTCCCTGGCAGAAACTATGCAGAAGTGGAGATGTGTGCTGCTTGAATTGGGCGTGTGTTGGAATGCTTTTTGTCATTATGACTGTATAATCATAATAGACGGGGGGGGGGGGGTGCCAGGGAAACCCGACACTATTATCAAGAGTACATAACGGTTTACGTACTCTTGGTAATGTGTGTTCAACTGTTGGTAGCAAGGATACCAACCATGAAGAGAACCATACCCGAGGGTTGGAAGATTATTTGTTGAGAAAGCAGAACTGGGTAAAGTCATCATCGGTAACCAGTCGAATCATGATCAGGCGGGCCAGGAGCGGACTTGTACATATGGCATAAATCAATGGTCAATGCAACACTGTTTATACAAGAGCCCGAACTGACACAAGAGTACCGTGAAGTTTATGTATTCTTGATAGACAGCATAGCAGACTGTATGTACTTTACAGATGCGTACCACAGAAAGAGTACACGTAGCAGCTGGGACAAACGGAGGGCAGCAGGAGCGGCATGCAGCACTGGCTGCACTGATCAACCCTGACACTTACTACGGACAAGGACATAGCATAGGATATTAGTGAAACTTGAAGAAATAATTATTTAAAAAAATATATGGCACAAACCTCGCTACGGTATCAAATAATTATGTCAACTAAAATGTGGGCACCGAGATGTGAACAGATTCGGCAAATAACTCGGACATTCAATGTAAATCTTCAAGTGGACACACAATACACAGCGCAGTGTACAGTATTTCAGCTGGTCATAACAGGTTAGCAACAGAGCATCTAGACACTGGACTTCAGGAAGTTTCAGAAAGAAATACCTTCGCCCTTGGGCGGGGGGGGGGGGGGGGGGGGGGGGGGGAGGAACGAGCGCAATGAAAGGTAGAATTCGGCTTTGGCAGTCCTTCATATGAAGTAATTAAATATACAGTTATTAGTATAAAATAAGACTGGATGTACATTATGGGTACTTACAAGTATGGTTGAAAAGCATGGCAGTAGCGTGGAGTCGGCGTTACTTTGGTTTGATCTCTGGATCTCGATGCACTCGAGGTAACATATACACGCACGTCTCTTGATCTCCGTTAAAATTCAATGACTGGTGTTTTGCTGCTGAAACAGGAGGTGCTGAAGACGTCTCAGACGTTCACGGCGAGTCTCAGTGTCCTAGCAGCTGCTCTCCGGATGTGAAGAGACATGTTGAACTGAAATACTGTAGTGTAATAAAGGTGGTGCTGCGCTGTTGACCAGTGGTCTCAATACAATGCACACACACAGACGTATACCGTACTGGTACCCCATGGAATGGTTGGGGGGAAATGCTGGGCGTAGCTCCTCAAATCTGAGTCGTGGCACCATCGTCCTTGGCATAGCGAGTGCACTGGAAGTTGCGATCTCCATACACCTCATTGGACTGCGCAGTGCTTGGCCACACTTTGTTACCTGGTTGCAGCCACGTCTGCACAAAACAGAATACGGAATACAGAGCGTGTCACAGGCGTCAGATATGTAACAACTCATCATTATCCTACTCAAAGGATCAGTCCTTCGCAACATTAATCATTATCCTACTTCATTATCCTACTCCTGATTGTTTTACTGGTCACTTGGGAGCTGCGTTCAAATGTAGCAAAGCGTCCCCGTTTGAGCGAGCTAAGATATCTGAAATCTGGGATTCCTTCGAAAGGACGTCCAAGCACGAGGTGAAATGCCTACACTGTGCAGAGGCTTTTGTCGATAGTGGCAGCACCAGCTCGATGAGAGAGCATCTCAAGCGGCTGCATCCGCGTGTCCTCGGAAAGGACTCCGAGAAGAAGTCTGGCGAGGGAAATCAAAAGTTTTTTTTTCTCCCAAGACCTCTCAAGCCAGCTCGAAGCCGATATCGCAGGCATCTGCAGCGTCAATAACGGACAAGGTAACTGACTGGATCACTGCTGACCGTCGTCCTTTGAGTATCGTTCGGGAGGACGGTTTCGTGGCATTGATGGCTCACGTCGTGTCCAGCTACCGTACGCGCTTTGAATACACACATACATATACCATAGGCCACGAGAGAGAAGAAAAGTCTGTGATGTAGAGGTGGCAACAGCAGCAGAGCACTTACAACAGGGAATGCTGCCTTCTGTCTTGAGTATGGTCTACCCCAGTTGTCAGAATAGACAATATACTGTGGATGAGGTGCATTCTGCAATGTTCAACACATGGTACAAACACCAACAATGTCAACAATTATATACTTTCATACAAAGAAATTAAGCAAGAAAGAGCATTAAATGCAAGAAAAAAGCACGATAAGATGTCCACAACATTCCAATACCTTGAGCACATTGTTCTTCTGATCATAATCCCCACGCTCAACTTCAGCTATCTCTTCACGAATGGCTGTAATAAACACAGCAACAAACACAGGAAGAAAACAGAAAAGGCATTGCATGAAAATAGTCAAGACAAAAAAACAACCCGACAGTATTCTTCACCACAGGCAACAGATGACCAACACTAGCAGCAACAATGGCACGCACAATGCCACTAACATCAAAGGACAGATGTTCACTACAGCCACTCCTCTTATAAATCAGATTAGCGACTTCAGCAGAATTTCCATAGCACAAATGGTGCTGTATTAGAAAAGGACCACTGTATATGAAAGTTTGATCGTACGACGCCCACCAGTAGCAGCAAAACTGTTAAAGGGTGACTTACAGATGAGAGCATCACAGTAGCGATCCAGCTCGGCCTTGTTTTCGCTTTCGGTCGGCTCAATCATGAGCGTGTTCGCAACAGGGAACGACATGGTCGGTGCATGAAAACCTGCAACAAACAAAGCATTGCAAAAAAACACAAATTGTCTCGAGTGAGGCATGGAAATGAGCGACAGTAGTGAGGTTCTGCCACACGGTAAAACGTGCCAAAGTACGTATGGAAACTTCGCCGCGGTACGGGATTTAATTTGATACGGATTTTTTCATACCGTTTTCCGTGTGAGGCGCGCTTCACACGGACTGGACTCCGTGTGAAAAGTGAGCGTACAGAGTCCATGTGGCGGGGTGTTCGTGCATGCTTCGAGCATGCTACGTACAGCAGAACCGGTGCAACGTACGAAAAATCCGTGTCAAACTGCACTGCAGTTGACACGGAGTTTGGTACGTAGTTCCGTGTAGCAGAACCTCTCTAGTATCCCCTTCACCGATTCAAAATTTACCCCAACACAAGATATGGTTGTATTCCAAAGCACGCAAGATTGACCTGGTCTGTCCAAACATTCCTTTTCTTTGGCACCGTGCAGTACTAAAAGGAATCAAATTTAGGATAACATACAAGTACTTCATTAGCCACTGCACAAACCACTCCTTATCAAGTGTGAATGTCAAACATCACCACACCACCAGCACCACCTGGAAGGATCAGCAACACATGCAGGATAGGCAAACAAACAAAAAACATACACAGGGAACTGCAGCACATACCATAATCTTGCATTCTCTTGGCGATATCGGTGGCATCGATACCTGTCGTTTTCTTGAATGGCGTTGTGTCTAAAATGAATTCGTGTGCAACCATATCTAGAAGAGAGGAGCAAAGGAACACCAAGCAACACAAACTGAGCAGAGAACAGCCGGTCGGGGACTAAATCTGAATGAAACAGATCAAGACTTGTGCCAGGTAGCTGCCCAATTCACATACATGCAATTGGCGAAAGTATGTAAATTGATCGCCCGATACACACCTGATCTAAACTGCACATAGTTAGTACATCGGGGTATAACGGCCAGTAAAGAAGACCCAATATGTACTCATACCCTTCAACACACACACACACACCAAAACGTGACATGATAACTGCAAACATCAGGCAGCAGCATGTACAGCAGCAGCATGTACAGCAGCAGCAGATCAGCAACACCAGTAGACATACCTTTCTTGGACTTGTAGTAGATATCGTAATGCTTAGAGAGACGCGCCTTCATATAGTTGGCATTGAGCATGGCAACCTACATAGAAAATCACGAGTGCCAGAAAAAACACGATAAGATAACATGATGCTTAGCTGAACATCAAGTCCATGCCTGACATACAACAAACTAAAAATAGAGGAAATACGAAGAAGATGTTAGCACTGGGCCATGATTGCATAGGATTGTGCCAAAGCCAGAGAAAATGTAACTACAAACTAAAATACAGTAAAGCCCCCCCCCCCCCCACACACACACACATACGCGTTTCTTGTTACCTGTGATGCTTTTCGTAGACCAGAAAAGCCCATGAGTTTGATGTACGCCCACGAGATAGGCAGAATCAAAGTGGAGCCATACGGCGATGCTGAGATGGTTCCGATACTCTTCTCACCAGACTTTGAACTGTTCTCAACGATAGGGTGATTGGGAAGGTATGGAATTAGATGCGATTTACTGAAAAGAAACACGCAAAGGAGGCAAAGACAATTATCATCGAGCTGCTCGTAGAAAGTATTGTGAAAAAGTTAAGACTGGTGCTCTCATGAAAGCCATGTTTTCAGCCTTCATCAACATCCATCAAGCGGATAGCTCCTAATGCTTTCCTTCAAAAAACTATATCTGCTCAGCCACTGAGCTTCGCATCAACAGCAACACAGAATCTGAATACTGACTCTGCACAGCACAGCCGTCACACAACACACTGTCACTCATTTCCAGGTGACTCCTGGACACATTCCACTGTATGATAGAAGAAATAACTACCGCAGAGAATGAGCCGCAGTACTAAACGTTTCCGCGATGGGCAACAGATGAAACAGAGCACAAAAAGAGCCATCATGCTCACAGCACTTACACTCCAATGGGACCCATGCCAGGCCCGCCACCACCATGAGGAATACAGAATGTCTTGTGCAGATTGAGATGGGACACGTCACCGCCAAAATCTCCCGGCCGGCACAGACCAACTTGGGCATTCAGATTGGCACCATCCAGATAAACCTGGCCACCGGCATCATGAATCAAATCGCACACTTCCCTGCAGGTCGAGAAAAAGGAGATAAATTGGGAGGAAAGTCATTACTTAATACGCGAACAACACTGTTTCATCAACATGAATATAAGGACATTCAGAACAGCAGCACAGCAACAACGCAACACATCCACCACAGTAAACAGGATGCGGCTCAAGTCGGTTCCTATAACCTACCTGATATTCTCCTCATAGACTCCACTTGTAGATGGATATGTAATCATAATGCATGCGATCTTGTCTCTATTCGATTCCACCTGCATGTTAGAGCAGCAGACAGCAAATAAAGAACGTGTACACAGCAGGTTAAGAACCATATCTTACTCCCCAGAACCAATTCAAAACAAAATGGACAAAAAAAGGTTAAACGCCTCCCTTCTTTACCCTTTGGGCCTCTACCGAAATGACCAGTTCGATTTCATATCATAACACTGGTTCCACTTTACCAATTTGGATGATCGTGGGCTCCTTGGACAGCTCTTGGAGAGAGAATTACAACTAGTGTTAGCCCAAACTCATCAAGGAAATTCATTTCATCCACCCAAAGTACACCAGGAACGCTTGAACACAATCTTGAGAAGACAGAGATCCCAATGTTCTTCCGCTGTCCTTCCCCTACACTCACTGAATTCTTTTGGAGAAGATGAAGAAAGTCGCGGCACACCGCGCTAGATGTGATGGGACATATTTCTGAGGGCTTGAAGCAGGAAACTTCCCGTTTTAGCAATAAAGAAAAGGTAATTTACCCAGGGCAAGAGAGTTTTTTCTCTCAATCTCTTGCCGCATTGTCCAACTGGACCTGAGAAGGTTTGGAGTTGTTCGAGCCCACTCCTTACCGTCTCTGCTACCATCTAGGTTTCTTCGATTGACCAAGTTAAGATCCGTTTAATTAACACACTGCATGAAAGATTGAGTTTGATCCCAAGAAGGCCAAAGCATTAAAATTTCTTTTAGTACATAACTGTGATGGGAGTCAATAGTAATTGGGGTAAATTGGTTTTAAAGAAGAGATTCTATACCTTCTTTCTGAGGTCTGCAACATCTAAGTAGCCATTGCTGTCGGTAGTAATTGACTCCACTTTCATGCCAGCCATCTGTGCGCTGGCAGGGTTAGTGCCGTGAGCTGACTTGGGTACAAGACAAATGTTGCGTTGTGTCTGGCCAATGTCGTCCAGGTAAGAGCGAATGCAACACAACCCAGTGTACTCTCCTTGGGCACCACTGTTCGGTTGGAAGCTGAACGCGTCGTAACCCGTGATCTTGCAAAGATCCTCTTCGAGTTCAGCAAGGATGTGTCGGTAGCCTTCGACCTGATGGCAACAAAGTACATGCACACAGAAAACAATGAACAACAATGACAGCAGCAGCATGGGGAGGGCTGGCAGCCGTGCAGGTCTCTGGATTGGGTTCAGCCAAACCTGGATAACGGAATAAATCACATGTGATTGATATATATGTGTACATGTTACAAAGAGTACATTACTCCCAATAGTGTGCAACTACCTGCAATTTTCTTCCAGAGCTGCAACGGTAGTGTTTCACAACACATGGAATTATTCAATAGGTTAACCGTTTCATAAGCAAACAAGACGGAGAGTTCTCTTAGCCAGGTTAGTCGATAATAGGGTGTCACGATGCACTGATTAGCCATGTGATGTAAAGTTCTTTTATCGCAAACTGCACAGGGAACAGGTGCATAATCTGTATGTACTCTTGAGAAACAGGACCGCCATTACTTCACCTACCTGGCTATTGGGTACAAACGGGTGAATGTTGGCAAACTCTGGCCAGCTGATAGGCTCCATCTCTGTTGTTGCATTGAGCTTCATGGTACAGGAGCCAAGAGGAATCATTGTGTATGCCAATGAGATGTCCTTGTTCTCCAAGTGCTTCATGTAACGAACCTGCACACGCGCGCACATACGCATACACACACACATTCGCATGCCACGTGTGTATTGGAAGTTGGAACGGCAATGAAGAGGTACGGAGAGCCACATCAACACAACAAACCAAAAGTGCACACTTCAAGTAAGAGAATTCAGTACATGTATCTGCAAAAATAATATCTACAAGCAGGGAATAATTTACTTTCAATCTTTTGGATAGCAATTCAAAAATGTTGCGTAGCAATTTTCTTCAACACTTGACACCTGTCCTTCCGGAAAGCCGATCAGAGTACAAGCTCAGACCACAAGTACACTGTAACACCTTAGTTGCAAACCTAACCTGGTGCCAGGATGCATAGCCCAGCACTTTCAAAGTTTTGTGCATCCACTTTATTTGTAAGAGACACACCCGGCATGTACACTGTGCATCATAGGGTACAGTGAAAAATCAATATGCATCGCGGTTTTCTGCGACGCATTTCTGAAGTTGCTTCGCACCTCAGAGGAATTGTGTAGCAAACTGTGATGCGATACCGGTTAAATGATTCCCTGACAAGTGCATGCAGTGAACACAGGCAATTGGCAATCGTAGTCTTAACTTACAATTTCTGTCTCAGATTGATATTTATTGAAGACTTCGTGTGTCAAGTAAGTAGATTTCCGCTGTACATCCTCGGGTATTCTGAGAGATTCTGGTGCCAAACCGCACTCGGTAACCAGCTGCTCTGCAGTTTTCTGAACACCAAATATGTCCAGTAAATCTGCCAAGTCCTTGTCCGTCACCGTCTCATCTAATGCCACTCCAATCTTGAAAAAAAAGACAGAATACACACACAAAAATCACGCTACAGCAACATATAGTACTGTACACATTTTCATGTTTAATTTCGGGCATAACTCAAGCTCTTGAGCATCATAGGCTAGCTAACATGTCATTTGCAAGAAGATGCAATGCATGTGGAAAACATTCAAATTATACTTCAACTTGGCACCGTCCTTTACATGTACCGCAAAATACCGCGAGAGCAGCATAAACTGAAAACCAACCGGATGCATGCTCATACTGACACAAGCTAGCATGCCATACGGCCTTACCGAACAGTCATCATACTGGCGAAGGTTGATTTGATTCTGATTGGCAGCACGCATAACTTCAGTTGCAGATGGTGAGGAACAAGTCACCTTGATCGAGTCGAAGAACCGTTCAGAGTGCAATGAATGACCAGCATCCTTCACACCTGGGCACACACACACGTACACAGGCAGGCAAACAGACAGACATACAGGTCGAAAGAGCAGGCTTAGTGAAGCAGTTCAACCAGCTGACTCTGAGCAGGCACAATAGACCACAGCTGCTGCTTACCCTGGCCTAATACAATAGACAACAGTGAAATAGTGTGGATCTATGAAAAATTGAAAACCGCACAAAACTGACTGTCAAAAGAAGTCTTACCTTCTGCTAAAATTCGGGCAGCAAAATGAAGTCTTTCGGCAGATTTCCGCAACCCCTCAGGTCCATGGTAGACAGCATACATTGCAGACATATTGGCCAGGAGAGCCTGCAAGATAACACCGAAGACAATAAGATTCGACTTCAATACACTCGAGAGCAGATCACACAAGGAGTAGTTAGGGGAGACAAACCACAGGGACTGCACCCACGAGTACAGGTGTGTTAGCAAGCAGGTGGTTTAGGTGGCAATGTAGTAACTGTCTCCACCCTCAGATTTCATTTAGCATCACTGCACACTGCAGTCTAAGACCGGCAAGTATGCGCGCGTGCATACAAACACACACCACACACATGCACATACATGTGTGTGCACGCACATGCACATACATGTGTGTGCACGCACGACCAACAACACAGTCACTGAAGCGCATATTAAGTGGCATACCTGAGAAGTACAAATGTTACTTGTGGCACGATCTCGCCGAATATGTTGCTCTCTCGTTTGCAGTGCCAAGCGGTACACCACCTTGTCATTCGCATCCCTGCAAATTGACGAATACAAATGTACAGCAAGGAAAAGTACAGTGATGCGTGTGACTACACAGATATGGAAAACAGAGCCAGAGGATAACAGTAAGCATGTCCAACCTGTGCAGAGCTGTCACTCGCAACCATACACATTACGCAATGTAGCGGCATATTCAAGATTATGTTGTCGCCATGATAATTATAAGAGTAGGGCACATCCGTGAGCACGAAATGACCATCTTGCATGGATATTAGGACAAGATGGTCCTTTCCTGTAGCGTACATGTAGCGGTACCTGTACATTCAGATCACTTACTTTGATACTCCTACAACCCTGCCTGGGATTTCCCGGGCAAGGTTGGATCGAGTGGCAAAGAAGGCTGCATGGGGACCTCCATATCCTGTACATTACATAGAGACAAGAGATCTATTTCAATGGACAACAGATAAATACTGAAGTACATATTGGGGATGAAGAAAACTTAGTTTGTTGTGTCCCTAGAGACAGAAAACAAAAAAGAAAATGTTTCTTCAAATTGACATTGCAACTTTCAAACAATAGTTCACATAAAACGACATGGATAACTCACCGAGCGGCACTCCGAATCGCTGACTGTTACCAACTGCAATGTCTACACCAAAGTCACCCGGTGGAGTGAGGATGGTTAGCGCAAGCAGGTCCGTGACACATGTTGTTAATACCTAAACCAGACACGTACACGTATACACGAACAAAATATTGTAAATAAGGGTGTGCTAGCGGCAAGGCCCGCCTGTATTTAAAAACCTCGGCTCACTTCATATGCATGGAGGCTCTGCCAAAGTTTAATGCACGCTGTAAACATGCAGAAGAGGAACGATCAACACATACTTGCCTGACAATAATAAAAGTGTGTGTGTGTGTGTGTGCACTAGTTTGAAGTCTCAGCTAACCTTGTTATCTTTGGCCTCCTTGACCAAAGCAGCAAAGTCCTCTACATGACCATTTGTGTCCGGGTACTGGAACATTATTCCACACAAGTCACCAGCAGCCAAGTCAAACTCTTGCCATGGTCTTACATCGAGGTTCATCTTCAATGATCTGCAAGCAGACAAGAAATGATACAAGCAGAGGCACAACACAGACATAGTCACGGTATTTCCTATGCAGTAATGTGGCCAGACATAATCACGGCGTATCCTAAGCAGCGATGTGGCCCACCAAGTACTTTCAAGTGCAGAAGCAAGAAAAACAAACACAAGAACAACGCTAGATGAATACACCAGGTAGCATGCCTGTGTCCTGGTTCACATAAGCACCCTCGCAGCATACCTTGCACGGGTCCGCAGCACGGCCAAAGTCTGCGGATGCATGTTGGCATCGACCAGGAACCGGTCCTTGTGAGATTTCCTACAACAGTGAGTTAGAGTACAGCACAATAGCACACCACGGTAAGCCAAAGTAATAGCACAATAGCACACCTAAGTAAGAACACAGTCATTAGAATGCCAAGGTAGCAACAAATTTAGACATGTACTGCATGTAATGCGTACAGATAGCATGGGTCTAGTTCCAAACACACCAAGCTGGGCACGCTCGTGATTTTACATTGTCTCTCAACATGTTTCACGTGTTTGCCCCTACCTTGCACAAAGGCCCATTGCCTCGGCAGCTGCAGTTGCTTCATCCAAAAGGGAGGCATTAGCAATCTCCATTCCCGTCATGTCACAAACTAGAGTCTGGTAGTTGAGAAGCGACTCCAGGCGACCCTGGGCAACTTCAGGCTGGTATGGTGTGTATTGCGTGGTCCTGTAACACATACATACACACACAAACTTTTGAATTAAAAAAAATCCCGTTTAAACTCCCTCTAACTGATGAACATCCCATGAAGATAATCATTTATTCAATTTTTCCTCAGACTTTTGCCGTTCTCCACTCTTGAAACTTTGTGAATAGAATTATGTTCACCATGGTGAGGATATCACACTATTTTGCACAGCTTCATGGCCTGGTTGAGCTAAGTGAAGAGACCACATTCTCCAGTGATCAATGGGAGGTATGCATCTAAGATGGCCGTCACCTTTTTGCGGGGCAAGTTACCCCATACTTGGCAGGTACAACCCGTTATAGTACATTTAGGAGTATGACCTCACAAAGTTCATGACCTTTTATGCAAAGCCGGTATCACAGTGTATACGGGTACGGTTGTAGTGGACTTGCCCCGCGAAACCTAATGGCGGGAAATTGATGAATACGCCCCACTGACAATTATTTATAATTTGAATTTCATCACACGAAACCACAGAGCCTTTCTGTCTACTGTTTGACTTTTCTATGCTCTGCCTCCACAGCATTTTTAGCACTCTTTGCACACTAGGTGCATCCCTCGTAATTTGAAATTTCATGTAAAGGATATCAAATTCCTCAAGGCCCTATTCATAACTATGTAAATAATGCATTGCACTGCACAAGATAATTCTAGAATGCCAATGCCATGCAGCCGACCAAGTAAGAGCAGATCTGTACAGCCATGTTCTGCACATGTATTGTAGCACAAACAAACTAGTATGATCCAGCGTGGAATGAAGAAACAAAGCAGACATGCATGCGTCATCCCTGCCCACGTAACGGCGGTTGGACATGAATGGATTAGAAAGCCAAATCGTGACATCAAGTCACATCTCACCAAGACTACACACAGCGCCATCAACAGACAGTTATTCAACACGACAACAGCGTCTGACCACTTGACAACCCCCGCAACACACCCCCAACACACCGCCAGTTCCTGTCCAACGCCATGCAACCGCATTGGCAATGATTTTGGGCCCAGACTTCATGAGCGAGCACTAGCACTGCGCAATTATTTATTCCATGGACCGACAAGACAAAATAATTGGAGATCTCTTTTCAAACATTCGAATCTCATGTTGTTTGTGGAGAAAACAAGCAAGACAGTTACAATGACTTTACATACACTGGTACTCACATCACATGAACAAACTACAACTGCATAGTACAGTACCAAGCCAAGGGTTACGGACTCTTGATAGTAATAGTATGCACTGCAGCACTCACCATCCAGGATTTTCCAAGATGTTTCGTAGGATAGTTCTTGGCACATGGCAATTGTGGTAGCCCATACCAATATAAGAGCGATAGACTTTATTGCGGCTGCCAAATTGGCGAAGTCGCTCTAGAAGTTCCTGCTCACCTATATTTGCAAAGAAAATAATGAAAGCACGCAACAACGCTTGAGCATAGGACAAGTTGAAAATTGGGTGCTAGCTACAGACCCAGAGCCACCAGCAATATCCAAAATTTACTCGGCAAGAGAACTTACTGTCAGCTGCTTGAATTTTGAAAGGCTTTTCCAGCCTAATATCAGCTGGCACCGTTTTGTCCGTCAGATCATCCAAACCCTTGAGATACATGAAGGGAAGGTTAGGGCCAGTTAGGCACCCTACGGCATCGGACGTACAAGACACGCATACTTACTGACAAACCACACTCCTGTAGCATAATCTCCTGCTCATTCTTGGATGGACCAATATGCCTATTCTCAAAGGGCTCATAACGAGGCAGAACACTGGCGGATCGAATTTGAAGGAATCCTCGAGAAGGCAACATTACGCGGGCTGCAGGCCCAGCAAGCCTCAAAACACCGTGTAGACGGCTCATATTGACAACAACAAAAGGACTAAAGCAGCATAGCTTACAAGACAGAACGAGCGATTTGTAACCGACCCACCGGCACAGCCTTCGAATACACTCTACTTCATGCCTTTGAAAAAAATAGCTTTTGTAGTTTTGGATTTTCAATTTCCCCAAATCTACAAAGCGCAAACAGGGCTTGACCGCTGTCAGTCCAGAAAACTATACACTTGAAACGAATCGAAGAGTGCAGGCACGTCGATACCACTGCACGAAATGCTGCATCATCCTCAGGATGCATCGCGCGCGATCGATACTGGCCTCACCTCGACTCGCGCAAAGCAAAACGACGCTAGGGAGAACCGGGGATACGACGGACTGCGTATATGCAGCTGTTTGAGCACTGCACTGTTTGACAGAGTTCACTGTGTTGTTGACATTTTTATGTGTGCTATGTGGTCAGCTCAGACAGGTCTAACTGGTTGACAGGCATGTTCAACAGGTAGTGCAAGATTTTATTTTCCTCTCAAGACCACGGTAGACTAGCCTAGACTGTACTAGTAGTAGTAGGACTAGGAGTAGTAGTAGTTTCCAAAGTCCATCGTCTATTATAATCAGATCATCAGGAAGATAAGAGTACTCTTTAGTCTTTCAACTCGGACTTGAGCCCGTTGAGGCTAGAGAGAAAAGAGGAGTCCAGATGGAAAACTTTGATTGATGCCCCCTAAATCCTGTAACACAAAGCAATTCCAGTATACATGTAGAAGGTAGCAATACAGTGCACACGGTTTCCATAATTTTCAGGTTAGGAATCATCTTTACTTTACTCAGTAGTAATTAAAAATTTCAGATCCATTATAACGGATGATTATTCACAGAACGAACAATTGCAGAACGTAATGCCGTGGCCGCCACGCAACGAGTTATGAAGCAACTATCCACGGCTAGTAGATTTACGCATTGAATTTTCAGCTTCCGTTGTAACTAACTTGTTCTCCAAAGCATAACTGCTCTTTACTTCTTTGGACTGCATTGCACCATCATGTATTTCGGAGGGCGGTGCAAAAAAGCATAGGGGCAACGGCATCGTGGTATGAAGTAGTAAATCAACAGAACTACGGCAGAGTCATCATTCACTGCACTGTGTTAACCAAGTCAGAGGCGCTCGGCGGTACATTTATAAGAAATATACGATGAAGCAGTGTTGTCGCCGTACGGTGTAATTACCCTCACGGGCTCAGTCTCTACACACCATAGAGAAGACCAAAGCCCTTTGATTGGGGTACATGTACATTCCATTTCTGCTGGCTCAAAGCAGGAGCAAAGAATTAAAAGCCAAAAAGGAAAATAAAAAGTCGTTGGGGAGACACAAATTGTGTTATAGAGATAAGCAATAATTATATGATCTGTGGATTCATGGCACACTCCGTCACAACTGCAATGGGTTCCAGTTTCATTTCCATAATGAATGTTACTTGAAAACGTCTGTTATGGAAATGAAACTTGAACCTACAGTTGTGATGTAGTGTGCCATGAATCCACTGATCAAATTGCATATCTCTACAATAAGAGCAATAAAGAGTACAATTGATGCAGACATGGCCATGAATTGTACTCTTTATTGCTCTTACTCAAGTATTAATTTGCTTTCTCCACACCGACTTTTCATATCCATAATTATAACAAAAAAGTAAAGTTCACACATCCTCTTTACCACTGGCTATACAACTGTGCTTTTAGAAACACAGCTAGCTTAGACAAATTTCGCTCATGCCAGGCCACCACCATACCTGATTATACCCAGGTGGCAGATGCAATGCCCAACGGCGAGGGCGTGATGGTAAGCTCATGATCAACACACATTTTTTCACGGTTCGTGTGAGACTCGGCTAGAGACCGAGCTTTCCGCATTCGTAGGAACGCCAGCACCCTCCAGGGCCAAGGCGCAGTTGCAGCACATAGCCAAACCGTATTCACAAAACGTTCCAAGAGGCTATGCCACTAGTCAGTGAGAAAAGTGAACTTTCTGGCTTCTCGACATCCCAGACTGGTGCTGCCAATCCATGTCTAAGTGTGGCAAAATCAGATCACCACAAATCAAATATTCTTACTGCGTCCTTGTGTCGAACTGGGCCATTTCGCTAATAAAACATACCCTGATGCGACAAGTGAAATCAAAATTATCACTTCTATAATATTGTAGCATAGCAGGTCAGGGGCCTAGACAAAGTGAAAACAGCGTGGGCTAGGCATAAATTAATGCCATGAACAAAGAAATTTGTCAAGTAGGTTCCTCTCCTAAACCCATCCCTGTATTATAGACAAAATAAATAAAAGTGTCTAAATCAACGCGAACTGATGAACAATAGCATATACATGTACACCAGTTTGCCTTACAGTTTCAAGTGCAGGAATGTTTATTATTGGGTGGAACATCTATTAGAAGGGAATAAGTAGCCCCATAAGGGAGGGGATCAATGTTAAAGGGGAAGTTAAGGCAACAATCAAAATTTCACCAGTTGTAGTCTTCGGGGTGCTGAGTCGAATGGTCTTGGTCCGAGAAAGCTGAGACGCTCCCTTCCTACTTGAATCCCAATCGAACTCGCGCACTTCCACCGAAACTGGGTGACTGCGCCCTACTAGATGGGGATTTGTATGCAAAATGTCACTAAAAGCGCCATTTCGTTCTTATAAAAGCACGGATGACCGCGATTGGCCCATATGTTGTAGTCTTTTGGACGCTGAGTCGACTGGTTTTGGTCCGAAAAGGCTGCGATGCAGCGTTCCTCCTTTATTCCCAATCGAACATGGTCGAACAAGTGGTCACGTGCTCCTGCGTACACCAGTCACCTGGCCACCGTGCCTGCAGGGTACAACTTACTAGCCTGTTTGACCTTTTTTGGGTGCAGTCCTGTCACTCGAGTTGAACTCGAGTTGAACCTTGGTGTGAAAGTTGTCGCCTGCTGGCGTGGTGACCAGGTGATTTGGGCACCCAGGAGCACGTGACCGCTTCTTCAACCGTGTTCGATTGGGAATAAAGGAGGAACGCTGCATCGCAGCCTTTTCGGACCAAAACCAGTCGACTCAGCGTCCAAAAGAGTACAACATATGGGCCAATCGCGGTCATCCGTGCTTTTATAAGAACGAAATGGCGCTTTTAGCGACATTTTGCATACAAAATTCCCCATCTAGTAGGGCGCAGTCACCCAGTTCCGGTGGAAGTGCGCGAGTTCGATTGGGATTCAAGTACTGTAAAAGCAGAAATTTTCGGTGGTGTTTTATTTTCGGTAACTTCGGTGCCGACAATTTTTACCGAAAATAAAACGCACCGAAAATTTCGGTACAACCGATACTGTATACATGTAGTACTAGTACACTTACCTGGAAAACGGGTTTTACCGAAAATTTCCCTCTACCGAACCGCCGATTTTGGAGAATACCGAAAATATTACACCACCGAAAATTTCTGCTTTTACAGTAGGAAGGGAGCGTCTCAGCTTTCTCGGACCAAGACCATTCGACTCAGCACCCCGAAGACTACAACTGGTGAAATTTTTAACTTCCCCTTTAAGGACACCCTACAACCGTGAAATTCAAAGATTGACAGGAGATCTTAAAAGTTAAAGACACACAAATGTCCTCCTGTTTCACAGCTTTGTGCAATAGCTAACCGCCCAGTACTGATCAATCTTACCAAGTAATAGTTGTTTGGGTTTGGATGAGAACCACCTGGGTGGCGCATGTTGCTATGGCAAAACTGGCCATAGGCCCTTGAAGCTGGGCTATATCTGGCTATGAAAGGTCGACACCCTTCCATGGGGCGAGTCTTGCTTTCACTTGCTCGGCAATTTCAGAATATTGCTTTGACTTAGCCTGCTGGAGTACCTCGACATTTTGTCTCACTTGGTCAGGACTTGCCATTCCAATCAGAAGTGACGCCCCTGGCGTGGTCTGCATCGCATGCTTCAACGCAACGGCTTGCAGTGAAAGGCCCTGCGCACTCAGCTCACTTGCAATAGTCTGGCATTCCTTCCTCAGATCCTGCGGTGATTTGTGCCAATCAGGTGGTGGCTCGTCCCGCAACAGCCCGAGAGCCAGCGGGGAGGCATCGATCAGACCTACACCTTTCTGTTCGAGCTCAGCATGCAATGTTTGTAGCGAGTCATCCAACAGGTTGTTGTGTGCGTATGTTAGTACAACATCCACTAAATCAGCATTGGGCCCCGCAAGCACTTTCCGTACTGTTTCCAGCGGGTAACAACTGAAGCCAATGGCTTTCACTAGACCACGCTTCTGCAGCCTCTGCAGGGCCGGAAGAGATTCCTCGTTTATTGGACGTGTATCTGGGAGGAACTCCACATCATGTAAAAAGAGTATGTCAATGTATGACAGACCTAGAAGTTTCAAGCTGTTCTCCACGCTTTTCTCTACCCAGCTAGGCGAGAAGTCAAACTTGTCCTGTCCGATACGACCCAGTTTCGTGGACACGATGAAGCTATCTCTAGCATGACCTTGCAGGGCCTTGCCAAGAGTTTCCTCTGATGCTCCATAGTACGGTGACGTGTCAAAGTAGTTGACTCCACATTTCAGAGCAGCGTCCACGGTCTCCTTGGGGTCTCCAGTCAGCTTGTAGAACTTCTGTCCAAGTGGGGCGGCCCCAAATCCCAGTGCTGGAAGGTGGATACCTGTCCTTCCGAGGAGGCGCTGAGCGACAGCCATCGTAAGCACACACTGGCTCTACCTAGTAAAGTTGCCCTTAGACACTTCTCAAGCTGAAAAGTGAAATACAGCGATTGCAAGATTTGTCCATTCCTTCGGAATAGAGATCAACGCAAAAGGTACTTCATAAAAATCAACACGTGGTGGAATCGAAAACGACCACCACCTTCACCATGTTCACATGGTCCTTCCCCCGGCCCCCCAAAACAAAGACTCAAACTCAAACTCAAAGTCCAGAAGTCTGCAGTCGATCTGCGATCATACGAAGCGTCATCACTCACCCTGCATTGCCATGACCACTGGATATGTCACGTGACTGAAGTCAGCTGACTGTTTGATCATGACATCACCGAAGCAGTTGCTTGACCAAAAAAAATTAATTGATGTACGATATTTGCATTTTATTTTTAATGTTTGTTATGTTGATTTCTGATAAGGATGCAGAAATCAGATGTTTCAGGAGCTCGCTGGTGCTGCATGGCGATTTTCTTCTTCTTGGGGAGTGCTTTGCGCGATGATCTGGAACAAAGTTTTCAATCGGACTAGCATCAGCTGGAAGCTCTTCACATCTGTATGTCCTTTGTGTGTGAGTTGACTGTGTGTGTGTGTGTGTGTGTGCGTGTGCGTGCGCGCGCGTGTTGATGAGCGTATGCATGTGTTAACCTCCCATGAAGAGCAATAAGGCGAATCTGAATGCAATGCGCATGTAGATCACTCATTATTCTGAGGAGGCTTGCAAAGAAGCTGTGTGCATGCACTTTTTCGTTTATAGTGCAAACGTATTGTACATGTTGATTGTATAATTAATTTTCACCCCCCCCCCCCCCCCCCACACACACACACAGACACACACGCGCGCACAGACACACACACACACACATGTACTCGGACGCATAACACCAGGGAGTACTACTCCCTGCATCACACGCGCGCACAGACACACACATGAACTTGCATACATGATTTGAAATTTTCAAAACATGCCTTTCATTTGCACTGAACACCGCCTCAGTTATGGTTTTAGTAAGCAGTGCAGAGACATTGCTCAAATTACAAACAGCTTCGTTATGCCATAACAAGTAACACGTTAGTTCCACTTCATCCGTGCGATGTGGATGGTCGAAACCAAATTTCGGAGTATGAAACAGAGTAGCCAAAACAAAACTGACACCAGTGACACGGACATTATTTCAGATGATTCGAGATCAACTAGGCATGAGTTGTGCGTTTGAGTCCACCAAATCGCAGATATGATCTGAAGTTTCAGCAGTTCTGTACCTTTCCAGTGAACATCGCCAGGCAGTCACAGCTAGTAAAACCTTTGTCAGTCAAGAAACACACCAGAACCAGTAAGTCCTGGTACCACCAGACTTCATCTCCATTATCTGAGTTTCACCAATACTATCATTGGCGATTAAAGTAAAGTGAGTGCACTCATACCACGAGAACAATGGAACAATATTTTAAGATTTGAACGTCATTTTCATGTGATGATCATCAGAAATCGTCATCACACTGAGAGTTGGACTACAAAGGTAAGGTATTTATACAGTAAAACCTGTAATGGAGACCACTCGGATATGGCGACCACTCGACCATGGCGACCACATTTCCTTGTCACGGACGCATTCACATTCAAAACAGCTCGGATAAGGCGACCACTCGCTCAACGCGACCGACGACCACCCACCTGCGACCGCGTTGCACAGTGCTAGTACGTGTAAATGTATGCATGGTAGGTCTACACATCAGTGCAGGAAGTGTAGATGTGCATGGTCCATGCACGACACTTGACAGGTCTGAGGACCCCAGGCACATGAGTCGTGCTAGAGTAGCATAGGTGTGCGCACTGTGATACACTGATGAAAACGATGTATCACATGTGGATATGGTCACGTGACCCACGGAACCTGGATAAGAAGACCACCTGGCCACGGCGACCACTTTTTCTCGTCCCTTGAGGGGTCGCCTTAGACAGGTTTCATTGTAGTACCATAAAGTGAGCATTATTAGATCTAAAACGAATACAAGAAACACTAATATTCTAAAGCTAGCACTGTTGAAGGCGTGATTACATGAGCAGCGAGCAGCGTGAAAGCAAGTGTAGATTGGAGAAGTGCAGGTGAGAAAGGGTACATGTATGTGAGTGGGTATGTGGGTGTTGGTATGTGTCAATAGTGAAGAGTGTGAGTGCTGTAACGAATTCTTTGTGTTTGCATAAATCTGCGCTCACTTTACTTTTGAAAACCATTAGAAAGGTGCTACTAAAGAGAGATGAAGTGAGAATAAACACCTACCGTATTTTCCGGAGTACAGTACGCACTTTAGATGTGCTATTTTAGGCCCTAAATCGCAGGTGCGCACTATGCTCCGAATATGAAATGCATGTACTTCAATGAAGATTGGAGTGCGCACCCCCAATGAAGATTGGGGGTGCGCGTTATACAAAGGTGCGCACTATACTCCGGAAAATACGGTATGAAAATGATGTTCAGATCCTAGCACTAAGGTGATAACCCTTTTTCCTGTTAGCACCTTAGTGCTAGGATATTATCATTTTCATAGGTGTTTATTCTCACTTCATCTCCCTTTACTTTTATCGATACAGTCGACCTACCCTTATAACGATATTTGCGTCACACCAAGAAATATTGTTATAAGGGTAATATTGTTATAGGGGTAACTGGTTCATTTCATACACATACGTCATAATTCATGGGTTTTGTTCTTTTTTACACTCTTCATAGCATAACAAACTGACATACATGCACATTATGTGCACAGCAAGGTGCCAACTGGTGCCCCATTGCATTTCGCCATGTCCCAACGACTTATCAAGTGAAGCTTGCCCTACCTGGATAGTAGGCTCTACATATTCCCTGCTAGATATTGTTATAAAATGGAAAATGTCGATTGGTCAGCCCATTTTATATCGTTATAGGGGTAATATCGTTATAGCAATATTGTTATAGAGGTAAGGCATTGTATGCACAAGTCAATGGAGTGATTTGGTTTGGCAGAAAAATATCGTTATAAGGGTAATATCGTTATAGAGGTTATCGTTATAAGGGTAGGTCGACTGTATTAGGTTTCTTGTCTCCACGCGGACTTTTTCACCGATATTGGTAATAAATTAGGGCTGCAACGAATATTCTATTTCACAAACGAACGAATACTCACCCATAACGAACGAATAACGAATATTCTCTCAAAATGCTGAGTTATTTCTTGGGGTGAAACAAATATTTAAATAGGAACGAAATCGATTTTTTTCTAAACGAATCAAATATTTTATCCCAAAGGAATCTTAGACTTAGGGTGCGTTCTTAAATCCTCTCGGAAAAGTTGGAGACTCTCCGAAAAGTTCGAGAGCTGTTCTTATATCCTCTCCGACTTTTAGGAGGCTCTCCAAAGCTCTCCAAGCTTCAGAGGTGGTTGATACTTGGAGATTCCCGCGGTTTGGGATCAGCGCATGCGAACTACGACTAAAAGCCACGTGTTCATCATGAGTGTACGCATTTCCCTTTTCGCATACGCACATACATTCATCACTCAAGATCGCGGCCCCTTTGACGCTTCATTTTGCTTGACATGTGCAAAATATCTCCGAATTCTTCGAGACCCGTTCTTGAGTAATCCCAGTTTCTTCGACTTCTCTTTTCTTCTTCTTCTAGAAGCTAGAGAATATAAGAACGCACCCTTAGTAAGAGTTTGGCTAGTCCCCGGTCGTTCCAGACCAAGTAGATGTCTAGTGGAGTCGTCCACTTTTCCTGTCAGTCATAGTCCCCTTTCTCAACACATAACACATGTACATATCACTCCATCCGTTCTAGACTTACTAAGATAGATCGACACAAGAGCAAAGTGTGCGCATGTGTCAAAACGAACGAATATTCTAAAGGGGAAAATATTCCTTCCATCGGGTTCCGAACGAATATCAATCGAATATCCTATAATAAATAGACTTTTAGTTCTACTATAGTAAGATTCGAAAATGATGCACTGTTCTAGAACTCAGGATCCTAGCAGCTGTGCATCACAGCTGATGTTGATGTAGCATTAATGGCGATATTGCAGCCCAGGCTCAGGCAGCCTGCATCATGATCAGGTCAATCAACCACTTTCAGTCCCGTTCAGTAAACAAGACTAGCAGTGGGACATCTGTCCTTCAAGCTGCAACTTCAGTTCTGCTTTGGCCTGATCTAACAACTCTGGTTTGAGCAGCAACTCCAAGCCAGTCGTAGCCATGGCCTTGGCAACGGCCAGTGTGCGCTGGTGTGCCGTACTGGTGTTGGATGCTTCCTGGAATGGCCGGGTGTGCTGCTTTGCACTGGTATCAATATCGTACATAGGCTGCAGTGATGGAATCTTATAGGACACGTTCCCCACGTCTGTGGAGCCCCCGAACGCAGTTGACTTGCCATCCACAAACCCTGCTGCGGAAAAATGCTCCTCAAAGATGTTAGCAATAGTTGGATTAGAAATGAGGTTTGCATAGTATGCTGGTTCCTCAGAGCTCCAGTCCACTTGCACTGAACATCCTGTTGCCAGGGCGGCGGCTTGGAATATAGCGTGAACTTTCGCCTTGAGCACCTTCAACTCAATGATCGTCGGTGCGCGGGCAAATGCTTCCAGTACAGCGTGTTCAGGCACAATGGCTGGATCAGCACCACCTTCTGCAAGGATTGCATGCACACGCCATGTTGGCACCATTTGCTGCCGTAGCGTGGACAGGCCAGTGTATGCGCTTACAGCCGCGTCCAGTGCATTGATGCCATCCCACGGCGAACGGCAACCATGAGCCGCCTCGCCAGTGTAGGTGACCGTCACAAAGTTCTGTGCCAGCTTGCGCGGCCGCACGGTGTGGTGGTTGCTGGGGTGCACCATGATTGCTGCGTCCACATTGTCAAAGGCGTGTGCTGCCAGCAGCTTCACCTTGCCGCCACCACCCTCCTCAGCTGGTGTGCCAATGATAACTACATTGCCTTTAAGCTTGCCGTAGCCTGCCTTACTAGCCAGAACTGCTTGAAGGCCAAGACCAGCTGCAATGCCTATCAGAGCAGAACAACAACAACAACAAAACACAAGCACACACATAATCATTATATTTGGCAGATATGTGTGGTACATTTATTTTTGTGGTTCGTGGTGCCACAACCCAAGTTTTTTATTTTTTATTTCGCAGAAACACCGGAATTAAACAAAAGAATTTAATCCATCCGACCACGAGATTGACCCACCAGGACTAAGAAAAAAGTCTATGGGTGTGGAGTGTGCTGAAAACACGTCGGAAGTCCCGTTTCCATACCCATGGAGGATTTTTTGTGTTGGGTAGATCTACCACTTAGGAACACAGATTTGCATCTGGCTGGATGTGCCCATGGAGGATCCAATTGATTCTGTGGGCCTCCTCAGTCTAAGAGTACGGTTAAACTAATTATTAAATAAGTAAGTAAGAGCTACTGTAAAAGCAGAAATTTTCGGTGGTGTAATATTTTCGGTTTCTCCAAAATCGGTGATTCGGTGGAGGGAAATTTTCAGTAAAACCTGTTTTCCAGGTAAGTGTACTAGTACTACATGTATACAGTATCGGTTGTACCGAACATTTGGGTGTGTTTTATTTTCGGTAAAACTTGTCGGCAATGAAGTTACCAAAAATAAAACACCACCGAAAATTTCTGCTTTTACAGTACGTGTGCCGGTATCGTAGAGTCACCCAACTATGTTTAGAGCCATGCCCGTGTCACTGCCACAATGGTCTAGTGTAGCATGCTGTCCACGTTACATAGCCACACGGCAAGCAGCTAGATGGTTGCGCATTGATTTTTTTACCAAGTCATGTACTGTAAAAGCGCACCGAAAATTTCGGTATGACCAATACTGTATGCATGTAGTACTATTACACTTACTTCAGTACCTGGAGAACGGGGTTTCCCGAAAATTTCCCTCTACCGAACCGCCGAGTTTGGAGAATACCAAAAATATTACACCACCGAAAATTTCTGCTTTTACAGTACTGTAAGACATAATTATGATAACGGGTCGCAAATATAACGATTGTCCAAAATTCATAGGTTAACGAGACGATAATTATGTTAACGATCTTGCATTATTCCCGTATATCCACACACAACATACAAGTATATGAAGCATTACAGCCTCAACGAATCTTATTATAACGAAGAAATGTCATCCGTTAAAACGTTAGATTTACTTCCTCGTCATATAATTATACATGTCTTACAGTAGTCCTGTATTGAATTTTTCAAGTACAAACAGGATACACACCCAATCATATGGAAGCAAGTGTGAGAGGTTGGATTGAATAGGGAAAGGAAGAAGCAATACAAATGTCAGGAGCAGATTTCAATCTGCCGTATTGCGCGTGTGTAGTACAGTACTGTAAAAGCAGAACTTTTCGGTGGTGTGATATTTTTGGTATTCAAAAGAGATGGGAAGCTTTGTCACAACTCTGAGTTTCACGTATTACTACGACCATCAGGCAACTGATGGTTCCAAAACGGGCAGCCTGAACGTAAGGGTGAGCAAGGTGGGAAATTCTGATGGGTATCATAGCGCAAGAGTCAAGTGCAGGCGTGAAGTTGCCAAGTCTTCAGACTTTTCGGTATTCTTCAAAAATCGGCGGTTCGGTTGAGGAAAATTTTCAGTAAACCCGTTTTCCAGGTGAGTGTACTCGTACAGTACTGACATTTTCGGTGCGTTTAATTTTCGGTAAAAATTTCGGCACCGAAGTTACCGAAAATAAAACACCACGTAAAAATTTCTGCTTTTACAGTACATGTATATTGTCGGTAAGTCAGTCCTCCGGACAAAATTGCGAATCTTACTGCACGACTCACACACACGCGCGTGCGCGCACACACACACACAGGGTCCCGCCACCACTTTCGCATTCATTCGGGAGCGCAGTGGACTTAGTAAAAAAAACGAGAAAAAAACACAAAAAAACACATACACACACTCGTACATACATACATTGTATACATACATACACCTTGTACCACATATGCCTGTCGCAAGAGAAGCACGCGAATCTGCAAAAGCACTGGATGTACACCCACAGATTTTCTCTTATAGCAACGCCAGCGGACAAGATCTGAACGAAACAGATCAAGACTATAACGCCAAGATAACTGCCTAATCCACACAACTGGCGAAGCCATGAGAATCGACCCGAATGCACACCTGGTCTACACCACACGGAGTACATCGGAAAAGGACAGCCCAGACAGTTACCTATGCACACCCTACACTTGCTGGGGTAACCAGTGTAGACAGCGTACTGACACACACACACACACACACACACACACACACACACACACACACACACACACACACACACACACACCTTGACCTTGATACACGTTGCCTTGATAGGTTACACGGTCCCCGTCAGGGGAGAGGGGTGGAAGAGGCTGAGGAGCAGCACTTTTGATGGCGCACTAGATGGTGACGTAGTCGGAACTTCTTTTGACAAGGGCACTCAAACGGGAAGTCGGCCCTTTCCGACACTGTCCTACGTTTCGTGCGGTCGCACTTGTGTCTGGCCAAGCCGCTGCTGGACTTGAAACTCCGGTGGCAGGTGCTGCACTGCGGAGTGACCGGGTTGCCGGGGTGCTCAATGTTGGGAGCAGGTCCGTGATCGCACCGATGGGTAGCCAATCCACCGGGGCTGCGGAACCAACTTTGGCAGAGACGACATTGGCAAGCGCCAGCCTGATTGCACACTGGTTTCTGCCGTTCTGCCAAGCATTTGTGACGCTTCTCATCTGATGGGCGAGAGAAGTACCGATCACATACTTGGCAATGGACATTGGGTGTGGGCGGTTCGGGCTCGAAACAGCGGTACATGCGGCGCCAGTCGGGGCGAGAATCTGCCAGATCGTACCATCCCTCCACAGCATTCAGGGCCTTCAGGTCTGCACTAATGCAGTCCTTCCGGCGTTTGTGTGGACCGCCAGGTGGACGGCGGGATGGGAGCAGACCGAACACACACACACACACACACACACGCACACACACACACACACACACACACACACACACACACACTACTATAGCACGACTGCCCCATAGGGCCATGTCACTCCCTTGTGACAGGGAGCCAGAGTCAGGGTAAGACACACACACACACACACCTGTCCTGTCCTGTTGAGCCACTGCCATGAAGGTTACGTGGGCCCCGGAGGGGCAGCTGAGAGAGAGGAGCACACAGCCCTGTGACGATCCAGGTGATGCGGTAAGCGAAATCGGCGGGAGCAGGCGCAAACACATGTGAAACCCTGACGGTCCTGAACGGTCGGACGACTACAAGTCCGTGAGCAGCGATGACGGGCGCGGCCACGTGTAGACGCAAAGCAGCGGTCACAAGCCTGGCAGTGAGCGACGCAGCACAGCGGAGAAGCAGGCGGCGGCAGGGGCGCACCGACTGCTGACTGGGGGTAAGTACACTTGTGCCTTGCCAGACCTCCACGGGACTTCAGCCAACGGCCACACTCTCCACTCTGGCATGCACCTTTCTGCTCCGCAACCGGCTTCGCACGCTCAACCTTACACTTGTGGCATGCGCGATTACTGGACACACACACACACACACCATTGGACGCCCATCGCCGGAGGCGATGATAGCGATGCTACAGCAGAAGCCATAGCACCTTGTGCTGGGACACACACACACACATGCACACACGCACATGCACACACACACACACACACATACACACACACTTTCGGACTGAGCGTTCGATAAATCTGACAACTTGGCAGCAATGGGGTTATGCACTCAGGCTCTTAGTAGAAGGTATGACGTGACATCTTGACCGTTTTGCCTCAAGTGAAATTGGTTTCAAAACTCTCCATTGAGTTTTCAGCAGGGATTAGTAAGGTTTAATAAGTCCATAGAATTTAGCAGCACTTCTCCATGAGAGAGCTGCCGGAATAGAAAGACTCAACAATGGCGCACATACGCATAAAGCTGTTCATCTTGTGAAGTGCAGAAAGTCTCGAACACCAGGCGTAAAAGACGATGCTGGTCGGTTTATTGCGGCGAATGACCAAGCAGTAGCCGCTATCAAAGATCATTTCAAGGCCCAATTCCAAGGAAACGTAAGCCATTTTCTGGAAGGTCTCACCTCTCGATTCACCAATTACACCAGAAAAAGTAAGCAGTGGCATTAATACGAGGATAAATAATGGGAGAGCAGCTAGCCCCAAATGAAGTCCCTGCAATAACGGTGGTAATGCGCTTTCATCCAAATTCGCAGTAACTCTAAACCGCACGTTTGAAACACACAACTTCATAGACCTTGGCAACGGAACATAGCGTAGAATCCCGCGGATAAGCCCACCCGCGTATAAGCCCATGCTCGCGCATGAGCCTAGAGTTAGTTCGAACATCACAAAGCTTCGTCGTAGAATCCCATAGGCCTATAATTGTAGGTCGTACCATGTACGTAGTACATGTACAGGGATGAATTTATCCTGTATCGCATCGCAGTTTGCGATGCAAAATCGATCTAACTGCTACTCAAAATTCACCGTGACTCGCAGAAAATTGCGATACATACAGACTATCCATGCCTAGCCTCCCCTGTCCAAGTAACACGTATACAGGGCAGTGTAGGTGGTGCAGGTACTCTCAATCTGCATGCGTGCACATGTATGCTTCAGTCTTTTTTTTGCAAATTGGCTTTCAGGCATCACTCTCAAGAAGGACAATGTTGTAAACACCCAACCTTCAAAGAAAAATGCTAATCAAAATCAAAGACGGCTACACAATTGTGATTTCATATAGCAGAAACTGCTATGCAAAAATATGACAATAAATTCATCCCTGATGTAGGTTTTGTGTTTTGTACATTTCAACACAATCATCGGTTGTTGTCGTTTGCAAAGTGGTTTTCAGCAATGTACTTCTCACTTCCTTGGTACTTTTCAATAGCACACTTTTGGTGTCGGCGTATAAGCCCATGCCCGCGTATAAGCCCATGTTCTCGTTTAAGCCCACTGAAATGTCCTTGTGAAACAGATAAGCCTATGGGCGTATCCGCGGGATTCTACGGTAGATCCGTCTGCAAGAAACCTGGCAAACCTGACAGTCTCCTATCAGTGCCAGTGGTTCTCTTGACATCGCTACGGACAGTAATATCCGTTATTACCCCGGCTGAACTCATCATCGGCGGCAAATTGCACCGAAAGTTGAACAGTATCTACCAGCGAGTCATAGCGAATCCCGCAAGAATAGACCAACCGCAGACGTGGTACGGTGTTACCGATGGTATGCAGCCATCTGCCGAAGGTGACAGAGGGAACTGACAATAGGGTTAGGCATTGGCATGTCAAAGGCCATTGACTGCATTCGAAGGGACCGGCTGAATACTATTCTCGAGACTCCCTGAGCGAGGATGACATTCGTTTGGTGCACGACTGTGCTGTTGGCAAACACATCATTCTGCGTGCGTGTTGGTAACAGAGTCAGCCGAAACTACCATTGGCAGTTTGGCACAGAACAGGATTACTCGTTGTCTTCTGTGTTGTTTGTCCTGTGCCTGGAGACAGCACTCAGAGAGGTGAGGGGAGCAACTGTTGTGCTCGTTCGTCCTTAGGCAGATGATGGCCTGCCCTTCAATCTACTGCACACGGATGAATAAAAGAATACTACTACTACTACTAGTTAGTCCTGAAGCGATCATTTCCCCACTGTGTTCTCCACCAGTGGAATGCATTGCCCTGTGATCTGCTCGTGCATCCTCCCCATCGCAGCCGAATGCAGGCATTCAAGACGCAGGTATACCGCTACCTGCGCGCCGAGAACTGGATGTGGGCTACTGACTCAGTCTAAACTCAGTATCTACATGTAGGTATTGCTCTCTTTTTCCTTGTTTTCTCTACTCTCTGTCTCTGTCTCTCTGTCTCTGTCTCTCTCTTTCTCTCTCTCTCTGTCTCTCTGTCTCTCTCTCTGTCTCTGTCTCTGTCTCTGTCTCTGTCTCTGTCTCTCTGTCTCTCTCTCTCTCTCTCTCTCTCTCTCTCTCTCTCTCTCTCTCTCTCTCTCTCTCTCTCTCTCTCTCTGTGTGTGTGTGTGTGTGTGTGTGTGTGTGTGTGTCTCTCTCTCTCTCTCTCTCTCTCTCTCCACACTATACTTTTCGCTATATATTTTTTTCAATCTTTTTTGTTTCTCTTCTTCTCCCGATTTTCCGATGCGTGAAGTAGGCACGGATGCCGAGACCATTGGTCGGCGGAGCCTGCAGCACCTCATCACCACCGCTGCGTTGCATTTGCAGCCCCATTCAGTCAATGTCTTGTTAGTCTGTTGTTTTGTCATTTCCTGCTTCTTTCTTCTTTTACGAATTGGGTGCGTGGTTTCAAGTAAAAAAACAAAAAAACAAACTACTACTACTACTACTACTACTACTACTACTACTACTACTTTCATTCCTGGACCAATGCCGTTTGCTCCAGTTGTGAGTGGGAATATAATTATAAGGTCCTCCATGTGCTGTGCGCGGAGGCCTTCGGTTAATTTCAATATCTTCCTTTTTGGCCGGCTTTCCAAGTTGCGCTTTTGTGAATAATGATCTGCTTTGATAGTAGTGACTGCTAATAATTGCCTGGATTTGACTCGAGTTTGGATTTTTCTTCAATCATCTTTCCGATCACATTATCATGGATTTTCAATAAAGTTCTTTGACTACTACTACTACTACTACTACTACTACTACTACTACTACTACTATGACACCAAGAGTCCATAACACTGACTTCCTTAGTACGGGAACTGGAACCGGTTGTCAGCAAAGCTCTGAGTCAGCGGGCCCTCAAGGTAACCCTGACAACACGGAAACCACAACACTAACTATACTGGGGTCTACGAAGAAGCTTGGGTCCGTGCTTTGTGGACTTGACCATGTTAACAGTCTCACGGAAGCAGCTAGCAATGGCTGCGTTCAAGTCAATGTGGCCCTCCTTTTTCCGGAAAGCGCAGAGGAATAGTTAACCTTCGCTATATCGGTCCTGGTGTGCAATGCTGTAACCAAGGGCCTAGCAGTAGCTGCGGAAAATAGTCTGGATGTGTTTCGTAGGGGTCACCTTCAATCAATAGTATTCGGCAAGACTCAGTATAACCTGGCCACAGAAGGTATCAAAGAAAGTACAGTCTACCAGCGATGTAAAGCAGAACCTCTAAGTATGATCAAGAGCTCTTGCTGGAGTTTGTTAGGCCACATACTCCGCCTCCCAAGCAGTGCTCCAGCCATCTTGCGTCTTGATAAGTGCATGTATCAAACAAAAGCGTGTGTGGGCAGCGGCCCCAAATGGAGAGGAAGACCGAGAACAACCCTGCCAGGATCCTCAAGCCGCTGAGTGTGGACAACTCCGCACACTACAGGATCTTGAGATCCTATCTGCAGAGCACAAGTGTGCGGGGCGTGGGATCCGTTGGCAGATCCAGCTTGCCGAGCTGGCAAATTACATACTGTACACGCAGAAATATTCGCCTGGAATTTAATTAAGTTTTTTTCGTCCAAGGAGCTTTTGGACTAAATAATTATTAAATGCCGGACTAATGTCGATTTGTCCAGCTTTTTAATACACTCTTATGATCCACGGACGAAATTTACAACCGGACGAACTCCCTTTCTTTGGAGTTGGACGAAATTATTTACCGACGAAATTTTCTGCTTGTACAGCATCCAATATGCAGCAATGCAATGTCAAAAATAGAGAGGTTCCAGAGTACGATTTTTTGTGCCAATATCCGTAGAGGTGCTACGGATCATTTTTATGTCGTTTTCGAGCACTGAAGTGTTCCGGAGTACGGAAATTATGTGTTTGCCGTCGTTACGATTGCAAATACGTCATATTCCCGCGCTATGCCTTTCTTATTTTGAAAAATTGTACCAAAACTTCCCGCGGAAGATCGATGTTTCAGTCGTACCAAATTTGTACGCAAAAAATCCTTTCTGCACTCGATGACGCAAAATCTCCATACGAAACATGGTTCGTATGAAAGTCAGTCCACACAGATTCTCCGTGCTGAAAAATCGTATGAAGCATGCCTTGAAAAAAATCCGTAGCGCCCATACGGATTTTGGAACGGAAAATCGTACCCCGGAACCTCTCTGATAGTGATAACGGTTTTTTTCTACTCTCTGGCTTTGAAAAACTTGCAACATCATGCCCACATTACACTGTATATTTTTGTAATGTATGCAACGAATTATTAAATCTTCTCGCAACTCACCAGCTTCTGCAATTAAGTTATGACCGCAAGCATGCCCTATTTTCGGCAGGGCATCGTACTCGCACAGGAAAGCAATAGTCGGAGATTTTTCATCAGTGTGGTGATCGGTAGACTCGCCTCCTAGGACCACGTTCTGTGAGTTTGAGCATCCCTGGCCTGAAGGTGAACAGTACCCTGCCCTGAAAGCGGTTGCAATACCAGCAAACTCACGTTCAACCTGAAATCGCCCAGTAGATTCTAAGAAACTGCAAATAACATCGTGCGCAAAATGCTCCTCGTAGCCAAGTTCAGGCCTCTGCCATATGCTCTTGCTCAGCTCGGTCAGTTGAAGCTCGTATTCATCAATAGTCCTAGCGATCGAGGAACCGAGTGTGGAATAAAACTCGCCATCTTCCAGCATATTTCCGTACTACTACCGGTACTAGTAGATCTACTCGTCCTCGTAGGCTGTAGTTACTTTGCTGACAATATCTACAGTCGTATCAGTATTACAATCGCAACGAAGTGTCGGTGCATGCACCGAGCTAGGACTGTCGTGCCTATCGCTCTCTTGACTTTAGTTAATAATAGACTTTACTCTCATTGATCTACAATAGTCATGTATCTTCACTCCGGCCTGGCCTGGGAGGCTGGGACTAGACGTCACAGTGTCGACATGATTATGACTCGACTGTGTCTACTATAATTATAATTATAATAATAATTATTTTTTACTTACTTTTCCATCCCTCTATTTTGCTCAAGCAAGTGAGCCATTTTTTCCAGAACTAAACCTCTCTTCCGAAAATGACAGCATTCACCACCCACCCAGGCGGCGGCACCTGTTTTATGTCAAACACTCCCTCACATGTGCACGGTCACCCCCATGGCCCATCCATATGGCCCATATTAATTTATGGGCCATGACCCAGACCAACTAATAATAATAATTTATAATATTATTATTATTAGGGAGGTTCTGCTCTACGTTTTGGGAACGCGACGCAAAGAATCACGCGAACTTTCTTCGCGTTCCCGTAACGTAAAGAAATGCTGTTCTGCTCTACGTTTCACCTGGAGAAGTCACGTGGAATGTGTACTGGGAATTTCCCCTTCCATATTTGGCAGTTTTCTGCATGCAGTTGATCGATACCCAGCAAATCCGTACGCATTTTCTCTGCGTGTGCCACAACGTAGAGAACCCCATCTCCGCGTAGAAATCTGGAGCCAAAACACGCGAAGCCGTAGACTCTAACCCAGACACCTGCTCTCTACGTGATTTCTCTACGTTTCACGTATAGCAGAACCTCCCTATTATCATCACTTGAAGCCTCGTGCATCTTGCTGCAGGCCCCAAAAATCGCTCAGCTAACGCTAGCGCCTGCGTCTAGCGTCTCGTACGAATCGCTAACGCGGCTAGCGCACCGCTAGGGGGGGTCGGATTTCTGTTGCCAGTACTGTAGCTGATTGATTGATTGATTGATTTTATTTGGATTCGCGAGACCAAACGAGCAGGAGTGCTCAATAACAGGGTAGCGAATGGTTGGGTTGTGCTATGTGACAATGTAGTGTGTGCGTGGGGGGGGGGGGGGGAGCTGCGGAGGCCCAATACAATGTAAGGGGATGGGAGGAGAGAAGGCCAACGGAGAGTCAAATTCAGAAGAGGGAGGAGAGAATAGCTGAAGTACACGGTTGCTGAGCGAATTCAAATAAACCAAACAAACAGCAAAACAAGTACACAGCTCACGAGAATAAAGAGGACTGACCACCGCCATGGGCAAAGGTGGAGAACTTGACGATCCACATCACTGACTGCAGCAGAGATGATCCCCCGCTGGAGTGCCTGGACAAGGCTTCCTCTCTTTGTGCTCAATCTCAGTCATATGAAGTCTGGACAGATGGTAGTGTCACTGATGAGGGTACAGGAGGAAGTGGCTATCTTGTCATCAAAGTCACTGATGGCCAACGCTCTGAAGTTTGCAGTGGAAGCGATCCTGCAGGCGTGGTAGCAACTTCCTTCACCGCCGAGGTAACTGCAGCAGTGGCCGGTCTCTCTGCGGCAGGAGATCTACTTACGGCTGGCCTCACCAACACAGATGATCAACCCTCGCTGCCAGACCTCATCCTCGTTACGGACAGTCGTTCGTTGACTGATTCTGTTGCCGGCGATCCGTACCGTATGAGCCCAGATACGATTCCTGTGTTTGAGGCTATCAAGAGCATTAGCCAGCTTGTTACCAGCATCCACCTTGTCTGGGTTAGCAGTCACTGTGGCTTATTCCTCAATGACAAAGTAGATCGCCTGGCTGCGGCTGGTACCCAGGTTCCCCAGGGTCACGTCCGTCTTCCAGTGCAAGCCACCAAGACTGCAGTCCGCAAGGCAACACGGTACCCGCCACCACTGCTCGACACCAAGAAGCTCGGTGACCTTCGGACACGGAAAGCGTCCTGCAAGCTGAACCAGCTGATGACCGGCCACTGTAGTCTTCTGAATGGCTACCTCCACCGCATTGGAGCTGCAGACTCGCCTCACTGTGTCTTCTGCCCTGGCGTCGTCGAGGATGCAATGCACTTCCTTTTCGACTGCCCAGGAAGAGCACAAAGCCGCCACTCTGCAGCTCTTCAGTCGTCTTCATCCGTCAGTCAAGCTGTAGCCGACTCTCCCTACAATATTGCACGATTCTTGCAGTTGGAGAAACTGCTATGAAGTTTCGAACACAGTCTTGAAACACGATACATGATGAATTGCTGCTATTATTATGTGAACTCTCATTACTGCGGTATTACCTTCCACATAGTCATTTGTCTAGTATGGCGTCATATATTTGTCTCAATTCAGTGTTTTCCGAAGAAGAAAAAAAGAAAAAAAAGAGGACTGGAGCACAGAATTGAACTGCTGAAGTACACAGCTGACGAGAATAAAGACAGGAGCACAGTAGCTCAACTGTTACTTACGGCACCGGACCTGCAGTTGACTCCTCCTGGACAACATCATCATCTCGCCCCCCCCCCCCCCCCCCCCCGTGACCGCAATCGGACAAAGACTTTTAAGTCACAGAGGACAAGTAAGTAACAGTTCGGGTTCAAAAGCAGAAACTGCCCGCCACATCTCGAGGAGCTAAAGCCATTCTAAGACGATCGACGACCTGCTGAAGTCCAGTGACTCGGAAGACATGTGACTTCTCTGCGGTTCACGTCACAGTATAAGAATTAGCAGAGAAGTAGTGTTCTCTAGCTCTGTCCACCCGGGAACGGGTACGAGGGAGCACGGTGTGGGGGATAAAAGGAGGTGACGAGTAGCAGGGTCGGCCTCTTTTGTCTTTGTGTTGTGGTGGCTCCCACTGGCAATGTTCACGTGTTCAATAGTGGTGTACACGTATGGGTGAGTGTGCGGATGTGTGCGCAACGAGTGAGTGCAGGGTGGACAGAGAAGTAAGTACAGACATAACGGAGGACCACGAACCAGTTCCAAGTGAACCATCCGCAAAGATATCCAGGATCAAGAGTACATGAAAAGGTTTTCATGTACTCTTGCCAGGATGCATGCAGCGCATGGAGTCTTGGTGATCATGAATCGATGACTTTTCGCGGGTTTTTACCGGAACTACAAGTGAAAGTCCGCGCCCGCGGCCGCGCTTCCGGAATTCCCCATATGCGCGATATCCTTGCGAGTCGAGTGGTCCACTCCATGCACGGCCACATCATATCTGTCATGTCATGTCCCGGACCGCGCGCTCGACCGGTCGACCGACCCGGTCACCCGGACCCATGCCATGGCCCGGCCGGCCGGCCCAGACTTTTTTTGTAGACTCTCATTCTCGATCACATGTACTGATGTCATTTAGAGAGTAAGCTACATGCCATGATTGCCAAGAGTTCATAAACTCTTGCTACATGTGATCGGGACCGCACTGGGACATGTAGATCTGCTGTAGAGTCTACTCAGATAAAAGTGTCTTTACTTCTGCTGAGTAAATCTACTTTTGCTTTTGCTTTTGCTAATGCCTTCTATTGGTTCTGGTAATTAGGATATGAGTAGGGGAGGAGAAGCCGAGTGAGGCATGGCTCACCTGAAAAATGTGAGCGTGGCGGAGTATAATGCCGGCATTCCTTCAACCATGCAGGTGCCGGATGATGCCGCAGCAACATGTCAGACGTATTATTACCGACAGAGGGTAACGAAGGAAGAGTGTGAGTTGCTGCTCAGAAGGAAACCCATTGGAACGTTCATTGCTCGAGACAGTTCCACGTTTGTTGGTGGGTTTTGTGTTATGATGCGCGTAAACGAAAATGGCACAACCGTGACGAGGTCGTATCTGTTGGAAAAGGTTCCTGCTGGCGTTCATCTTCGGCTGACTGAGGAGGATGTTTTCCCTACTTTATACCAGTTTATTTACGCCCACACGAAAGAAAAAATGGTGTTGCCAAGTCGGCTAACATTACCAACAAGTGACTGGCTGGCTACTATAGACCCAGCATTATCCACAAAGACCATAATAGTATCATCAGGACCTATGCTACCACCAAAGCCAGACGATTTGCCTTTTCGACCACCTAAAGCAGATGCATCTCGTGGTAGGCTCCCACCAACACCTGGTGAAAGTGGTCCTCCAGCACGACCACCGAAGGGAGGTGCACCAGACCATGGGCGGTCTTCTTCGTCATCCGACAGCCTACCTCCTCGGCCGCCTAAAGGAGGTGGGAGTACCGAGCCCTTCCCACCACGACCGCCCAAGTCACCTGGTCCCGCCCTTCCCCCGCCGATTCCTGACAGTGCAGAGCCTCTGCCGCGACGGCCACCCAAGTCACCTGGCCCTGGCCTCCCCCCGCCGATACCTGATAGTGCAGAGCCGCTGCCGGCACGACCACCTAAGACAGGTGGTTCCAGCTTCCCCCCACCCAAGCCGAAAGATCGCGTCGTTGTTAACTCGTCATTTGAGGTTGACGAAGTGGAGTGTGAGCTGTACTACTATGGCTGCATGGATACGTGGGCAGATTCCCACACTGAGTGCATCTTTCAGACCTATCTAGAACTGGTGGAGATCCGAGATGTGGTGCCGAATAAAGTCACATTCAAAATGGGTGGTCAGAGTATAACCATTGAAGACAAGGGATCGAAACAGTTCATCCGTCGGCACTATCAGATCAAATCAATCCTGCATTTTGATCTGGATCCTGACCAAAGAACATGCAAGGTGAAGAAAGAGAAGAAGCCACTCAGCGTCTTTGGCATGGTTATTCGAAAGCCTGGCCAGGACAAGAATCTGTGTCATCTATTTGCATCGCAGCATGTTGCTGCCAGTGGCGTTATCGATGCTGTGCAAGCCGCCATTGACATGATTTGTGGTGCTGGAACCTAAACTGTCAAATAACTACTACTAACTGCACACAATCACACTCAGTCTCACAAAAAATATGGAAAGTATTTTTTAACTCCGCTTGGTCTCTCACTGCAAAAAGATGTCAACACTCCATACATCTTGTCTCTGGGTTTTGAAGAAGTAGAGTACGAGTGTACTAGTACTGTAAAAGCAGAAATTTTCGGTGGTGTGATATTTTCGGTACTCTCCAAAATCGGCGGTCCGGTGGAGGGAAATTTTCAGTAAACCCATTTTCCAGGTAAGTACTGTACTAGTACTAGTACCTAAATTTTCGGTGCGTTATGTCTAGGGCTGAAACGATCGTGGATTTTCACCTATTAATTACTCTGTAGCGGCCTGATTGATGTTACATCACTTCATATATACAAGCATGCGCAAGAAAATAAATCATCCACTCTTTGGCCTCAACTTCTTTGTTGTCTGGTTGGCCAAAGTAGCCGTCGTCTCGGTCCCGACGTAAAACTCTAAATTGCATTAGTGACAGGGTAGCTCAGAAATATGGCAGTTATAAAGTCAATTTAATCTCAGAATATGCACCATGCCCCTAGCAACTGCATACTCACAGTGGAAACTGAAACTTCACTAAAAAACGAGGGTTTTCAGTACTTTTTGGACTCAGAATCCCTAACGAGTAATCTTGAACGTAACGATTACTTGATTGATAAGGAATTATCGATCGCTTTATTTTAATAGCGAGTAATTGGTATAATCGTTTCAGCCCTAGTTTATCTTAAGTAAAAATTGCCGGCACCCAAGTTTTAATACCGAAAAAAGAACTCCACCGAATTTTTCTGCTTTTACAGGTCATTTGCCAAAATAATACCTAGCAGCTACAAGACTTGCGCACTTCGTGTACCATGAAATACCATTGATCCGCCTCCTGTTGAATTTCTAGTCAATTTTCTACCTGTGAAGGGACTTCAGAGTATGTTGAAATACGATGTTGAGCTGACGCATGCACTGCGATACACGATACATGTACGTGCCAGTGCAGGTGTGCCTGTGGATGAAAATGTGCATAATCTAGCAAGGCAAGCCTGATATTTTCGCAGTTGCACATACCAGTACCGCACTTGAGAGCCTTGATCTAATTCCCGCACCCTGTCCTGTCGACGACCTGGGAAGTGGCGTGGGGGGGGGGGGGGCAACCGCACTTAACGGTAGTTGCATACACATTTTAGTACAAGTACATACAAATCATCCATACATGCCAGTTCCGCGATTGGGTGCACTTCGAGTCACAGGTACACGAACAACTTGAACTCTGTACGCAACATGTACTCGTACTCTCTGCAAGGCCAAGTCTTTGCAAACTACTTACCATAGTCGCGTATAAAATCAAATATAAATGTGAACATGTTCAATGCTAAACACAGATGACTGCTTATATCAAGGAAGGGCCAGTTTGTAAACAAATGGCATTGACAGCAGATAGAATCCATGCTGGGAAGGCTGCGGAATTGGATGTCGCTGCTGCTAAGACCGTGTGGAAGGGCAGTATCATCTTGAAGTGAATATGTCTACACCAAATATGTGTGATATGCACACGCGCACGCACATACGCACGCACACAGCAGGATAATCGTTGACAGACCTTCAAGGCGCAAAAGCAGATTAGCATTCATGTACCATTTTATTGATTTTATTGATGACAAGAGTAATGAGTACTAGTATTAGGATGAAAAATACTGCTGGCCCTGGCCTAGTAAGGCTTGAACTTTCTACCAGACTTGTGTTGCTGTTTCATCTTCGTCTGACGATTGGCTGACCCTGTTGCAGCCTCCGCAGACTGGACAGCACAGAGCAAGCAAAATACACACACATAATTTGTAAAGCAGCAGGGGTGGTATGTGCACCACACAAGATAATAATCCCAGTGCCATTGGCGATGGACAACACTAGCAAACTCTGGGAATCTATGCCACACACTAAGGGGCCATCCGGCACGATCAATAAAGTTTAGTTATGAGTCTTATGACCCTCCCCCACCCACCTAACCCCTTCAATGAAAAAATATATTGACTTCATAGCTAGAATAGATTGACGTTCAGATATCAAAATGTACAAAACAAAACCCTTCTTGACCCACCCACAAACGATACTTTTTCGTTTCTTGTACAAGTAAAATATTGATAATTGTGGATGGCCCCTAAGGGCATGTTCGATTGGTAGGATCGGGATCCCGATCCACCGGATCCACTGGATTCGCACCCTTTCGATTGGTCGAATCCGGATCCCGATCCTTCGGATTTGGATCCAGTCAACCCACCTCGGAGAGCAGGGTTGACCGGATCCAACGGATCCAAATGTGACCTTTGTGTGTATATGGCGGGTGAAAATCGCTTTTGTACACATTGTGGTACGCACACGTGGATCGAGATACAGCTTGTCGAATTTTTGTATAACTTGCACGGTGAGTATGACTTTTTATTACTTCGTCAACATGGCAACAGTCAAGACCCAAAAAAGTGTCCAGTTGACTCTGAAGGATCCGACGGATCTGAGATCTGGATCCCGATCCCGACCAATCGAACATGCCCTAGCACTCTGCAAAAGTGCCAATCTGACATGAACGTAATTAGAACCCTTGCTACATGTTGTGGGTGAGCCAATAATATAGGTTTTAATACTGATGGTGACGAATCACTTTTTACTGTGGAGGGCACACAGTTCGTGTGACAACCATTCTTTGGCCCGAAACCTTAAGTAATACGACGAGGTCACGGCTTTTCTAAATGTGACTCATTATACTGCTTGAGGAAAGCTTGCTATTCCATCTGACACTCAGATACTAGTCTAACAAATATGTTGAAGGTTTTGATGAATGATATACAAGAGCACAGCAGAGACCCCTGTGATAGGACGCAGTTTACTAGCAGGGCATTTTGATAATGTACAAAACAAAGTCAGACTGTCAGAAGCAAAAGCACTTCTTGCTGTTGTGCGCTGGTGGTGAACTTTGCAAAGGTAACGGTCTCGGCCTAAAGAGCACAGTAGCGGAAGAAGTTCATCAATACATACCGGGGGTTCTGTTTTGGGGGCATTGACCTTGCTTGCAGGCTGTGATGATGGTTGGTTTTCCTCAGGTGATGAAGCAGCGGTCTGTTTAGATGAGCAACCACCTTCTGACCAACTGCATATAGATCCGCTATCGTCTCCAGTGAATAGTACCTGATTCTAAGCCATACAGGGGAGGAGAAAATTAATAGCATCATCAAATCTATCAACTTATCAAGCTGTATAAAGACCCACAAAAACAACACAAGCACCCGACAAAAGTAGCTGATGCTACGTGAAATTTCGTTCCTGTTGCTGAACCTCTCTAATAGCAATCCCACAATATTCATGGATTGCACTATGAGCACAAAGCAGAAGTATGCGCTTGAAGATGCACTAATGATATACAAAACACACACTGGCCAATTGGCCAGCTGCACAGTCTTGATGGATTTCCTAACTTTTACTATTATTCCACAATCACAATCACATACTTGTAGTGCCAATAAACATGTGATGCGGGTGATTTTAACCAGCCATGGTGGGGACTTACCGCATGGTCGTAGCTCATACAGCAGACAGTGGTCTGGTGCCGCTTGGGTAGAGATTTGATGAGATGTACTCCATCCAGATTGACATTCAAAAGGAACAGCTCTCCGCTAAGCAGCACAGGGAAGTACAGAAATGAGCAGAGAGTGCCGGAAATTAAACGGTGCAGGAACATACGTCCATCTGAACTCCACCTGTGTGATTCAGGACTGCAAATATTGAGGGACACTGCATGCATTGAAATGGTGTGTTCCCTCGACTTTACCTGTGATTCCCGGCTGTTGCTGTCAATTGGGTGGATGATGCCTGGTAGAAGCAGTCCACTAAATAATTAACAGTGATATTCGACTGGAAAGCAACAAGAACAGAAACAAGAACAAAAACGATGCAAAGAAATTTGAAAGAATACAATTACAATTCAAAGAGAAATAATCACCCACAAATGAGTGTACTCAACAGCTGAAGGGCTGTTCATAGAGTTCTCAATGCACAATGTCACAAGAGTGCACAATGGAGGAATGTTATAACAGTACAAGGTAAATAATGTCATGAGAGTGCCCAATGCAAAATGTCAGAGTGATCTGAAGATTGCATCAAGCATGACACTCAAAGCACTAAAAAACTAAAGGTTTTGGTTGCAGGAAAAGAGCTTGCTTTCCACACTCAGTCTTCTCTTGAGTGTGTGGCAGTTATTGCCGTGACTCTTTTAGTTTGTGTAGTTCGCTGATGAGGGAAGCTAAAGTTCGTAACGAATTCTTTGCGATCAAAGAAGAACAGCAGCTGGTAAAAGCCAACGTTGCTGAGGATTTCCAAATGACGAAACAATAACAGCATATACTAGTCAAAGCATTGCTATAGCTGAGCCACCAACGCGAGTCAGGCGTTTGGATGGTACAGCGCTTCCGGCGGTTCTATCCAAGAGCAGCCCAGTACACTCGAATACCACGCCACAACTTGGTCCGCTGCGAACGACTCCCTGTCTGCTGTGCCCTGGTGTCAAACTCTGTCCACGGATAATATCAAACATGCTGTCTCCACTCTTTCTGCCACCGTAGAGAGTGTTCTGGACTCACACCACATCACAAAACACCAACCAACTAGTTCATCAGTAAGCCGGAGTACATGCCCGTGGATGACAACCGAGTTGAAAGTAGCCATCAAGAAGAAGAATGATCTGTACAGTGTATATCGGAAGTATCCAACATCGGAAAATTTCGCAGTATATAAACGCTAACGTAATTGCGTACGGTACCTTTCTCGCTCCATCCATCGGCAATACATTCGCTCCCTCCATGCAACTATCTCTCCCCACAACCAGCGTCTTCCTTCCCTTCCCCAGCTCGTTCGTCGGCTTCGGAGCCCCAACAGCACTCGTGTCCTGCCCTCGACTGCCACGGACTCTGCAGGCAGACCTAGCAATTCGTCAATAGGGGGGTTTAGTTCCCACGTAACGGAAACGCGCACGTGGGTGATACACGTAAAATGGATGAAGGGCATCCACGTTGCCATGTTATGTTTAGTCACACGGAACAAACAAAAGCATGAAGCGAAAGGCCCAAACCTGGTCAAAGACGAAGCTACCCGGGCCTAAGAAGCTCATCGAATATTTTGATTTCGTGCTTCGGAAATTTATTCAGCTGAGCACCCTCACAGCTCGCAAAATGTGCTCCATTCTGATTTTCACCCACGTTCTGGCTAGGGGTGCGAGGATTATGCTCGCACGCACCCGATATTATGCTTTCGGGCATTTCCCGCGGAACTTCGAAAGTATTCTCCCAAAACATCGAAAACATTCTCCAGAATTCCCCCCAAAAAAAGAACCCCAGCACGAACCGTGCCTTGCGCATGCTCTTTAGTGTGCAAAATGGACGGTCAGGCACGTGATCACTGCATGCAGGATCTACACTACATGTACTAGATCTACATGACTGTCTGGGTGTTGCTGCATGTACGTGTACGTGCGTCCATGGATGCGCGCTTGTTCTCTGGCAGGTCAAAATTGACAGAATTCCCTCAAAACTCTTCTGAAGGTCAATGGATCTGGAAAAAGATCGATAGAATATTCCCCTAAAATTCCCAAAATTTTCTCAACGATAGTATTCCCAAAATATTCCGGGAATAATCCGCGCACCCCTTGTTCTGGCGGAACGTGGGTGAGCCTCCATACACGGTATGTCGTGAATCAGAAAACGTCTGTACGTGGGTCACTGAGTATCACGTGGTACACACACGTAAAGTACCCACGGATTACGTGGGACTAATAAACCTCCCTAATGTCTATTGCCAACTCCCTGAACAACCAATTTGTAAGCGCTGGAATGGAAATCCCGGCAACTACCCCTATCCTCGTCCTCTCGTCTCTTCCTCCTCAATCTTCTATACTTAGTTTCGTACGGATATCTTCACAAACTGTATTTAAATACGTTGGCAAGCTGCGTTTGCACAAATCCCCTGGAGCAGACGGTATCACTAACGGGCTACTCAAGCAACTAGGTCCATCCCTAGCATATCCCCTGTCCCTGGTCTTCAACACATCTCTAGCCCTCGGGAGCTTCCCCGACCAATGGAAGTCAGCCATTGTCATTCCAATCTACAAGAACAAGGGGGACAAGAACAGGACAACAAACTATAGACCCATCTCCCTCCTATCATATATCTCTAAACTATTTGAACGTATTGTGTATGACCGTCTGTATACACACATGCCCCTCTTCTCCACCCAGCCCAATCTGGGTTTTGCTGCAAGGACTGCACCCCCCTCCAGCTTTCCCACTTACTCCACAAGCTGTGCTCGATTAGAGACTCACGTCATGTAGCTTGTGTTTGCTTTTTTGACCTGCAAAAGGCGTTTGACACTGTATGGCATAGGGGCCTGATCGCAAAGCTCCGGGCCCACGGTGTAACGGGAACTCTAATTGACTGGATTTCCAGTTACCTGTGTAACCGGTCACAAAGTGTATTAGTAAACGGTACGTTGTCCGAGTCAAAACCTGTCACGTCTGGAGTGCCTCAAGGTTCAATCCTGGGGCCTTTTCTCTTCTTAGTCTATGTGAATTACCTACCATACGAGATTCCAGATGTGTCCCTGTTTGCGGATGACACTGCTGCCCTTGCCTCTTCGCCGACCTACTCCAGCCTCTACCCCATTGTTCAGGAGAAGATATCCGCCACTACCAATTGAATGCGGAAGTGGTTTCTGCGCCCAAACGTAGATAAAACGGAACTCATATTCTTTCCATCTCTTCCCGATCCCCTTCCCACCTTCCGTTTCCCCGATTCACCCCCTGCTTCATCATTAACGATTACATCTAGCCATAAGCATCTTGGCATTGTATTCGATTCTTCTCTATCTTGGTCCGCCTACATTGACCACGTTTTGTCCCGTGTTTCACGTACTGTAGGCATTATGACGTCCCATTTCTCTCACTTACCCACCAGTTGTAGGGTATGTTTTTTTAAATAAATCTTACATTCTTCCACTCTTTCTTTATGGATACCCTGCATGGTCTACCATTACGAAGTCCCAACTGGAGAGGTTGAAAATTCTCAACCGCCGTATCCTCCGCATGACGAGAGAGCTTGGAAGCTCAGGGCCCTACGCTATGCTTTTTTGCCTTGATGACCTAGACAAAAAAAAGCATAGGGATGTTATAAATTCTTTAAAAAAATCCTTTTTTTTAAGACATAACCTGGGATTCGAACCCGCACTATCGCGCCCTGCATGCATCCCCTGATACACTTCGCATACATACTAATTCTTCCAAGTTGCTTCACATTATGATCTTGCATTTGAAAGCCCTATTTGAATATGCATTGTGGCCAGCCGTCTTTGATGGTACGGTACGGTAGGGATAGGTACGGGACAGGTACGATCGAGGGTAATACGACACCGTCTCCCGTACCGTACCATCAAACACAGCTGGCCACATACAGCTGCCCGCAATATTCAAATAGGGCTTTCAAACGCAAGATAATAACGTAAAGCAACTTAGAAGAATGGGTATGAATGCGAAGTGTATGGGGGAATGCATGTAGGGCGATAGTGCGGGTTCGAATCCCAGGATATGCCTGAAAAAAAATAGGAGAATTGAAAAATTTATAACATCCCTATGATTTTTTGCCGTCAGATACGGGATAGCGCCAGGCGTGACACAAACAAACAAACAAACACACACACAAATACCAAATTAAAGCTGTGTGGACCCTGGCTAGCGCCAGACGTTACTGAAGTTACTGAAGTAACGTCTTCTGCATAGCTATGGGAATAATTATTATTTAGAACTGGCCGCTACATTTCTAACTCGGACTTGTACAAAATTGCAACCTGTGCCCTCTCCCCCCCCCCCCTTGCAGAGTTATCTCGATGTTATAATGTGCTGTCTTGTGCAATTGGTTTGTTTCGAACTCCCCCACACGTAGTAAAGTCCGTCTCCCCCGAGCTACCACATCTCTGTTTGTATCTTCCCCCTTTTTCAGCTCTTATACTAAATGGCTGGCGTTGCCCCTTCATGTCCGTCAGGCAAAGTCGCTTCCCTCGTTTCGCAATCTTGCAAAGCAGCATTTCAACATTCCCATTCAATAGTCAGTATACAGTAAAACCTGTAATGGCCACCACTCGGATATGGCCACCACTTTTCCTTGTCACAGACGCATTCACATTCAAAACAGCTCGGATAAGGCGACCACTCGCTCAACGCGACCGACGACCACCCACCCGCGACCGCGTTGCACAGTGCTAGTACATGTAAATGTATGCATTGCATGGTGCGCCATGCATGGTGGATCTACACATCAGTGCGGGAAGTGTACACTTGACAGGTCTGAGGACTCTAGTACACATGAGTCGTGATAGAGTAGCATAGGTGTGTGCACTGTGATACACTGATCAAAATGATGTATCACATGTGGATATGGTCACGTGACCCACTGAACCTGGATAAGTGTGTGTCCCATATGGTGCAGTGGTATGTGCAGCGATTTCCAATCGATAGGTTGCGGGTTCGATTCCCGACGATTATGGTCACACACGTCTTTCTTCTCTTTCTAAGACTCTTCCTGACTTTTCTTTCATTCTCCTGGGTGGTTACCAACAGCCAGTGCATGCCGGAGTATGTGGTGTGATGTGTGTGCGGGAAAAAAAAATGAAAAAAAGAGACCAAAAATAGGGATTCACTGGCCAGAAAAAGTCACTTCAAATAGCTGTATGGTGTAGACCAGGCTGAAAAGTGACGGTCAATTCTTCAGCCTTGCAAGCTGTTGAATGGTGCAATCCCAGCACAAGTTGCTATGGCATCTGCCGTAGCATTGCTATCATCGCCTCTGGCGATGGGCGTCAGTAAGGTCAGTAAGGATAAGAAGACCACCTGGCCACGGCGACCACTTTTTCTCGTCCCTTGAGAGGTCGCCTTAAGACAAGTTTCACTGTACCTGTTTAGTCTCGGTCGTCTCATGTCGGCTGTACTGCTCCCTTTCCTCTCTTACTTACCATGGTATTGGTGCACCACTACACTTCTTATACTTCCTTTCTACGCCATGGCTGGCAAACGCCCCCTCCTCATCTATATTGGCACTGATTCATCTTTAGCCACTGGAAGGTGTAATAATAATAATAATAATAATAATAATAACATTGTCCAGTCATTGACCCAGCTGCCTGGGACCTCGTACCTACAGGTGGGCCAGGTTCACGGAATGGCACAACGGTAGTTTGAACGTTCCGCGGCTACGAGAAGGCAGTGACCCTACCCAGAAACTGAGCCCCTCCTGCTCAACTTTCTGGTGTTCTGGTAGACCAACGGTGCAAGCGTCTCCTCACTAATAAGGTTGACTGTCCAACCAGTGAAGCATCATCAAGTGCTTGCAGGCGTCGATATCACAGCGTTTGCATCACCCATGCCCAGGATCAAGCTAGTACTGCAGGGCGCTCCTCGAGCTGAAATCTCCCAACCAGCAGGCAGGATGAGAGGTGCTGTGACCTTGGAGGAGCTTGGGATAGAGTCTACCCACCTAGAGTGTACTAACTAGCCCGGTATGAGGCATCTATGCTATGGTGTGCTGTGACTAGTCTATTTCTTACCATGGCCTCCTCCACTGTGTGAGCCAATATTACTACACTGCTGGAGATCTATCTAAGCAACTACACGTTCAGGGGGGGGGGGGGGGGCACACAGGGCGATGCAAGTGAGTACGCGTGTGCTTTTGCTTGTGCGGTATGTAATAGGACGAGAGCGATCATCCAGACACTCCTAACTTTCAATATCCATAGTGCTCTGACAGTGACGCGTAGCCTGGATCTATGCCCATATCACCCTTATCACATGCTACCCCCGAAATTTCAGGCGGCTTTGAGCCCAACTACCTCATGTGCTTAGTGGTGGATACATGCGGTGCTACGGGAACGCGAGTATACCATCCTTACCGCGTTCCTTTGAGTTCTAGTGCGCAGAATAAATGTACTTGAAAAAACTAACAACACACGCCTGCCCCACATTGCGTGTATTTCAACAGGTGCTGGTTGTTCTGGGGTGTCCGTTGTGATGCTACAAGTCTCTGTGTTGTTTTGAGTTTGAGCGAGTCAGGCTGAGGGTCATGCACAACACTAGGGAAACAACCTGCCTACAAAATAAATATCTGCATGCACTCACATTCTCCTTGAGGGTTTGACGAACATCACCATGGTGACCAAGCTGCTGTGCCTAGACAGCAAAACACACAGACATACAAACACAAATTGAAACTCAGCAAAACTAGGCCCAGCTAGATCAAGGAGGGAAAGCTAGGACTCTGTTCGCCACAATACATTATGCCGAAAACAGGAAGAACCACTGCTGCTCACTCACACAGCAAAAAAGGCACAAGGGAAAAAAAGAAAAAAAGCTTCTGAAAACCACAAATCACAAAGAACTGTGAATTGGCAGACACAAATCCACCAACAGGCAAATTCATCATCAGCCACCAGCCACCACCCGGATTCGAACCGGGGGGGATCTCCTGTTTACTAGACAGGCGCTTTAACCCCTAAGCCATGGCGGCAGAACACAATCTGACCTGAACACACCGGTCAGTAGTAGTGTGTTTTGTGTTTTATCTTTCTCTCTCTCTCTCTCTCTCTCTCTCTCTCTCTCATTTTTTTTTCTTTTCTATAATTTCCCCATATGAGTTCCTATCAGTTGCTGTGAACACCTTGAGTGGAGAGCGCTTGCTCGAGCGTTGAACCGGGTTCTTAATCCACCATACCCAGTTCGCAAGGCTGGGCGGGGTTGTGAGCAGGCTTTCATTTCATCTTTTCTTATTATTTCTTATTATTTCTGCTTTTCATCTCATTACAAAAATTCTGCGCTTTTTCTCCATCTGCGCATAAAATCTAGACTGACAACCTGCTTGTTAAATCATGCACCTGCTTTCAGGCGTAAAAACCCTGTTGTAGAGGTCTCAGTCCTCATTTGTTAGACTTACCTGTCTTTATAAATGTAACTTACTCTCTCTCTCTCTCTCTCTCTCTCTCTCTCTCTCTCTCTCTCTCTCTCTCTCTCTCTCTCTCTCTCTCTCTCTGAGGCGCTACGGATTTTGTATACGTTGTTTTCGAGCAGTGAAATGTTCCAGAGTACGGAACTTACCGGTATGTGTTTGCCGTCATTGCCTAGGTTACGATCGCAAACACTCACATTCCCGCGCCATGCCTTTATATTTTGAAAATTTGTACCGAAATCAAAACTTACCGCGGAAAATTGATGTTTGTCGTACCAAATCTGTACGAGAAAAATCTTTCTGCTTTTCGACACACTATGGTGGTTTTTCAGTCAGGTACTTATCCCTGTTGCCACTGGCCTTGGCCTACGGCCTACGGCGATGTATTGTAGGCCACCATTTCGCTTCACGTTGCTTGTGGGCAATTTTGTTGCAGTGACAAATAGCTACAGTGTGACATGAAGTGGCGTGTCCGCAATGCAATTGTGGATTATACAAGAAAAGTCCAAAGTAATGTACAACTCTAGCTGCAAAGCACGCAACGCATCACGTCGCGAAAGTTGAGCCAAGCTTGACTTCTGTGATCAACCAGTTGCAATGATTCCGAATGCTACGGGCGAGAAGTGGCGTTTTCTCGGTTTCGCGGCTGTTGCATTGCATCGCATCGCATAAATCCTTCCGTGAATCCGCTTTTAACTTTTCAGGATGTTGCTGTACAAGGCAGATGTATACCTGCTCTGTCAATCATTGCATGACCAGCAAGAGGCCACGGTGAATGAACACTTGGCAGAAGGCAAGCTCAATAAAGCATGCACCGTGTTAGAAATGTATGCATGCACGCACATGGGCGTGCACACACAAACGAGCACACACACACACACACACACACACACACACACACACACACACACACACACACACACACACACACACACACACACAGTCATGGTCACGGTTGCTCACCTCATCAATATGCCAGAAAAGCACCGTCTCTGTAAGAGTCAGGCAATACGCATATTCAGATACTGGGCCAAAGAAGCCAGCTTGCGACTGCACATGTCCGTACCAGGGAATAGAACAGACACACAGAAATACACACATCAGGAACGTCGCTTGATAAGTTTAGAGAGTACAACCACAACCAGCTCTGATAGAAAGAAGACCATAGGTAGTGTGTCAATATTGTTCCTGAAGCTAAGTGATTCTACAACAGCCGAGCAGGAACACTTTCAGTGACTCAGTCAGTTGAGTCCATCACACTACAGTCCATTCAGAAAAAGATGGACTTCTAGCTTTTGGCCATAAATGGGTCAAACTTTGAGTTCTTTTTCTGTAATCCCTTATGGAATCCTCTTCCAATTATGTTTCTGAAGTTTTTTTGTCCAAAAAGCAAGCCATAACAAGAATAGAATTTCGGCCAGGTTTTGCCCCAAAAGCACTGAATCGGGAAAAACCATAAAAATCCAGGCCGTTTGACCCCGTGTGCAACATTATTAACAGTGCATTGTGCGGTTCGAACCACAGTTCAGGTACCAAATACGGGAGCTCACCAGAGCCAGGGCCCATCTTTTTATGAATGGACTGTATACCATGGTACGGTGCGGAGGGCCTGTTTTCAGCCAATCAGCGCTCATCTAGCCATGGTTATATTGGCCAGTATAAATCCCGCGCGGCATTTATATTGAATATAAATCCCGGTGCACGGTACGTACGCTAGGGCACTGCCACCGTACAAGTATTAGTTCACTGCCTGAAAGGCAGTGAACTTGTACGACGGCAGCACTCCAGCACACGGACCATTCACAACAGACACAACATACACCACATGCACGTGTACACTCCACACAGAACGGCATTACTGACGAGGAACAGTGCACAATGGAAAAGAAGAATGACTTGGAATTCGTCTACCGAGTATTCTACATGTATTATACTGAAACTGAGGATAAAGAACGTCAAATAACCACGAAGTATCCCGAATGGGTCAGCAATTTACATTGTACTTCAAATAGTTGAAGATCATCAACAGACTGTCTCCTTCGTAACTAAGTTTATGCTTCAAATCCACCTAAACCGATTGGAATAACGCTAGAATGGATTGAAATGTGATACAGTGATACAAAACAGTGTATGCAAATGCATCTACTTGCAAGTAAGCAAACCTGATTATAAGATGCCGCATGTGAAAATCAGCACTGTACCATAATCACGATAATAGTAACACTTACTCCCAAAGAGTCCAGACTGTACTGTAGTCTAACTAGTGACGGTAGTTTGATTCAACGACAACTCCAGCACCCCAGCAATTCAGTTGACTTCCGCATCGCTCACGAGACAATATGCTACAATATGCACTGGAACTGAAAGGAAATCTGATGCCAAACATCCACGGAGGAATCTCCTTCTGATCTTACTCGACCATTCTTTCAATTGACAACTGATAACCAGCAGAACATGTTCATGTACTGTATGATGTAGGAGATCTCCAAATAGGTTCGTTGTTCTGGAAATGCGTAGGGGTACCTGGCATAAGTAGGATATGACCCTCGTAGTCGGGTTATACCGTACCCTCATATAAATCCCTCCTGCTATCGCAGTCGGGATTTATATTCAGCCGGTATAACCCTCTGACTCGGGTTATATCCTCTACGTATATCATCATACTTAACCCATTTACGGGTACAGGTCATGGCACCCAGGCTCAGCACTCCTTATTTGGCAATGAAAAAGACGTATACCGTACTCGCGCTATTAGTGCCCCTGGGGCACTATTTTTTCAATGTCCATCACAGATGGGGCAGTATTCAAGAGAGGGCACTATTCGAGAGAGGGCACTATTTTTTCATTGCTGGTACATTTGTGTCATCCAGCATAAAACAAAGAAAAACAGAGCCTAACGTGTACTGTAAACGCTCACGACTCCACAGAAACGGGAACAAGACCTGCGATTTTGTTCCTGAAAACACCAGTGCAAAGCAATGGCCAAGAACATTAGCAAAAGAACACCAAACTTGCACATGGGCTTGGTTACAAGACCGGGGGGGGAGGGGCACTATTCAAGAGAGGGCTTTATTTTTCACTGGCTCTTGGAGACTAGGGCACTATTCGAGATAGGGCACTATTCAAGAGAGGGCTCTAATCGCGTGAGTATGGTATATACGTCCTCAGCGCCTGTGCGTCATTTTCAATGACGTATATATACGTCTTTAGCGCTGAATGGGTTAACAATGTACCTACTTTTACATGACCATGCATGTGTACTATTCCCTTGATGCACGCTGAAGGCTCTTCCTAAAGCTGTATTGTTCAATGTCAGTTCTCACCACTGATGACTCCGCGTTCAGCACTGACTCGAGAGTATCATCCGGATCTGCTACCGACGTATCAATGATGCACACAAGACCATCCTGAACAGACGCGTGCGTGCACACACGCACACACATACACACACACACACACACGCACATGTACATGTACATGCACATACGCAAGCAAGCACGCACACACAACGGCAATATTGAAAATCGTTCATTGCCACGAGATGACTATGGGGCAAAAAATGGCCTAAGAGACCAACCCTCTGCTGCTGAGCTAATCTACTATGCCATAATGGACTACTGAAGATCGGTAAAAAACACTTACTGAGCATCGGCTTTATCTGTACACAAGTCTCTTATGCATGTTCATATACTAACACAAGCGTTGTGAAGCACAGCATGGCCCTGATCACATGACATAATGTATGACATCATTGACACATTGGACACGTTCAATAGACACGTATTGTATGTAGATATGGCAACTACTCACTAGAGATCCTGAGCACAGGTACTTCTTGTCTGAAGGTGAGAAGCAAAGCTACAGCATGCACATGCACACACACACACACACACGCACACACACACACACGCGCGCGCGAGCGCGAGCGCACACATACACACAGACACACAGACTCAGACCTGGTGAAAAAGATTACGTGTCCATACACCAGGTGTACATAATGATCAAGTGCACACAAGATTCATACACGCCTACAAGACGAAATGACTTAATTGAGTGTCACACTATTTATAGATCTTCAAAGTGCTAAGAGTACCCTCGAAAGCAACGCTTCGTCCAGATAATGTGTACAGAAGACAGCACAGTGACATAGTGCACACGCTCTATTATAAAGTCTGGTTCTCTACAAGCCATGGAGTGATTGTCAGTGGTTACACTGGATACTACTGTGCAGTAGTCTATAGTCAAATCAATGCATACAAACACGTCATGACCGTATACATAGCAGAAAGTAGTACTTTACTACTCCCTGATATTTATACATATGTGGCTACAGGACACTGTGAAGCAGCAGCAACATGGGTCTTACGTTTGTGATAGTATCAGAGTGAGCCTCATCATATTCCATCACAGCGCCTCCTCCTCGCACATCCCTGTAGAGATAGGAAGCCAAATTCGTGAGGAAAAAGGAGAGAGAGGGACCGAGAGAGAGAGAGAGAGACAGAGAGAGATAGATTAAGATTCAACTTCTGATAAATTCCGAAGAATGGGCTTTTTCGGCCTTTGACCACTTGGGTCTGATCTACCCACCTCCCATCACTTTAGGAGTTGCATATACACCTTGATAACAGTTACGTGAGAATGGTGGCGCTCCTACGGATGCGGAAACTCAGTCTAACTGACTCTGATGAGAATCGTCACAGTTCTGTGGTGATGTTTAACTGTTTTGCAGTCCCGCAATGAAGCGTCATCTATACCGATCTATACTGATCGATACATCGCTTTTGGTAACGAGCGCGATGAGTCGGCACCGATGTAGGAGCGGAAGAACTTAAAAGATGATGGTACAACATGCTGATCACAACGCGTGCAAGTAAGCCACAGAGGTAAGAAAAGAAAGGGATGGCCACCAGCTGTGCTCTGTGGCTCTAGTGCAGTCAAGCTGCATCGCTATACGTACGCACACATACTGATTAGATTACGAGTGCGAGTATGAACATGTGATTTACTCCATGTATCAACACTACAGAGTAGAAGTGCTGTACGGCAAGTAGATGGCATGTGAGTCCCACAACAAACTCCTGCAACTGAAAATTATGAGTTACCTCCGGCAAATCGTTTGAAACCCTGACTTACCAGAGTAAGACACTTGCTGCATCTTCTCCTTCTACCTTTATTGCCTCTGTACCAGCAGCAACACGGCCCGTCTCCCCGCAGCATGCCACGGATGATAGCTGTCCCGTTCCTGCACATCAGAATGAACAAACGAGAGATAGGACATATGTTGTGGAAAACAGCCTGATACGCTGACAAAGCAAGCCGGTACATGCACAACACACACCTACACAACCACACACCTACAAAAAGCTAAAAACACATCCTGACACGATCACACACCCACACAAACACAGCAAGGTAGCTTCCAGTGCACATGTGTACCTACACCTATGCAGCTTCACTGTACTCAAGTATGCCATAGTTGCACCTGAAATACACGTGCATAATGCACACATTCAGAATCAGCACTTTAAACCGGTCTTTGACATGCATGGATCTGGCTAGACTTACTCGATGTTGGAGAGAATTTTTTCATCGCTTCCTTTTTGGGATATCGTACATCCCAGCCTCTACACATAGCGAAACAAAAGAGTACACAAGTCTTGGCAATGCTGCATTTCGAACATCAATGTCCTTGTAGTAATCAACGTCTTTCAACTAATAATATTACATAACCCTATCACAAATACCATGACTGCACATGCACTGTAGAAGCTATAGATTGCAGACACAGCAGAGATCAGATAAAGGTACAGATTTCAGACACACAAGAGACCACACAAAGGGAAAGATCGCAGACACACCAGAGACCAAAGGTACAGATTAGGGACACACCAAGGAGCAGACAAGGGTTTAGATATCCTGCATATTTTGGCGTACTGATAAGACGCATCACAACTTGATTGTGAACAATTGGGCCTGAACAAGTATGTCCTGAATTGTCCAGTGTTACAACCACCACGGTGGCATATTGCGGGCTTACTAGGACCCGATCGTAGCATGTGACGTATGATGCACGTGCAAGTGCATGCCTTCTGCTTTGTACACTTCAGAGCTCTTTTCCAGGCCCTTGGAGGTGCCGTGATAAACTTTCTGTCATTTTGCCACGGTGAATGTCACGTGGCCATTTTCCCATGACAACTTTCCCATTGAGCCAAGTGAAAACGTCAGCCTGAATGTGCCCTATGGAAGGCTTTACTGCACTGTAAGTTACAGGGACAATGCTGACAAAGACGCATGCACACACGCACACACATGAACACGTGTGGCCAACATTGTATTGTGCTGGTATAATGAATACTAGCCTCAGCCTGATCTCACAACAATATAAAAGAGCGATCAGGGGCATCCCAACACACACCTTACAACACCGTCATCACTAGCTGACCAGAGAATGTTCGGGTCGGCACTGCTGGCGGCAATACTTCGCACCGTGTCCTGCAGACCTAGACAGGCCAAGAAGAACACAGAATACATGACATCTCAAACAGGTCTTACTGGCATTTGCTAGCAACTCGGCCAAATCACCTTTTTCACACATAAAAAAATACAAGGTATTGATTGCACTTGGCAAATCAACTACAGTACAACATTGCACCAATCCTCCTGACTATTGGACACCATGCAGATCATTATTAAAGATGATCAAAAGATTGCCTGGCCAGGTTAGCGTTATCACTCTTTGGTTGCACATGTACAATGTGTTTTAGTTCATCTTTGATTAATACCAGTCCCAGCATATAGAAACTAGCAAGGCTATTCTGATAGTTGCTCAGCAATGCATTGACCTGTACTGTAATAGTGATGAACACACTTACCAATGGTGCTCAAGCAGGACAGGGTGCTAGGTGAGTGAAGTCGAATATTCTTGCCTCCTACCCATGAGGATACAAAGATCACAAAAGAACGCAATATAGGAGGTTCTCGATATCGGTGGGGAGATAGAGAGGTGTCACACAATATCAACATTCTGGAGACTTGTCTGATAGGGAGACTAGGCACCTTTGCCAATGACACATCAAACACCAAAGCAAGATACTTCATACTTCCTTCTTAGGCAGAGCATGCATGTTCCTGATTATCCTGCCTGAGTGGTAGAACGGAAAAAGACAGTTCACTATAAAACTGCACGCGTTCGATGTTCATGTAAGACCTTACAATGCATGACCTCCAACATGACCCAGATGACAGGCTATGGATACAGAGTCAGGCAGGTTATCGAAACCTGGACAGATTATGGACAGAAAGAGAGAGAGAGAGAGAGAGAGAGAGAGAGAGAGAGAGAGAGAGAGAGAGAGAGAGAGAGAGAGAGAGAGAGAGAGAGAGAGAGAGAGAAAGAAAGAAAGAAAGAAAAAAGAGAGAGAGAGAGAGAGAGAGGGGGTGGGGGGTGGAGGGGAAAAGCTGACAAACAAAAGTTCATCAGCAAATCTACCCTTCCCAAGCACCCACTGTTGTGGGGCTTTCAACACAACAAGTTCAGACTGACCTGCGGCAGCAAGAACTTGATCCGAGCTAGTTCTGCACAAGAACAACGGGCACACGTGTGAAAGGAGAATTGACTGCTGAGAGGAGTAAAGAACAGAGCTGGGCTAGAAGGCACTTCAAATTAGGGCAGTGTCGGGTAGTGGTTTCTTTCGGTATCGGAATGGTTTACTGACCAACACTCAGTCACACTGAGCCAAACTCTGCTGTTTGCTGACAGGTCATTGGATGCCATTCCCCATCAATTGCCCAGTATGCCAAGAACACAAGGTGCAGGGACAGGGGTGCTCCAAGCCTCATATGCGGCTCTATGCCAAGCAGAGCCTCAGAGACAACCAAAAAGAACTTGGCAGGGCAGTAGGTAAGTTGGCCTACACCTGCAACAGTTCCTGTCCTGTATTGAAGCCGACAGTAACAGTGTTCTACACGTAGCAGGAAGTACTGTAGTAAAAATAGAAGTATTTTACTACTACCCTGGTGTGGCTTGTGCACGTCAAGGAGAATCTTAATTGCAATTGGGTAATAAATTATTGAGCTCTGTTCCGAATCCCTTCCCAATTCGGACCTTCCCGCAACCAATGCGCTGACTCGATCCACATCTAGTCATACAGCGGCTCACACAATCATTCTTGAAGATTGTATAAGAAACTTTCTCAGGTTTTCAAACCCAAATTGCAGATCTTGCTGAACTTGTTCAACTCTGTGAACCAAGAACTCAGTATGAGTCCTGAGTGCAAGTTATACAATGTACCAATGTGCAATGACCTGAGGAGAGTGGCATAGTGTGCTTATATAGCAAGCAGCAAGGCGATAATGTTATCAGCAAGCTGACAAGAGACACAAGCGGAATATGCAAACATCTAGAAGAAAGTTTACAGGTGTGAAACAGTGCCATGTGCATGTGTGATAAATGCAAGATAGGTGACAGTTCCTTCGCGACACAAAGCCGTTGTGCTACATGAATGGTATGCATGGTAGGTAAGTACAGAGCATCTAACATGGTAAAGTCATGATGCGTGACCTCCAAGCGTTCACATGCTGTCAATGGGTGACACAACTATTAGTTCCTTGGCCTATGCTCATACATATTCCAACAAGCTCCCCTATTTCTCTGCTGGCCATGATAATATTTGCTTTCACTGTGGGTGCCGAGATGATATATCACTTTTGGATGATCACTATCCACTCTGTAGCATGTGCCAGATGGTGAAAGTGAAGTCCATGAAAAAGCGCTTCGGCGCTGCCACAAGTACTTGTTATCTTTCCGCTTCCTGCCACTGCTGACAGTTCTGGCTATTGGTGATATCACCTTCACTACTTTCTTCATCATAATTATTCTTTTTGTTTCTCAGTTTCGCAAGCCGTGCCTAAGTCGATACAAGTATATGTACAAGGATTATCTTGGTTTAACTGCATGACAATTCTTTATCCTTTACAATTACTTGTAATGGATAAAGAATTGTCATGCAGTCAAACCAATATTTAACAGATATGAACTCTAATCGACTTGAGAGGGGGGCATGTGCATCACACACTTTTTGCGAGTGTGTGCTTACAAGCTTCTGAATGGTGTAATCCTAGCACAAGTCGGTATGTCTAACATAGCTTGCTCGCTATCATCGCTACAGCGATGGGCAGGGTGAAAGTGGAACTGCACGTGACCAGCACATGCATATGTGAGGGGGGGGGGGGCATATGCATTATGCACTTTTTGATTCTTCCAGCACCAAAACGGTTCCAAAATGAAGAGAAAACGGAAACGACATGTGTGAGGATGTCAAAACCCACTTGACGGCCGTGCAAATGGAAATGAAGCCATGTCGTGTCTCGAAAAAATGACGATTGACTGTCACATGGCCTTCTGTCCCCGGGGAAAATTGCGGAAAAAAATCGCAAAAAAACGCGGGGAAAAACGCGGCATAATATGGCATAATTTGCGGTGAATTTGCAGTAAATATGCGGTAAATATGCGGTGAATAATATTGATGTGCGGCAATTTTCAGTGAGTATGTAGTGAAATCAGTCAGTTACAAGTCTCTGGTGTAAGTACTCGTCATATTTGAGTAAAACGCCGCCACGATGAGACGTTGCTGACCGAACAGTGCACTGTGTGTACGTGTAGTGCAACAAAAAAGTTCAAAAAACGCGGGAAAATCGCGGAAAACGCGGTCTTTTTAAAAATCGCAAAAAACGCGGAAAAAAACGCGGCCGCGGAATCGCAATTTTCCCCGGGGACAGGGCCTTACATGGACAGCGGGGCATAAAGAAATCCGACCCTTCGTAGCAAACAGCGCCTCGTCCAGGCCCATGTGTACCATCAGCATGTATGCATGATGTCCACATAAAGCGCGTTCCACATCGCATTGGTTTACCTACTTGCCACGTGGCATGGGGTCGTATTTCTTTGGCCCCAGTGTATAATGGCTGTTATGGGTCATTCTCATCAAGAGCTGACAGTATGGCAACCCAATACAGTCGTCCCTCTCTAATCCGGCACTTGTTTATCCAGCACCCTTGCAAACCAGCACACTTTCTGGCGAAACGGGTTTTTTCAGTTCATTTCCTACTCTTTAATCCGGCACTTGAATTCCGCCTCCAGCAGCGCCTTTCTGCAACAAATCGCTCAAACTGTACATAATTCGATTTTATAATCCAGCAGTTGTACATCGCATACCGTACGGCCGTGCACAGCTATAGTATGTCATTTTGGTCAGTGCATGACGTGCATGAACTAACTTATCAGGGAGCATTCTACAAATGTAACATACACTTGGGAATGTCCTATGCACTGTATAGACATGCATTCCACGAAGTACTTAGATGGACACAGAAAATCCCTGCGTTTTGACGTACAATACAAACATGTATGTTAATAGGTGGGCCGGGTTGGAGGGCAGGATTTGATAATCCAGCACCCTTGTTTATCCAGCAGAAAATGCTGCTGCAAAAGGTGCCGGATTAGAGAGGGACGACTGTATACCAGTACCAAGAGTACATACCCCCCCCCCCCCCCCCCCCCGAGAGTGTGCAACTCGACTATGGGTGCTGTCACGACAGAATTTCAAGTTGACGTCATTTTTATGACGCAATGCGCACTGTACACGGATTATCAGACGAATCTGGAACCTGTGGTGGGCCAAAGCCCTTCTGATCCTGTACAAATTATTGCAAAGAAAAAATGTTGTAAATCACTGGTGCAAGGAGCATTGCATCATAAATAATGACGTCAACTTGAAATTCTGTCGGGACAGCAGGGTATGTGGGAGTTGCACACTCTTGGGGGTTATGTACTCTTGCCAGTACATATGGTTGGAATTTCGACGTTGTGCATGTTTTGCTCACTGCTTTTTAGAGCACGTAAAAGTGACCAAAAGCAACACAAAAAAACTCAGAGCAATCTAGTATTTTAGTATTTAGTATGTATGTTCCTTGGTCCTTTTTTTCTTTTCTATAAATTTAGTATGTGAACTTACGACACTAATGATAGTCCACACAGAGTATCTGCCGATTTGGCTCTGTATTCCTGGCCAAAATCCATCTCCAATGCAGTTGCCAAACGCCTACAGCTGCTTTTGCTTGCAGACGAAGAGTCGAGCTTTCACGATGTATTGCAATATCTGAGAGGGCTATTGTGAACATCCGCCTCTAAACGTAAGAGAGCACGGATCGCGGAGGCTTGGAAAAGAACTACTTCTATCCACGTACAACGTTGCTCCACTTCATAAAAATAAAGAGGATTGATTGGGCTGAATTTTGTATGTTTTATTATTTGTTATGTTTATTTTCTTCATGATCCAAACGAAAAAATGTCAGGGAAAGTCCCGTGACCACATGCATGATGGCATGCAGGCTACATTCATAATAATTATTATCATGAACATGTAGATCTACCTACTGACAGCATGAAACAAGGTGGAGGACACTGTGTTCGGAAACAGTGACCTTACTACAACCTTCCACGGCTGGCAGAGTTCATAACCCCCAGGGGGTTATGAACTCTTGATATTACCTACTGCTATGTTCTCTTGCTGCTAGTTACTGTTACTTGCTTGATTTTTGGAGTTTGGTTTACTACCCTGCACAGTAAGCTAATTTTCTCTTGCCACCATGTGCGGAGAGACCTTGCCATCTCTTCAGACTTCTGCACACACACACACCGACCGAACTGCTGCTCAGATTTGCATGCTGGATGGTTGCCATCATATCGGACGCCTGGATTGGTTCCAGGCTGTTGTCAGAATGACACATGAAGCATGCCACCAAGAGTACATGAAAACGGTTTTCATGTACATTGTACTCTTGATGCCACCTAACTATTCTTGACTATAGAAAACAGCTAGCTTTCAGGAAATCGAGCGGTAGTGATGTATGGTTTCGGCATTTCGGTGCCAATCTTCGCCATCAGAACCAAATAAGGCGAGGTCAATATCATACTTGCTTCACACTTGCACATGTACTCAGTCACTTCCAGCCAGGTACTGTACTAGTGACAACTTACGTTGTCCATTAAGTATTTCACAATTAGTTGACAAAACTTCAATGCAATACAGTTTATAAAAACTAAACCCCGATACCAGGGGGCAATAGAAAAGTAAAAGAATAATAGAAAGTAACTTATCAAGCAAAGTACCAGAAACTTGCCAAAAGCTACAATGCGGATCCTGCGTTGTCACAATAAGTCAACAGCTTGTGCAGAGCACAAGACATACCAATGGCAAAGATACCACAAAGTCCAAGAGGGAAAATAGAAAACATGTAGCAAGGAGATAATACGGACAACCAGTAGTAATCTTGTCTATACGCCAGGCAGCGTAAACGTATTTTGACATAGCACGGTAGTGAAATGGGGATAAGAGAATAGTCGCACTGGAGCACAACTAACTGAACCAGTGCAGATTAAGTTATAAACACACACAAACACGCGCGCGCGCACACACAATGTAGAGCTTTCATTCCGGCATCCAAAGGACATTACAGTTCATGAAGGAACGTGCACCGACACAATGGAAACCATGTCAAAGAAACTTGCACAAACATAGCTGATGACAGTACTATCACTAAACGCATCGTTCTCCTTACAGTTCTTACTGGCGTTCCTTTACAAGTTTCGACATAGTAGACGAGGTCACGAGATTAAACTTCAATCACATTTCAGAAAGTACCATCGACTGGACACTAGTATTTCTCACATTGCACGAACCATTCGTATGCAATTGCGATCATGTAACGCTTACTGCAGTACACGCCAAGACACTACTGTCTTATTCCACTGTGAGTCCACTGTGAGAAAGTTGTACGCACTTCATCTCCAGATATGTAGCCCGTGGCAAGGCCATCCAACCCTAAATCTCCATTTCAAACTGATTGTCATCCTGGGCTGACTTCTCAACTTCTTTGGCGACTGAAGGCTCCTCTTGGATTGACTCACGTTTTTTAGATCCCGACTCTAAAGGAGAAGTTACTCCTGGAATCTTGGGAAGGTTTGTTGGAGGTGTGCGGGAAAGTGGGGAATCGCGCATGGCCAGAAGCTTGGTTCGGTCATACACGATCCTTGTGCCTCCAGGTGTGGTTGAAAACCAGGTTCCACCAGGTGTTGAGCTGTAGTCCACTGGTAGTTGACTGGGATCCGAAAGAACAACTTTCCGCGTTGGAATGTCACGGGAACAAGATTTATCCTCAACAGTTGTCGCCATAGCTTCCTCAGTCAATGGCGTGACAGATTAGACCAAGCACTCACCACACAAATCCACAGACAGTACAAACAGATGAACTCAATCCTACCTACGATATACAAACTGGAAGAGCACTATACATCAAGGTGAAGAGGACAACTACCACTCACAGTGATCAAAGACAAAACTAAAGTCACGAAGCGAAGAGACGAAAAAAATGATCGTGATCTTGCATGCGCGCACGTTGTAAACACGTAAAAAATGCATACCTCGTAGAGTCGTACCGTATCCGGAGTACGGTAGCTCATTTCACCAGCACCCACGTCCACACGACCCCAACATGTAGATCTACATGAGATCTACGTGCTACGTGCAGTGCAGTCCCGATCCCGGATCCATATCCCTACGGTAGAACTGCAACCCGTCACCCCCGTAGATTCTGGCTACACCTCCTGCCGTTTACGTCGTTGCAGTTCATGTCACGTCAGAGATGGTGACGTCAACAATGTACTGATATTTTGGCAGTGAAAACTGAAAACAGTAGCAGTAGGATTGACCCTCCTCAAAAGGAGTTCACAAGACTTCTCCGATTGACTATTATTTTTATTTGTCGCTGTTGGATGAAAAGACACTGATTAAATTCACCAGTAGTTGTATTTAAGACATCCAGGCTGTCTGTGTTGCTTTTGTCTATGATGGAGAATGGTCAAGACCCCCTTTCTTTGCTTGCAGAGACGAAATGCAGGTGAGCCAGACTTAGATACTTTCGAGCATTTTTTTTCAGGATGGAATTTTATGTTTGCAAGGGCTGAGTACGAACAGGAAAACAGTCTGTGCCTGTATAAGCTGTATGGTTGACTTTGACAGATGTCAATCGGCACTGGCAAGCATCTTTAGTAGCATCTTTAGTAGCATCCACTTGACCAGAAGGGCACGTAGTCTTCAGGCCAGAATCAAATTCGGCCACATTTGGAAAAGCCCCCCTCCCCCATCCACGGCTCAATTAATCAAGGCCCAGGGGAATACAACACCTCCATTTCTGAGCCTTTGGTGCCCTCAAGCTAAAGCACGACTCACAATGCCAACTTCTGCAATGCTATTCACAGCATGTGTTACCTGTGACCCGTCGACCGCAACACTACTGCAAAAAGTAGATTCTCAGTCTTTTTGGTTTCTGCTACATGTATATCCAGTGCAGTATGCATGGATGTACATGTACACCGCATGTGCACCTAGCGTATAGCATCGTACTCCATTGATGTGCGTCACGCGTCACAAAAGTTGAGCTTTGGTCAACTTCTGCGTCAGTGGCATTGCGATTGCATGCAACAGTACTCGGCAGGCATTTCCTTGTCGCACGTCGCATCGCTGAAGTGATATTGTGAATCCATTCACAGAGGAAGTCAGCGATGCCACATCGCCTTACTGAGGCTGCGCTTGCATGAGAGTTTTCAACTTGCCATGGACACAGATCGGCTGGGAGCGTTTACCTGACACACTGCGCTTGACCGGGTTGAAATCGAGAAATCGTACTACCGTAAAATCCAGCCAGAGCGCCCCTACCTCTGCCACCCTTCGAGTAGGACATATGCCTAGCTGAATTGCAGTTTACAAGTGGGTTGTACACTGTCCGGCCAGCAACTGCTGAGGCTCCATGCTACAGTCAACTTCGCTAATGACGACTGCGGGTATAACAACAATTCGCCAATAACGACAGCATTTCCATGCCCAGAGCAAAGTACCATCTAACTGTAATACATATAACGAGACTTCGGGTATAAGGACACTTCGCGAATAAGGACACTTTTCTGATGCCCGCTGAGTGTCGTTATACGCAACGTTAACTGTACATAACTACTTAGTATTGTGTTTCCGATCTGCAGGATATTTCATCATTTTCAATTTGTCATGCTTTGTCCATACATGTACTGTTGTCAATTTTTTTTTCGGGGGGTAACGGCCTCTTTTACGGGCGAAATAAAGTCATGTAGACGTGAAAAAAATTGAGATACCATGAAAGGTAAAATAGAATTTTATTCAAGTACAATACATTGGGAAACTCCAAGAAATTCCACGTAAAACAGACGAAATTCAGTTCTCAATGGCCGATGCCTACCCCAGCACCATCCTGCGTCGACAGGCCTGTCAGGCGCCTTCTAGACCCGCGTAGCCGGAGTTCGACTGCATGGATCACTGCAAATTGGCTGCGAACTCGCACCCAAGTCATGATGATTGAAAATGGCTTGTCCCACTTGAGGGCGAGGCGACCAAGTCGCTTCTGATAGCTGGCGTATTCGCGATGTAGCACCCCATCCATGGAACAAACCAGTGGTGTGAACGACCCATGGAGGTCCTCGGAGGCCTGACGGTACAGTCAACTTCGCTTATAACGACACTCGGCGGGGCATCAGAAAAGTGTCCTTATTCGCGAAGTGTCGTTATACCCGAAGTCTCATTATATGTGTCACAGTTGGATGGGACTTTGCTCTGGGCATGAAAATTATGTCGTTATTCGCGAATTGTCGTTATATCCGCAGTCGTTATACGCGAAGTTGACTGTATTTCTTTTTCTTCGCGTTAGCAGCGCGGTTGGAAGTAGCTTCCCAGGATGAATGGGAGTAACTGGGTGCATTGGCATCAATGATGCGATTATCAAAAAACGCCACCCTGTTATCCTCCCACCCACGCAAGCCAATCTGCCCGAAGAACAGGCTGCCCCGTCCGATCACCCTCCGGCACCATGATCGGCTCGACGACAACACCACCGAATGCCATATCAGCTAGCTTTGCATCGCTATCACGCAGATCATTGTGGCCTCGCTTGATAAGTCCACCTTTCGGGCAGTCAAGGCCATGCCGAAGAGAGAAGGGCTTCCCGCAACCATCACATTGCGCTGGCAGGGCAAGTGGCTGCCGACCATAGCGGATGGCAAATTGATCGCGGAATTCTGTACTCGACAGATCATACCCCTCGCGCTTCAGGGGCAACACCGTAAGCCATCCGGAGGCATTTCCCCGTACGATGCGGGAGAGGGTGCGCTCCTCAAGCTGTGGCAGGTCACTGAGAATTGATTGGCTGATTTCAGCGGAAATCACATCTCGTTCCCTGCTGATTTGGCTTGTGATACTGTTGTCAATGATTCCAATTCTCATAAAAATACGGACAAATACGGACAGTTAACAACACTGTTGCAAACTGTTCGCGTGACCTCGCACTTAGATTCACGTGCATTGTAGTGCATAGAATCTGATGAGCATAGCTTGGTGAAAGTTCTTGCGATATGGTCTCTGGTGGGGCTGACAACAACCTTCGGTGCATAATAGATGATATGCCAAACAACGTGCAACTAGACTTGGGAGGGCATTGCACACCAGTTGCATACAAATTATACTACAATGTGTACACGATATCCCCTGAGCTCTCATCTATTTTGAAGAGCGATAGTTGTTTGCGTCGCAGCAGACTGAAATAATATTGTTCATCGTACATTAGACATTAGATATGCCTGTTGCCAAAAGTGATTATCGAAGACATGTATTACGGTAAACCTCTACTAAGCGAACCGGTAACATCTTGTGCGAAATGTGTACTGTTCAGCACCTTCACAGTGTAGGGTCATGCGTATCATCAAGAGTCCATAAGGGGATTATGGATTCTTGGTATCATTCTGTGCTGCAGTCTTTTTCTACTACGTGTACAACGACTTTGAAATCTTTATTCCCTCTTCCGAGTAATTTCCTCTATGGAGCAATTCCGCTGGCAAATCGTTGGTTTTGTCTTCCCTGTGGCAGGGGGAGTTCATTATACTGAAAAGTGGTGTTTTGTGTGGGTGTTATGTCCCATGGCCTTAGTGTTAGTTCAGTGCTGAATCGTGATGTGAAGCAATATGGCAAACAATTTCTTTTCGATGGAGATGAAGAAACTTGCTGGAATTCAGATCAGGTATGCAGTGAACTACATGGTATCATAGTTTCCATATTTCAAGCTGCATGTGCGCGTGACTTGTTACATCATCATGTGGTATGCTTTTCTCGTTCCGCTTTAAGAACATGTGCAATCCTGCCTCAGGTACTTGAACACTTTAGGCGAGCTGCTTTAAAGGTGTGTGGAGAGAGAGAGAGAGAGAGAGAGAGAGAGAGAGAGAGAGAGAGAGAGAGAGAGAGAGAGAGAGAGAGAGAGAGAGCTTGTGCTCACGGACCTTCGCGTTGGTGGCTGTGTTCACGTACATGAAAGTATGCATGAGATGCGTGCAGTGGCGCTGGACTTATATGAGATATTGAAGTAGGAGCCACTCACCACCACATCATAGAGCTGTCCCTACGTATACACGTGACTTTATCGGCCTTCCGCGTGTTATCTACATTGTAGGCGTCTTGGCAATGCCTGGGTCCACCAGCTGCTCACCTGTGATCACTTTAAAATTGGTCCTGTGTATTTTTTTTTAATGGTCCTGTGTTGCATGCAAACAAATATATCCCCTGGAGCAAACCTGGTCCCCCCCCCCCTTAGTTTTTACTTTACAGATCAGTTGATAGGACGAGGGTAAGCAGCAGCTTTCGACCTGTTCATGAGACTGCATGTGGGGGGAGGGGGAGGGGGGGGGGGGGGACTGCTTCATTACTGTACAGACTGATCTCCGAAATCCGCATCAGATTCTATTATCTACACATCCACAGAATGTTAGATGCTGTGTATTTATGTATATGTAATAGATCGGCAGAATATCAGCCTATGTACACCACTATTGTTATGGATCTGCTCTGGTGTCCTTGTGCTTTGACGATTGTGTAGGGAGAACAGCAACACATTGCCCTTCAGTTTCCCACTGCAGTTATAATCACATCTGTAGTGATTCGTTTTCAAGGCGGCTTTGTTGGCAAAGAGTGCCGTGCTGAGGGCCGCTCTGTTGCCTCGTCCAGCATGTATCACATGTGTGATTTCTTTCCAGAAGACATCAACGCTGTTCAAATATCCTCATCTGCTTCCTTTCACGTGTTAGCACATCATGTTTGTTGGTTTATACATGTACTTAAATTATAGTATAAAAAACCTCCAGTCATTTGCGTGTTCTAAAAAGCAGTGTTAAATATTTCTGGTAATCACTCATATAAAAAACCTGGTGCTTTAAAAAACCTGGTGCTATAAAAAACCACTTTTTAGGAAAATGACTGGAGGTTTTTTATGCTATAGTTTAAATAGAATATAAGCTTCGCCCTCGTGTTTACGGGACTCAGCTTATATTCTGAAGTAAAGTACTTTAGTGTTGGTGTTTGTATGCCAGGGTTTTATTACAATACAGTACTGTCCGTTCTTCGGCGCCCGACAGTACTGTACCGGTAGGTGATATGCTAGTATACATGCATGCAATACATTCAAGTGGTGTGTCATTTGACTTCGGAATGTGTGCATGGTCTCATGCGACATATCACGATTCACTCTGGTGAAGTTGTGTCACTGAAGCTGTGAATACATTTGCAATGAGGATGTAACATCAGCCTTATTGAAATACCGGTAGTGCATGGAATGGAACTCAGAGTGAAGACAATCAGAGTTTCCAACGCTACATGTATTACTAAAGCCAAGAGTGTACATCCGCCCAAGAGTTTGCAATTCTTCATCAGCTTGCTATAGCACGGACTGTGAAAACTCACATCACATGGTGTAGTGAAAATAGCACTCCCTGAAAAAACCCACACAACTTGTGCTGGGCGGCATCAATATGATCATGGCAGATGTCCAGCTTTCGCGTACGCTGGCCTTTGTTGTGCGTACAGTGTTCGGAACGTACTTGGAACACATGGTGTGAGTTTTGCCGCCGGCTGCCCTTATCCAGAGTTGCACACTCTCGTGGGAGGGGAGGGGGGGGGGGCGTAATACTCTTGCTAAAGCCGATGTACTTGCATATTTGGTAGGGTGATCTTTGCTTTGACAATCCTATCACTATATGCAATATTGTTATAGGTGATTATCAATCGCTTAGTAAAATGTGGTTTGTGACAATGAATGTAAACTGGAATCACTGCCCTATGCGTGGCATGGCCTTCTTATGCTGGCCTTATAACACACTTGGAAGTAACATTGTAGTGTTTTGTCCATCTGTATGAGACTTTGTTCTGGCTAGATCCGGTCCTTAACCTTTTTTTGCACAGATTTGAGATTACATGCGCAGAGCCAGTGGATAGGCTGCGGCTCGTCTTTTCAAGCTCAACAGATTTCTTTGGCCGGATCACTATCTACCACCTCGGTGTCCTTGGCCATATGGTAAAATGAATGACACACAGACACATGCTGACCATGGGCATTCAGTGATCTCGCTACAAAGCTCTCGTCCCCGCTGTGTACATTGTCAGCAGGTATAGTGGGATTTGCTGGTACTAGAATGCAACTAACTTCAGTCCGGCTTTGAAAGCAGTTGTGCATGATTGCAAAGGATGCAATGTGTTCTTGCAGTGGAAAGTATGCGAGTTACATGCTTGCTCTCCTGTGGCCACTATCTGCGCTTGCAGTAGCCATCGGTGAAATATATATCGCGGCGTTGATCAGGATAGAGCTGCCAGACCTGGGAAGGCTACACTTTGGCCCGAATTGTCCTGAGTGGAACAACACACAGGCACTGGCAGTCTATGACTGAAGAGTTGCACTGGAGAAGTGGATTGTCACAATCCTTGCTAGTCAGGTGGACATTCGCTACGTTTCAGCAAGTTCATTTACAAGGAAATTCCCACATTGAATCACCATCACATGGATATAGTGAGCTCTCGTGAGCAGTCCTTCAGGCCCTACGCTTGCATGAAACTCCCCTGGTGGAGAATCCTTCGAATGCAAACAATAAACCTGGCTAAGTCAAGGCAGTGACTCTGTTGCCTGCACATTTCCAATGGCTTGCAGTTGTCAGTCAACATCAATGGCACCTGTAAGGTCTGGTGTTGCTTTCCATTGCCGTTGAAACTCATCACTGCTCTATGCTCCCTCTATGTTTCATAACACTGGCAAGGATTTGAGATCTTTTTTTGCTTGGCATCCTCATCAATTTCAACTTCAATGCCAGCTCATTTATCATTTTTAAAAGTTCTGTTGCTGTAAGCCTGTAACCAAGTGGAAGCTACCTTCCTTTTGTATTTGTATTAGTATTTATTTCCTTTTACATCACAAGTCACTGATCACGCCCAATGTTATGATGGCAATGGAAAGAGAAAAAGATAAGGTAACCTGGATAAGTGGAGTGAAGAAAACAGAGAGCCTACCGATTGTAGAGATCTCTCGGGGTAACGACCATCCTAGCATTAGCCATGAAAGTCAACTTTCAATAGATGCTTGGATTGAGATGTGTTAGGACAGGACCAGGGAGCCCTACACATAATTATGGCATGTGTAGGGCTCCCTGGACAGGACTACAAAGGGGGAGGGCAAACCGTTGCTAACGAATACTGGTCTGTGAGATCCCGAAATACTGTGGATGCTTGGTAGGGACAGATTGCGGAGTTGTTCACTCTTGTTTCATCAGAGTTGTACTTGTAGTAGGGAATTTTTTGTGTGCAGCCTTGCTGGTCAAGCTGCTACCAGTATAGCCACTGTCCTACTGCTACACGTCATACCAAGAATACTTAAACCGTGTATATACTCTCGGTATTACATGTAGCAGATGCTTTGAAGTTTGAATCACCATGTAATTTGCCATTTTCATGTGTACCCTCGACATCATCACGGGGGACACCTATCCTCCCTCAGTGCTCCTCCCCCCAGTTTAGTTGAGGCAGGTCACACTACATAATATCCCTCTCTACTGGCTGTGTGACTTTGTATGCCACAATGATGGAATCACGGACGTGCAGTGAATACCTGTACTACAATATTGTAGAATGTGTCTCGATACTCCTGCACCAGGGAGTCGTACTCCCTGACCTGCACCATTTACAATGGCATGTAATCATGGTGATGTTGTGAGATGATTATCAATTTGATCTTGGATTTAGCGTACATTTACATGACGTGTTTGTGTGCATACTTTTGGAGATCGGTGCAGCCCCCTCCCTTGAATCGCACTCTTTACTTGCCTACTGATGGCATGCATACACACAGTCAAGAATATTTTCTTTCAAAGAAAACAAAAAAGATTGTAAGTACGATGTAGGCATTTTTAGCAGAATAATCATAACCAGGGAGTAGTACAATACTACTCCCTGATCATAACCTCCCTATCCCTTGGTTGTACATTATGTACCTGTGACCAGGGAGTCGTAAAATACCGACTCCCTGCCTGTACTCGATATTGGGTTGATCATAGAGGAAGGAAAAAAGAAAAAAAAAGCGGGCCTGTCCGGGATTTGAACCCGGGACCTCTCGCACCCAAAGCGAGAATCATGCCCCTAGACCAACAGGCCGCCATGTATTACTCTACTTGCAAAGAGTATAAAACCCCGGTAGTATCATCTCAAAGTATGCGAGGCTGTTCGAGTTTGAAATGGGATTTGAAATGTTCAGAAGCAAATCGTCTACAAATGTAGCATGTTTGGGTAATTACTAGGACTAGGAGATAAAGAAGGATGATCTCTTTGGTCTTTGTTACCGTTTCCTTGACGGTCAATGCGTGTATATTAGCTGCAATTCATAATGTTCAGCCTACGCCTTACATGGTGGGTGTGGTGTTGATGTCGAATATTGGCTGCAGATTAGTATTTGAAGACAATTATCTATCTCCTTTGAACTTTACTGGTCATTAGGATGAGATCTTTCACGTTCCTCAGACTGTGCAATACTGTCATGGTAATTGGAGCAGTTGGGATCCGATGATTACCACACTCCCTGGCTTGTGAGTGTTTGCGGCCTTGAATGATCAGATCACTGGATTTCTCTGCTGGATGCTTGGTGTGCACAATTAGGCAGACTGAACATGAATTTAGTATCTGATCGAGTACAATCATTCACGTGTGCGTATATCAGACCAGTTCATGAACTATCCATTTAGAGAGAGAGAGAGAGAGAGAGAGAGAGAGAGAGAGAGAGAGAGAGAGAGAGAGAGAGAGAGAGAGAGAGAGAGAGAGAGAGAGAGAGAGAGAGAGAGAGAGAGAGAGAGAGAGAGAGAGAGAGAGAGAGAGAGAGAGAGAGAGAGAGAGGCAGAGAGAGACAGAGACAAAGAGACAGAGACAGAGTGAGAGAGAGGCTTGGTGGTTGTAACATGGGCGCGTCGCGAGTGGGCTGACTTATATCTGCACCCCAAAGCTGTACTGTACTGGCCTGGTCCGGTATGTCCATCTAGTTCGTCCCTAGTCAGACGTGATATAACGGTGTGAACACGCGGTGCACTCATTTCACAATCCACTTAACCCTTCTAGTGTTTAACAACAATATCCAGGTTATTCAGAACCTTGGGCAGCCATAAACTCATTCAAAATACGCTGAAAGACATAATGGCTCTCTCTCTCTCTCTCTCTCTCTCTCTCTCTCTCTCTCTCTCTCTCTCTCTCTCTCTCTCTCTCTCTCTCTCTCTCTCTCTCTCTCTCTCTCTCTCTCTCTCTCTCTCTCTCTCTCTCTCTCTCTCTCTCTCTCTCTCTCTCTCTCTCTCTCTCTCTCTCTCTCTCTCTCTCTCTCTCTCTCTCTCTCTCTCTCTCTCTCTCTCTCTCTCTCTCTCTCTCTCTCTCTCTCTCTCTCTCTCTCTCTCTCTCTCTCTCTCTCTCTCTCTCTCTCTCCGGTCAAACGTTCCATGTGCAACATGAAAAATCCCACAGTTTCACTGGCAGCTGACTTCTTCTCCTTCTCTGGCATGGTGTGCTCTTGTTAGGTACATCCTATCAAATGGGTTTCTTCGCATCGTGTCCATTTTCTCCGGCCTGCCTGTGACATCTTTGTGCTCCACTGCCTGGTTGCGGTGAGTGTGATAATGAAAGGCTTCGGAAATGTTCATGGTAGAATCCACATTGCTGCTATTTCTGACAGTGATATTTGTGTAACCACGTTTCCCAGACATTTGTGTATGTTGAGCATGTCCCAGCAACGTTTGGTCTGCTAGTGTAGTTAAGCAATTTTGATGTGCTGGGCGATCGGTGTCGGTAGCGATACTAGCGAAGGTATGGTCTGTCCTTTGACATGCACTGAATGCATTCTCGCATGCAGACAGCTGCAGTGCCTGACATGTGAAGCTACTGTGTGCAAGATCCTGCTCACATCCGGTGAGTCTGCAGCACTCGTGGTGCCGTTGACGCACTGCAGTATGAGTGAAGTAGCTGTAAGCTCGCGACTTGTTGTCAGTTTCCACTCACTGCACTCCCTAGGCCTGTATGTGTTGGATAAAATATAGATCCGTTCGTCGAGGGCTTGAATTGTTCAATAGATTTAAAAAATACTCGTTCGAAGAATGCATGTCTGGTTTAACCACTACAGTATATTATCTTCTTGGTTTCCCATCCAGTGCCTTCAACTCACTGCTGTCCGGAGCAACAGCGTTTGTTTTGATTCAGCTCGCCTCAGCTCTTCAAGTTAGCACCGATGTGAAGCCAAAGCCTTCATTTGGTAATATACCGTAAAGTCGTGTATAAACTATATAGGCCGCGGCTTATATGGCATTGTTGGGGTAATTTCGCAGGCTTCTATTATAATTATAAGACAGGCCTCTATACAAGACAGGTATTTCTATGTATGTCAACACTAAAACCAGGCTTATGTGTCGACCGTGTATCTTGAAAATCAGGATTCTATTCAAGACAGGCTTCAATATGGGACAGGCTTTAATACAAGACACTGCGGTTGCTGTTACCGTGTCTTCTATGTGGATATCATGTACATGTACAGTAAGACCTGTCTAAGTTGACCGCTCAAAGGACCATCCCAGTGTGGTCCCGTGTATTGGTGGTCTCCTTTTCCGGGGCCATTTGGCTGGAAAAGACACCCTTTGGTCTTAGCTGTAGTGGGTGTCTAGGACAGGTGGTCGCCTTATCAAAGTGGCCGCCTTGACAGGTTTTGCTGTACTTCAATGTTCCATTAGTGTGGCTGATCCGTGCTTTACGAGCACCTATACTTTTTGGAGCCATCCTAACTTAGTACGATGTCCCAAGGGCGTCGGAAGCGGTACGACTGGTACGGCTCGAGCCGTACCACTTTTGGCTCCAGGTGGTCCACGCGGAACGTCCAAATCCGGTGTAAAAAATGGGGGTATCGAGTTTGTACATGACCACACGTGATCGTGAACCGCGGTCCGTTACCGGTGCACCAGTCAGGTCACTGCACCGTGTAACGCGTGACTAGACTGTCGACTACGGAACTGCGTGGGTATTTTGAGTGTTCTTTGAAAAACATTTCCCGGGGGACGTTTCCCCCGGACCCCCTCTGACTGTCGAGCCGTACCACTTTCTACCTCCTTCCGACGCCCCTGTGTCCGGAACCCACCATGCAACAAATGGAGGTTATGGGAATGGGGTATCGCATATGGATTGCATAGGGTGGGAACCAGGGCTAGCTTTGCCTTGAATGGCAACTGAGATTTGAATGGTCAGTTTGTAGTGAGTGGCAAACCGGACACGCAGTGCTAGTATAGAGCAGGGAGTAGTATAATACACTATTATACTACTTCCTGGTTTAGAGTGACAACGTGTCATCACACAACCGTTATTGCTGAAGTGAGCTTGTTCCAATTTGAGGTAGATGTGAGTATGGATGAGTCATAACAGGAAGAGTCGAAGAAAACCAACAAATGTGAGTCTCCGCGATCTACAATGAAAGATCTGGAGACTGAGAGCTGGAAGACAAACAAGAGGAATTACAAATCGAACTAAGGCCGTGATTGTTTGGACGGATCCAGATCCAGATCCGTCAGATCCCACTGGATCTGCAGTGATCGATTGGTCGAATCCGGATCGGTTGATTCTGAAGGATGCAACGGATCTGAGATCTGGATCTGAGATCTGAGATATGGATCCGGATCTGAGATCTGAGATCTGGATCCGGATCCGACCAAACGATCATAGCCTATGGGTAAGGGTAGTTGCCCACTAAATAATACTGGCTGGCTGTATTTAATAAAGGAAACTTTTTTTTTGTCTCCTATATTCCCCAAGTGATATCACATGGAAGTGCCCTGATCACTGGACCATTCAGCCATTGAAAGTTCAGTGAAATGAGAGGTGTAGTTGACTTGTGTAATGGTCACTCGGAGAGTTGGGCATCCAGTTTGAGCGCCGTGTTTGTGTTTGTGTGTGCATTTGTGGTGTGTTGTGTGCTGCAGTTGATCAGCTGTCAGGGTTTGTACTGTCGTTCTTTCCCGTTCTTTACTTCTTCTCGTTCCTGTACTACACGGACGTGCTTTCGACGCTCATGGTTCTAACATGCTACTGGTTATCGTGTCGCAACTTCCATTTCCTTGCCGCCCTTGTAAGCGTGCTAGAGGCATACTGTGTGTTTGTGTGTGCGTGCGTGCTGTGTTGATGGTGATGGGGACCTTTTATTGCTGCATGCCCTGTGTGCAAGAAGTACTTGCACTGAGAACGAGGCTATTGCATTGGATTTTCCTGTTTTCCAATCTGGATCAAAGTACATGTATAAAGAAAGCAACCTAGCTTTGTGTACCTGTGTGTTTGCACTATCTTGAGTTGGATTTGAATTCCTCCTGAACCTTGTTCGTAGTAGGGGTGACTGCCCGGGTAAGGCATCCTGCAGCTTCGTAACTTATGAGAAAATGTTGAGCAGGCATGCTCTTTCCCTCAGCACTGCATATTTCACAACTCGATTCACTGTATCAGTGCAAGCGGGCAAATTGCGGGAGGCATTAGAGAGTAGAATTTTGGGGATTACTGACCATGGGTATCATCGTGTATTCCTAGTGAGCAACCAAACACCTACCTGATGACAACTGCGCTGTGTATACATGCATGCGCGTAGTACTAGTGCTAGCTACATGTACCTACCAGAAGCCCCGATAACAATGTCTGTTAACCTCGTTCATGTACATAAAGAAACATATTGACTTGGTTGAGGTGTAGAACCAAAGATGCCGTCATGCAGATCAATTTGAAATGCATATTGTGGGCAGCGCATGCCTTCCTGTATCAAGAGAAATCCTGTCGTATCAGGATAGATTCCGCTGCGCCAGGGGCGTCCGGAAAAGACAGGCTTTACTCTACTGTGGCCTTAGATTGAGTTTGTTTTCCAGTTCTACGTCCTGCTACCAAGACTTTATTCGATGTGTACTGTTTTGTATGTGTTTGTGTATTGTCTTGGCTCTGACAGGCTGGCGCTTTTAGTATCTGTTGTCGCCAAACGAATGTTGTCTGGGTCGGCTTTGCAGCTGCGATCTCCGCATTGAGGTGAGCTCATGCTGAACTTCAATCGTCCACGCACGCTTTTCATGCATTGTTGGATGTTTGGTACTTGTAGTTTTGTACATTGTTCCTCACCTCGTGGCATGCTTTGGGAATGGGTGGGTGGTGATAGTAAGTAAAGTAAGTGTGTGTGTGTGGGGGGGGGGGGGGGGGGGGATAGGGGGATTTCACCGTGACAGCAACCCATTTTGAGCTGAACACTTTGGATTTCATGTACTCTTGTTATCATGACTGGTCTGGAGTGTCTGCAAGAACAATGCCTCTGGCAATAAAAATGGTGATCCTGAAAACATTAGTCTGGCGTGGTGTGAAAATCATGCAACAATGCACTGTCATATAGCTTTACGTCTATGATGAATACTTCACCCGCCATAGCTTTTCAAAAACACTCCCAACACTAGTGCATTGAATTTGATCTAAATTATACGGATTGCATTTTCTTTCCTGTGAATTGTGCTTGTAGAATTCTGGAAGGGAAGTCCAAGACATTTTCATCTGGTATGCGTCTGGGTGACTTTTTCTATTTAGAAATTGCGCATGAAGCAAGTATAGCATGTATTCATATGTGCTTTCATAGCGAGTTGCATTACAGTGAACAGCGACTTCTTCCATTCTCAGTTGCCCACCAGTGACCTAGCTAGGGATGTGGTGATTTTAGTCAACTTGAACAAATGAGTGTGGTGATTTTGAGCTGTGTGCCGGCAGTCATACCATTCATGGCCCCTCATGCTGGGGTTGTCAAAAGAAAACACCGAGGCATTGCTGATTTTGATAGAGTATCTGTTGTGTGTGTATGTGCATGTGTGTGTGTGTGTGTGCGTGTGTGCGTGCGTGCGTGCGTGCGTGTGTGTGTGTGTGTATGTTATGCTCTCTGCGTGCTAGTGTCCAAAAGTGGCAAGGCACTGCTGTACTTACTACCCGAGGCTGTTCGTCACTTACCCTCGCTCGTCTTCTCACTGTGGCCATACATACCCGTTCTGCTGGGATTTGTCGCGTTTGTCTTCTACAATGATGGCATAGTTGTTGGTAAGGCATGGCAAAATGGCAAAGAACTGAACAATGCTACATGTACCTGTATGTGCCTTTTATGCATTTATGCGGGTACCCCAGCAGTCAGAACGATTTATTATCTGCAACTGCCACTGCAGGTAACAAATCACTCTGACGTTTTGTGTTGCAAAGCTCTGCCTTGGGGTATTGAGTGTTGTGTGAGCAGGGAAAATCGCCTATTCTGATTACATGTGCATGTACGAGGATACTAAGAAACGTGGACATCACACAACTCCATTATATAGAAATGGGGGGGGGGGGGGTTGTCAACTGACAACCGCTCTATCCATTTGCTATTCACAATCTGCGCATGGGCTGCATTACAATTTCTTTATTGTGATGTGGAAAACGTTATTGACGTTTCGGGCCAGTCACCCATCCTCAGAATAATTACAAGGGGCGAACCTGGCCTTTTTATAGTGAAAGCAAGCGAGGGCGTATGAATGTCCACGTACAAAAAGAAACGAAACACACAATAGCCGTATGAAGTAATTGAGTGTATGAATTTGCATGTACAAGCAGACAAAGAGAAGTGTGCTGAAAGAGTGTACGAGGATATTGATTATTTTATGGATCCAGCCATGGATTCTCATTGACTTGTGAGGGGTCAGCTGTACATGACCAGGGAATCAGGGAGGACACTGTGCATCTCTTTTCCTGGAATCTTCATGTTCCTGCACTGAGAACTACAGTAGGATTGGTCTCACACCAGTTCACAATGGAGGGAAACATTGTTTGTCATAACTCTGAGTTTCATGGCAATCGGGGTGGTTGTTCTCAATTCATTGAGCTGTGCATATTCAATTCACCATGTTGTGAGAAACCACTCATTACTTAGGTGGTGTAGGTGCTTCTTGCTGTGGCTAGTATAGTGTGTTGCTGTGGCTAGTATAGTGTGTTGCTGTGGCTAGTATAGTGTGTTGCTGTGGCTAGTATAGTGTGTTGCTGTGGCTAGTATAGTGTGTTGCTGTGGCTAGTATAGTGTGTTGCTGTGGCTAGTATAGTGTATTGCTGTGGCTAGTATAGTGTATCCGTCATCTGTTTCCCCCCTTATCGCTTTCTTTGCTGATCTGTGGGATTCAGTCAGCCAGATCTTCACATCAGGCTGGTGGGTCCGGGGTTTTCTTGACGTGTGGACTGGTGTCTTGATTCTTGTTTCTCAAGGGGACAGATCCAATCATCAAGTCTCAATTCATGCTGCCCAGTTATGCTACTTCTTATTGTAAGTCACACAGCCTGGCCGTGTAGGCCCAGCTGCAGCCTTCTTCAAGTTTCATCATAACATGATTGTGGTATATTGATAACTGACATCCCTCTGCCTCATACATAATCCCCAGCACCCCTATCGTTAGCCACCCTGCTGTGGCTGCTGCTGCTGCTTTTTGCAATTTCGTTGTATAGTCCCACCTGTGTTAACGGAACACCTCCATTATCCGAAATGTGATGGTCATTACAGTAGCAGCTCGTTTCCATCGGTTGGTTTCAGGAATGCTTTTGCTTCTGTCTCTTCCATAGAGTAGCACATTCCAGATCATGACTTCCCAAACTCCTCATGAGTGCATTTTTGTATGATTTAGTGATAATTTATTGTCGTCTTGTTCTTTTTCAGACTGTCTGCTGCCTTCGCATTTGGTCATTTTCTTCGCCGTGACGTGTAAGACCTTCTCACTTTGTGAACTGCATGGAACTTGTATTCTGTTTCTGTACGTATTAGACTATGGTGAGTGACTGAACGCTCCCAGCATTTGCCATTGAGCCATCCCTTTCCGCTCACATATGCCGCTTATACGATTCTTAATTCTAGTGTGTTGATGTATGTAAAACGTCCTTTCCTTGCAGAATATACGGAACACTGGGCTCACTGTGGGAGATGATAAAACAGTAAGTGATGCATCCGACGACGACGACTCTAAGCGATGAGTTTGGCAAATTGCTCACTAGTTCTTTTGCTGTGTGCTTGCTGTCACACAGCAATTGAGTGTGGCGACCAAGTGTGGATTGGATGCACAGGTGCAGGATGCATGCTTGTAGTCGTGTTGTCATTCTAGTGATCAGACTAGTTGATGATGTAATATTATTGTATTGGTTTTGGTGTACTTGTAGGCCGTATCTTCTCATCTTCTTCATCTCTGGTATGTTCGCTATGCTGACGAAAGGAAGGTGAGTACATGTAGGTTATTGATGTTCCTAGCCTGACACTGTGCTTTGGCACCATGCCATGCCTGCACTAGATGCTAGACGATATCCACCCGCTGCTCCTCTGACTGTTTTTTAGTACTAGTATACGTTTTGCATATGAATATGCATGTGGGGTTGACACCGTTGTATTTGCATAGATGAAGTCAAATGCACGCGTGCTGACAATCCGTGATCATTGGCCTGCCCGCATTGCAATCAGTTGAACCATTTCAATTACACAGTAGCCTGGTTTTGTTGGAGTAAGGTTGGGAATGCATTGATATACAGGTAGCTACTTTGAAGTTGCTAGTAGTAGATCTACAACCCAGTCATCATGTCTTGTACAGACTGTTTGTAAGTTGTATATATCGACACGATGAATCCCAAACTGATGAATGGCCGTCAATCCGAACTTGCTTTGTACTGCCACACTCTGAGATTGTGCTTCATCTTCGGAATACTGATTTTATGGCGGGGTTGAGCAATCGTACCAATTGCTGAATTCTCCGTGTCATTCTCTGATGATTATGCTGTGCTTCATTCCTCTTGTCGTTGCTGGATGGATATGCTTTGCTTCACTGTGCTGGTCTCCCTCTCTAATAACAGCCTCCATCACTTCCTTTCCCCAGGAGACTCCCTTTGATAGGCATCCATTTGGCTCTGGAGAATCCTTGAAAATATATTGTAATGTAATATGTGTGTGTGTGTGTGTGTGTGTGTGTGTGTGTGTGTGTGTGTGTGTGTGTGTGTGTGTGTGTGTGTGTGTGTGTGTGTGTGTGTGTGTGTGTGTGTGTGTGTGTGTGTGTGTGTGTGTGTGTGTGTGTGTGTGTGTGTGTGTGTGTGTGTGTGCAGTGTTGTTCATCAATACCTGCTCGCTGACAACAGACACTACACATTCTATTTGTGGAAGAAGATACTTGGGTACGTGCTGTGCAATCACTGCTTCGATGCTCATTGAACAATAATGACTGTATTGGATGTAGACTAGAGCCATGATGTTTTCCATTTCAGTTTTTGAGTACATGTACATGTACTGGGGGGGGGGGGGGGGGGATGTTGTGAGAACGTGATTCTAATGGAACTTGAACCTATCATGCTAGGTGTTCAACTATCCGTCCGTACAAAACTCCGCACTCCATGGAATAAGAATGCATACACATAGATTGTGTTGTAAGCAATGTGACGGGGCACGCTGCCTCAGCTGCATGCATGTACTTCTTGTGCATGTTAGTGTTTGCACGCACGCACGGGCTCGTATATGCATGCATCTGTGGTCACCTCTCAGTTTTTAAAGGCCCATTACTATCAGATCTGTAGTATTATTTTATTATTATTCCACAATCACGATGACGTAGTGCCAATAGCCATGTGGTGCGGGCGATTTTGATTGTCTTGTGTACACTGTACTGTGTGTGTTGCCCTGCAGGCCAGCTGTTCAGCGGATATCTTTGGTGCCCCTATGTCTGCTGTGCATGCTAACACTGTTCAGTTCCCTTCGTAAGTCTACTGTGTCCAATGCTGGGCTAGTTTGTCTGTTGCATGTTTTCACACGTGTGTGTGTGTGTGTGTGTGTGTGTGTGTGTGTGTGTGTGTGTGTGTGTGTGTGTGTGTGTGTGCGCCAGCTAGTTCGGTTGGTGGGTACACTTATGCCAGATAGTGTTGGGCCTGTTGCCAACGGGCTCGGCTGCTTGAAGGTGTATTGTTGTACAGGGGCGGATCCAGGAGGGGTTCCAGGGGTTCCGTGGAACCCCCTAAATGTCGTACATGACTAGTAAATGTACTACTGGAAAGCATATGCAAGTACATGTACATGTATCAGCTATTCAGTTTTGACTACACTGGAACCCCCCTGTAGAGATCGCTGGATCCGCCGCTGTTGTACCTACCACCTTTGTTGGTTTCAGGGTTCATATACTTTCTATTTGAAGTATACATACCTGTTAACCATGGACTGCTTCTGGCTAGATTAACTCTTGTGTAATCAATGGTGCTAGTGAAGCTTATATCAGATCCATACTGATTTAGCCACCCACACTAGTACCAAGTATTACCTTCACTGGGGGCAGGGGTACCTGCAGTTGGATCCCGGGACGGATACCCTGATGCCGTCAATCCTTTTTCTGCACCTTGTCCTCACCCACTTACTGAGGTGTGGTGAGCCCATAAGTGGGATCATTTCAAGTCCACCCTAGTTTGGGGATTTCAGGGGGTGTCGGCCGTTGGGGGTTCAATGGCCAATTGAGTCATCTTTCCAAGATTCCTTTTGAGTCTCTCTCCCCTCTCCCGGGGAGACCCACGTGACCAGTTTTGGCAGTGAGCAAGTACAAGTACAAGTGTGTGTGTGTGGTGTGTGTGTGTGTGTGTGTGTGGTGTGTGTGTATGTGTGTGTGTGTGTGTGCCATCAATCCTTTTTCTGCACCTTGTCCTCACCCACTTACTGAGGTGTGGTGAGCCCATAAGTGGGATCATTTTCAAGTCCACCCAGAGTTTTGGGGATTTCAGGGGGTGTCGGCCGTTGGGCGGTTCTATTGCCTATTGAGTCATCTTTCCAAGATTCCTTTTGAGTTTCTCTCCCCTCTCCCGGGGAGACCCATGTGACCAGTTTTGGCAGTGAGCAACAAGTGCAAGTACAAGTGTGTGTGTGTGCGTGCGTGTGTGTGTGTGTGGTGTGGTGAGGGTATTTTTTGGATCTGGCTATCTTTGGTGTACTGCTACTCTCTAACTCTGAGTCTGTTCTGTTTGTTTGCTTCAGGTCTACATCATGGGAAACGGCCTGCATGGTAAGTGCTTTTTTTGACTCCCGACTCTCTTCCCCCCCCCCCCCCCCCCTCCCACACACACACCAGGGTTCTAACTTCTCGCCAAAGGTAGGGGGCACAGCCCCTACTCTGTTTGCCGCCCCCCCCCCCCCCCCCCCCCTGTGAAACAGTACCGCCCCTACTCATTTTCCGATTTTTGTGTTTTTTCGTGCCATTCAACGAAAATTCAGTTGATATTTAGCACTAGAGGATTCATAAAGGCACATTTGTCTGCGGTGAAGTTAGGTGTTCGCCTCATACGCTGCATTTCGCATTGCAAGACAGTTATTTTGAAAATGGAAAAATAGGTTACGGGGTAACTGTTTTCCCTGCCCCCCCCCCCCCCCCCCTACTATTTTGACCTGGCTAGAACCCTGCACACGCATAGCTTTTTTGCGTTCTTTTTTTTCCTTGCTGGGGGGCACCTATAATTACAGCTTTTTCAAGGACGGGGTGCCGTTCCCGCCACCGGCGCTCACCCCAAGATTGTGGTGAACAGGTCGCATGTCAAAACACATTGAAAAGTACCGTATATTCTCTATTATAAGCACAGGTCTCTATTACTAGCACAGTCTCTAATACTAGCACACTGTGAGCACCTTTCGAAACATTATAAGCACGGTCTCTATTATAAGCACGGTCTTGTTGGAAATCAATGCGGCATGCATGGTATCTAGCATGTATTTCTTCTTGCTCTGTATGGATGTATTGGTTGAAAAAATATAAGCACGGTCTCCAATATAAGCGCGGTCTCCAGTATAAGCACGGGGTAGAGGGGTGTTGAAAAAATATAAGCACGGTGCTTATAATAGAGAATATACGGTATACGAAATGTAACAGGTTCGTCTTCACCAGCGCTTGGAGCGATTGTGAATCTTGTTCTTTTTCGCCCAAGCCATGGAAGGGCTTCCTGGCAACTGCTCTGACTCAACACGAGTGTCTGCCATCAAGTTGAGCACCATTCTAGTGCTTCTTTCACTTCCATGCATCCATTCCCATACAAAGTGAACGTGAACTGGGCTTAGCCTGTTCACCAGCGATTCAACAATTTCTCGCACGTGACCCAAGAAAATGACTGTTGGTCCAACCTTTAGACAGCTCTATTCTGCCGTGATCAGCATGGGCTGCATTTGATTGTGGAAGCTGGATCCCGATCCCCGCCAACCAGATCACTTTGATCGGACGAATGCAATCGAATGTGCACAACTGGTAATCTGTTTCAAGACCTCAGTAACCGCATTGCTATAGCTCATCCCTTACTATTCCGTGGTATCTGTACGTAGTACTGTAAATTCTTGACCTAGGCCCAGACAGATTCTGCCGGCACTCTGTCTGGGCCTAGGCCGGATCCGGATTCGCCTAATTTACACATGTTTGGTTGTACGAATCCGGATCCCGCTCCCACAGATTCGAATCTAGTCAACCCACCTTACAGAGCCGGACTTAATGGATTCATTTGCGTTGTATCTACTCGAAACTCCAAATATGTGACACTAGGTCAAGAATTTACAGTACTACGTACAGATACTACACCTTTCACACCAAGGTTCAACTCGAGTGACAGGAATGCACCCAAACAGGCTGTAAGTTGTACCCTCCAGGCACAGTGACCAGGTGACTGGTATACCCAGGAGCACGTGACAGCTTGTTCAACCATGTTCGATTGGGAATAAGGCCCGAATGCTGCATCGCAACCTTTTCGGACCAAAGCCAGTCGACTCAGCGTCCAAAAGACATATGGGCCAATCGCGGTCATCCGTGCTAGAACAAAATGGCGCTTTTAGTGACATTCTGCATACAAATCCCCATCTAGTAGGGCGTAGTCACCCAGTTTCGGTGGACGTGCGCGAGTTCGATTGGGAATAAAGGAGGAAGGGAGCGTCTCAGCTTCCTCCCCACTTTTACTTATAAATATCAACGAATTGAAAAAGCAGAAATTGCCGGCAAAATCGGAGCAAAAGATCGAGATTTGGGGTAAAATCAATGCCTGATACTTGGATTTCCTTGTTTCTTACCCATTCAGCATGATACACTGTCCAGGACGAGATCATGTCACCGAAATATCACTGGGATTCACTGTGGATCGACATGATTTTGGAAGAACCCAGTACTTTGTCTTCTGTCGTTCTCCTTACTTGCCTGCAGGCTGTTAGTGTACCTTCTGGCAACTGCTGCAGTGTGCATTCCCCAGAAACTGCTTGAGCTGCGCTATTTCATTGTCCCGTATCTTCTCCTTCGGTAAGTGCTTGGGCCTGGTTTGGGAATGCACATACTCAGGTAAGGTTTGTGCCAATATAATAATTATTCGGTTGACAACCAAATAATTCTTATATCGAGATACTCGCCATCATCAGCCCGCATCACTCTTTTAGTTGCGCCAGTTCTCTCCAAGAAGTGAAAGTGCAATCCTCGCCACCCGTTCCAAAGGCATCGACTCGACAAGCCTTCTGCAAAGGTCAGGGATGATCTTGCCCACATCTCCTGGCATTCGACCCAGAGCTCATCATCATTGCGGAAATAGCGAGTCCTGTCTCTCTCTGTTGGTTGAGGATCTCCCACAGGTTCTCAATTGGGTTGAGATCTGGGCTCTGTGGCGGCCATACCATCACCTCAAACGGTTGCTTTTCCAGCCAGTACTGCGTCACCTTCGCAATGTGCTTGGGATCGTTGTCCTGCTGGAAGATGGCGCCTGTAGGGAAGGCCGTCGTGGCCATGTGTTTTTTTTATGATGTATTTACTATTTGTAAGAAAGGGTTTGCTCCCCACACCGGAGCTCGCGCTATTCCGCCGACTTTACTTGACACTTGACTGACTCACGACTGCCATCCAGAGCACACGAGAAGTCCATCGAACATTCTACTCGGCAAACCTGCAAGAAAGCACCACTCCCTGCTCAATACACAGTGTTTCGGGGAATTCACCCCTCATCAGTTGAGCTTGAGTAGGCTGAGGAAGATTGTGCCTGAAGAGCACCACTTATATAGTGCTATCCAGGCACAAACATCACCAGGGATACAAACTTACAGAGACGCTCCGTTTCCAGCGCGACAAACACCTCGTGAACACCAGATAGCAGCGTGAGTCAGTGTCGCTCCTGGACGGTGAGACAGATGTCGAGTAAAGTAGTCGAGTCAAGTAAAGTCGGCGGAATAGCGCGAGCTCCGGTGTGGGGAGCAAACCCTTTCTTACAAATCATCGCCGAATTCGCAACCACTACTTCGTACTATTTACTATTTATTCAATATTTCTCTCAGGATGTGAAATATGAAATGTCTCAGAAATTCAGTTTATTTTGGAACGCAATTTCGCGTACATGTAGTGATTTAGCCTTTAGTTCACGAGTCATTTCGTGGGTTGTTTGTTTCTTGCGTTGCACAGTGCAAGACAAGAATTTGCACAACTGCACAAGAGTATTGACGTTGACTCTCAAAATGATTCTTGGTCGCATTTTGTTTGTTTCTGTTTTGACAAAGGGACATGAATTTTCGTTTTGTCTTTTCTCGCATTGTTTCCTTTCATTTGTAAGCCGCGACGCCGTCGCGTACTGCGGTACGGCGGGTCACGTGCTGCCAAGCTGCTGCATTCTTTGTTCACCAGTACGCAGTGTTCACGGCTACACTGCATGCATTGTATAAAACAAAAAATAATTATGAGTCATTACTCATAATTATGTTTTGCTCTGCGCTGAATCCCGATCCCGTTTTATTCCCGTAATTCCACCAATAATTCTCACAATAATAAACACGCGAAGCTGAAACAAAGAAAAATGATGGCACCTATGTACAGGGGATGGCCCACGCCTGGTATAAAGTAAACGTAAAAGAGGAAAAAGTAGTACAGTGAAATCGATAACAATAGTTCAGTTCCCACACAATACCGCTCCTGAGCCGGATCAGACCACAATCCTAGCCTCGGCAACCGCCAGTGCGGCAGAAGCAGAGACGAGGCGGTGGCAGTGGATCGGTCGGCGGGCACCCCGAAGACAGGCAACACTTGCACGCAGGAGGGCGAAGCTCAGCCGGGCACGAATCCAGGCCATGACAGAGGAGTAGGCTTCACGAGTCTTCTCGGACAACATGGAGGCAATGCGCTTGTAAAGAGAAATAGCTGAATTGCCCATGCCACCATGTGCCGAGAAAACCACAGGGATGAAGCCTGCCCGCTCAACGTGCCGAACCCTTTCTCCGTAGGCCCGGCGCTTCTCACGTTTGTGTCGCTTGTAGCAGGATGCCGCAGATGATGAGCAATTTGATGAAGCGTGCGGGTTGAAGACCCGGACGTCCAGGTAGCTCCGTTCAAACCGGCCGCCATAGATACCGCTCACGATAACATCCAGCCGACCCAGGTCATCCTGCACAGCTGTGCGATAGTGCAAGTTCTCCCCGGTCAAGGGCTGTAGGGTTGGCTCCACGTTGACGTCATGCGCCACACGACCGAGCAGCTGCGCCGTGAGATCCCTCACCTCATTGTGCCGCATGATGATGAAGCCGCCCGTAGCGCAGGAGAGAGCATGTGCAACAGTGAACGCTGCACCACACGAGCAGGTTGATGGCAGTCGGTCCGGGTGCCACCCATAGCGAAGCGCCAGCCCATCACGAAACTGGGCCTTGGACAGGGTAAAGCCATGACGTGCTAGTGGGCGGCATGTAAGCCAGCTTGAGGCTCCTTTCTCGCTGCCAAGCTCCATGGCACGCTTGACTGGGGGAGATGCATCATTTGCGAGCTCCATGGCACGGTGGGCCACCGACCTTCGCTGCTCACGCCGTACCTCACCTTTGCGGTCCCTGACCTCAGCCAATGACTCTCCCAGGATACCAACCTGAGTGTTCATTTGATGGACTAGCGCAGTAGTGATGTGCCGAGAAGCCGAGTACTGACTGGAGAGCGATGTAGGATCTGCCAGGCCAAGACCACCATGGCGACAAGGAAACCCAATGAGGCTGCGGTACTCTTGGTCGATGTGTTGGCCAGTCAGCACTGGGATCAGCTCTGTAGTGATGTGACGTTCCAGGGGTCCCAGCTGTTCAGCCGCCCCAGCTAGTGTTCGACAGATGAAGGTCCACTTGTGCTGAAGGCCTCTGGTGAAGGCACTGTATGCTGCCTGAGGTTGCGTGCGTGCATACTCTGTGAGGATAGCTACCTCAGCAAGCCATTCCTCACACTTCTTCTGGACAAAGTGCTGGCAGTACTCCGGTGTGCCGATGGCAGCGCCAAGGTATCTATGGCCCTCACCGGTGATGCGGATCCCTGAGCCGGCAAACACTCTTCGAGCTTCATCCAGACACTCAGGTTTGACTACGAGGACTGACTTTGAGGGATTGGCTTGATAGCCAAAAGCTGGGCCCCGTTCCAGGAGACGATCCCACCATACCTTCAGTCGCACCATCTTGCCGCCAGCAGATGCATCATCAGCATACCAATGTTGGCATGCCCCATCAGTAGCCACGGACGTGATCAAGGGGAGGATGCCGATGGCATAAATTGGCATAGCCAGCGGGTCACCCTGCGTGGTTCCCTCCCTTGACTGGATGGTTTCTCCCCCAACATGCAAGTTGGCGGGGCTGCGGTAGCAGTTGATGACAGTCGTTGCTAGGGCTGAGCATGACAGGCGGATGTTGTGGATACATGCAACACGGTTGAGGCTGTTAAAGGCGTTACTGGCGTCAGCCATTAGCACACCGTCGACATCCGGAGAGTTGTATACATCCATCATGGCGTGAATGGTGGCCTCAATGCCACAGTCTTGGCCTGCGCAAAGTTGTTGGCTACCTGCTGCTTCCTGGATATCATTTCCAATGATTGACATGATTGCTTTTCCAATCACACGTCGGATCACCTCGCCAATTCCAATGGGTCTGACCCCTGGGTTTTTGGCCAGGGGCACAAGCCGAGATGCAAGATTGGCCTCTAGAGAGGAGGGGTTGACATACTTTGTTGCTAGGTGGCGTGCACAGCAAGCTAGAGAATCGCACAAGGCATCCGAAGCATCCGAAAAGCTGGTGCATAACGAGTGCCATGTGGCAGCGTCCACTCCTGATGGCCCCGCAGCTCCATTTGTGTGTAGAACTGCCTGGCGTATGGCATCTCGGTTCAACTTCTCAAATCTAACTGGGTGGGGTGATGTGGGGAAGGGTCCTTGCATCAGGGCTTCGTGGCTCAAGGGGGCTGCCTCAGGATGCTTTGCCTTGAGGACCTGTCGAACTGTTTCCCCGGAAATCTGATCGTCAAGCTTGAGAAGACCACCCTCGGCTGATCCATCCAGCTGGCGTAGCGCAGCCGAGTTTTTTCCCATCAGTAACCAGGGACGCGAAATGTCTTGCTGAGTCTTGTACCTTGGGTCTCCCGGTGACCGACTCGCAATTCAACTGCCGCTGGATGGTCCGGCATTCTTGTCTCAGGTCACAGATGTCACCTCTGTTCCATGTTTCCATTCGGCGCAGGAGGATATCCGTGAAGGTGTTAGGATTGGCCCCCGGTGGCTTCTGGAGCAGTAATAGTTGGAACGTCATGGCAATCTGCAGGGCGGCTCCCTCAAAGACTCAGCCATTCCCAAAGCAGGCTAGGTATTGGGCGAGTTGCGCCACAAAGGATTTCCCCATAGTGCCGCAAGGAGGGCTGAAGGTGTTGGGCCTGAAGTGCATTCCTTCTGCATAGGCTTCCCTGATGGCGGTCATTGTGAGTTCCTTGTCCATTGTTCCTAGTGAGAAGTCTTGCCGGATGTCAGCAGGGAAGTCAGGGAGATCGGCTGCAGCGTTGGGCTCCATATCCTGGTTGGTCTCATCCCTAGGCGGGATGTGGATCCCTGGGTCCCCTGCAAGCTGGGATTGCGAAAACTCCAAATTCGCCAGTAGGGCAACCTCTTCTGTTGTGGGCCCAGCAGCAGCTTGGGCATGTGTGTGGATTTCGCGTGGGTCAGTGTCATGCTGTTGGTCTTATATGTCCCACGCCAGCTGTTGAGAATTTGAAACAGTCTCTTGTCGGCACTCCGCAAGCAGAGCAGACGTGAGTGACTCTGGGGTCTCAGCTGTGGTAGCCGGCCTCATTGTCGTGTCACGCTGTGTACTAGTAGGTCTGACATTGTCAGGATGCTTGCAAGTTGACACTTCTGAACTGGTGCTTGACTCCGCGGATTCCAGTAAGTTCCATGCTAGCTGTTGAGAGCTTGAAACATTCGACATAGCAGCGGCGAGTGCGGCGGAGGCTATGTCATCCGCTGTGGTTGCACCGGACACAGGCGTGCTCTGAGCGGTGTGTGTGTTGGTTGTCGATCTTCGGTTGGGCGACGCAAATCCGAGTTGCTCAGGTGGAGCTGCCCCTGGCTTGGGTACGGTACTAACGGCTGGCTCTTCTCGTACGGTGTTCTTACAGTTCGACTTCCGTCCTGGCGCGCAGCTCGTGCACTTACGATTCTCTTTAGCACATTTGCATTTGTGGCAGGTGCCATTGCCGTTGCACCGGCAACATTGGCCCTTGGTTTCCAGATGACGACCCCCTGGTGGTCCTTCCATGCTGTCCGGCATACCGTCAAAGCATTGTGCGATAGAGTCGCCCGCAGAGGTCCAAAAAACTTTACAACGCAGAGCTCCAAAAACTACGACTCCCTCATATCACATCACTGTCCTTTCCCAATCCCGATCCCGTACTAGTGTAGAGCTTTTTCAGAGTTTGTTTTTCGATGAGGCTCGGCAAGCTCGGCTCTTCGAAAGGAAGAGAGAAAGGGTTGTCTTTTGTTGTTTGCCAAATCTATTTTACTACCACGAAGTCTTCCCGTTGCGTGTGAGAACCTGCATGACAGCGCCGGTGTTCCCAAACAGATCCTTCATGCTGGGCACCATATGCAGCTTCAGGATCTTCAGGTATTGGTTGGATTTCATGACACCCTGGACACTGTAAATCCAACCAACACCTGCTGCTGACATCGAGCCCCAGACAATGATTCCGCCGCCTCCGTGTTTGACGGTTTCTCGAAGACACGTGGGGTTAAGAGCCTCTCCAGACTTTCTTCTTACATCTTTTATGCCATCTGAGGCCTTCATTATTGTACTTGGACTCATTAGTCCACAGCACTCTGGCTCTGAAATTGCTCCATGACAGTGTCCGCCAGTCTTGCTGTGTCTACGAGGGGTGCAGAGGCAGGCACGGTAGCAGGGATGGCACAAGCTTGTGCGGGCATGCGCTGCAGGAACAGCTCACGGAGCAGAATGTCATCAATGTCAGTGGTGCCTCGCAGCTGCTCCATCCGGCGCAAGAACTGTGTAGGCTTACGATCGCCGAGGTCTTCTGCACTCAGCAGCTGCTGTAGGCGCTTGTGCTCTGTGTCGGAGGTGCGATTAGTCAGCTCCCGCTTCAGGACTGTGCACGGGTCGGCGGCAGGAGGTCGAATGAGTAGGTCTCGGACCTCAGACACCACCTGAGAATCCAGAGCCGCTACCACATACTGAAACTTAAGAGAGGTTCTGCACAACGAAAATTCGAACGAAGTTTCGCGACAGGCCTTGCGAAAATGTGTACGAATTTTCGCACGAACTTTGTGTTCTGCACATTTTCGTAGTTTGCACGCGCCAAGTGCACGTACAACATGACCCAATCTCACGAAACTTCCTACGAAAGTTCATTTCGCGTTCCCTGCAAGTTTCGCGTCCAAAGTTGCGAAAGTTCGTGCGAAGTTTCTCACTTCGTGACGTAGAGCGAAAGTTCGTACACATTTTCGTTTTGCAGAACCTCTCTATAGTCAGTTCTTTGGGGATGCCTTTGATCTGGAAGGAGCAGCCTCAGCTTGGGCCAACCACAGCTCAGGGTCGGGTGCCCAGAAGGGTGCTAGCTTCACAGATACCGCAGCGACAGATGCGGGGTACCTTCGGCAGGAGTAGACATTCTGGCGGCAAGGGTGTGAGAGGCAGAAGAGGTGGAGCTGAGAGCAGACGGTGTGGAACCTCGCCCAAGTCCAGGAGTGCGGGATGGTGTCGTCGACATACTCGGCGATGTCTAGAAAGACGAAATTCAAAAATGCAAAACTAAACGTGTACGTGAGGTGCAGGCAAAAACCGTTGACGGCTAACACTGAACACCTAGTATCGGGGTCACCAGTTTGCGGGGACTACTCTAACAAAATGCTGAGTTCTGTTGGAAACGGGAGTTCTCCGCCACAATATAAAACGATAAACACAACTACTAACTATGGCGAAGGAGAGACAGAGAGAGACACAGAGAGAGAGATGACGTCATGCAGCGAGGTCGCTACAAAGGCCTCAGAAGTAAGCAGCGTGCCGAAAAAGGACACGGGAAAATGCAAGCACAGCAGAACGGTACGGTGCGGGTGAACCCTAGTTGAATCTGAGAGAAAACACCGTAGGCTATTTTTGGATACCCAGGGCCAAAAAGGAAAGTGCAGAACTGTGAGAAGTGCGAGGTGCAATTTAGTGAAAAATAGGGATTTCGTAGAAATACCATGCGGTTTGGGAGCGGACTGCCACATCCCTGGAAGCAAGTTTCAGCCATGCCGCACGCTTCTTGCGAAAATCAACATTCACAGAATCTTGCATTTTCACTCCCCGCCACTCTAATTCACCATGGAAACTGTATCAAGTGTATAGGGCTTGAAAGTGATGACGTCAAAACGGCCAGGGAGTAGTAAGTTGACATCAGATTTCTATTTTTGGATCCACTAAGGTGTGACTTCGCTATTGCCTAAGTATGTGGGTGCATAGCAACCCACTCATGTCGCGTGCAGGTGTGACTTTTATTTCGCCACGAGTTGTAACCCCACCCCCAGTAGCCAAATCAGTCAGTTTCACTGGCTACATCACCATGCTGTGGGTAAGACCGCTTGAAATGTGCTTGGATCCATACAAAAACTGGATCCAAGTGGATCCAGTTTTTGAATTTTTGAAATTGTTGCTATGCTGTGACATAGCACTTTCAAGCCCTATTGTCTTGGGATGATAATCACTTTCAGAAATCTTCACCAGCAAAACAGGGCGGCAGAATACTACAAATTTACCATAAAACTATATTTTTGGCCCCCCGGCAAATACTTTTGTCCACTACTGTATGACTTCAATTGGTTTCCGTCGTAGGGCGGAAGTCTTCGAAGTAGTTGCCGTTGAAATTGCGCTGACTCGAATGGCCTCCCGGTGAGGCATTGTTGGATCGGCCTCCCCGAAAAATGATCCAGTGAAAGCCGTGTCACCTCGAGAGGAAGCCGCCTGTGATGAACATTTGGGCTATTCGCTTCGTTCTTTTGGTTTTTTTTGGAGAAACTATCTCCAAAAAGCTTGGGGCAGACGTCTTGAATGTCTCGTCATCATCCGCAATTCGGCAAGATCTCGGATCATGCATAATTAACATGACAGAGGTAGAGTGCATATCAGACCTGTTTCTAGTTATGTTAGTCCGGCTGAGAGGTGACAAAGGGTAAACAGCAGCATTCGGCCTGTTTATCTTTATTGAGAGGTGGCAAAGTGGATGTAAAATTGTACATATAGAGAAGGAACAGAAAAATGAAAAATTGAAGGAAAAGAGGAAAGAAGAAGGGGAGCAAGTTAACAATGATTAAAATAAAACGGTGCCTCTTGGGGACTCTTGTCGTCTAGGGTGCTGGAGTGAAACACGATTATTTACACTGTACAGTGGTGTATGAAGCTACATGACATGACATCGCTGGTACTAGCTTTGTGCATGTGTAGCGAACTTTAAAGGGCGATTCACAATACAACTTTCTGCGACGCGACACGCGATTTGCGACAGTTGCGACAAGAAACTGCCTGTCGCGAGCTGTCGCAAACTGTCGCAAGGCACCTGTCGCAGAAGTTGAAGAAAGTTCAACTTTTGCGACATGCGACAAGCGACATACACAAATGGAGTACAGTTTCGACCCTGGGTGCACGTTCAGTGCACGTGCATAGTACTACTTGTGCATGAGGATGTCGCAAACATGAAGAATATTGTGAACCGTGTGTCGCTGTCGCAGCTCGTCGCATGTGTCGCATGTCGCGTCGCAAGAAGTTGTATTGTGAATCGGCCTTAAGTTACACCGAATGATGCGTGGTACTCTGTGTCGTGTGTAACATAGCTCTATTCGAATGAATATTGAGCACTCTACCGAGCCGGAGGACTCTCATTTGTGTACTTGTAGTTCTAATGAATCGCATTGCTGTGCTTGGCAGATTGCACATGCCTCGTCCTCGTCTCTGGTCCCTCGTCCTGGAGCTGCTTGTGTACTGCGCTGTCAATGCCATCACCATCTATTTGTTCATGTACAAGCCCTTCCAATGGCCGTCGGAAACTGGACTGCAGCGTTTTATGTGGTGAAGCGGTGCCGACTTGCACCTACAGCACACTACCGTGATGCCAATACTGCAACATCACACCCTCCTGCCATGTGCTCCTGCCATGTGCTGCTGCTGCTGCTGCTGGACGTATTGGTGCAGGACTTTGAAAGCACGTTTTATTATGAAGACGTTTGTGTGAAGTATATTGCCAATGATATTGTTATGATTATAACAAGTTATGCTGCTAGCAAGTTCATCAGTAGCTGGACTGCTGATGAGCAATCCAGTGTGCACTGTCTATATGTCTCCTGGTTGAGATGTTCCGATTGTTGACTTGACTTCCTAATTTTAATGATCCTAGAAAAGCCGAGCTGTCTCGCCAACACTACAACCCCCCCCCCCCCCCCCACACACACACACACATTAATTTTTATGAACACTGCTTTCAACACACCTTTCCTTCATATTCAACAGTTCAGTTGTTCTGAATAAAGGTGAATAAAGTGACGTGTCTCTCGCTGCGTAAGTGTGTATCTGTGAAATGATATTCCAGTGAATGGCGGCCAGTCAGCGTGGGCAGTTGCAGTAGCACATGGATGCATATTGCACTGTAGTAGGAACTGATTTAGAAGTCAGCAAGTCACTTTTGTGCTATTTTTCACGCAAAAATGCTGTTATCCCGGACCAAATGTCCAATGGAATTTTCTGAAGTACATCATGGAATGTTTCAGGCCAGTGTTGCCATGTGCTATAATCGCTGACCATCAACTACTAATACAGCAAACTCAATGAGCAGGAGAATTAGTTCGATCCTTATGCTAAGTTATAGCCTGAGTTGCACCCACACTATTATACAAGCGATATCAAGAGCACATGCTTGCAAACTCCCAAAGTGTGCAACTCATGATGGGTGCTGTAACAATTGATTGTCAGAATTACGTCAGCTTTTTTTCATGATGTAGCTAGTAAGTAAATAATTAATTAGTTCTGCGTCCACTTCACCACCATGACGTAGCTAGTTCTGTGTATGATTATGCACACCAGATGTGAGGTCGTCTGCAAGCAATGCAATGTGTAAAGTCAAGTCAGGAGATTGCATCCTGAAAACGTAGTTCTGGAACTAAGTTGTGGCAGAAGTAACGTATGCAGCCGCATGCACTATGTCACTACATGAGTACAGTCATGTACATGGCTGCATTCACAAGTACACAGACACAGACATTCACCTTGTTATGCACTGTACTAGTACACTAAAACAGTTGGCTATGCGGTCAATAGTGCACATGTCCAAATGTGTACATGGAAGGTTTTGCTATACCGGTGATTAACATAATAATACTTCGAAGTATACAAATTCACTACGTGCGAGTTCACTAAGTGGAGCCACTTGAGGTACACTCGTCTTCTAAAACATCCAAGAAAGTCATATCCGTTGTTGACAAACTCATGGAGTGCATATACTAAAAGTTATTGCAGTACAGTCATACAGACAGCACTTGTGATACTGTATGGTTCTCCTTTGCTGCCAAACAGTATCTGTATCAGTGGACATGTATAGACAGACGCGGGAATACAATGCCGATCAGTATATGTACAGACGGAAGCGGGAATGCTTTGCATATACTGCTACATTGCTCATTTTGTCAGGCCAGCTGATATCATGGTGCGCCGCTGTGCGCATTTAGAAGTCGACAACACAGCTTGTTCTCCTGAGTGCGCTAGTCGTGACGGTTGATGCTGTCTTGAAAAGCACACCCACTCACAAAACAACAAACACACCACTTGCCACTGTTGCCGGGTATGTGGTTCCTGGACAGGTAGTGAGTCAAGTAGACGCTAGCGCTCGCCAGTGTTGATGGTCACCTCAAGTTCCCAAACCGGTAATCGTGAGGAACAAGGCCCGTAAATAGCGTGCCTCGTATGCCACTGTGTTCCTGCCTTCATGCATTGGGTTCTCTTCAAGTGGGTGTTCGGCGTGAGCAACGATCTTCTGTCCGTACTTTTCAACGCGCGTGAGAAACAGCACAATCTCTGACATGATCTCGTCCCTCAAGAAGAACATTTGCTTTGCCATGGACTCCATCAAAGCAATCAAGCACCTCTTCGCATAGAACCATGTCTCCGTGCCAAGCTTTCTGTTGTACGGTTCCAGGCTCTTCATGATTCTGGAGAATCCAAACTCAAAGTTACCCTTTGCACAGTAGAGCGTGCCGATGACCATGTTAATGATGCACAGGTGATAGCACTTCTTGTCAGGTTCTTCGTAGGCTGCTTCCTCTTCATACTTTTCAACGAGAATCATCATCTCCTCGGCCTCTACGTTGTGTCCCGTCATGATGTAGCAGACACAGAGATTGGCCAGGATGATTGGCTTGATCTCTAGTGGAGTACGGTAGTACGCCTTGACGATGGGCTCATAGAACTTGACAGCGTCAGTGTATCTTCTGACATCCTCGTCGGGCTTTACGGGCTTGTCGCTGGCCTGCACGAACAGTGTGTGTCCAACGTTGATTTTGAAGTCCTCCATATCACTGCACCTGTTTGCTGCCTTACGGAACACCCTCTCCAGAGCTGGGTAGTTCTGTTTATCCCAGTATATCTTGGCTTGCTGCATGACAACCATACCGTAATGTTTCAAGGCCATCTCGTGCTCTCTTGCAGCCTGATTTTGAATGTCCTCAATGCTAGCCTTGTCAGCAACCCTAGCAGGTGGTGCATTGGGATGGGTTTTGCGAGTGGGATTCTCACCAGCACCATCAGCACCGGGTCGAGCTTGTACCTGTTTGAGCTTCCTCAGAGTACGCTGCACCTCCTTCCCTAGATCAGTTGCCATCTCGTCAAGGAGCCTGAATGCCTCCTCAACAGACGATTGCAGTACCAGTATTATCTCAAGCAGCCGGTACACAGTTGGGTTTATGAGGCGAAATGTCTCTCGCGTATTCTCCGCCAAGACATCAGCAGCCAGGTCATAGTATTCGTACTTGAGGTATAACAGGATTAGGTTGGAAAACGTTTCCGGGGGACAAACTGCCTGCTGTAGCAGGAATTGCAGTTTCTCAAACCCCTCCACTGGCTCCGCATCCATATTCAAGACGGCTTCATTGTGCAAAGTAACAGCATCGAGTTCATGGGCAGAGCGGGGTGGCATGCACCTCAAATATGCCAATGCCTTTGCAGGGCCTTTAGACTCCATCACCAGCATGGCCCCAAGGTTGAAAGCTTCAATGGCGTGAGTCTCCTGCAGAGTCTGCGTGTTACCCACGCTGGCTTGATCAGTCGGAGGTTTGTTGTCCGCCAGGTTTGTGAGCATGTTCGATGCAGCAATTCCGTACTCTGGGTGTTGGCCACTGGCTGTGTTCATGATCCCGACCACACAGCCTGTGGCCATGTTGTGCTCTCTTAGTTTGTAATAGCAAAGACCCAAGTTGTACTTAAGGTCTGGCGTCAGCTTTCCACATTCTTCTGCAGCTCTTCGAAACAGCTGCAAAGAATCCTGGTACTTCTCCTCCTTGAAAAGGACACAACCCCAATTGATCGTAGTGTCGATGTTGTCTGGACAGGCGTGAAGCTCAGCTCTAGTTGTCTTGCAGCAACCCGATGCATACGCTATGCTGGCACGTAGCTGTGGGAGCAGCAGCGGCATACTGGCTTCCGCTTCCTTGTTGCTAGTGGCTATTTGGTGTGCAATCTGCGTAGCATCAGATATGGCACCGCTCTTGTACAGTGCCTGTGCGTAGCATACCTTGTATGTCACCATCTCCGGGTACTGCTCCTGCAGCTGGTCGTAGCATTCAGCGGCATCGTCAAATTCCTGCATTTGAAAGTAGCAGTACGCCAACAGGGATAGCGCTGGACGAGACACACGCGAGTATGGACATGTGTTGCGTAAATCTAGTAGCAGTGTTGATGCATCCCGGTACTTACCATCTCGGATCAGACCGTACACCGAGGATGTGATTTGTCCCTGCTCTGGCATTCGTACCCTCATATTGGACGCCATCACGGGCATAACTTCTCCCACCAGCCACAGCTAAGCACCGTGTGGATCTACTCCTTATGTAGAGAGGGAGAGGAGAAATGTAGGTACACGTACTGTGGGCCAGTGTGGCCCGGTGTACAGGGTGTATGCAGCTGATCTAGTCCTACTTGTACAATCATGTAGTACTAGTACTAGTAGTAGACCCTTGCCGGTGTAGCACAGAGGTGACGGATGTCGGCACACCTCGTAGATCTCTACCTGGATGACCTCGATCGGTGACCGTCGTCCAGGATCGTCGATGAGTCGAGTTTCGCCGATTAGCTCAGTGGCACCAGTGTCGGACGGGAAAAGAGTGCCACCGAAGCTCGGCACTGCCACCGGCCGGTCCAGATTACGACCTTTCCTTCGACTTCCTCAACGACTGAATGCTGCGCAAGGCTGGCTCAGCCGCTGTTGCTGGACGGAGAAGACTTGGCGATAACGTAGTAGATCTACGTCCGGTCAGTCTACGGCGTATTGAGTATTGTGGCGAGGAAGCACAGCTACAAGCCTCCAGCAATATCAATTCAGTAACTACAATAGTGATGCCCGGTTTGCAAGAATCTGTAACTGGTTCCTGCTCGCTAGCGCATACTGCGGCATAGCGGACCCTCGTCAGATCTGCTCCCCGGCTGCAGTCTGCAGAGCTCGCTGTCTGTACTTGTAAGTAAAGTAACACGTATAGCACAGTAACCCGTCGTTACTAACGTTAGTTGCCTTTTCTATGTAAATAATAATTGTAGGACGAAGGTACAGTATTGAGCATAACCAGACGGTTCTTCAGCTCAATTATGATTGTGACTGCTAGCATGCTGTCGTGCTGTGCCAAAACCTCAGCGTCAAACCAAGTCGAGAGGTACTACTACCGGTATAGCTAGGTATCTACTTGGCGAGGTGCTAGCATCCACAAACCACCAAGCGTTCATGCGTCAACTCCGTAGGTCTACGCGTAGATCCACAATCGTCATCATGTCTACCATCAATGATGTACATGCATGACACAGCAAAAATTAATAATATTCAGCCTGTATCCATTATGAAGACAAGTTAGCTGATGAGAGATGCCGAAGACAAGCTGATGAGAGATGCCGAAGCCAACAACCGGGTAGAACCCGGCAACACAACAATAATTATAACGTTACATGGGTAACAAAACGGTGAAGTAAACACAATTAAAATGAGTCACACTTAAGGTCCGTTAATGCAGATGCGCATATGCGACGGTCCTCAGTCCGGACAACCGTCCATAGTGTGTTCACTGGGCGATGGTAAGCCGATCGGGAATAACGCATGCACAAGACCGCTCTCCGTAGCAATGCAAAAATTGGCACCCTCTGTAAGACATGGCTACTGCTCCGAGCAGCACGTTCATTCACACCGTTGACAGACAAAACTAACTGCACGAGTCGAAAAATCTCTCCAGGAATAGCAATTGTCGTATGAGGCATCCGCCGCATCATGTAGCGTATCAATGTGTGCACTGTAGTACCGGCATGTGTACTACATCCTCATAGAGTCATAGGACGAAGAAGTTATGGACCCGGCCGGTCTCTTGATAGGACATATCCTCAGTTGTGCGTAAGCTGAGTGGACAGAGAGCGCATGTCGATCTTCGATTGCAGCTATGCCTACGGTTAATGTTTTAACATTAACCGTAGGCATAGCTGCAATCCAATGATTACATTGCAGGGAGCAGCAGCTCCGTCTCAATGACGGTGACGTCCAGAGCTGCTGTATACAGTCCTATGGGGCTGATGTCACTGAGTCTGTTCTCGGAAGGAAAATATATTTTCGCTGCACACTGTACAGTCTATTGTGAAGAGTACAGTACGGGAAGTTAAGCGGGATTCACAGAAGCTTTTTTGCGATGCGACGCGATCTACGACGGACGCGTGCGATGCGAACTCGCGAAATACCATTCACAGAAGAAGTCAGTGATGCGACAAAATCTTGCTGATTTGGCTACGTCACCATGATATTCGCGCGGTTTGATACAACTTGTACAAATTTATAGGCAACTCTTGAACCTTTGTACAACTTTGCTGTAGAAAAGGTCAAAATCGTACGCCAAATCGCTTGTCGCATCGCATCGCAAAAGTTGAGCCAAGCTCAACTTCTGCGATGGCCCAGTTGCGGCAGTTGCGTGGGGTGCGATTTGGGGTTTTCCCGGTTTCGCGCGTGTCGCATCGCGAAAAAGCTTCTGTGAATCCCGCTTTACTATAAACACAATCGGCCACATGTACTCTAGTCTTAGAAAAATGAAATATTCAATAGGTTGCGGGAAAAGGTAATAAAATAGAAGCTATTTGTGAAGATAAGATGATATGGGAGGGACCAAAGTATGACTGTATGAGGAGTACATGTACTGCAGTGAACATGTTCAAAATAAGATACCAACTCTATAACCGGTGAAACATTGCGAGAGGACATGCCTACTCAAAACAGGGGCCATTACAAAAAAATATAGCAGACAGACGTATCCATGTCCATTTGTTTAGTTGTTTTGCAGAAAGTCTACAGTCCTATAGGTTCTCTCTGCTTTGTTGCTTCACAATGGAAGTCCATACATCAATCACCAATGTGTAGCCACACACACACACAGCGCACACAAGCGCGGTGGATTGGGGTGCATGTACATGCCGGCGGCGTTAATCAGACTTCGCCCATGGCATGGTTGTTGCCGTCGCCGCGCCCCATGCGGGTGTAGGTGTGTCGAGCAATGGCCACCCTGATCTTCATGATTCCAAAGACAATGAAGTGCACAAGAGGCACGGCCACTAGCGCCGCTGGCACAGCCAGGGCGGCGGCGCTGCCAGGCTTGTTCTTCCAGTCCAGTGGCGCGTAAACGTACGCCTGGCCGGTGGTATTGGTCCCACCCAGGACAGTGTAGACATAGGATACAATGAGGTAGGTGGCGGCAACACCCACTGGGTACACCGTGTGTAACAGGTTGAGCTTGAAGTGGCTCAAGCAGAGCTGAAGTATAGTCATGGCCGCGTTTAGGGCATGTGTGCTGATGTCCAAGAACGACCCTTTCGGCTCCAGAAGAGACCAGTAGAGTCCAGTGATGACTATGCCGAGGTCCAGAGCGATTGTGAAGGTGATTTGCTGCGCACTATGAAACCAACGCCATGCCGACAGAGACTGCTCAAGTTCTTCACTGCTCGTCTGAAGGCGCACAAGGGATTGGCGCAAACGTAGCCGATGAACACACACAGCAACGAAGCCAATGGAGCTAAGGACTATGCTCAGATAACCCCAGTTTGTTAGGTAGATAAACCATTTCGGACCCCCAACTTCATCGATTCCAGAGAAGATGATGACGCCCGACGTGAAAGCAGCAAAGATGACGTGTACAACGAGCAAGGCCACATCAGGGATAAACTGCAAAAATGAAAAGAAAGCAAGACGAAGAAGAACCACGAATAAGTTGCTACATGCTTGCCGTTGCATCTCTAATAAGAGTGTTGTTCAGTGCTGGCTTATCCACACCATTGTTAGAGTTTCTGAGGAGAAGAAAATTTGATGGGAAATAAGTAGCTAACTCCAGTCACGTCACCACGCTATGCTGCATTCCCAGGTGACCCACTCCATCAGTGCAAATCATCCTGTATTCTACATACTAGTAGCTACCATACTGAGTGCAAGGATGCCAAGGAATAGAGGTTAGGCGAATGATGTCATGGCGGTGAGTCAACGGAGCCACTTATGGGCACTATGCCGCCACTTTGCCAAACCATCTCACTTGATTACTGTTTTCTGATGATCGCTTAGTGCATGAAACGCGGAGTAAAAACACTTTTTCGTCCTCTTATTATTGTTTGAACTACCTCTGCCTCTCGGAATTGAGCACTCTCTTGGACAGCCTGGAACCTCTCTGTTTCACTTGATTATGTAATTGCATAACCTCAATATGCCGAGCCTGATTTTCAAGATGGACACGCAGCACATAAGCTTGTTTTTAGTGTCGATATGCATTGAATACCTGCTTTGAGTAGAAGCCTAGCCCTGACTTCGACTCCTATAGAAGAAAGTCTGGTCGCTAAACATGACAGTATTGTATTTCAAAGATACACATGGAATCTTGATACATGTACTGGCAAGAGTACACAAGCTCCCAAGAGTGTGCACTCTGGACAACCTTGCTATGGGGTGTGCTGATGGTGAAAACTCACAGGCGGGCGCTTAGTCTGGCAGCGTCAGATTGTGAAGGAACAAAAGAGCTTGGGCGGAGGCGTTGGGGAGACAACGGGCAACAGGCGGGAGGGGATTTTAGGAGGATGGCGGGCGACAGGCGGGTGGGAGCGTCAGGTCTTATATTATTATTATAACAGGAGTGATAGCTGGGCATGCGCAGAGTGGCAATCTGACGCTGCCAGACTTAGCGCCCACCTGCGCTCAGCGCTAGATCTGTTCATGCCTGTGGCCCAATGTGTTTATAAGCGTACTGTTGGGTAGAACCCCAGTGTCAGTTACCTTGTCGCTTGAAACTCGGAGTTACAAATAACCTGAACGTCCTCTGCTGAGTCTGCTACGTTTTAAACTCTGTCTTTGACATTGAGCACTCCCTGCAGCGCGCGGATCAACGGATTTATGAATTTCAAGAGTACAACTGAGTCCTGCACAAGCTTGCAGACAATGGACAAATGGACAACACTTTGTAAGGGCGCACGTGCCACCGCACCATGCTCGGGAACTGACTGTTTGGTCTTGGTCTGTGTAGCATGCTGCAAGGTTTTTCAATAAAAAAAACTTTCATCAATATCAACGATTCAAAACTGGGCACGATAATTATATGGAAAGACAATGCCGGACTGCCGGGTGTGGCTTATCAGTGCACTTGCAAGAATACTGTAAGATATGTTTAAACGAGTGGCAAATTTAACGATTGTCCAAAATCCATAGATTCGAGAAGATACGTTTAATAACGATCTTGCAGTCTTCCGGCATATCCGCACATAACACATATGAGCAAGATTATATAACCCCCCCCAAGAGTGTGCAACTCCTGATACCCTTTCTATGGGGCACGCCGACGGCGAAAACTCACATCACGTGGTGCAGTGTCGCAGTTGTACATTTCCAGCCCGTTTTTAGCGAGCAGCGGAGTAATAAAAAAAGCACTCCCTGACAGAAACTCACTGCGGGTATGCAAATCCCCACACGATTCCCCAGCATGATCATGGCAGATATTCGGATTGCGCGCACGCTATCCTTCGTTTGTACGTAGTACGAATGTATCTGAGACACGTGATGTGAGTTTTCGCCGTCGGAGACCCCATACGCAGAGTTGCACACTTTTGGGGGGTTATATACTCTTGATACGAGGCGTTACAGCCTAAACAGAACTTATTATAACGAAGAAATGTCACTCGTTAAAACGTTACATTAACATGGCTTACAGCTAGCCCTTTCCCAAAGATGCTCGCCACTTTTTTCGCAACTTTTCGTTGTTTAGGAAGAAATCGCAACTTTCTTCATTTTCGCGAACTATTTCACAACTCTTCCACAACCTTGACCTCATGGCATGGGGTCAAAATGTCAAGTCACGGACTACATGTCGGACAAATGCATACTCGCGCATTTCTCGCCTGCCTTCAGACTCATTTCAGAGAAACGGTAGATCAACGGTAGTTACGATAATGTGCATTCTCTTTTCCGTGCACTGGACTGATGTAGGATACTTCGAAGTACATGCAATAGGCTACTGGCATTGTGTAAAAATTAATGGTGATTCACAGCAGGAAGGGGTGTACGAGTTTGCTGTTGCTGCACTTCTGCTATTTCTGCTCCTACTTTGGTGGTTTTTGCACAAGAACTCTTCAATTTTAAGTTGCGATATTAGCAACTTTTGAGCTTTTTCTGAAAATATAGATGCTATTTCAGCAACTATCACTTGTTTTGACACGGTTGCGAAAAGCATAAGTTGCAAAAATTATGGCATCTTTGGGAAAGGGCTACTTACAGCATGTGCAAGCTCGATTCAGAATGTGACAAATGCTTTATTGCAGCCAGCTCTGACCATTTGACTCATCTACACGCAGTGCCCTGGACACTGTTGTCCCAGCAGCTCAAACTTACCGGCGATGTTGCTTGCCACGCGGCATTCTCCTGTGATGGCCGAAAGTGTGCCAGAGCAAATTCGTGCATAAAAGAAAAATCAGGATTCCTCGGGAGACTTGCTATTGCCGTTTTCATTTTTGGTGTGTAGAACTGTTTCGTGAATTGCGTGGTGAAGACACAGACAACACAGCAACAGCTATCCATGATGTACAATACACTTCAGTGCAGTAGTCAGGTTATCCGGGTGATATCACAAGTCATGAATATACATGTAGCCACGGGGAAAATCGCGATTTCACGATGGAAATTTCCCTGCGATTTTAAGGAGTTCTGCCAATTCTCTGTGATCGTGAATTTATTTTTAGCTGCATAAGAACATTGAAAGTGTGTGTGTGTGTGTGTGTGTGTGTGTGTGTGTGTGTGTGTGTGTGTGTGTGTGTGTGTGTGTATATGGTGCAGTGGTATGTGCAGTCGATTTCCAATCGAGAGGTTGCGGGTTCAATTCCCGACGATTATGGTCGCACACGTCTTTCTTCTCTTTCTCATTCTCCTAGCTCTTCTTTCATTCTCCTGGGTGGTTACCAACAGCCAGTGTATGCCGGAGTATGTGGTGTGGTGTGTGTGTAAAATTTAAAAAAAAATGGAAATTCACTGGCCAGAAAAAGCCTCTTCAATCAGCTGTGTGGTGGATACCAGGCTAAAATTAGTGGCGGTCAATTCATCAGCCTTGCAAGCTGTTGAATGGTGTAATCCCAGCACAAGTTGCTATGTCTAACATAGCTGTTCGCTATCATCGCTTCCGCGGTGGGCAGGTCTGAGGTGTGTGTGTGTGTGTATCGCATGGATCAAGTTCTTGTCACTCAGGAGTCTGCACCTGTGTGTAGCATGTACCATACTCGTGGACTAAAGTGAATGATATGCTGAAGATTGCACCCGGTAACTTTTTCCTTTTCATTCTCTCAATCCTCTTCTTTATGAGAGATAGTGCCAGCCCGCTATGTCAGATGATGATCCCACCAGCCATGCATCAACAAGGCACCAGGCAAGAACTGATAGTGATGGTGGTGAGAAGGAGAGCTCTATGCCAGAGTGAAACTTTGCAGTTGGAAGAGCTGGTGCGGGCAGTGGTATGAAATAGCCCCACATTTGACGCTGAAGATCAATCAGTGAATGGCAAACCTCCAACCAGGGAGTAGTCATAATTATTATGGTATTTTACTATCGGCACTCCCTGCTTCCAACTAATGATGACTCGATGATGAGTTAAGTCCTGGATGCTGCTTTCTCCAGAATTATCAAAACTTTCCATCGAAATTAAGTCAGATTTCTCAACCTGTTTTTCTCTTCATTGTGTTTGATAGTGCAGTAGGGCATCCGTCATAAAACGTACACTATAATTATTTCCCACCAAAACCGCAAACTGCACTTCAACGTTAATTTCCCTCTTCTGCTGCTGAACCCACACTTGCCACACTTTTCGTTTATAACGAACCAAATATTGTAGGGCTGCATGTACACCAAGTGCACGCATACTGTCATGGGCCACATATCAGTCAATCCGACTTGGGATTTGCTGCTTATAGTATGAGTGCATTTCTGATAATTATAACGAACTTCGGCTGTAAAGAACTAATTCTCCTGCACAATGCACGTGTTCCATACATCAGGAGTTGACTATACATGTATACTATATTTTATTCTTATTTTACTAGGGAATTCCCAACAGGCGTCATCGCCTTCTTACAGGGAACCCTAAGAAAGTCTTGATGGATGATCGAAATTCAGCAGTATACTACTGTCGTAAAAAGTTATGGATTGGTGGTCTCCACCTTTAAATAATACATGCTGTCAACCAACAATTATAGTAAAAAGTTCTAAAACCGAACTGACCTGACACTAGCATGCAGTGGTATGAGACCAACGTCCATGTAACAGCGTTACACTGCTGTACTCCCAAACGCGCAAGGTTCAGTCCCTGAGTCTGTAGCAAGGAACCAACGCCAGCACCTGCTTCCGCCCTGCTACTCGACATACAGCAGTGAACCACTCCTTACTTGAGTTTGGCGTGTGCAGCTGTATTCGGGTACATGTAGAAAGTAAGTGGGCTTGATCCCATCCCAGACAATAATAAACTGTTACTTGGCCCTCATTTCCGGACAAGCAAACGGACAGCAAACATTACAGTTTGCCGCCACCTGGTACTCGTAGTTGTACCTTTTTGATTTTTGATTTCCTCCTTGTTTTGATTTCCTGCAGTCTGCACACGTTTGCACGTGAGTCTACCGCGTAGAGTCTACCGCGTACGTACCGGTGCAGCTCGGTTCTAATTCTCCGGAGGCCAGGCCCTACCAGGGAGTCGTCAAATACCGGTATTTGACGACCCCCTACCCTAGGCCCCTGCTCCCTTGAGGCCCTGATGATGTACACACAGTTTTGCAAGGACTGTGGTAGATCTACATGGTGCAGGTCCTCAGACTAGCATGCAGGCAGGTGGGGGGAGTTTCCCGGATCCTCTGAAGACAGGACTCGCTTGCGCTTATCCTGCTCCGCCCCCCCCCCCCCCACACACACACACGTGGCCACCACACACACACACCTCCAAAAGCACAACCACAGAGGGGTCCCGGCAAGAGTCTCTTGGTCCAGGTGCAGCCAGGGGTGATGTGGGTGGTGGACTGGTGGTGCAGTGGCACATTAAAGGGGAAGTATACCCTAAAATCAAATTTTCACCAGTTGTAGTCTTCGGGGTGCTGAGTCGAATGGTCTTGGTCCGAGGAAGCTGAGACGCTCCCTTCCTACTTGAATCCCAATCGAACTCGCGCACTTCCACCGAAACTGGGTGACTGCGCCCTACTAGATGGGGATTTGTATGCAAAATGTCACTAAAAGCGCCATTTCGTTCTTATAAAAGCACGGATGATCGCGATTGGCCCATATGTTGTAGTCTTTTGGACGCTGAGTCGACTGGTTTTGGTCCGAAAAGGCTGCGATGCAGCGTTCCTCCTTTATTCCCAATCGAACATGGTTGAACAAGCGGTCACGTGCTCCTGCGTACACCAGTCACCTGGTCACCGTGCCTGCAGGGTACAACTTACTAGCCTGTTTGACCTTTTTTGGGTGCAGTCCTGTCACTCGAGTTGAACTCGAGTTGAACCTTGGTGTGAAAGTTGTCGCCTGCTGGCGCGGTGACCAGGTGATTTGGGCACCCAGGAGCACGTGACCGCTTGTTCAACCATGTTCGATTGGGAATAAAGGAGGAACGCTGCATCGCAGCCTTTTCGGACCAAAACCAGTCGACTCAGCGTCCAAAAGATTACAACATATGGGCCAATCGCGGTCATCCGTGCTTTTGTAAGAACGAAATGGCGCTTTTAGTGACATTTTGCATACAAATCCCCATCTAGTAGGGCGCAGTCACCCAGTTTCGGTGGAAGTGCGCGAGTTCGATTGGGATTCAAGTAGGAAGGGAGCGTCGCAGCTTCCTCGGACCAAGACCATTCGACTCAGCACCCAGAAGACTACAACTGGTGAAAATTTGATTTTAGGGTATACTTCCCCTTTAAACAAAGTACAAGTATACAGGCATGGTGCACCACTCTTGTCTTGGTGGTGTTTCATCACGAGCTCAACACATGTGCATGTTGTTCGTGCCCCTCTAAGGCCCTCTTCCTTCGGAACGGTTGGTCAGTTACAAGCTTCAGGCTCAGCGGTAGCTGTTCCGTATAGACTCTACAGTGCAGCGGGCCAGTGGGAGACTGATGACATCATGAACTCATTTTTTTTAAAACCCAAAGAGTGACAACAATAATTATAAGTATTCACATGTAATTTATAATCACGGATCCCCCCTACACCGAAACTCAAAAGCATGCCCGCATGCACACGCATATATGCACAGTAATGCACGTGTACACAGCCAATACGCACGCAGGGTGAAGAACCTTTGTATGATAATCAAGTATATAGCCCAGTGCTGGTGGGCCAGGACAACTCAGTATCACACATTACTAGTACCCACATCAACTTGTTCATAGTCGATACCTATTCCACTTGGTAGGGTAGTGCTAACACGGCGTGCAATAGCTATCCTAATCTTCATCATGCCAAAGTAGATGAGGTGAACCAAAGGTACACCTATGAATGCAGCTAAAAGACTCAAGAGAGCTGCGTTGCCAGGCTTGTTGTTCCAGTCTAGTGGAGGGTATATAGCGTCATTGCCATTGATGTCTGTCCCACCTGATAGAGCGTAGATTATAGTGAAGACTATATAAACTACACCAGCAATCAACGGGTAAATAACTTGCAAGATGTTCAGCTTGAAGTTGCTCAGGCAAAGTTCAACAAAGCAGAAGGCCGTGTTCAGAGCATGTATTGACACATCAAGGAACGAGCCGTCCGGTGCCAGCAACGTGTAGTAGAGAAGAGTGATGAGGGTACTGACGCTCAGAGCAATTGTAAACATGATCTGCTGGATGCTATGGAACCAGCGCCATGCCCCAAGGGCCTGGCTGAGTTCCTCATATGGATAGTTCTGATGTACCAGTGAATACTTGCGCCAGTAGCGATGCACACCAATGACAGCAAATCCTACAAAGCTCAGCATAACCGACAAGTATCCCAAGTTGGAGAGGTAGATAAACCACTTAGGACTCTCTACTCCATCGAAGGCGGACATGAAGATAATGACCACTGAGTACACGGCAAAAATGCTGTGTACCATCAACATCAGCAAATCTGGGATGAACTGCAAAGAGAACAGATTGGGAACAATGACAACAAATCACAAAGACGACGACAACAACAACGACAGCAATAAACAACAATGATGTAATGAGAACACAGTTTACATCGAAACTTCCAAACTAAAAGATCCCAGCCAATCTGAAACATGCACAAAGACCATACTGGCTAAAGTCGGCATTGGAATTCTCCTACAAGGAAAGTGTAAGACACTCACAGTGTGTGTAACTTAGCAATGTGCAAGGCTTGAAGCGAAGTCACATGGTGCAAAAAAAACAGGTGCTGGCCTCTCAGGCTGCGTTTACACGACAACGCTGGGGGTGAAAACGCAAGAAAATCCTTTCGGATCCATGGTTCATTTACACGGTACGAAGAGCAAAACGTAAAAGTTGTACACCAAAACAGAAGAAAACCAAAACGCTGGCCAAGGTGGAAGAATTTGAAAACGGAAAAAGTTCTGCCGGATAAATTTGGGTGTGTAAACAGTCGAAACGGTATGCTGGCCTCATTTTCCATCACGTGTATTTCGTTTTCGGCCGTTTACACGGATCCGACAATCAAAAAAATTGTTTTTATAATTTTCGTCATGTGACGAGTGTTGTTTTGTGGCCTGTTCTCAACTATTGCTTGAGTGTGATTGGTGCTTCCACGACAACACTTGGCACATACGAACTTTTGCTGATCCTTTGCTCCCATGTAGACGCGCGAAAACGATACAAACGGAGACCACCTCGGATCAGCGTTGATCGTGTAAATGCACGAAAACGAAAAAAGAAATGCGGGACTGAAAACGGAAAACTGGCCGTGCGTTGTCGTGTAAACGCAGCCTCAGTAACACTACTGAGTACAAACAGCAGCAATAGTGGTGTGATGCCAGCAGTGGTGTGATGCCAGGTCAAATATATGGATTGTTCATCGGGTACAGAGAAGGAATGCTGAAAACTTTGTATTGCTGTAACCCAGAGTTTTCTCTCTCGCTCCTCAACTCACTATCACAGTACGTTTGATCATTTCCCCATTTAGACCTTCTGAGCAGCACACGCCACACTCCAAGAAAGAACAATGGCGCTGATCTCACAGCATGCCCTCAGTCCCCTCGCTTACTAATTTCCACTACACCCATGCAACATGTACACGTAAGCTACACGCAATGAGAAAACCTACCGGTGAACTTGCTAGCCATAATGCATTCTCTTGTGATGGACGAAACTTGGACCACGCGAATTCTGCCTTGACTGGGAAGTCAGGGTTGCTGACAAGGTATGCAGATGCCATTTTGGGCACCAGACTTCTTTCTTCTTTCCAATCAGAAACTCTGCAAAGAACCCACAAAGGAAGCACATACACAACTATGTAAAGAGCGTGGCTGACAATCACGACATTCGGAGTTTCTGCGCAGATCATCTTGACATGATCACAAAATTTAATAGCAGCTTATTCATCTAGTCAAGTGCAGTGGTGGTACATGTCAGTGAAATACAATGGCTAGTGAAATGTACTGTATGTGCACGCTTCTCACATCTGGCAGTGCCGGAATGAATGCAGTACATCGTGTCCACTACATGTACAAGCATGCATGGGACAGGCAGGTCTGCGCGGGCGCTAGCACTGAATGGTAGGAAGCCAGGGTTGACTTGCACTTACCGGTATTACCACTGTCCCCACAGTCACTACGTGTACAGAACTGTAAATCTAAAGCCCGTACGAAACATTCTTGATTTACAGCACTGCGGTACTGTATGCTGTTGAGGATGATCGTTCCTTTTTCTACAAGCTACTGTTACACCCGCGGCTTCAAGCAGTCACCATGGTTATGGCAGAATGAGCCCAACTCTAATCCGGAATTCCCATATCTGGACACAGCCCTCAACCGGGCAAGCAGTCAAATCTTGAACAGTTCTTATCTTTTGATGATTGGAATTCGTTTCTTCATGGCAGTCACACAGCTGAACTACTTTAGGGCGTGTTCAGACTACCGAGAACCCCGTCAAACCGTGAATGGCGATACACCGCACTACCGATAAACTAACGTTACTGTTATGTAAGTTGTGCAGCTCTCACCGCGGCACTGAGAAGGGATTTCCCCTTATTCCCAGCCTGAGCATCTCTTTTACTGCCGGAATGCAGTTATAGGCTATTCACACGACAGGCAAATCCACGTTTGTCAGGTGCCCGCAGGAAGTGAAACGTGAGGCTGCAGTTCACACGGCCGCGGATGGCGGCCACTCTGGCCAGAGCTCCTGCGAGTATTCGGTGAGTATACGCCGTTATTGTGGTGATTTGGAATGAGTACCCAGAGACAAAGGCCAAACAACCAGGGTTCAAGACTTCTGTACGATAGTACGACCTCACAGGCTCATAACTGTAAATGTGCCCGCAGATGAGTGCATCCGTGGGCAAAAAACCCATGGACACTTTTGATTCCCATGGACAAATTTTGGTCGCCCACAGGAATATCTCCATGGTGATTTTCCTGGATTTGCCTGGCGTGTGAATCGCCTATAACTGCCGCAGCAGCCGCGGCAGTAAAACTTTTCCGCTGGCAACGTGCCAGTACCGTCATGTGATCAAATCACCTCGGAAACTTTCCCATTCCGTCACTTTTAATCGGTAGTCTGAAACCTGTTTTGTTTTACGTATTTGGTTTCTCCCTACAGTTCGTTTCAAAATATAGAAGCGTGATTTCAAAAAACCGTTAGGTCAGCATCTATACCACATAAAATCTGTGATCACTTTGTGCATAAAAATTTCGAAATTGGGCTTGATCGCTGAAAAACCTATACGAGCTCGTACAAGAGTTATTGGAGAAAGGACCTGAGCAATATGCCGAAAAAATTCTTGAAAAGCTCCAGCCAAATTTGAAATATTTCAAAAATACCATGCGTCTATATTTTTGAAGTGGACTGTAATGTTGTGAATAATATGCAGCAGCTACATGTGCATTTCCTCTGCGCGTACCACAACGTAGACAACCTCGCCTCCCCATAGGAATCTGGACCCAAAACACGCGAAGCCGTAGACTCAAAAACCAAGCACGACACCTGTTCTTTCCGTGATTTCTCTACGTTTCATCAAGAGTATAATATTATGATCATGCGCTCTTGGTTTCATGTGAAGCAGAACCTCTCTAATGATTCGGTGCCCCAAACTTATTTTTTTAGCCATTACAATCATGTGAAGCACAGATTTACCTTTGCCTATGCAATCAGGTTCGCCGTACTATGATCTCGCAGTCACTCAATGGCTCAGGCTTGTACTGTTGTAGCGATTTCAGTGTTCCTTGAAGCCGGAATATCACGACAAGTAGGGGGGTCACTGCAAGCAGTGCTGCACGAACTACGCTCGTACGATCGTCCACAGCTCACTTGCACTTGATAGCAGAGCGAAGTCAATCTCGGATTCTCATTGCTGACCATGTGTGGCGACGGGTTGCTGCTCAGCTTAGCCGGCTATCCCTCATTCCTCAGCCCAACTAGCTGGATGGCATGGTCGTCTCCAATGGGGCCTGTGCAGTGCCATTGCCAGGTAAGTGAGTATTGCAGTTCTGTCACTGTCAGTTGGTAGCTGGGGCTGAAAGTACACCTTGCATGTGGGTGAGTATTTGCCTTGGCTGTCTCGAATATTTACTAATTCACTGACTGATAAATACTTGCATGCAAGGTACAATAATCGTTGAATAATGACTATGTCATTATTTTTATGTTTGAAATGATTACAACAATACACACATGCATGCACAAGGTACACAAAGCATGCAGGGAATGCACTACGAGTAGTGGTACAATAATAATTAGACTACTCCTTGGTACAAAATACAGTAGCAGGGAGTCTCCAAATGCTTGACGCCTCTAATGTCCGAGTAATGATAATGCGCTATCAAGAGTTCATAACCCCACGCATTATCATTCGGAACTCTTGGCGCTATGCATGCGACTAGTCGACTAGATATCAGCAGAACACAGATTTTTTCTCGACTTCTTGAAAGAGATGACCCAGAGGATGGTGTAGGGAAATCTTCGGATACCTGGCCATGTAGAAGGGTGAGCTGATTGGGAGACCACCCCACAATGGGAAATCAGTCGTAAGGGCATACAATACAGGGTCGTAGCAGCCGGACCACTTTTTTAACACAATGCCAAAAGTGTCCAGAATGCAGGAGTTTGCACCCTAATTAAATATTTCAAAGTTTTCACAGGGGAGACCCCCGGATCCCTCTCCGGCCGGACCACCTCCAACGGCGGTGCTACACGCCGAAGAACGAACAGCTAAAAATTTCACTAGGCACAGCATACCTATGTATACACGGTGACTCAACTGTGCATACTATACTCGGACTGTAACACATGAAAATAAGAACGGTCCTGGCTACGAGACTGACCCCCCCCCCCCCCCCCCCCCCGTTCTTTGGCACCCGACAGTACTGTGCCAGCTGATCCTGGCTCATGGTGTGCACAGGAACCGGGAAATTCTGCCAATTTTGTCACAAAAAAACATTGTTGCCTGTTGGCACTGTGAGTTGGCATGCATAACCTACATAGATAGGTGGGAACCTGACTTTGAATGGACGCATGATGTGCCTGTATTTAAAAAAAACTCAACATGGTCCTGCTCTTTACTTCTGTAACTGTGTAAGGGCCTGGGCAAACTTCGAAACGAGCTGCGTGCTCTTCATGGAGGAGAGCACTGGGTGCACCCTAGGTAAAACGGTGCCACACACAGACAAGTCCAAACTTAGACCTGCCACAGACTTCAGTCTTGAAATCGAGCAACCGAATTAGCAGCATAATGAAACGAGAGAGACCAATAAAAATGATCCCTCATTCACAGAAAGCATCAACATTGAGTACACTCTAAAACAATGATCCAGCATTGAGAAAAGAAGTTAGATTGCAGCTCCACGTAGCACATCAGCAAAGAAAGGGATGATCTCATGCTAGAACTGAATTAAAACTAAAATTAGCAGATTTGGGACTCACATACGCCAGTCTCACCAGATCAAGGGCTAAACGTCTAAAATCAAAATGCAGAATCAAACCAGCAGATCTGGGGCTCTTGCATGATAGTTTCACCAGATCAAGAGCTATAATGGATAAGTTATAAAGCTGGCAATACTCACACTTCGGAAAACCGAGAACCGGATGTACCAGTGACAGCCAGACTGGTGTCACAGGCACAATAATTGAACAATGCATCCTCAACAGAATTAAGACACCAAAGAAGAAATGAATAGCACTAATACTATAATGATCATGTAGAAGATTCATGCATATGCAACTGTTCCAGAACTTCTAATACATGGACAAGCGTTTTATATTGAATCACGTATGCCCGCCTGAGTTAGTCACAACTTTACCATGTCAAGTAGCTGGGAGAAGTAGAAGTGTTCTGCGACGTCCATACGGTATAATTCCGGACTCGCTCCAAAAACTAGGAAAGCGTATGAAGCCCAGAGATGTAGAGTACCGAGCTGATAGCAAGTAACTCTCATCAGACATGACGCATGGCGATTCCATCACCTCCACTAGGTGCAACCTTGTTGCACGCGTGGCGTGCAATGGCCACCCTGAGCTTCATGATACCGTAGCAGATGAGATGGACCACTGGTATACCTATCAAGACGGCGGGTAGGGACAGGGCAGCGGCACCACCGGGCTTACTGTTCCAGTCCAGTGGAGAATAGATATACGTCCGATTCTGGGTGTTTGTTCCACCCGACAGGGTGTAGATGACGGAGAAGATCAAATACGCTACGCCAAAGACCAGTGGATAGATGAAGTGCAGGACGTTGACCTTGAAGTTAGTAAGGCAAATGGCAATGACGGTAAGCACCGTATTCAAGGCATGGACGGACACATCCAGGAAACCTCCTCGCGGACTGAGCAGGGCGTAATACAGAATGGTGATGAGAATGCTACTAGCGAGACCTATGGAGAAGATCACCTGCTGCAGTGCATGCAGCCAGTTCCACACTGCCAAACCTTGTCTGAGTTCTTCATCCACCTTACCCTGCAGGAGGAGAGATCGGCGCCGCCACAACTGAAAAACACCCACAATGACGAAACCAACGAAGCTCAGTACCACCATCAAATAGCCCCAGTTGGTCAGAAAGATGAACCACTTTGCACTGCCTTCGTTCGATCCAGACCAGATTATGATGGCAACCGAAAACGCAGCAAAGACGAAGTTTACAACAAGCAATGCGATATCCGGAATAAACTGCAACAGAGGAAACACAATAAACACAGAAAGTGCAACACATTGTCACATCACGGCAACAACCTTTTTTGTTAATATTTATCATGAACAGAATACTGGTCATCGGCTAGGAAAAACAGAATTTTCATGGTCCACAGGTCAATAATTGTATATGGCAGAATTTCAGTTGCAAAGGGCTTTCCTTTATCAGGCTGTATTGAGACATAGTCCCTGTTCACTACTTGAAAGTAGTACCACACCATGCCCTGCTAACTTTTGAAAGTCATACAAATACGCACAAGCCGCAGCACTAGCCGTTCACATAGCAATCGGTTAGCGGTTGATTGCTACGTCCCAACAATTCAGTATGAGTTTGTCAAGTTGATGGTAATCCTGAAATAAAGAAAGATTATTATTACCTGTTTAGTCTCGGTCGTCTCACGTCGGCTGTACTGCTCCCTTTCCTCTGTTATTTACCATGGTATTGGTGCACCACCACACTTCTTATACTTCCTTTCTACGCCATGGCTGGCAAGCGCCCCCTCCTCATCTATATTGGCACTGATTCATCTTTAGCCACTGGAAGGCGTAATAATAAAATAAATAAATCTTACTGGTGAGCTGGACAGCCATGCTGCATTCTCCTGAGTTGCAAAGAACTTTGTACGAGCAAACTCTTCCCTGAAAGGAAAATCTGGGTTCCTCGGTGGAGTTCCTTGTGACATTGTTATCCTTTGCTAGTCTGAGATTTGTTTGTCCAATACCTGCAGGATAACAGTTAGATGCATACAAACAAAGTACATGTACACACAATCGGTATGGGCGACACATAGTTGTCTGTCACCACACTTGGAAACACGACTCCGGTCAGGCACACCGCGGCAAACGGGGGGGGGGGGGGGGGGGGGGGGGGAGCATCCTAGGCTGTCACAGGCTCTTGTACAGTGCTGCTCAATGAAATCCGATCGCGTGAGTCAAGTTTGCGCCTTGCACCATTTCGCAGCCCAGTGTTCCCAGGTCTGGGGCCGCACAACGCCCGGCGCGTACTTGAGTGACTCGATCAGATTTCATTGAGCTGTACTGTACATGTAGATGACGGCAGTTGGGCATTTTTTTCTTGTGAGGTTGGAACACTGGGAGCCAGTGGACCGGTGACAGGCCCCGGTGATATGCTTTTAGTAGCAGCACTACCATCTACAGGTCCAATGCCAAGGATTACATGTAGTTTATCCCTCTGAATATGCCACTCTTTTCTCAGTTCTGTTCTTCCTTCCTTCTGTCTCTCCTGACCCCCCCCCCCCCCCCCCCCCTGTTATGTTCTGCAATGGTTGGACCTCAGATTAGACTTGCACCGGGGAAGATCACGGTTGTACTAATGTATTCCTATGGTGTGGCATGATGACCACCACATCGCTACAATCTCGTGTGATGCCCATTTTATCATGTGTTAGGTCTACTGCAATGTACAAGCGGCATTCTTGCAATGTAGATGTAGATGGCCTTGGCCAGCAGGATAGGTATGGTTGATGTGCACCATGCTGTGCACGGTCCTGTACCGTACCCCAGTAGGGATCTACTCCTAGTACTGTAGTACAATGTAGTCATGTATGTACATAGATAAACCTTGTTTGTTTCCCAACACAGTGTCCTCCACCTTGTTACGTGCTGTCAAACCCGCAACATTGACAACATTGACATGTAGTATGAACATGCAGTACAATCTTGTACATAATCATTGAAACTCTCTGTCACATTCTAATTATTTTTTTAGAACATGCCAACAGTTGCATTCTGTAGCTAATATGCACCTACAAGTCTCACAGTGCCACTTAAATCTTTGTGAAAATCTGACATCTCTATTGCTCTGCAGCTTGTATTCGGCATCCCAAGGATATTTTAGATGCCGCGCCAAGTACTACAAAAAATATAGTAGTAACTAACTAGTAATAGTTAGCTACAAGTACTAGTAGTTTGTAGCCTGTACATGTAGATTGTTACGTAATGATTATGTAGGACTACTAGTACTAGTATCACACTACCGGTAGTGGCTGAGTGAAAGGAAATACTGAGAGCAGGATGGCACACACTGAGGAAATTCGGCACCCCATGCTCACCTCACTCTGACTTCAGCGCCTGTCGACGCTCCCAGAGTCTGAGAGCTCCAGGAGTAATCGCAGTAGGAGTACTGCTGGTCAGAAAGTGAGCCCTGAACTCTGTCTGTCCGAGATCCACTGCATGCAGCAGCACTTGCACGCGTCCTGGCAATGATTATGTAGCGGTGTAGTGGGATATTTTCTCCACGCTTCACTAGCTGAAACTGTTTCGCGACAAACACACCACGGCACTAGTGCACTGGCACTGACACTAGGAACTTCTAAAAAATAAAAGTAAGTACAAGTCATGTACTTTTATACTATTCCATTCAATACAATCATGTACTTTTACTAGTTTTAGTAGCAAGGTATTGTTCCTTAGCCCCCTGCTACAACTCACTACTACCGGCACTAGTACTAGTACTACCTGTCCTAGGCTGTCCTAGGCTATGCTTCGACCAGGGTCATGCGGATCTTCGACAACGGACAAGCAGTGCCAGTGCCAGTGGCCTACAACCCAACTACTTCCCCCAAGCACCTAAATCATGCCTGGTATCTGTTGAAAGTCATCGTGATGCCGATGGGCCAAGAACACCCACACATAATTCTTTCCACGCTTTGCACATTCATTCACAAGCGGTGGAACTAGTCACAGCTTCTCTGAGCTTGCTAGCTAGCTCGTATCCGCGTACATCATGCTATTCTGTTCATGGGGCTGATCAGCTGAAGAAGCAGACATGACACATGACACAAGTCTGTACTGTAGTCCTGTACATTTTTTTGGAAATGACATGATGTAGTTGAGTGAGTGTCACTTCACTGTACTGCACTGACACTGTCTGTGACAGTGAAATGACAAGAGAAGTAACTAGAAGTGGCACTACAGAGTACAGTCCAGACCAGTGCGCCACATGCGTGTGCAAACATGTATTCAATATGTAACAATTACATAGTAACAACAACAGCAGCACAACATCAACACCACCACCAACAATAACACAGAGAGGTTAGGATGCACTTTATTTGCGACGTGACACGCAATTTCACGTCAAATTTGGCGTAAAACTCCAAATTTCGATGTGACTTTCCGCAAGTTTCTGGTGTATGATGGCCACTTCCTTGCTTGTCACTTTGTATGATATTACATTCTGTATTCGCTGCTTCCATGGCGTGGCCTGCAAACTGCAATCCTTGGGCAAATGTCATGTTTGCTATGTTGTGCTTTGGCCATCAGCTTGTCTACACACTGTAGTTGAATTATTTTTGTTTCACAACTGACTTCCTCAAGTACGGTGGCCACTGCTTTGCATGGCATTATACATGAAGAATTTCCTGTTTGTGTCGTGTGCATGTGCGTATGTGTGCGTGGCCACGTGTGTGTGCCGTGTGCATACGCATGTTTGTGTATCTGTGTGCGGGGTAGCGAGGCGGGGAGGGCTGGTATGTATCAGTGTGTTATTGCAGTCTCATGGCTACATACAGTGCATCGCGCGTGTGGTCATGTTTACCTTCGGGGTTGGGGAGGGAACGGAAAAAGAACTGAAATTATCCATATAAAAACCGCTCTGTGAGCGGTTCTGAAAAACCTTTACTGGTACTGCCCCGTCGTAAAAGTAAGAAATTAGAACTGGCCCATTGTCCCCCCAAATGCGAACTGATCCACCTAAATCGCGAATGACGGGACCCGAACGCACCAGTAGCACGAGGTTCCTACCTGTGGACGTGGATGCAGATGGGGACGTTGGTCCGGACCATAGGCCATGTAATGTACTAGCGGTATGTGGTGTTACCCTATGATAATTGCTGTCCTGTGCCCTCCCGACCTCGTGCTACTGGTGCGTTCGGGTCCCGTCATTCGCGATTTAGGTGGATCAGTTCGCATTTGGGGGGACAATGGGCCAGTTCTAATTTCTTACTTTTACGACGGGGCAGTACCAGTAAAGGTTTTTCAGAACCGCTCACAGAGCGGTTTTTATATGGATAATATAATTATATTCGATATCCAGCCTGTAAAACGGTGCCATGCTTGCGAACTGAGCAATCCGACTTTTGGAACCAGTTTCAAACTGGCTTTCCATCTAGCCAAGGTACCTCAGTGAAGTCTTGAAATCGCGAAATGATCGAACTGAAGAGTGTAGAATGACATGGATTCCTGTTTTACCCCGGCATCATGGCGGCATAGAATCACACTGCAAGGACTACTACTGAATTGCCAGATCGGGATGGGAACATCATGATCTTTCTCTTCATGGGACAAGAACTTCGTGTACGGTATTTCTATTGGAGAGAAATTCCGCTTACCAGTAGGATGACTGATCATGGTCAACGTATTTCAATACAGTACAGGTCCACCAAAGTGATATCATATGATTATTATTTTGATAAGAATAGAGTATGCAAAGATCAATCAATCCCTCTCAAAAGTAATTGTTTATCAAGGCATTGCCCTTTTAGTCAGCTATTTTGAATACACGATGATCCAGAAAGCGAGGTTGACTCGTAATTATACTGATACAGTGATAGCACAAACTTATCTCCTACACTAAAAAAAGAAAGAAACAATGTTCTCTACTGAAGACGGACAGGATCTAAATCCACCAATTGGTCCAAAGCCAAGCTGGGAGCTTCGGACTTGGAGCCAATGACCACTGAATATGGCTTTGAACTGGCCAGGAATTCTACTCGCTCTAAAGAACACGGACACATTCTTGAGTACATGTACACTATCACGGTAGCACTGTTTTCATAGGTCATACTTGTGTGGAGCCATGTATCTTCCTGAGCCGATGCCGGCATATACGCCTTCATTACTGCGCACGTAGCAGCAATGCCGGGGACAGGAGTTCGGAAGGCCACAGCTTGTCAGGGCAGAAGGAAAATTCTAAATGTGAGAACAGGAGGCTGCCGGGTTGATTCATCTGCAGAAAATCTCCCATCCAGCATTGTTCCAGCTGTAGCTAGTGAATGTAGGGCTATCATGTACTTCACCTGCAGTGCATGTTGTTGCAATTATGGGAGAACATGCACTTGCCAGCATGGCGCTTTCCCCCAGGTGCTGTGTATTCATGGTTGGCTGGTGGCATTTGGCAATTTTTTTGGAAGGTTCCCCACATCACAGTATCTTATTCACACCATCGGCAGTCCTGCAGTGGCAACATGAAAACAAAGCAATACAACGTTACACCATGAGTTTAGCCTTCTATTTGGATGTGTATAGCTACATGTAAGTCATCTTGGATGCCATCGGTGCGGAAAGTGAAGCACAGAGGCTAACCACCGTGACTTGAGCACTTGCACGTGGCAGTGCAGTGTCATAACATCACACAAGCCAGCATGTTTGCTTGTAGATAAGGAAATTACAGGGCTGCCACTTGAACCGTTTTTGTTTTGGAAACGCTCTGATTTTACAGGTCGTTCCGAAAAACCGACCGAAAAGCTGCTTCACCATGTTTCAGGAATGTTCAAGAAATGCCCAACTTATGGGCCAAATCTGTGGTTCCTGGCTCTTGAAATCCCAAAAATGCTTTGGCTTCTAAAGGCGGCGGTGCATCCTTACCCCAGGACGCTCTTCCCCCTCGGCCCATGCCGGGGTCAACCATCTTCAGATTTTACCAACAGAAAAGAGAGGTGGACGGTTCAGAATAGTGGCACCCCTGATATTACTGGATGTCTGTGGTTTCCAACTAATTGTGTTTCTTCGGGCGCTACAGTACTGTCGGGCACAGACTGAGAACGGAGTGCCGAGGAAAGGCAGGCTAGAATTTCATCAAGCACAGCATACCAATGTAGACACGGTGACTCAACTGCGCATAAACTGTAATACATGAAAATAAGAACGGTCTAGGCTAGGAGGCTGACCCCCCTCCCAGTTCTTCGGCGACCAACAGTACTGTAGTCACACTATCGAAGGCAGATAGCTGTCTTCAATGGAAATACCGTAACTTCCGTGGATAAGCCCACACGTTTACATATGCGGTTGAATAAAGCCCATCCCTGCACATTCATTGGACCACACGTAACGCGGCGTTGGCGTACTAGCCCATGCCATGGGCTTGCCAGTACTTGAACTTTTTCACTTTCCTTCTTTGTTGTTCGGAATGTACAGGTACCTGGATATGAAGTGACAATTTTATTTAGCTACTATAATGTACATGTCCATTAGCCCATACCCACATATACCCACACATATACACATGTACTTGAAGTATATAGGATCATCTCATGGACGTTTTGAATGAGATAAGCCTGGCCCATGGACACGATGATTGCCTGCAGGACTCTTTGACACTAGAAGACTTGTGTTCTGGAACAAGGCCCTTACCTGTGCCACTGTGATAATGCGATGGAAAGTCACTGTGCGTAAATGAAGAGTATTGAGCTGTGTACAACACAACAAGCAGAATACAGATTTAGTGGAAAGACCGTGGTAACTTTGAAACTGGTTTCAAACCGTTTGGTCGGATCCGGGCTTATGTTCACACTGGTCAGTTCTACTCCATTTGTTATGATCATTTGGTCAGGGAACGGTCCATCGTATTTGGATCTGAGGTATGGCCTGGGCATTGGTAACACGAGCAATTTGTTTTATGCGGGCTACCAGCAAAGCACTGTCTCTGATTCTATACCTTTGGACTGGTCTTCGACAAAGTAATGCGAGTTCATGGGTGTTCCTGTCTTGGTGCGAAGCTCATTGTCCCGGAATGACATGAGCTGTCCAGTTGACCATCTGTGTCACAAAAAAAGGAAGAAGAAGACGGGAACAGCCAAGGCTCTGAGCGCCTCTGTCACGGCTATTGTAGCACACACATTGCAATCAGAATTCTTGGAACAGCCTGGAACAGACACAGTGTCATGCAGGGGGTATTTTATACCACATTATGCAATGTCATCTGCAAGGGCATTGCTATAAAGCAATGGCTGGCAATGTTTAGACAGAGATATGTTGGTATCCATGCCGCATCTCCCTCGCCCTCCTTCTCCTCCTCTCTTCTCTCTCTCCCTCTCTCTCTTCTTTCCTTCTCTCTCTCTCCTCTCTCGCTCTCTCCCTCTCCCTCCTCCTCCCTCCCTCCCTCCCTCCCTCTCCCTCCCTCCCTCCCTCCCTCCCTCCCTCCCTCCCTCCCTCCCTCCCTCCCTCCCTCCCTCCCTCCCTCCTCCCTCCCTCCCTCCCTCCCTCCCTCCCTCCCTCCCTCCCTCCCTCCCTCCCTCCCTCCCTCCCTCCCTCCCTCCCTCCCTCCCCTCCCTCCCTCCCTCCCTCCTCCCTCCCTCCCTCCCTCCCTCCCTCCCTCCCTCCCTCCCTCCTCCCTCCCTCCCTCCCTCCCTCCCTCCCTCCCTCCCTCCCTCCCTCCCCTCCCTCCCTCCCTCCCTCCCTCCCTCCCTCCCTCCTCTCTCTCTCTCTCTCTCTCTCTCTCTCTCTCTCTCTCTCTCTCTCTCTCTCTCTTCTCTCTCTCTCTCTCTCTCTCTCTCTCTCTCTCTCTCTCTCTCTCTCTCTCTCTCTCTCTCTCTCTCTCTCTCTCTCTCTCTCTCTGTAACTTACACATACACATACACACCACACACATACACACACACACTTGTACTTGCTCACTGCCATAACTGGTCACGTGGTTTCCCCTTGGGAGAGGGGAGAGAGACACAAAAGGAGTCTTGGAAAGGTGACTCAATTGGCTATTGAACCGCCCAACAGCCTGTGAGCGCTGTGGGTTTCCCAGATTAGTTGTTTCTTATTTTGTCGAAGTCATTTGGTGTTATAATATTATTACTCTGTTCTGGTGTACTACCATGCCAATGCTTGAAATGCATGGACGGACTGATCTGAGTCGAGCTGCCCGTGGATGTTGATTTGGGGCGAAGCTTCTTGAGGACTTTGAGTAGAGAGAGCGTTTGGCTCAAGCTTATCCGACTTCCACTTTGTTTTACCTGTATTCTCGTGTTACCTGTGAATCCCTTGTTACCATAACTGTATTGCTGGAACTAGTGTGTGTGACCTCGGCAGGGAGACAGTAACACAGCCGACACCCCCTGAAATTCCCAAATTAGTTAACTATGGGTGGACTTGGAAATGATCCCACTTATGGGCTCATCACACCTCAGTAGGTGGGTGAGGACAAGGTGCAGAAAAAGGACTGACGGCATCAGGGTATCTGTCCCAGGATCCAACTGCAGTTACCCCTGCCGCCAGTGAAGGTAATACTTGCTACTAGTGTGGGTGGCTAAATCAGAGTGGATCTGATATAAGCTTCACGTGACCATTGATTACACAAGGGTTACTCTAGCCAGAAGTAGTCCATGGTTAACAGGTATGTATACTGGCTTAAAATTGAAAGTATGAACCCTGAAACCAACAAAGTAGCAGGCGCAACACTTTCCACCTTCAAGCAGCCGAGCCTGTTGGCAACAGACCCAACACTATCTGGCAGAAGTGTACCCACCACCCGAACTAGCTGGCGTGCATGCACACACACACACACACACACACACACACACACACACACACACACACACACACACACACACACACAAATACACACACAGGCACACCAGCAAGCCCCTCAGCAATGCCGGCCGGGTAGTCACATGTTACACCCAGCCTACGTGCTCACCTTGTTTGTCTTGGATTGTTGAAGTCGCGCGCCGACATGCTCCTCTGCCTAACACTGATATCATTGATAGGTGTATATTGCTTGTTGAAAGCCTTGGCAAATTCATGATAGTCGATTTGGCCATCACGGTCTTTGTCACACCTAAACACATGTTGTACAGCAACCATGGTCAGCGACTATTATCGTGAGCAAGTGGCATCCCAGCACCCCCACCCTCATACAACCACGTAAGCTGCAGTGCAGTGGGTTGTCTCAGCGGCCGGCCCAGTTTGCCGGACTGAGCCCTTGGCGTTTGGTCACACTACTGTGTCAATCATAATTATTATGGTCAGTAGAATGCATGCCAGACTGTCACCAGTAACAGAGCAGAGCAACTTGCGGCTCACTCACGGCCTGAGGAGCAGTGACATCGGCTATGCATTTTGCTAGCAAGTAGCGCGCGACATATTTACAGCTTGCCCCGGGCCATTATGTGCCACTCGGAAGCCGAGACTCTAACTTATTCCGGCACACTTTGTACAGTGGACATTCCATGAGCTCTCAGGTACTACCAGTCAGGGTGCCCTCCCTGCTGAATCATTGTGACCCAGCCCTATTGTATGCCGGACCTGATGGCTGAGGCTTACACGTACCAGTCATGTGCATGTATTGTACTATATCCGGCAAGAGTATAATAATTTACTATAAGGCCATGGTAAAAATTATCTATGATTCTCAAGTACGCGTGCACCGATTTTTGGCGGCGCACCGACGATTTTTTTTATTTCTGCGAAAGGCATGAATCAGGGAGGAGTAAAATACCGGTATTTTTCTACTCCCTGGGCTGAATAATAAAATAATTACTTAGTATATGAACCTGTGACGTACATATGTGTGACCCTGTCTTTGGAAATAAAAAAATTGTGGGAAATAAAATGTAAAGTTACTACTAACCAGGGAGTAGTATAATAAATAATATATATATTTGGTATTGTACTACTCCCTGCTACTAACTATTATTATAAACTAAAACTAAATATTAATAATAAAGTAAAAGGCCAGAAACAGTAACTGGTTCTGGCCTTTTTTTAAACTTTAGTTGTCGTTGACAGTTACTTGACACATAGCATGACACTTGACAGCCTCTGAGCCGGTGTCAGATGACCAGTACATGATGTAGTCTACAGACAGTAGTGAGTAGAGTAGATCTACACAGTGCAAGTGACCAGGCACCAAGTCGCCAAGAAAATCGGGATATGTCCGCCAAGTCTCCACCGTGACGAGGTGGCCGAGTGGTTAAGGCGATGGACTGCTAATCCATTGGGCTCTGCCCGCGTGGGTTCGAATCCCATCTTCGTCGTAAGCGGATTTCTTTTTGCTTCCTTTTCTTTGCAAGATCTTGAAAGGAATGCCAGTCCGAAATGTTTTGGATTTGCTTTGATTGTTGTACTTGTAGACATCACTTTTTGGCATAACCATGGATCCCCCATGGAGTCGTAGATAGTCCAATGCCTGGTCACAACCGTTGCGAGGAGCACACGTGTGTATTTTTCCATCGTCGAGTCGTGCTCGCGGGGACACCCCTAGGATCTTCTCGATTTCCGTCAATCAATCAGTCGATCTATTTATTTCAGGACTACAACTACAGTACAGGTATGCATGTCATGATTTATTTTGTCTTGGAAATATGGGATTCGTGCTGTCGCTATGTAGGGGTACAATGTAAATTGTAATTGAACTACTAGTAATTAAAAGGACGGCTGTTGTCGTGTCATCAAACAGAGTGAACAGCTTCTTTTACGGGCAAAAGGCAACACAATACTGTAGTGTCTTGTAAAAAGCCTGTCTTGTATATTAAAAGCCTGTTTTGAATAGAAGTCTGATTTTGAAGATACACTGTCAGCACATACATGTAAGCCTGGTTGTAGTATTGACAGACATAGAGATACGTGCTGCGAATAGAAGCCTAGCACTGACACCGGCTTCCACAGGAATAGGCACGGCTTTTATACGCAACATTACGGTATGATGAGAAACTAGGGTATGATCGGGAAGAAAATAACACACAGGTACTAGGTGTGGAAAATAGAGAGGTTCCGGGGTACGATTTCCCGTGCCAAAATCCGTATGGGCGCTACGGATTTTTTCGAGGCGTGCTCCATACGATTTTTTGGCACGGAGAATCCGTGTGGACTGGCTTTCATACGAACCATGTTTCGTTTGGAGATTTTGCGTCATCGAGTGCAGAAAGATTTTTCGCGTACAGATTTGGTACGAGAAACATCGATTTTCCGCGGGAAGTTTTGATTTCGGTACAAATTTTCAAAATAAAAAGGCATAGCGCGGGAATATGACGTGTTTGCGATCGTATTAAACCCAGGGGCATGATCGATTGGGCGAATCCAGAGCAAGTGCGCTCCGAGTGAGCGTGATCGTTTGGTCGAATCTGGAGTAGGTGTACTTGGAGTGGAATCCGACCACACCAGCCCCCACACCGGGAGTGGCTGGAGTGGAAATGGACTTTGCCGTTTTTGGACAGCTTTCACAGAATCTTTGTACGATATGCGTACATTTTGCGTACTACACCCTTGTTTTGTTCGATTGGGCCAGCGTTGCTCGGACCACACCGCCTGCTCGCACTCAATCCAGATTCGCCAATCGATGACACCCTAGGCAATGACGGCAAACACATAAGTTCCGTACTCCGGAACATTTCACTGCTCGAAAACGACGTATAAAAAATCCGTAGCGCCTCCACGGATTTTGGCGCGAAAAATCGTACTCCGGAACCTCTCTAATATGTCTCATGAGAGTGGCGAGAGTTTTACACTAAAACAACTACAGCCCATTCAGAAAAAAAGATGATATCCTAGCTTTTGGCCATAAATGGGTCAAATTTTGAGTTTTTGCCACAAGTTTGTGGCTATCCCCCATGGAATGTTTCTGAAGTCGATTTCTCCAAAGAGCAAGCCGTAACAAGAATAGGATTTCGGCCATGTTTTGCCCCCAAAGCACTGAATTGGGGAAAAACCATGAAAATCCAGGCCGTTCACTCCACTTGGTCTTGCACAACAGTATATTTGCGGTTCGAACCCCAGTTGAGATACCTTTTTGGACCCTTTTTCAAGTTTCATATCTCGTGGCACTAGCACTGTACAGTGCTCCGCAAAATCACGAAAAATCACCAAATACGGGAGCTCTCCAGAGCCAGCGTTCATCTTTTTCTGAATGGACTATAGTTTAGATCCGGCTTTCAACCACTGCCAGCTCCCTGAGCTCGTTAGCTGGACGATGGTATGCAGATCGAGACCGATGAACACACATGACTGTGGACCGGAGCAGCGGGAAAAGCCAGCCTGCAGCACACATACCAGTATGCTGTTGTCATTGATAAGAAACATGAAAAATGCGAATTTCCCTGTCCTTTTGTTGAATCAAGAAAAAGCGTTCGGCTTGCGTGTTTTCAGGCAGGCATAGTGGAATGGTCTAAAGACCATGATTGAGAAACAGAGGGTACCCGGTTCAAGTCCTGCTTGGAAGCGCTTTGTGGTGGGTCTGATCCACTCGCCTCCCACCGCTTAGGAGCTGCATCTGCACCTTGATCCATAGAGGGTGGTGGTGTTCCTGCGGATGCTGAAAACTTGGCCTTCAGCCGAGTCTCACGCGAACCGTGAATTTTGTTGCGATTTTCTGTCATTCTTGTGAAGGAATTGAACTGGGTTAGGAAGATTGTAAAAGGACCCTCCGCAATGCTTAATCTTTCCCTACGTGTAGGCCATCAACAAGAGCTAGCTATGTAGTGGGTGAACGCCCGCTCGCGCCTGACACCCCGCTGGCCATTTGGCATGTGCGCCCTGTCACGTGACATGCGGACATGCACGCCCACGGCACACACATAGATACACAGATACACAATGATGTGATGTGGACCCTGGCTAGTGCCAGATGCTTTTATTCGTAAAGTCTTTTGCATAGCTACGGGAACGAGAGACCTTGGAAGCTCAGGGCCCTACGCTATGCTTTTTTGCCTAGCTCATCATGCATGTTATTAGAACTGATGGAACTTTCTCTTCGGCCCCAACTTCGTTGCGGTCTTATAGTGTTTTACGTCGACCATGACGACTACAATGCCCAACCATACCACAACGAACTGATCGGCTACATCATTGTATTGCAAAAAGTTTCCATCTGTTCGAATAACATGCATGATGAGCTAGGCAACAAAGCATAGCGTAGGGCCCTGAGCGAAAGAAACAAGCAGCTGCTCCGATAGCACGGCGCAATCAAATAATTCTGAATTCAGGTTCTTGTTCAACCTGCGCAAAGCCCAGATTCGACTGCTGATTGACCGTGCATTCTTTCAGAAGTCTGCAGTCCGACGTGAGTCGTACTTGAACTGTATGGACGTCACGTGATTTCCAACTGGCATCGGGGCTGACCGGGTGGGAGCTGGGCAACCGCCGATACTCCCAGCGCTGATTTGGCTTGCTTCAGAGTGTGAAACAAGTTCAACCAAGAGTATATAACCCCCAAGAGTGTGCAACTCCTGATACCCTTTCTATGGGTACGCCGACGGCGAAAACTCACATCACATGGTGCAGTGTCGCAGTTGTACGCTTCCAGCCCGTTTTTAGCGAGCAGCGGAGTAATACAAAAAGCACTCTCTGACAGAAACTCACTGCGGGTATGCAAATCCCCAGCATGATCATGGCAGATAATTACAGAATGGCTCAGACCACGCAGTGGTCGCCAGCTATTCTGGATTATATGAAGAATGTGATGTCGAACATATCAACGTGTTTGGCCTAATTCTCTAACTTGACAGCTAGTTTGTAGTGTATTTTACATGTTTTATTTGAATTTTGTGTTTTATTTTGTGCGCATGCCCTTTGGCATCTTGGAAAGCGCACATTTTTTTGTTGTCGAAACTGTCCGTTCCACACTTGCTCTTCGGCCTTTGATAGCGAGCCTCTAACAAGTGCATTATCCCAATATCAACGTAGACGGGTGGGAGGGAAGGGACGTTGATATGTTCGACATCACATTCTTCATATAATCCAGAATAGCTGGCGACCACTGCGTGGTCTGAGCCATTCTGTAATTATATTTCAGAATGCTCTGTCTCCATATCAACGTGATTTTGTAGCTTGTCAGTGGTCGACAGCTTGGTAGACAGGACAGCCTTCCCGAAGGTGTTGTTCTTCTGAGGCTTGTAGTAGAACTTTTGGAAGATACTCTCACTGCTCCAATCTGCTGCAGAGAGGATATCGGTCGTTGTGACCCCAGCGTCTGCTGCAGCTGAAGTTGCAGCACTTCGCACCGAGTGCGCTTTGAAGATATCCGTATCGATTCCGGCCTTCGCCAGAACTGTTTTAATCCATCTGGCTACGGTCGATGATGACACCGCTTTGTAGGGTTGTATTGTAGCAATCAGGAGTTGAGCTTGCTTTTCATCATCAGCTCGATTCGCCAAGGTCCTACTTTCGTAGTCCTTCAATGTTTGCACAGGACACAATAGTGCATTGTCCTTAAATGCTGGGAAGAAGAACTCTGTAATCTTCTTGTTCTGCCTGGACTGCTTTGCCAGTTTTGTCGGGTGAAATGTTACGCCCTCCGGGCTAAACTGCCTGAACCTTATATCAAGGTTCACAAGATCCACCGATCTCGATGGCCTAGTGAGGGCCAACAGCATCGTGATTTTGAACGTTATATCCTGGAGGGACATTTGCTCGTTCTGACCTAGTGAGATCAGGTATGTTGTGACCTTTGATACGTCCCACGTTGAGGAGTACCTAGGTTGGGGTGGTCTTTCATGGAAGACGCCCTTCAGTAGTCTGCTTACCATTGGGTGTGATCCCACTTCGTATCCATCAACTTTGTCGTGGATAGATGATATTGCAGATCGATAATTACACAAGGACCTATACTGGTACTTATTCTGATAAAGAGAAGCCAAGAAGTTAACCACGCCGGCTATATCTCCCGAAATGGGATCAATGTCCCTTTCGACACACCAGCATGCCCATTTCTTAAAGAGGGAATCATAAGTTTTTGCAGACTTCTGTCTCCAAGATGCGAGGAGAAGTTTTGAAGCCTCTCCCGAAAGGTTCTCTGCTGAGTATCTTGACCTGAGATATTCCACACGGCTAGGGGTGGGTTTATCTCCGGCTCGTTGACTGGGTGAGTTGGTTGGATCGGGCTTCTGGAGCTCGTTATGAGGCAAGGCTCTTGGATCAGCATGTCCAATAGCATTGGGTACCACACTTGGCCCGGCCATACCGGTGCCACAAGCACAATCTCTGCATTCTGTTGTTGGACTTGTTGCAGGACTTTGCCTATCAAGTTCCAAGGTGGGTTGGCATAGCCGTTCGAAACTTTCCAGTTCATTGTGAAGGCATCTGTGGCTATTGCTACTGGGTCGGGTCTCCAACTCACATACTGTGGGAGTTGATGGGACAGTCGAGAGGCAAAGAGGTCCACATCCAGTGGGCCGAATCTCGAGTTTATCCTTTGAAAGATTTTCGGGCATAGCATCCAGTCCGATCTGTCTTTCATCACTCGGGATTCCTCGTCGGCAATCACATTCAACGAACCCGCGAGATGAGAGGCTTTGAGAGTGATATTCCTCTGAAAGCACCACACCCAGAGCTCTTTCGTCAACCTGTTGAGTTCCGGTGATACGGTTCCTCCCAGTTTGTTGATGTAAGTCAGGGCAGTCGTGTTGTCCATCTTTAGATGGATCACAACATCTGTAGCATCCTTGGCATAGCTCTTGATCGCAAGGGATGCCGCCAGTAATTCCAGGCAGTTGATGTGCATGTGTCGTTCCTGTGGGGACCATGGTCCGCCTGTTCGAACATTGTTGAAAGATGCTCCCCAGCCTATTGTGGATGCATCTGTCTCTATCACCATGTCCGGCTTCGCCAACAGGAGTTGTTTCCCGTTCTTGTGAGACAGGTGATCCGTCCACCATGTCAGTTCCTCTCTGGCATCTGGTGACAGATGGCAAGGATGGGAGTACTCTTGATTCCCCTCCTCGAGAGACACTTGTAGACACCTCTGCAGGTGTCTGTAAAACAATGGTGCCGCAGCGATTGCTTGGGCCGCATGGTTCAGTTTGCCCAGAAATCTGGAAACTGCCAACGCCGTCAAGGCATCTGCTTGCAGTAGACTTTTCGCCTCGGACTTGATCTTCTTGATCTTGTCTGAGGGTAACTTCAGCTCCATCGTTGCGGAGTTCACTGTCAACCCGAGGAATTCTGTCTCCTGGGTTGGAATCTTTTGGGATTTGGTTTGGTTTACTGTGAAACCCAAGTTTTCGAGTAGAAAGATCAGGCACATCGTGTGTTGACGAGCTTTCTCTTCGCTTTCTGCCAGAATCAGAATATCGTCTATGTAGATGATTACTCTCAGTCCGAGTGTCCTGAGAAAAACCATTATTGGCTTCGTGGTCTTGGTAAAGACCCATGGAGCCGACGACAGACCGAAAGGTAGGCAGTTGAACCGGTACATCTTTCCCATCCACTGAAATTTCAGGTAGGATGTGTGTTCCGGCGTTATCGGGATCGCAAAGTAAGCGTCCTTTAGATCGACTTTCGTCATCCAGTCGCCCTGCTTTAGCAGGTCTTTGAGAGTGTGAATTCCTTCCATCTTGAAGGAAACTTTCCTCACAAAGGTGTTGAGACTCTTCAGATTTATTATTGGTCTCACACCCCCGTCCTTCTTCGGGACTGCAAACAACTGAGAAATGAATTCTTTCTCTTGTTTCTTCATCTGTACTTCCGTAACAGCATGTTTCTCTACCATCTTTTGCACTTCTAGTGAAAGACAGTTCATCTCTTCCCCGGAAAAGACTATTTCGTGGGGCGGTTTCACTTGATGGGGTTGAGCAATCCAATCTATTGCATACCCTTGCACACAATCCTGTACCCAACGGTCGGATGTGAGAACTTTCCAATTTTGAATGAAAAGTTGTATCTTCCCTGCAGGGGGAGGACTCTGTAAGGCTATGCTTTGAGCCATGTCCACAAAACCCAAGTCCTTCAGGCACACCATAAGCGGAGATTGAGACATATTTGGAAGAAATTTTATTTCTTTCAAATGATTCATGAGGAGGCACTTCTGGTCCCGCTGATGCTCGTGTGCTGGGCTTGGACTTGTTGGAGCTGGATGTCACTTGGCAGAGTCCGAGGACTTCTTGCTGCTGCCGTGGCTGAAGCTCGAATTGCCGGCGTAAGGCTGGTACCGTCCTCGTCCCCTGAATCCTCCACGGGAATTGCGGGAGTCCCGGTGAAAAACCGGCTGGTGGCTCTTGAAACCGCTCGGTTTCTTGGCAGGAGCTGACTGGGTATGGGTCTTGCTGGCTGCAACGCTGTTCAGCACCCGCATCTCGTCATCACGCTCCTTCGCCTTCTTATAAAAGCCGTCGCCAAACAAATGTTGACGGGCTTCGGTAAAAATGGAGTCGTCCTCAGCCATATCCGCAATGCGGGGGTTCAGACTAGAGAGGGCAATTTGACGGCGTTCCCGATTACATTGGGCCGAAAAATTCCCGAGGAGTTTGACTGCTGACTGTACAGCCTCCAATATCTCGCAAGCAGAGATATCCCCACTCTCTGCTCCCTCCAACACTCGAGTTAGGGGACCAACGGCGTCCAGGCCCAAGCTTTGCAGGCGCGCCAGTTGTTTGTCTCGAGACTTTGTCTCATTGGACATCCTGGACTTCATGACTTTGTCAAGTCCAGGACAAGCCGAGTGTGGACAGTTTGGGGCACCAAACTTGTCACGAATTTGTCGCCTGCTCGGATTCGGCAAGGCGGAACAAAAACTCGACTTCAACAAACCCATGGTTGAATCAGACACAGGAAAAAGTTTGACCCCTTTGGAGTCCAACTCTTCCGTCTCTTTCTCCATTTCCTCCATCACACTGCTATCATCCGGCCATGACTTGGAGCTTTGCTCCTTGTATGGTGTGGACGTGCCGAGGAATGAGACAGTCGAAGGATTTTGTCTTTGACTATCCTCGATTCTCGTTACACGATCAGCAATGCTTTGCATGCTGGCTTGGATATTTTCCAGGATTCCAACCATCTCGCTGGACGGTGTAGACGACGTCTCCATACCAGTATCCATAACTAGAAGAAGTGCAAAGACTAAGAAATGTTTCAAAACTGAAAAGGTACAAGACGTACAAAAACGCAGCCGTCACTCAAGGCGAGCTAGAAAAAAGGCCGAAGAGCAAGTGTGGAACGGACAGTTTCGACAACAAAAAAATGTGCGCTTTCCAAGATGCCAAAGGGCATGCGCACAAAATAAAACACAAAATTCAAATAAAACATGTAAAATACACTACAAACTAGCTGTCAAGTTAGAGAATTAGGCCAAACACGTTGATATGGAGACAGAGCATTCTGAAATATAATCGGATTGCGCGCACACTATCCTCCGTTTGTACGTAGTACGAACTTGCCTGAGACACGTGATGTGAGTTTTCGCCGTCGGACACCCCATATGCAGAGTTGCACACTCTTGGTTCAACCAAGAGTACATAACCCCAAGAGTGTGCAACTCCAGCTATGGGGTCTGCGACGGCAGAACTTCACATCACGTGATGAACCCGTACACATTATTTGCCCTCTGTGCATGATAGCAAGAGTACATAACCCCCAAGAGTGTGCAACTCCAGCTAGCTATGGGGTCTGCGACGGCAGAACTTCACATCACGTGATGAACCCGTACACATTATTTGCCCTCTGTGCATGATAGATACAGGGTTGTACGCAGCCCAGCTTTGGGTACAACTCTCTTGTGGTCACTTTGCACTGTTTGCCAGCATAACCTTTTGAACCATGTCACGTGATGTGAAGTTCTGCCGTCGCAGCACAGCATAGAGGTTGTGCAGGCAGTTGCACACTCTTGGGGGTTATGTACTCTTGGGCTGTGTTTACATGAGAAATTTCAACCCGGGTCGAGTTCAGCCCGGGTTGAAAGTCTGTACGATAGACAAAAGAGGTGAGCGTTTACATGAAGACAGTTGACCCGGGTCAAATACTGATATGCCGCCAAAAGTCCACTTCTACAGTCTTGTATGGTCACGTGAATCCGTTCGCGCGAAATTTGCATCTGCAGTGCCGTTCAAACCTGGCGCGAGATACGCACAGAAGTACGTTTGTACGATTTTCTTGACCCGGGTTGATTTCAACCCTCCCCTTGGGGGGAGGGTTGAAATCAACCCGGGGCGAAATTTCAACCCGGGTCAAGCGCAATGCATCATGTAAACGCGCCATTCATTTTGTGCACATGGCGGGTTGAAATCTGACTCGGGTCGAACTCAACCCGGGTTGAAACGCTTCATGTAAACACAGCCTTGGTTCAACCCATATGACCCGAAAATGTTGAAATGTGAATTAGAGAAAATGATCCCAAGTTCCAACTACCATTATTTCGGTGGTCGGAAGTGTGCGGACGAGGTGGCCGAGTGGTTAAGGCGATGGACTGCTAATCCATTGGGCTCTGCCCGCGTGGGTTCGAATCCCATCTTCGTCGGGAGCATTTCTTTTTCTTTTTTCGATTCCCATGCTGGCATCAAGACTCCATAAGGTATACAAGGCCTTGGTTCAGCCGTAAAGTCCTGCCAGGCCTCTATGATTGTGGTTCAGGTTTAGTTTTAAAGTGTATACAAAGAGCAGAGTTCAGGATAAGTAGTGCTAATAATTGATGTCAAAAGTAATGGACTAGCCGGCGAAACTAGCACCGTGGAAGCTGATGGACTGCTGCTGGGGAGTTTGAGTTGGCTGAGGCTGCTCCAGTTCACTCAACTCCGACGCTGAAGCACCTTGGAGCAACAAGTCAATGTCGTCAACATCATGCTCCGACGGCTTACTGACGAGGTCATCGATATTGAAGATTGACGCCACTTCCTGCTCCGTGAAAGCTGGAGGATCAGTTTTAGTTACTGCTACAGGCTCACCTGACTCCCGGTCCAGCTGCCTCTTCTTTCCGTCGAGGATGTCGGCCATGCATCTCTGTTGGGTGGACAATGGCCGAGAATAGCTGGACAAGCTCTTCGAATTCCGGTGGCCTGTCACTGCCATAATGTGGCGTTCTTCAGCGCCATTCGCTGATAGCATGGACACCACCGTGGCCCTCAAACAGTGGTTAGTATAGCGGCTTGTTGTTAGCTTGTCTACCCGCGAGATGTCCTGCATCATTTTGTTGAGTGTCGTTTTGCCCAAAGGGGCATTACAAAACCACACTGGCTCGCGCGTGGTATAGTTCACCCTTGCCCTCTGGAACAAGCGAGGGCAGTCGGGGTGGGGTGGAGATGTTTGAGGAGCATTCTGATGCTGATGATCTGCTCCGGGTCAGTGATGCGCCTTGGTGCTCCTTTGCCACCTTGATAATTTTTCGTTGCAAAGTCTGCCGACAGCCGTACATATTCTCCTTCTTTGTCCTCACATATCTGTACGTCTTCCTTCAATATCCGTTCTTGCAGCTCTCGCGCCTTGGTGCTCCTTTGCCACCTTGATAATTTTTCGTTGCAAAGTCTGCCGACAGCCGTGCATATTCTCCTTCTTCGTCCTCACATATCTGTACGTCTTCCTTCAATATCCGTTCTTGCAGCTTTCTACCGCGAAGCCCAAGATGCAAGGTCAGGCTGAACCAAACATGCCGGGCAAGGTCAACTGCTGACTTGTGAGTATTGAAATATTCGCGAATCTTGCCAAGATCGATATCCGAGACTGGCTCCTTGTGCTGCACAGGTGTGCAGTGGCCTTCCCGTTTGTTCTTTTTCAGAACAGCGTCGAGCACATTATTCGACTTTTCGAACTCTGAATCAGTGAATACGTTGAATTGTCTCTCATTCTCCTGCAATTCTCTTTGTATTGCAGAACGGAAGCCATAATACCCTGGCTCTTGATAACACTTGCCGTCTTTGCATTTCATTGTTGCATAGCATTGGCAGAGAATGTTGTTGAGCTCTTCTCGCGTGCATTTCTTTAGGTCACACGTTTCGTTCAAAGCAGTTAGGCACTCTTCAAACATCCTCATCCACGACGCCGTTGTTTCTTTTGTTGACATTGGGACACGTGCAGACAGCAGGTCCTCTAGATCCTTGTTTGTAACTGGAGCAAATCGCTTGGCAGATGGATCCATTTTTGGAAATGCAGGTACGTAGACAAACCACAAAAGGTAGGTAAACGGCAAACACGGTAAGTTCAGCTAATCGCGACTGTGCCAGGAATGGTATGGTTGCGGCTGGCTGCGCATGCCCACTGGGCGTGGGCATGCGCAGCCAGCCGCAACCGTACAAACCTGGTGCAGCTGCGATTGGCTGCACACGATCACGTGAAGCAGCTTTATTCTCCATCGATTTGGCCTAGGCCTTTATCGCTCCATAAAGGCAGCTCAGGAACGGTGCTGATTGGCTGTACCCTAGGAAACGGTACGACGAGGTACGGTAAAAACCTGAAACAAGAGTACAGTATACGTACGCGCCTCAAACTGCCGCCGACGCCGTGCGTACGAGGGCTTGGTTCAGCCATAAAGTCATGCTACACCTCCATGATTGTGGTTCAGGTTTGCGCGCGTGCAGTAAGTCATTACGCACAGTTTTCCAGCGTCAGTTAGGATCAGTTCCAGCGTCAGTTAGGATCAGTTCCAGCGTCAGTTAGGATCAGTTCCAGCGTCAGTTAGGATCAGTTCACCTTGTGTACACATCAGAGTTTCTGAGGCCAGATCAAGAAAGTACAACTAGTACAAGGACAAAATAAGGTAGATAATCATGAGAGTGCAGTGGTGATCAAACTGAACAGTTATCTGATAAAGTAGTACGGCACTAGTAGAAATTGAAATTCAATGTTACAGTTTACACCGGAGAAACTTGCACTTCCAAAATCGATAGGCTGCTGTTGCTTCTGCTGCTGCTGCTGCTGTTGAATCTGAGCTGGCGGAGGCTGCTCCAGCTGGGTGAGCTCGAGCTCCGATGCAGTCTCCAGGAAGGAGTCGATGTCTACGTCCTCCGGCTTGAACATGTCATCTACATTGAAAATGCAGTCGATCTCTTTGTCACTGAAGATCGGAGCCGGTGTGACTGCTGGATCTGCTGGCTTACTAGCAGTAGTACATGACTTCTTTCCGTCCAGGATGTCAGCCATTGACCTTTGCTATGCTGAAGTAGGTCGGGAGAAACTGGACAGGCTCCTGGCGTTGCGGTGACCTGTCACAGCCATTTCCTGGCGTTCCTCAATCCCTTCCGCTGACAGCATGGATACCACTGGCGCCCTCAGGCAATGATTTGTGTACATTGTGGTCAGTTCCGCAACTCGCGAAATGTCTTGCATCATGCGATGCAACGTACATCAGCCCAAAGGGGCATTACAAAACCAGACTGGCTCGCGGGTGGCGTAGTTGATCCGAGCTCGTTGGAAGAGACGCCGGCAGTCCGGATGCAGATGCTTCATCATCATCTTGATGGACAGAATCTGTCCCGACTCACTGATCCGTCCTGCTCCCGCGTCTCTTCGTGGGCGCCCTTTCCGCCTTGATAATTTTTGTGGCACGGTCTGCGGAAAGGCGCACAAACTCTCCTTCTGCATCCTCAAAAATCTCTACATCTGTCTTCATGATCCTTTCTTGCAGCTCTCGCCCACGTAATCCAAGATGGAGAGTTAGGCAGAACCACACATGGCGAGCGAGCTAGATCTGCGGCCGACTTGTGAGTATTAAAATAATTCCGTATCTTCCCCAAATCGATGTCAGATACAGGCTCCTTATGTTTGACAGGGGTGTAATGTCCGGCTCTCTTGTTCTTCTTCAGAACTGCATCCAATACATTGTTCGATTTCTCAGATTCTTGGTCAGTAAATAAGTTGAATTCTCGGTTGTGGTGTTGAAGTTGTCGTTGTATTGTCGATCGGAACCCGTAATAGCCTGGCTCTTGATACTTCTTGCCGTCTTTTTTTCTCATCGTTGCGTAGCATTGGCAAAGGATATCATTTAGCTCTTCTCTCGTGCATTTTCCAAGTTACAGGTCAGTTCCAGTGCGACGAGACACTCCTCGAACATACGCATCCATGATGCCGTTTTCTCTTTCGTTGACTTCGGCACACGTGCCGGCAGCAGATCCTCCAGTTCTTTATCCGATACGGATGCAAATCGTTTACCACTTGGCTCCATATTTGGCAAAATAGGTACGTATACAAACCACAAAAGGTACTTGTAAGTACAAGACAAAAAGGTAAGTTCCAGCTAATCGCAACTGTGCCAGAAATGGGACGGTGGCGACTGGCTGCGCATGCCCACCGTCCCTAAACGAGCGGTGAGCATGTGCAGCCAGTAGCCACCGTACGCACCTGGCACAGCTGCGATTGGCTGGAAGAGGGCACGCGAACTAGCTTTATTGTCCATCGATTTGGCCTAGGACTTTATCGCTCAATCAAGGATAGCACGTGAAAGTCGCTCATTGGCTACGGCCATGGAAACGGTATGCTAAAAACCTGAATATACCGTGAAATCCCGGCAGAGCGCCCCTACCTCCGCGACCCATCCAGTAGGTCCAGGTGGGGAGGGGCGGATACAGTAAACTTGGCTAATAACGACTGCAGATATAACGACTGCAGATATAACGACAATTCGCGAATAACGACAGCATTTCCATGCCCAGAGCAAAGTCCCTTCCAACTGTAATACATATAATGAGACTTCGGGTATAACGACACTTCGCGAATATAAAGGACGATTTTTTGATGCCCCGCCGAGTGTCGTTATAAGCGAAGTTGACTGTAGATGAGTCCTGCTTGCTACATTCAGGCTGTGTTTGCACCGCAACACACGGCCAGCTTTCCATTTTTGGTCCCACATTTCTTTTTTTCGTTTTTGTGCGTTTACACGCTCAAACCTGATCCGAGGTGGTCTCCGTTTGTATCGTTTTCACGCGTCTACACGGGAGCAAAGATCCGTGTGAACGCGTGAAAATGATGCAAACATGATGGTAACGAGGCCCAGCACACTGTTTCGACTGTTCACACATCCAAATTTATCCGGCAGAACATTTCCGTTTTCAATTTCTTCCACCTTGGCCAGCATTTTGGTTTTCTCCCGTTTTGGTGTACAACTTTTCCGTTTTGCTCCGTGTACCGTGTAAATGAACCACGCATCCGGAAGGAATTGGTTGCGTTTTCATCCCCAGCGTTGTCGTGTAAACGCAGCCTCAGACGTGCATGAACAAGTACTCACCCTACGAAAACTGTGCGTGAGTGGGTGCATGCGTACAACGTGTGATGGAGGCCAGTTGCGTAATGAAGGCGGCGTACCCCGCACTTACCCCATAACCACAATTGCATGCTCTTACTCTTGCTAGCATGTAAAAGACAAACCTAGGGATGGGCAGAGCTCATTGCAGCCTCTTGATGCTACGGTCCATTCTTCCTAAACTGGTAGCCTAACATTTTGGTGTTCCACCCTTATAATGATAGATATGATGAAGACAATTCTGCATCCTGCATTGTGTAGCCCATGCAATTCTTCATTGCCACATTTGAGGCCGGAAAAGTCCAAGTAGAGGAAGTTAGAAATTCAGACAGGTGTAATAAAATGTAGGGACAAGCAGGTCCACAACCCAGATTTCTTGAACTTCAAGTGGGTTTTTGAGCTTTACATGTAATTCTGCAAAAATCGTGCCTTCAAAACCAGCGGGTCTATTTTGGATGAATGGACAGTACATATATTGTCTCATGCCAGCTCTACAAGCACACTGATGTTGTGCTGTAGATCTACTTTTGTCTATTCATGTACTCTCCGAGTCTCCACACATGGAGTAGTCCAGCTGTATGGATTATGTCACTTGAGCACTAATTTTTTTTCTTTTGCATTCGTGTGCGTATGTTAAACAGTTGTTTTGCTGCTGCTGCTGTTGCTTCTTCTTTTTGTGCGCTGTATTTAGGGCAAGTTTCTGATTGGAGCTTGATATAGGCTGTGTAACCAGCATGGTGTGTGCTATAATTCCGGTACAAGTAGTGTTTGGTATGGTAGCCTCCGTAGGCTGGAGGAAGCGGGTTGGCAGGTAGGGCGTGACCTGTGATTCAAGCCGTGCCTGTGAGCTCTCTCAAGGACTACATCCCAGGCAATGCTCACCTACCATGTCTGACCCAGTTTTGGAGTTTCCGGCAAAGCATGGCCTGACCAGCAAGGTCTATACTAAAGTAAGTGGTGTTCTATTCTCACAACCTCCCTCGATGTTTAAAACAATTTTTGCACACAAGCGTCAGTATTGCAGCAGCCTGTGGTGATAGCGGTACGGTTCACAACACAATCATGACAAACAACATTACCGACTACTGAAGTACAAATCTTACGCGGCTTGGTTGCTAATAATCTTGTCGACTATGTCTTCACTCATTCTGGTTACAGCGGGTAGAGTTGTCTGTTGAGCTACCAGTGAATACTGTTTACTGTGGCCATTGGGTGTTTGCAGGCATGGCAGGTTGCCTGCAGAATGCGCTGCTAGTCATGTGCATGCAAATATTAACCAGTGCAAACTACACATCACACTGCTCTGACGTAGAGTGACATACCGGCTCAGGTTTTGCTGAATAGAGCAAGACTTACTGTCTTAGGAGGTCGTCGATGACACGGCCATCTGCAGCCAAGTTCATTTGACGGCACACACGCCTCATGTCCTCCATTGCTATCTTGCCGGTCCTGGAAATTTGCAATCACATGGCAACATTGCATGCAGCACAACTCTAACTTGTACTGCCACCCTCTAACCCAGTACAATGCCAAAGTGATGCTGGATTGAAAGAAGAATACCGGTAGTCGAAGTCTGGACAGAGTGATGGCATTCAGAGGCTTGAACCAAGCCAGGCTAGAATCATATTGTCTGGATTTCTTTCTTCGGTATCACACTGCAAATTAGTACAACACGTATGTGATTTGCACAAAATGAAGCTCCCATGCTTAGTGTCGCTAGACTTACAAGTCCGTGTCGTACTGCAGGAAAGCCTTGCGAAGGTTGATGGTCATCGGGTCTCGCGGGTTGAGATGCCTGGGTTAGAATGCAGCAATGCACAGTACAGTGCACGTTTTACAGCCTGTACAGGGCGTCTGGTCCGGCAGTATGCACCATACACTGTTACACTGATCAGGCAGTATGCACCATACACTGTTACACTGATCAGGCAGTATGCACCATAACATACACTATACACTGTTACACTGTGCAGCCAGTAATACACTGGTTTACAACAGGCAACGCTTGTGATCAGAAGAGCCTCGGAACTGCAGTGCTCCTGAATGAAATCCAGTTGCGTGAGTCAAGTTTGCGCCTTGCACCATATCGCAGCCCAGTATTTGCAGGTCTAGGGCTGTGCAACGCCGGCGCGTACTTAAATGACTCGACTGGATGTCATTGAGCAGCACTGTACTTCTGTGCTCGGACATGCCAAGTCACGAACACTGATATTCGAAAATGAAAATGTGCCCTAGATTAAAGGAGGGTAGTGACTAGTCCCACTTAATTAAAAGCCGCACATTGCCATAGAAACAGACATACTGCATGTGCCGGTACTGTAATGTAATTCAGGCATTGTACAGCATTGCTCTGTAAGGCAAACACTACAATCACGAACTCTTGCAGTTCTTACTGTTGTTGACTCTGATCTCTCAAGTTACGATGAGTGCTGGTAACTGGCCGTGGTACAAATCCATCTCCATCAACTTCAGACTGATCTTCAGTGCTGCAGGAACAGGAACACACCGCAATGCATTAATGCTTGTTTCTTACTGTATGCATTAGCGTTGCGTTTGCCCATGGAAATCACGTGCGGTTGTTCTCGCACTCTTTGGGGTAGCTTGCGACAGCATGTGTAGCTTTAGGCTAGTTTGACCTTACTGAATTTTTCCCATGCAGTCTAAACACCCATACTACATGTAGTGCAATCTGTCCTTTCGTGACAAGATTATTTCCCTGAGCAGCCCAGCTGTTGCAAGATAAATGTGATGATGATCACTAAGCATACTGGATGAACCTACAGAGTGTAAGACCAGTGACACACACACACACACACACACACACACACACACACACACACACACACACACACACACACACACACACACACACACACACACACACACACACACACACACACACCTTGACCTTTGACCTTTGACGCCCATCGCCGGAGGCGATGATAGCAATGCTACGGCAGAAGCCATAGCAACTTGTGCTGGGATTACACCATTCAACAGCTTGCAAGGCTGAAGAATTGACCGTCACTATTCAGCCTGGTCTACACCATACAGCTATTTGGAGTGACATTTTCTGGCCAGTGAATCCCTTTTTTGGTCTTTTTCATTTTTTTCATTTTTTTCATTTTTTTTTCCCGCACACACATCACACCACATACTCCGGCATGCACTGTGTGTCCCATAATATGGTGCAGTGGTATGTGCAGCGATTTCCAATCGATAGATTGCGGGTTCGATTCCCGACGATTATGGTCACACACGTCTTTCTTCTCTTTCTCAGACTCTTCCTGACTTTTCTTTCATTCTCCTGGGTGGTTACAACATGCTGGAGTACACACACACACACGCACGCACGCACGCACACACACACACACACACACACACACGTACACACACATACTGTTACAGTGTGAGTGTGTCCTAGTTGCTAGTACCTTGGGATAACGTGCGTGTAGTGTTCAGCTGGTAAGCTCCGCACTCCGGCCGATGGGGCATTCTGCTCTCGCTCTACTGCCGCATGATCCCACAGTCTGAACTCATTTGCCTGCAGTGTACCAAACATAGCCCACCCACCACCACCACCACCACAACAACAACATACTAACAATGACACACGCCAATGGCCCACAACCCAAGGTTATCGTAGCAATGAATGCGGCATGCCGTCTTTTTGCAAAACAAAGCCGTGTCCTTATCATCAGTAGGCCAGGTACATGTGAGGCTTGGTTGGAGTACTAGTATAGCTAGACCAGCATGAGATAAGGCTGACTGTTTTCATGCAGAAGCCGAGACAGTCATGTACCCGGGACAATGGGAATGCCATACCCAGGAGAGATAGGCAATGGAAATACCAGACCCTCAGACCCAGGAGAGTTGGACAATGGGAATGCCAGACCATTAGACCCAGGAGAGTTTGACAATGGGAATGCCAGACCCCAGGAGAGTTAGACTGGTGCTTGTACCTTGTCTGTCAAGTGCCCATCTATGCCGTTGTCACCGAGCGAGTAGTGCGTGCTCCGTATTCTGCGTGAGTGATGTGCTGATGCCAGGCAAGTGCGGGCTCTGTCTTTCTTCAGGCGAGGTCCTTGATGCACTGTGTAGTCTGGGTAGGATTCCTGTCAACAACAGTTACACAGTTTTCCACAATGGTTTCCACAATAGTATTCACAATGGTTTCACCGCCTTTTTTCTAGATATGACAGCAGAAAGCAGGGTGCTGCCAATGCTTCCTTTGCACGGCTCGGAACCTACAGGATGTGGTTGTGTTCATGTTCCCAACCACCATTACGCAAGGTTTATACATCAGACTAGATCGCCATATGATCGTCATTGATCGATCAGATAATCCCCATGACTCACTCTCCATGACCCTGTCAAAGTCTCATCAAACACAGATCACATTGACACAATGGGAGCACAGATGAATACAGAAGATAGCAAAAAATCTAAAGAAGAAAGGAAGCAAACTGTTGGCTCTCTTCAGTCCTTGCCTTGACTTCGCTCCTGCTTTTTGGCCTGGGCTTGGGAAGTGCCCCATCCGTCTCCAGGATGTCATGTGGTGTTTGAAAGTGGTCATCGTTCTCAAGGTCGTATTCACCAGGGGTGGCGAATATTGTCTGTGAGGCTACGCACACCAGCATACAAAAACAGGAAAATAAGTGCTTAGCAGCTAATTGTGGTGATTGCTGGGACATATGCTAGAAATCTTTGGCAGTACTTTCTCTCCCTCCCTCCCTCCCTCCCTCCCTCTCTCTCTCTCTCTCTCCCTCCCTCCCTCCCTCCCTCCCTCTCTCTCTCTCTCTCTCTCTCTCTCTCTCTCTCTCTCTCTCTCTCTCTCTCTCCCTCTCTCTCTCTCTCTCTCTCTCTCTCTCTCTCTCTCTCTCTCTCTCTCTCTCTCTCTCTCTCTCTCTCTCTCTCTCTCTCTCTCTCTCTGTCTCTCTCTCTGTCTCTCTCTGTCTCTCTCTCTCTCTCTCTCTCTCTCTCTCTCTTGTGCACTCCCAGCCACTCACTTGCAGATGGGTGTGGTCGTTCCTTGTCACCCGAGGCCGGTATATCAGCACGCAGCTCAACCTGGTCCAGATTGATCAGGACCTAGTAAACAGTGGGAATCATTACCACAAGAAACATTAGCATTACTTACCAACAGCCACGCATGCTAAGTGAATTTTGACAGTTCTTGGCGAAGGCAGCAAGAAACTACCCCCTGCTTCTGCCCTCTCCTGGGCTGAGACTTCCCAACCTTGATGCAGCCTTACCTCATTCTCTTTCATTGGCTTGAGTCGTTCTGATTCCTGTTACAACACACAGCACACATGAATTATTTACAGTTCAGACCAAGGCCGTCAGCAAAGTTTAACAAAGTATTGATTTCAGTTAGGTCTCATTTCATTCTCCACTACCATCAGCTTGATTTGCGTTCAATTATTATTTTTTAAATGGAAACTCCAAATCCACTCACCCCAAGTGAAAGTTTTTGTTCAGAAAAAATCAAACAATTGGTATCCTTGTATGGTCCCTGAGCCTACAACGAGAAACCAGCCATACGTACATGTATTGTGGCTAAATTCAAACATGCTGTTGGTCGTGCAGGATTTAAAATTACTTGCACCTTATGAATCCACCATTGCAGTGGTCATCATACATGCATGCAGCCATGGCAGGGTGAGAGTGTCGGAGTGCCATCAGACTGACAATGCTATCATCACTACTTGTAGTTTGTACACGTGGCTATTCCTGTGCTTACATTGTCAATGATCGTCTTCTTATGGTTGATGAAATGTTGCTGGCTGGCCGTTTTGGGACGAGTCACGCCAAGTGTTGCTTCTGGAACAACCTACACCAAGACGCAGCCAATATGCCATGCCACATTCACAATGAGTAGCACAACATTGGCCTTATCACTTTAAGTTGTACGGCTTGCTTCCACTAGGGATCATGGATGCAGCAGATGGGATATTCAGTCTGTGACCACGTTATGATGGGTCTATCTATTCACCTCCCACCTCGTTAGGAGCTTCACCTGCATCTTGATCCTTGAAGGTAGTGGCATACCTATGAGTGCGGACAAGTCAGGCTGACTGACTCTTCTGCAAGCTGTGATGATAATAATATTCACGATTGAAACTGCAACAATTTACATCATATGATGTGATGATCTGATGGTATCATTCTGGATGATGATTAATTAAAATCTACAAGGTGGGTTTTGATTGGGTGTAACTTCCGTGTGAAGCACTCCACTTCAAGAAGCATGTGTAGTTGTATACGAGTATAGCCGTCGTACAGTATTACCTTTCCATCTCCAGGTGCCGGTGTTCGCCTAACAGGAGAGTTGATGCCAAGGAAATCTGCACAACAGTACAGGTACAATACGAAATAGAGGAGCGGCAGAGATTCTGCATTGCGATCATAGCAATGGTTTTACACGCAGAAGCCAAACGCTGTAAATCTTCTTCCACTGGATGTACATGTACTTGCATCTACACGAAGAGTAGCATAATGGAAGAACCACTGGGGCTGTGCAGAACTACCGGTATGGTGTTTGGAACTTGAGATTGCCTCTGAGTAGCCACCTCTTTGATAGTGAGTGGAACGAGAAGATACAGTTGTACCTCTGTGGAGTCGCCACTTTTTTTCTCGTGTGTTCAGTACAAGACAGTACAGTTTTTCTCGTAGTCATTGAAGACTAGCTTAGCAGGGACTTATGTAGCTGGAAATATCGAATGCCAGACGGCTGTGCTGCTTGTTTTGCGGTATCTGTTGTTGTAGTCATGTACATGCAGTGCATTGAGACAGCATTAGTCAAAGTACAGTGACCACAACACACACGCGCACATGCACACACACACATACACACACACGCACGCAAACTTCATGGTACCTTTCTGATAAGCGGACACTGGTCGCTCAGCTTGCTCCAGCCACTGCATGGTAACAAGTCAAAGGGACAATCATGACTACAAGTAGTAACTGATATTCAGTCAGTGGCACGCAATCGCTATGAAAGCAGAAGAGATCTGTCTGCTAGGGTTCACAGTGGATACATGTACAGTCAGACCTCGCTTAACCGCACACATCTGTTTTCCACAAAAATATCCGGATAGGCGAGGGAACCGGATAACTGAACACACACACTGTATATGCATGTGGCATGTCATATGCAGTGACATCGTATATACATGTAGACGGGTCCTATGCAGTACAACTAGCGTGCACAGTATGTAAAACAAGCGAGAAAAATGACAAGTGCATGCAACTGAGTGCTGTCCACATGCACCCAGCAGGTCAAGGACCTCATTTGCCTGTACAACTCTCTGATTCTAGCTTCTGCAAGCCACATGCAACCGGATACGACGAAGCTTTTTGTACACATTTTACCCAGTTTGTACACAAAATCATGCACCGGTATGCGGATCGCGAGGTCCGGTTATGTTGTATACATAACATATGCTGCACATCGGTAACCAGCGATTTTCTTCCGGATGGCGAGGGATCCGGATAAACGAGGACCGGATAAGCGAGGTCTGACTGCACTTGTGGATGTCTTTGGCAAATGTCACAGTGTGGTTAGTACCCGTACTACATAGGAAAGCAGGCTTAATAAGCAGCTACACATCACTTGCTACACATCACTTGCTACACATCACAGCTATACATCACTTGCTACACATCACAGCTACACATCACAGCTACACATCACTTGCTAAATATCACAGCTACACATCACTTGCTACACATCACAGCTACACATCACAGCTACACATCACTTGCTACACATCACAGCTACACATCACTTGCTACACATCACTTGCTACACATCACAGCTACACATCACAGCTACACATCACAGCTACACATCACTTGCTACACATCACTTGCTACACATCACACACACATCACAGCTACACATCACAGCTACACATCACAGCTACACATCACACACACATCACAGCTACACATCACACACACATCACAGCCACACATCACAGCCACACATCACAGCCACACATCACAGCTACACATCACAGCTACACATCACAGCTAGCTACACATCACAGCTACACATCACAGCTACACATCACAGCTACACATCACAGCTACACATCACACACACATCACTTGCCTGAAGACTGTCAAACACCTGTTTCAGCATCTCTGGCTACGTGTAGTTTTCCAAGAAAGCAGCTAAGAGTGTAGTACACTGTCACCATGCATCAGTGACAGCGTGCATGCATGAACTTACGCCAAAGTGCTTGTTCTCTTGGTAATGACGCTCGCTTCTACAGGTTCGTGAAGTTTCCTATCAACATGAACAAAGTGCACAGACAACAAAAAAAGGAAAACCATATACATGTACTCGAAGTCCACAGATAGACTAAGTTGTGTTCTGTCCATGCTATGGAAACAAAATATGTACCGGCCTGTCATGGCATTAATCAGCACAGATAAATCAATCCCTGAGAGATAAATTCAATCCCTGATTATCACAGTCAAATGTAACTTTTGCACTATGGCTGCGCAATTGTAAACATGTGGATACAGCTATCAACTACAACTACATACCCATACCAGGTGGCTAACGGCTACACAAGTTCACAAGTTCACCATGACTATTGAGTACCCGGTTTCCTGGCTTGTGCCTCTCACGCCACATTCTTTGTGCCTTCCCTGACTATTGTGTACAAGCCCAGTGTATTTTCTATTATTTAATTCAGAGACCTAATTCCAGGCAAAGTGAACTGCATGTAACAAGACCGAAAGACCTTCAATACTCGTATTTTGCTTATAAATGCATGGCATACATACAAGTTTGTATACGGAGGGCATACTTATGGCACTATTGTTGCAAGACTTACTCTCCATGAGGCAGCTTGTTCCGAGAACCGTTCCCGGTGTTCACTCAGTAAGTCCTTCTCATGGCTAAGAGGAGCTGTTTGACCTGTTCATTGGTAGATACATGCACACATAACGACAAAGAATAGACAATCACTCCAGCATGACCACTTGTTTATACAGATACAGGTTAACATTACGATGAACTTTGGTAGTTTGGAGGAATGTGTGGTCAAAACCCGTGTGTTTTCACAATTCATTTCAAGTTCTACTTTGCATGTGGTAATAGATTTCGAAGGCAGCAAGATCTACAAAATGAGACCGGATGTTCTACAGCGAAGCCAAGATGCTATCACCACCCCCTCCCCTTTTGTCACAGCCCCCTCTGTAAGTGTGTGTGCGCATGTGCACGCGCTTGTGAGCATGCATGTTGTACATGCCACAGCATTGGTACTTGTAGCTGTCTCACTCACGGTTCAACTCTCGGAAGAAGGTCATGTAGTCAATGTCCTCTTCACTGCGAATGCCACAGCTACAGTAAGCATGAGCAAAGGCAATAGACACCTGATGATGATTGACAAAATTGTGGAATGAAGCTTTGCAGTAGAGACAATTTAAACTGATATTGACGCTGGGCCTATGTGTGAAAGTTTGATGTGTATGATTATGCCTGTGTACATGCAGCGATGATGTGGCTACTGTATCTCCACATGGAGTTGATACTTTTGTGTGTTTACTCGGATATAACGTTATGAGCAGATACCGTATGCCGCGCTCGAATACAAGCCCCCTCTCAAATAGAGCCCATCTGTCAGAGGGAATCGAACCAATAAAGCCCGGGGCTATAGTCGAGCGTGCAAAGTCCGTACAATGCAATGCAGTACATGAACCATGGTGCACTTATTGCACACAAACTGCAGTCACGGGTGCTTACCGTACAACAATCTAGTGCAGTCACTGCTTGTACTGATCAGCATGATAGGGTGAAACAATTGATGTTTCTATTAAAAAATGAAGCCCCCTCTCGAATAAAGCCCTCTCTCAAATATAGCCCCCTCAACATGTCTTCTGGAAAAATAGAGCCCCGGGGCTTCTATTCGCGCCTATACGGTATCTATTGGACGAGCATGAATACCTACAGCGCATCGCCACAATCAGTAAAGTTATATTGGCAAAGCTGACCGGAATACCCTGAGGCTACACGATGATTCAGCCATTGCATTCCAGAAGGCTCGAGTAGACAATGAAGGTAGATATGGCAAACCCAATGGTATCACAATAAGGAGATAAGCTTGCACAATCCAGACCCTGTTTGGCGGCATAGTGACCTTGGTTAAGCGTTACTGCACGATGTACACCACTGCTGTATTGTGCTGTGATGTACACCACTGCTGTATTGTGTTACTGCACAATGTACACCACTGCTGTATTGTGTTACTGCACAATGTACACCACTGCTGTATTGTGTTACTGCACAATGTACACCACTGCTGTATTGTGCTGTGGGAAGCTACAGTCAGCTATAGCATTTACTCATGTTACTTTGTACCTGTATGCCGGGGTGCAGTAGTCGTTGCTTTGTCACAGTTACTACTGGACTACCAATAGTCTATGTCACTTACTCCAGTAACAGCATCCGCACGTGATCTTCTGGAATGAACGGCAGCCCAGTCAGTTTCTTGCACATGTTGTGCAGTGTCTTGAAGTCAATAAAGCCAGTCCTGCAGAGGATGACAGCAATCATCATAGACACACGGCCTAGCTCAGTGCATGGTTCGCACTGTAGTCATAAATGATTGCCTCTAATGTCATGGCCTGAACATTTCTGGCCCACTTGATATGATGTCGGCTGGCCTCGTAGAAAGGCAGCAGAGGAATTACATGTACTTGCACACGTGTTGGCGCTCATACGCACACACACACACACGCACGCACAGGTATGCATGGAGAGTAAGTACGGAAGGAGGAAGTCAACATCATTGGAACTTGTCTGAGCTTACCGGCTGACATCGAATGCCATGAATGCCTTGCGCAAGTTGATACTGGTTGGGTCGCGTGGATTCTGATGTATCTCATAGTTGCACTTCTGCAAGGCATTCCTCAGTTTGTCCACAGCAGTGGCTGTGGCATCACCAGCGATACCACCATGGTCATCTCTGTGTTTGGGTGTGTGTGGGGGGGGGGGGGGGGGGGAGGAGAGAAGCATGGTGAGAGAGACAATGGGTGAGGCCTAGTGCAGATAAAAAGTCAGGCCTGTATTCATGAAGAGTTGTTCATTCAAAGAACTCATTTGTTCACTGTTTTCAACAAGTTCTTCAACAGGTCATATTAGTAAAGACTACATTGCACATGTAAAGCTTGTAGCCTCCAGTGAATTCATGAAGAAGAATACTCAGTTTGTTTATGGTTACAACAGCCTCACTAGCCTGCACAGAACGGTATGCATACACAGACTGTGTAGGCATACACAGAACAGTATGCCTACACAGTCATAGTGTGGAATAAGTACACGCTCACCTTGGAAGGATGTGAGAGTAGCCGGTGGGAGTTTTCGTGGAGTGCCCATGTCCGGTCACACTTGGTATGACTGGAACCTCAGCTCGCGGTGGCTCGCGTCTAGCAGAGAGAGGACGGAAATCACGGCGTGTGGTCGTGCTAACCGTAGGGCCGAGCGTTCCGAAAGAGCTCGTCGTGTTGTCAGTGTCGTTATAGTCACCAGATCGGAATATATTCGATGTGCCCTTTGACCCAGTCACGCCCGTTGCGGTGCCTGGCTGCCTGCCTTGAATTGGCATCAGCGGTGCTGGTCCTGGCAGGCTTTGGCTACGTTGATGTGGTCTCTGGTGTGGATACATAGCTGGATCCTCGGGTATGAAATCACTGCAAGGGATCAAAATCATCAAATGTATCTACCAGCAATAAGGTGTACAGTCAACTTTGCGTATAACGACTGCGGATATAGCGACAATTTGCGTATAACGACAGAATTTCCCTGGCCAGAGCAAAGTCCCATCCAACTGCAATACATTATAATGAGACTTCGGGTATAACGACACTTCGCGAATAAGGACACTTTTTTGATGTCCCGCCGAGTGTCATTATAAGCGAAGTTGACTGTATGTATCTGAACTTCTTAACACCACATACAACACCTGTCTGGACACTTCTAAGACCTGGCAAATGAAACCGTGTGTAGACTAAAGGTGCGATTGACGTAAACCAGCACTGAACACCTGCCGCAGCTTGATCTCTTTCACACCCAATGTTTCTTGAAGCACCTCTTTCACACCCAATGCCGGTGTGCTTCTTGAAGCACATAATCATCACATGCACAGCGGATCAACTCACGGTGCATCGGGATCATCGCCCAGTGTGAAGTGTGTCTGCTTCGTATTGGAATAGTGTTGTCGCTGTACCGCCTTGGCCTTCACTGCACGCGCTGACAGGCTGCGGCCGTGAATTTTCTATGACCGCATACAAACAAATCATGGGTGATACATACGGATGCCAATTATTGCACATCGCCCACCCACCCGCCTCACATAAATATACAATAACTCTGAAAGTGTCACAGCACAAGCTCAACTGTCGTACATGCCTACATGACATGGTCGGGACATGGCAATGTAGTTTCAAGTACCCTACAAATGTCACGTATGGATTCTCTGAAACCGAATGCAGGCTATCAGCCTCAGGGCAAGCTGGCGGCACTGGCGTACGAGTACATGTACAGGGCAGCAGGGTTTTTTGTTCAGCAATGTAGACTGTATATACATGCATGCTGATGACATGTGTGTGTGTGTGTGTGTGTGTGTTGGGGGGGGGGGGGGGGGCACCGCCACTGACCTTGTTTGCTGAGAAGTGAGTTCTGTTGCTGGTCGGATTGCCAAAGGTTGGGTCAGCCATGTAACGTGGTGCCATATCCTGTACAATTACAATAGCATGACGTCATGGTAGACAACCAGTGACACATACATACACACTACTGACAGTACTATGAATTTAGACTGAAGAACAGAACTACAGTGCTGGTCAATGAAATCCAGTCGCGTCACTTAAGTATGCGCCGGGCGTTGCGCAGCCCTAGACCTGCGAACACTGGGCTGCGGAATGATGCAAGGCGCAAACTTGAGTGACGCGACTGGATTTCATTGAGCAGAACTGTACTTGTAGCTTCAGGCTCCTCATAAGCATAATTATTTGAAGTTTCCTAATTAATCCCATCATCTTCTCATCAGGTGGGTACACTCCTACAGAAAAGAAACTGAGTAACCAACCACATGTAACTGCATGTAGCAGAATATCAGTCTGATTCTTTACACACATACCCTGTGTAGGTGATAACAGTTATAAACACCAGAATGGGGGGGGGGGGGGGGGGGGTAGTTAGCGGCAACAAACACAGAAAAGAGAAAGCGCTGTACTTGATTCGCGTGTACGTAGATCCTATAAACATGCATTTGTAAGGAAGTGCAAGAGTTGTGATGCATGTGGTTCAGATGTTATGTTGCTTGTGAGGAGTTTGAAGCTAGTTCTTTTCTTTAGCCAAATGGCATCTTCGCCTCCTAGAAACTATAGCAGTGCAAATCATAATTTCTAATGGGGCTCTGACTGCTTACAGGGCAAGCCCTCGCTATTTATCACCATAGACCATTTCTGCTTGTTTATCATGTTATCTATACAACCTCACTGCATTCGAAAGTTTGCAATGATTTATTTACTTACGGGGAGGTTTGTGTCATGTGGTGGTGCACAGCTGTCAGTCTGAAATCACACACAGGAGAACACATTGGTACAGCACATATACAGGAGCACATTCAGTGTGATTGGTACAGCACATATTATACAGGAGCACATTCAGTGTGATTGGTACAGCACATATACAGGAGCATATTGGTACAGCACATATACAGGAGCACATTGGCGCAGCACACAAGGCCCACCATGATAGAACTGCACTGATACTTGATAACTGTCCCAGCGTACATTGGCTATGATAGGCCCGTTCGTACCCAGAACGGGTCTTCACTGATGTGCTTGTAGCATTTTTTTGTGCCCAATAAGATGCCGAAGACCTGTACAGGCATTGGCCACAGTTCAATTCTTGACATCACCTGTATTATCACAACGTATTTTCATTTTCACACTTCCATCATTCCTGATACTAAACATCTGTGACCAAAGGTGAAGAAATGGGCATAGTGTAGACAACTCTGATTCAATTACAGTCAGCCTTGAAATATATTTCTCTACACATATCCTGCATGTATCAATGGCAAACCTACCGGACTGAAGGGCTTTTCGGCATAGTCTCCATCCTTCAGTGATCGGTCGTGTTCCGGGCCAGTACTGTTCATTTGCAAATTTGTCTCATTCTGTGCACGCATGCATGTATGTGGGCACCCACAGACAGACAGACACACCCACACCCACACACACACACATATGCACACACAGACAATCACACGAGACACATACATACACAAAACACACCAGAAAGCCGAGAGAACACGACCACAACTGGGTGGCACACTGCAGATAGTGTATGAATTGGCAGTAGCAACTTTGGCGGTAAAAGGAAGAAATTGTTGCAGAGGCTCCCTACATCGGAGCTTGCGTTTTTTCTGCGATAGTAGTCGGCAAGAACTAAGTGCAAGGTGCAACGCGGGGACTTGGTAGAAGCCAACTTTCTGGGTTTAAATGTTGACTACAGTACAGCATACACCCTGGCCATCACCTTTGTATGCGGCAGGTGATGGCAGCGAAAGGTTAGTCGGGCCCGCCGGAACCGGTCCGGTTGGTCCGGTGTTAACCGGACCAGCTTTGTGGCGACCAATGCATGTTTACTGCTGAGGAGGGCATGCAGCGTATGTACCCGCAATATTGTACACAAAGTATGAATGGCCATGGTACGACCGGATCAATTGAAGACTGCTTCCGGTGGTCCTGTTAGTGCATACTTGAGTACATGTCTACATTGTGACTACTCTTCTTTCTGACTACTCTTCTTTTGCTGTACAGTTGTGTAGACTGTCGTGTGAGCCTTCTTTGTTCAACAAACCTATCATTGTATCAAGGTGACACACTGACCGTGATATGAATGACTGTGTACTGACTACTGAGCAGTGTACTGGTGCCGTCAGTATACATGTAACCGTGTCTTATTGTCTCGTCGTGTCGCCGGCTACATTCTTTGTCCGTGGTTCTCACATTAAACATAAGTATACGAATCCCTGTACAAAGTGCATACTACACACACACACACACACACACACACACACACACACACACACACACACACACACACACACACACACACACACACACACACACACACACACACACACACACACACACAGGCGCGCACATTGCATACCATTTGGTGGGAAGTCCATTGTGGAAGATTGGGGTCCGCCACTTTCCTCTGTGAACATGAGCAAAAACAAAATACGATAACTTCATGGCCGACCAGTGGAAACTTGTGTGGCAGCACAGCTCATGCAAGATAAGAAGTTGAGAAAGGCATTTTGAAAGACAGCCGCGGCCGGGCTGCTAAAGAATAGAATTACACCGGCAGTAGTTCACCGGCAGTAGTTGGCAAATAGATGCCCAGTCTGTCTTACTATAGTATCCAGATCAGTTCAGTCTTGCCCTTCAGCGCCTGTCTCGCCATGTCCTGAGGTGCCAACTTCCCAGATCCCCCCCCCCCCCCCCCCCCCCGTCCACGAGGTTGGGCAGTATTCGCCACACTGCATGGGAATGGAACCCACAACTACTTCGAGTAATTTCATAGCGAACGCCATCACTATTTTTGCCAGGCAAACCCACCCAGCCCATGACTTGATGATCTGTTAGGAAAAACTTGGATTTGCATGCAGAGTGTTTTACAATGATTGTATCATGAGAAATTGTCTACATGTGATGTGGACTGTAGTCTTTATAAACATTCAAAAATCTTCACAGTAACGCTATCTAGTACACTACGACTGCCCATATACAATGGACAGAAACGTCTCACTCCTACAGCCTAGCACTCACCCGATACGCCCGTGCAGTTTCAGACCGAGTGTCGGCCCTAGCCAAACCTGCATCCAGGTCTACCGGCACATTAGTCTTTCGTAGCAGTGACGCCGTTCGCCGTCCATCTGCATTCCTGTTCGGACCAAACAGCTTCGGTACAGAGTCCTCCCCGACACTTCTGCTTCGGCTACTGTCGCCATCCAGATTGAGGGCTGGCACAAGAGCCATGATCACAGGTAACTATGTCGCGGAGCACCAGGCATGTAGTCAGTGTCCAGGCCTTGGACTTAGCGGTTCAAGACAACAACTTTCTTCTTTCATCCATGACCGTCCGGCCATTCGCTAGCTGTACTGCCTGTAGCTGCTCGTCCCACTGGTACTGAGCCGTTGACGAGTGGACTTCATGCGAGTCCGATGCCGATATGTTCAAGTACATTTTAGTAGATCGAGTAGCAACGGTGTAGTGGTCTGACAGACCTTGACAGGCATCGGCAGACTCCCTGCCACCGCCGAGTCACCGAAGCAAACCATCCATGCTTTCTTATTCCGGACGAGCTTGACGGGGCATGTTGTGCTTTGACGTGAGTAGGTTCACCTGCTTGCCAGCTAGCTTGGTTCGCCGAAGGAAGGAGATCTACGTGTAGGGTCGGAGGGACTACGTGTACACACGCATAGCGCCTATGGTATGGAGTATGGTGTGTTGGCGAGATCCGAATCCCCCTGCGAGTCGTCATGACTACGAGCAGGGGGGAGACCTAGCCCTACACTACAGCCATTACCATGATTACACTTCCCTTCACAGCATAGCCATGATGATTATTATGCATAGGCCACACGCTGCAATATCACCGCCACGATACTCGATAGTTGCACCAAGAGTCAAGACTTCCATGACTTCCTATACATGACTTTGTATCGAATATTACCGGTAGTGCAGGGAGTCGTATATACGGTATATACGACTCCCTGGTTTTGTGCAGCTCTACCGTGACTCACAGCCGACAGCCTCGGAATACTGACCGTACTGAACATGTAGTAAGCAGCTTATCTACAAATAATTACAATCAAGTAAAATACTGTAGTACAGTACAAGCTAGTCGCCCCCCCCCCCCCCAAAAAAAAAACAATCACAAATTCCCTCAGATCAGCGGCAGTTCAGAATTCGCTGCATCATGCCAATGTTTACTGTCATGGATTTGTTCAGCAAAATTTGAGATTTTCTTTCTCTGATTCCGAACAAAGTTCGAGCCTTTCGAGCTCAATTAATTTTCAACAAAAGATCATCCTATATTCCGGAATATGGTACATACGTTTCATGGCCAGCCATAAAAGTGCCAAAATGCCACTACAGAAGAATGCCCTAAGCTAGGCAGAGTATGCAGAGCAGAAACGGGAAAGACTCAGCAGGAAACCATAAGCAGCCAAAAAAACAATCTGTGGGGCAGCACGACCAGCATGGCCCATGAGAAAATCCTAACTGTCAAAGCGGAATTTCAGTCTTCGCTGTGAGGTTGAGTTATAACCAGCAAAAATCTGTTCAACAGGTATCATAAATAGAACACGTAGCTCAATAAGGGTGGGTCCACTAAAAGAGAAAAAAAGACTATAACCCTAGGTCAACTTTTCACCGAGCATTGGCATCAAAGCCATAATAGAGATGTTCGGCTGCTACAAATGTCTGTATGATCGCTGCTGGCGGCAAAGCATAGGATTTCGCAACAAATGCGGCACACTGGCTCAGGCATTCTCCATTGCCAAGCATGGCCTGCTCTTGCGCCAAGCGCAAGCTATGGAACAGCAGGCTCTCCATGACACCGGTCCCAACATGCAGCTCCGCTGGCAGCAGGTCCTTCATGGCGGCTGTATGCATTGTCCTCTGCTGTAGCGGGTAATAGTGGCTGTACGCCCGAACAAACAAACAGAACTCGGAGAAATCAACGGCAAAGTTGTCATCCAAGTCCATGAGAAGTATAAAATACCAGCGCAAGTTTGCAGGAGACCACATGGTACCAGATAGGTGATGAAAAAACGTGATAAAGATGGCCTCGTCCACGCCCAATGCCTTCAGAACTGTTCGATCCGTGAGCAAGCCCGTAGGCCAGGCCGTGTGAAAACGATGCGACCATTCGTTGAGCAGCACAAAGTACTTGTTGTCCTTCTTGCGGCCGTGTACTATGGTGTGTGGTACACCAGTTGAGAAGCTCATTTGCTCCAGCATTTCAAGACTGTGCCATAGCGCATCGAACAGAACCGACTTTGACGGAAGATTGAGACTGGCCAGAAGCAAGCGGCGGATCTTTGGATAGACATTTCCGAAAAAGTAACACGGAGACGTGAGAGAACATGCAGGGGATGGCATACTCTCAGCTAGAAGTAATAATTCTTGCTGATGTACCTTGTAGGTTTGCTGCAGCTCATAGATGTGTGTTGCAATTCGAACTGAATCACCTGCCGACACGTTGAGAACCCACAAAAACTCCTCATCGAGCAGCTGAGGAGTAATCAGCTCTTTGCCGGACATTCTCTGCTCAGCAAACGACACTTTGTAGCTATCTGGGACACCTATATTGTCCAGCCATGCGGTCACATCTTCCACCGACCAGTCCTTCAGCATTAGTACGGATGCCCGATGATGATATCCACCCCATCTATATGATTTGGGACATGTACCATTGACACAATGTCCATGTATCCAGTACATCTCATCCGAGAAAAACGGAACTTGGTGAGGCCCGTGTGGAAATCCATTCACCCATTCTCCAGTCATGGTCAGGTTCTCTCCTCGTACGTGTGACAGACCGCTCAGCACTCCTTCACCGTGCTTGAGAGCATGAGAATAGGTGCCGTGGTAGCAGTGCGAAGCTGACCAGCACTCTCCTAGCACACTCCATCGTGCAACGTCCATAGAGCTGAGACATGCTGAGTTCTGCAGGTGACTGTTGCCTACAGCGGACGGCTGGTAGCGGGCTATGCGCGGATCGCAATGATACGTGTTCAAGCGCAGCAGGGATATCAGTGCAAAGCCTAGGATGAACTTCAACCTCCAATGCCCGTAGTCAGACTGAGACAAGATAATACTACAGCGTGCCAGCAAGTCAGCCACTATTAAATCCCAACACAGTGACGTCACAGCAAAGTGGATAAACCAGTACAGGACCGCTGGGAGAAGCAGAATAACCCAAACTGCTGAATCAAATTCAACGTCACGCCGAAATGGTCTGCGACTTGCAAGAAGAAGTCCGAAGGACACCCAGTATCTCCAATCTGTGCCTCCAACAATGTGTACGCAGTTATTAAGACGTTCTGGCGCCCCGTCGAAGAACACAGCGAACAAAGCCACTAAATAAGTGGGGATACTGTACAATTCTGCAACATGTTTACATTCCTGATAAAACTGGCTGACAGAGAAGGGAAGATCTGTCTTGAGCAACCTGTAAGCTGCAAGGACAATGCCTGATGTGAACGTTGCTAAGCATGTCAGTGTCAGTCTAGTGAAGTGGGTGACTAGACGAGGACCAATGGTCACCGAATGCAAGGCAATAAATAGGAGAAGCAATCCTGACGACACGCCTTGAGCTGCACCGCCACGAAGCAATTTCGGTATCAAATCCGATCTGATGACTTGGCGTAACATAGCCGAGAACCTCCAGGTACAGCTTACAATCGTACACAGATACTCACTAAACTATCGAAGGAAGCCAAGCGAAGGAGATTATTCTTCATGTTGACTGTGACTGTTTGATTGGACTACAAGACTTTCGAAAGGACAGAAAAATAGTTTCAAAAATATTCATATTGGAGTATGAAAAGTATGAAAAGGAGCTCCCAACGGTCGGGGACTTTCCCATGTGACGTCCACGGCCGGCAAAAGCACTACGGCGCGCGCGGTACGCGCTTGTTACGCAGTAGACATGCACCAAGCCCATAGCCGACCAAACCATACCGGTAGTTGATTTAGCGCTTTCAACAAAAGTTTCAAGTGATATCATTTTTTTCTTTTCTTATTAATTTTAGCACCAAGTTAATTTTCATTCACTGGTTTTAGTCCTCCAAGAGGTATCTAATATTGACTGAGTACGAGGTCATTATAGGAAATAAAAGCCGAGTAAAAGACCGAGGCGAAGCCGAGGTCTTTTACGAGGTTTATATTTCCTATACTGACCAAGTACGAAGTCAATATTAGATTTATCACGACAAACAGTCCGTATTTCAAATTCCAGAACGATAACCTCATGAATCCCGGTTTTATGATTTCACAACCGTTGCACCACCACCTACTCATGCAGTGAAAATGCTGCACTAGGCACCGTTCAACTGCGCAACCCCTAAAAATAGTAAGCAGTCAAATATAAGCAGTCAATATAGCCCTAAGGAGTGAAATATGCAGGAATATTTGACTGCTTGGGTATAGCGAAAATCAATGGGAGTCAATACTAAGGGAGTGATAAACTACAATAGTACATAACCAAACCATAGTATAGTCAGACCTTGCTTATCCGGATCCATCGTCATCCGGAAGAAAATTGTTGGTTACCGATTTACAGCATAATTATGCCATGCATACATACATGTACAGTACGTGTGTTCGATTATCCGGATATTTTTGTGGAAAGCGGATGTGTGCGGTTATGCGAGGTCTGACTGTATGTACAATGTACATAACTACTTTCTCCCTGTCCCTGAACTACACTGCTACCTCCCCTAATGCCAGTAATGGCCCATGCACAATGCAATGGCGGTGAAAATAATAATATCCTGGACCTGGTGCAGACCATGGTAGCCGTCTACACCAGGGATAGGAGACATGAGGTACATGTACTGCATACTGTTACCCTGAACATAATAATAATAATGGCTTCCTGGACCGCTGGTGCACACCAAAATTCAACACCGTGTGTGATAATGACAAGTAGATCTGGACTGCGTCCAAAATGCTCCAAATACATGTGATACCATGTGTTACATGTACCGTAACCATGGTAACAAAGCAAAGAGTCCATAACCATGATAACCAGGCTTCTTTGCCAGTCTTGGATTGAGGCGTTAGCTGTAACTAACAATGCGCATGTAACTAGGTGACACCACTGCACAAAAACTGAGTAAATCTCAACCAGGTCAGTGCAGCGTACTTAGATGATTACTTCCAACCAGGTGCACACAACACACAACACACACAAACACACACACACACACACACACCGTCTCAGGCAGGTCACCTGGTCACTGCCTCTGCTGACACGGCTCTGGAGAAGGAGGCACTACTTGCGCGACACACATGCACGGCAAGGGACAATCACCCGCATGGCTCACACACAATTCAAACCTTTTGTATTGCCTAAAGTATAAATGCAACGAGCAGCAGAGCACTTTCACAAAGTTACGGCACACTTGAGCGATAAGATTGAAAAACGGCAGCAGCTTCACTGTGAGTTCATTACTATGCAGAGTAGCGATGTACACATTCACAGCAATGCAAGAAACAACAGAACAACATAATCTGATATTATCAGTGAAAACAAATGAACAAGACAGTTCTCTTTCTTGCAGAACAATCTGAAGTGCCCATCAAAACGAAAACAAAATTTGTAGAATTGCCAGAAACATTAAACAGGCAATACTACTTTTTCCCAAGTAGGCGGCAATAAGTACTTGGGCATGGCGACAGGCAAGTGCTCAGGTACACTCCACAGAATCATATCAGGGTGCGGCCAGTGAAAAGGAAAGGAACATGTTGCTGCAAGTGCGAGAAAAAGCTGGGATCTCCACACAAGCAGGCATGAAAGGAGAGAGAGAGAGAGAGAGAGAGAGAGAGAGAGAGAGAGAGAGAGAAGAAGAAGAAGAAGAAGAAGAAGCAAGGGGCATGGGGCACAACAAATGAGATGATCACTTGTGACACGCACACGTGAAATCTATGTAGCGTTGAGCAGCTGTTACACCAGAAAGGCTCTGAAGCCGGCAGTAGTTGTTATAAGAGAAAAACAGGTAGTTTTATTGGAATGATCTGGTACACAATAGAACGTTGGAGATACATTAGAACGTTGGGACAAATAATATTTTTTAACCAGGGGAGAAAGATGGGACTTGGTGTACAGGGATGGTGTACAGGAGGAAAATAAAATCAAGCACTCAAATGGTTAAACTGATAAAATTTCATGCTGTACTAAAAGGGCTTGGTAAAGCTTGGGTGCATTGGCTTCCAATGCTTTGCCAACACCTTCTCTGAGGGGGGCCAAGTCGGGTTGCTCAAAACAACTTGGAACGTTCAGGAGCTGGGAGTAGAGCTTGTTCCAGATAGGGTTCCAGTACCTGATGAAACATGAAAACACCCAACAATCAACGCTGATTAGTCATGCCCACATTTTCCCCCTGACTACACACTGCTCAATCGAAGAACAATCTCTGTCATTCACACGAAATATTGGGAAGTGGACGGGGCAGCATAATGGACATCCCCTGGATCTCTTCGCCTACTACCAGTACTCCGTGCAGTAATACTTGATGGCAGACAGCAGGACACCGAGACAAGCAATTAAAGGTCAGATAATTGCACGTCGAATGAGCAAAACAACTAATTGAGTAGAACGCAATGAGCGGCTACTGTTCTTTACAAACTTACATCACAGATAGTTAGTAAGTGGTATTACAGGCAACGAACCCTTGCATCATTCCAAAAGAAAACACATCCTAAGCTTCTGGATAGAAATGAAAGAAAGTAAAATAGAGAGTAGAAGTATTCAAGCTGATATCACATACCTCTTTGGGCGTACGGTAGGTTGCCACGGGTTTGAGGCTGAGTTCTTTTTAACCACCTTCATGTAATCACCATTCAGGAGGACATGGATGGTTCCAAGCACACCGAATGTATCAATCTATGCAAGCACAGTAAAATGACACACACACACACACACACACACACACACACATGCACATACATACAGACACACACCCATCATGAATTGTATCATATACACAAGATGACTGCGGAAAAACCTAGTGAAAAGACCGACTGATACCTTTCAGCAATAATTATAACATGGTCTGTGGCGCCATCATTTGGTGGCACAAATGCATTGAATGTGCAAGCCTCAGCCTGGCTTCAGAACCTGCATACACTCAAAGACTGTGAGAGGCTGGTTCCACGGACGGTTCCAGGAACCATATTTGCCCTCAGTGTGTACTGTGCAACAATACAACTGGAGAAGAGGGCATATCATCTACATGTAGTACATATGTACAACATTGAAAAGAGGTGATAGGACAGTGCAACACTAATGGAATGATTAATGTTAGGCCAAGCTAACTGTTAGGTCTAGCGATAATGCGCACCAACACAAAGGAAAACAGAGTTAGCCAGTACAGGCCTTGAAAGGATTGAATGTGAATGGCCGGAGCAAATGAAGATGGCATCGTTGAATCTTGAAAAGAAGTTATAACAATTTGTCGCCTACCCCCCCCCCCCCCCCCCCCTGCTTAGCATCTTTGCAAACAGGTTGCTGGTCCGAGAAGATGCATAGCAGTGGAGACAGGTTGTTCTTACCTGCTGTGTCCAGGGACGACTCTCGATCATTTCCACGCAGGCAAAGTCGTCCGTGTCGACAGTTGCGTTAAATGAAGTGCTGGCCGGTAAACAGGACATGTCAATAGCGCGGCCGTAGTCAATCAAGTGCAATGGCTTGACACGGTTCAGCTCGGACAGTTTGCTGCTCACCAGGTTGGCACTGGAGTCCTGCAGGAACTTTGCCAAGATAAATCTAACAACAAACAGAGGAGTAGAACACACACACATGATCATTATGCTCCGCCAGGGTGGTGAACAGGCACAGGTGAAGAAGATAAAGGATTGCCTTGTTAACTTATGATTAACTAATGAATGTACATTGCTATTATACACCTGTTGCACACCTATCACATGATCGCACAGGACAGCCATGTTGGTTCCAACTCCACTCAATCCCTGCATCTGTGGGTCATACAGGTGGAACCCTGCTAATTCGAACCTCAAAATGCCAGGTAAAACTTTTAATTATCCTGACATTCTAATTATCCAAACATGAACCCACAACACAATATGTATGTCAAAATGCTCTTATGGTCACGCAGAGTTGAGCTATGGACCTTAGACACAGATGTCACGGATACTGAACTGACCGGCACAGCCTGCTCATGCAAACTGAACTGACCAGTACAGCGTACAGTGAACTTCGAATTACAGTTTGCTAACTTCGAATTATCAGCACAAATCCCACATGTTTTCTATGTAAAGTGGAATCTGTGGGACTTCTAATTAACCGGACATATCCACTTCGAGGTTCGAATTATCAGAAATGTTTATGTGGGAATCGTATTGATAGAAATCGGTCCTGGAAAAACTTCTAATTAAGCAGTATGTTCGAATTAAGCCATATTCGAATTATCAGGATTCCACCTGTATCATGTAGGCCATGTTGGTTCCACTGTCCACATGGCAGCACCAGTTTCTACACAAATTTAGTTAACATGAACTTGAAGTACGTGAAACCACGCTGTATCACAATGAATGTATTCAGCAAACATGGACCGAAATGCCTGACATTCCAGCGCTAGTCACAGGCAAGCAAACCAAACAACCACCAAAAAACCAGCAACACTCACAGGTCATTGGAAATGACAAAGTTGTCAGGCTTGATGTCAGCATGCAAATAGCCGGCTGCGTGCAATGCTTCCACAGCGTGCAGCATATGCCAGGTGTAGTACAGTACCAATGCTTCTGGCATGGTCTGATGACGACTCTTGTACATATTCACCACGTCCTGTAGCAGTGACAACATTGCAAAGAACACATGCAGGTGAAACCTGGTGTCAGCAACCATCCATGGGGCTGGAATACTACGTCTCGGAATGAAGGTGGTCTCTGAAACAAGGTCGAGCTTTGTACGTGCAATGCATTTGGCACGAAAGACTGATGGTCATGGACAAGGAGGTTACTGAAACTAGGCGGTCCCGAGGTACATGTACAGGCACAAAACACACTTCCAGGATGTCAAACAGTGACCTGACAGTATCCTGGAGAGCCTTCATAACAACAACAAAAAGATGACAGAAATTATACTCTGCTTTGGAGCAATTCAAATAATTATGACAACATGATAGCGGCGCTGCAAAAAGTGATAACAAGCTGCAAGACCAGAATGCACTTCAGAGAGCAAGGGGAGAATAGTGAGTGTAAGATAGGTCATACCAGGAGTGTGCACTTAAAGCGATTGAGAACCATACACGTTCCATTAGCATAGTGAAAGCACTGCTTCACATTGATGAAATACCCAGCCTGTAAGGAAAGAAACACAAACAAGGCAGAGCACACGTGATCCCACATGACCATCTCAACCAGCCCGCCCAGATGACACTGAGAATTCAGAGTCAATACCAAAAAGTCGTGGACCTGCTATGTGTAGATTTCAAGGGAGGAGGAATGCACCAGGGGAATAGCGAAATGGATTGTCTTACTGCGTCTGCGTGGCCAGCATTGGTGATACGCTGCGGCAGGTGACTGGCCAGGAAGAACTCCCACATGTCCGGTATCTCTGTCTCCGATACCTAACCAAGGTGGAGGAAAGAGAGAAGACATAACTGGAGTGTCAGCACTATTGACTACCACCAGGAAGAAATTGAGAAAAAAGACACAGAAACAAACTGACCCAGCACAGTCAGACCCAATGAAGTCTATGTTCACCATGCTGAACAGAACAAGTCATGTTGCAAAGGGAGGGCAACAACTCACCTTCAGGGCAACAATGTCTTCTTTGTCCTTGGCAAAGTCCTGAGCAACATGGTTCGCTGAGAATACAGTTGAAAATGCACCAGTCCCGAGCAAGTCTTTCAGGACAAACACGGACCTCTCATCATCCTCATCTGTCAAATAAAAGCGAACAAATGAGAGAGATATATGTCGTAAGTTCTCGTAACGAAAAGAGAGAGAAAGAGAGAGAGAGAGAGAGAGAGAGAGAGAGAGAGAGAGAGAGACACACACACACACACACACACACACACACAGCTTGGAAATGCTCCAAAATTCCAAGTCAGCAGCACAGCTGTATTGCTGCCAACAAAGAATCAATCGAGACAGGAAACACAACTCACCAAAATTAAACTGATTGAATGTTTTTGAAAGGGTTCTGAAGAGGGCAATACCACTGACAGCAAGAGATGCATCGAACACAGCCAAGTGTGCCGGGGATAGATCTGTTGTTTACACACTAGGCAAAGTGCAGAGCCTGCAGACCAAAAAACACGCTTTGGTGGCAAGATATTGAAGATAACTGTTACTTAACTCACCAAGAATAACGGCTTTGCCAAGGAGTTTCTCGCTGACTTCCGGTAGTGGTTTTGTTGAGAGATCCTTGTAGCCTGGGTGATCAGAGAGATCAGACCCAATGTGCTGCATCCACTTTGCCCGCTTGCCTGGCGAAAACGGATCACCAACGTACAGGCCATTGATGACGGTCTCGTCTGGGAAGCATGTGGAGGCACTGGGATCTGCCGGAATGGACACCGGCTCATCCATAGGCTCTTCTTCAGCAATGGTGTCGTGCTGCACAGACGCAATGGTTGAGCACATGCCACTGCGATTGGAGCCGGTGCTACTAGAACGTGACAAAGATGAACCAGTACGAGATAGTTCCTCCTCAATGGGACTGAGCTTCTTCGTATTGGGCCATGTGGCCGTTGAACTCTCGTCACAATCACCCGAGTTGACACGGTGAGGTTGACGAATGGTAGACAATGCCGGGTGTCCCATTGCTACATTCTGAGATGCAGGGCCGGGCGTGGAGTGAGCTAATGAACACGGCGCCATCGGCGGTGCTGCATCACAGCCGTCATCCATCCCTTCCTCATTGCTAGCTGGGGCTGCAGCTGGTTGGGCTACTTCTCGCTGACTCAGGCCACGCAGACCAGAATTCTGACGGGGCTTTCGAACACGGCCACTGTGCAGAACACAACACAACAAAAGGTGCATGCAGATATGCACGGAGGATGATGAGTAATAGGCGGGCACCATCAAGAATACACAACCTACAAGACCAGTGAACTCAAGGGTCGTGAGATAACCGTAAGGTTGGGACATGAAAACATGTTGCTCATCACAAGCACGTATGGCTGTGGTAAAAAGCAAATAAAATCAAGCTTAAAGTAGACAATGGGGATGCCAGACTTGGCGAGGGGCTATTTACTTGTAGTGGGACCGTACCACAAGACTTGTGTACACCCAAGAGTCAAGACAGCATCCGGTAGCAAGCAGACATACCTGTTCTCTTTGTCCACGGGATGGGCAGCGGCAGACTCATCGTAAATCTGAATTCCTTCAGATGGCGCTGTTTCATCAAAGATGGTGAAGCCCGGCTCAGTGGGCTGGCTGGTGAAAGCCGTAGAGGCAGAGCATGTAGGCACAGATGCAATACGGGTGCTTGCTGCTGCTGCTGGTGCAACAGCTGGTACAGCAATAGCCGCCACCGCCGCAGCACTGACACCAGCCTTCTGCTGGACGCTACTTCGTTGATGAGAGTCCACCAGAAGAGACGCATTGTCAAGGTCGTTAGATTTCATGGCGGACATCATGCGATCGGTGGCATAACGTGTGTGGTATGTCATGGTGGGTGTGACGGCAGGACCAAGGAAAGTCATACTGGACGAGCGGCCAGCAAAGGAAACATCAGCTGAAGCTGCCGATGCGGGACGCTGGTTCTCTTGTGTAGATGATGACTGGCCACCTAACAGTGCCAATGCCGATGCATTGGAGGAAGGTGCAAACACAGCCGGAGCATTGGCTGGAACAGTCGGAAACCGTTCTCCAACAATACCAGTAGGCAGCGGAGTGGTTGCTGTGAAATGATTCTTAGACGAGTTCTGAGCTGGTGATGGGGTTATAGTACTAGAGGACCGGTTCAGAGAGTTGGATGATGGAGCAGCGCAGGGTCTAGCCAAACCAGTCGGCATTTCACGGGAACCACCAGATGCATTCCAGTCAAATGCCCGATTAGGTCGGCCACTCAGCTCTGGAAAGAGAGCACCATACACACACACACACACACACACACACACACACACACACACACACACACACACAGTCACATTAGTGGCACTGTTACGATAAATTGTTGCTTCGTGTACAGCCAAACGGAAGTTCTGGTGGTACTTCTGAGGAAAGGATTAGCTGCTACCCAACATAATTATTGTTGATGTGAATCAGGGGTAAGACATGAGTCTCTGTTCTTCAGAGCCGAGAACGTCAGTGACAGTACAATCATGTACATAATACTACACATGTATATCAGCATATGCCAAGGTATTGACTGTGATTCGAGCAAAGGTTCTGCTGCCAAGAATGGCCACAACTGACCTGGTGTGAGACCATCGAAACTGAGGCGGCGAGTGATGGTGAGCTCCCTCCTACACACATACACACATGCACACATGCACACACACACACACACACACATATACACACACAACAAAATATATCCGCCCTAGTGGTCAGTAAACAGGAGTGGGAGCAAGAAGAAGAGGCTGGACAATCACATGTATAGCAATGCAGTGGTACACAAATGGGAGACTAAAATATCACCACAGGAAACATACTCGTATGCAATGGTAATATGTGATGTGTACTGGGCAATCAAACACACACCGAACTGTATCTTACTTTGCAGTCAGTCTGGTGATGGTATCACGGTCAATAGATACCTGAATAGGCTGACCGATCACCCGTGTCAAGTCCATTGCATCAGGATCGGATGACTGCACCTGCTCTTCAGCATACATCTGCAGCGCTTGACGTGCGCGGATTTCCTCCAGTGAAAACTCTCCGTACTCCGTGTAGACAAGGGCCTTGGGATAAACTGGCTGCTCGCGTGGTGGCTGTGGCTGTAGACAATGGGAAACAAGGGGCAACGCGTCACAATTCCACATTCTCGATTATATTGTGTATGTACCAGATCAGCCTGGTACATGACTGAACATACAGTTGACTCCGCTTATGACGAACTCGTACATTGCAAAGTTTGTGATATAGCGAACCAGTGTCCATGTCCCTGTTTGAACCCATACACAAAATTGACCCTTTTTAGCAAACAGTTTTCATATATAACGAACCATATATTGTAGGGCCGCATATAAAATACTTCCTCCGCCCAAGCAAAATTTTCGCTTATCTTTACACTTTTTACTGATACATTCCAGGTTCTCAGAACGGCTTATAACGACTCAGAATGAGTTGAGGAGCCGTTGAACATCAAGAGAAACTCTTCAAGTCGAAAAATGTTGAAGTCATCCTTTGTCATCAGCCGACGCTGCACTTGTTGTCGGGTAGTACTTCGCACTTTCCAGAAGCGCAAATATTTCGTATCGACACTTTTCCAAGCGCTTCACCTCCTTCATGAGTACGATCGATCGTGTTTCTTACCAGCTGAAGCTGACGAGCTCAGCGTCGCTTTGCAGGATTATTCACGTTGACATCAGGCGAATGAGCTGGGTGAGTGTACTGAGTGACAACCCTGTCATCGAAGCCTTTCTTTTCCCCTGTTTTGCCCAGCGCCGATTCTGGTTTATTTTGCAGTATGTGGGCGAGCGTCGCTGAGTAGCTTTGTCAGCTTCAAGCTCACGTGCATTTTACCGTACACACATCTTGTGCCGGATGCAAACAATCGCGCTGGCTTTTCGCAACATGACACCTCTGCTCTGTACTCCAGTGGTGCTCTAACAGCACCCACCTTGACCAGTGACTGACTTCGTGTCTTTTTTACCAGTTCACTCGCGTTCAACGCGCTCTACTCTAGGTGTTTCTTTACTCTTTGCCGACTTCGCCGACTTGTTTGGAACTGGTGTGCCTGAACCAGCAGATTTGTGTGATGGTGAAGTGCACAAGATGCAAATATTGCTGTCAGACACCTGTCATTGGGCTGAAGGAGAAAAGCGAAAATTTTGCCTGGGCGGAGGAAGTAAGTGCAATTATACTATCATGGCTCACATACCAGTCATGACGTGTTGCTTGTATGGTGTGAGTGCATTGCGGTTATAAAGAACTAATTCTCCTGCACACTGGGGTTTGTTATATCAGGAGTCGACGGTAGGTGTTCACTGAGAGCAAGATTAAAAACTTATTGAAATACTTGTAGATGTATCACAATACTGTCTTAGTATTGATGTTCACTCAGTCTGTAAGCACAGAAGTTCATACCTTGGATATGCTGGCCAAACCACCAGCACTGTCAGCAGCTGTAGCCTTGTGAGGTCTACAAGAAACACACAGCAAGTCGCATTTTTAACGAGGAGCTGCACAGTGAGGTGTGTTACCAATGCAGTGACTATTGGCAATTTGGAATATCCTGTTCTAGAATCTAAACACTGAAGTTCCAATGAAAAAACGAAATGCGCAATATACTAGTACCCTCTTTGCAGTTAGGACAAAAGCAAAGGTCGGTCGGATTGGCTTGAGAAAGAAATCAAGCCTAGAAGAGAATTGAAGGGAGGGGGGGGGGGGGGAGAGATTAAAAAACACAGTAGAGTTTACCAGGAGCAGTGTATTTTGCAGTTTCCTCATAACTTTACCACGAGTGATTCAGATATTGGGCATTCGTGCCAGGGACAATTTCATTACCTTAGAACAGATGCAGGAACTACATTCTTCGTCTCTGGTCCAATGCTCTTTGGCATTCTGCAGTAGAACGGACGGCAACAGCCACAGCAGTTAGTGTCCAGTGAACATAAGCACAGCATATCCTACATCTTTTTTCATCAACCAAAATGAAAAATGATCTGTACAGGGCCAAATGCAGCTGCTTACCCGTTATCTAATATCCTACATTAAGAAACAGTGTTCAGACGCATGCCATGGCTTCAAGTCACTCGCTCTACTGTCACAAACATGCTGAACAATAAAATACCGCAAAAGCCAGTCATAAGGCCCTGGGCAGGAGCGTTAGTGAAGGTCAAGAACACAGGTGCTAATTTGGGCCCGAACGCTAAGGTGGTCCTGGGCGTCGCATCTTCTTGATGGTGGCTGTGATCGGCTCCTCCCGACACCGTTCATACAGTCACTGAGATACGAAGATGGAGAGTTTTAGGCAAGGTGAAACTAGCCATACAGGCGTTGCCCAACATGGCAACAAACTATTGAAATAAGTTCAAATCAAACTAAAACCTACACTGCAGCTTCGGGCTCTCCAAACACTTTCACAGAAGATGAACCTTTCTTCAGATCTGAGAAGCCAATAGCATGTGGCGCATCCACCTTATTCTAGGCAGCAGAAGGACACAATCAGGGAAAGGGTAGGAGTTACTCTCAAGAATTTCCGCGAGTAATTTGAATCACAGCACATTGTACTAGAAATCATTGCACTTGCCAATGCAAGTAGAATACAATACCATTATGCCCACATTCGGATAGACAAAAATATCAACAACAAAAAAAACAGTACAAGCCATCATCATCCCAGAACAGTAATGCACAGCTCAGAAGGCGAACTGGCACAGCATACCAATTATAGCAGTGCACTTATAGTACCCCACTTTCAGTACACTTACAGTAGCCCACTTGCCAGCAGCCTTGACATTTTCCTTGTCTGAATAAGAGAGGCCAGAGCCGATGTGCTTCGATGTTGAGTGAGACTGCTGGCTACACGCCACTTGCCCATTCTCATCGAGCACGGTCGGACGTGCGTTAGTCAGTGGTGTTACTTTGCGTGTGTTCACAACGCCAGCTGAACCTGCACACATACACACACACACATGGACATCCGTACAGGCGTACACATACACAGCACAGGTGAGCATGCAACACCCCCAAAACAATCAGTGTGGATATACTGTAAAAGCCATTATTCTAACGAGGCGCATATATAACGATTTCCCAAAATTGACTGGTTTACGTGTACCAAAGGTAACGATTCTTACTTATTCTTAACGCTCAATAGAACGGTATATGTATCGATTTCTGTATAACGATTTCTATTTTAACGACAGATTTCTCCTCGTTAATTCGTTAGAGTTAGCACTTCGTTATATATTATGGCTTTTACAGTATTCATCCCGACTCGCCCATCTTGGCACACATCAGGAGACAATCGTGACAATTTCTACCACAAATCTTGATCATTTCAAACTCCTATCGGCCACCATGAGAATGAAAATAAGCCCAGCAGCAGCAACAGCAGTAGCAGCATACCATGGATAGCAGAGCCAGAGCGGCCAACACCTGGCTGGTCACCAAGATCAGACAGGGCTTTACGCGTGGGTTGGGATGCTCTTGTTGTGTCTGCAATCGGTCGTTTGGACGCAAGAACAACACCAGCCATCACACGCTGCTCAAATTCCCTGCACAGAAATGAGAAGAGAGAAATGCATGATTCATAATAGCAGAATCCACAAGCCCAAACCACCGGGCAGAGTTCACCTTTGACATTGCTATTTGCTCCAGTTTCAACACAAACAGGACATGTTCTTACTTGTGGTGTCTCTCCAGGCGAGCGAGCGGGGCTGCTTTGCGCTCCAGGCCACGCCTATAAATATTCTCGGCATCTTTATGGCGTTGCATTGATTCCAGCAGAGCTGCCCAGGCTTCGTAAAACAAAGCCTGATCTTGAAAATACTGGGATGACTGCAGGTGGTCGAATAAGGGCAGCTGTTTGCTGGCATCACCCATCAGATCAATCTATGATCACACAATTTGCAGATATCAGCAAGGTATACACAAAGCGAAGGGATGTCAGAAGGGATTTCATACTACAGAGATGACAGATAGGCACACCATGAAGCTCAGATACATGTACAGTATAATGGCACTCCAGCTGGCTAGCAAATCAAGTCCGTATTTCTGATGTGTCACTAGATCAACAGGTTGCTACAACCTGCAATAACTGTACTCCCCCCCCCCCCCCCCCCCCTCTCCTCCCGATATAATACAATATAAACAGTTGACTATATGGGCAATATAAACCTGTCTACAAACCAAGGCGAACATGAGCCTCAACTTACATATTTCAACCAAAGCTTGAGGCATCGGACATCATCCTTCATGTCCACCAAGGCACGTATGCTCTTCTCCAGAGCTTCATTCAAAGCCTTCCGATTTCCGGATGGATACGCTTGCTCCACCCATGACACATAACTGAGGAGAAGAGACACAGGGTTTAGCATGACATTATTGCAATGTAATCATCCATCTACCGTACCATTTGCAGACTACTCCTGAAAACACCATCGTACATGTACACAGGGACCTCCCTAAGCAAGCAACTCCGCACTAGTACTCGGAACGTATTCGTTCAGTCCCAAATGTTCTCAATCGAGTAGTTCCAATGCATAGTGTGATCAGGACACGTTCCAACGCAGTAAGTCTGGTCTCCGGGTGTCCGTGAGGCTCCACTGGATCGGTGCAGTCTGGTCTCCGGGGTGTCCGTGAGGCTCCACTGGATCGGTGCAGTCTGGTCTCCGGGGTGTCCGTGAGGCTCCACTGGATCGGTGCAGTCTGGTCTGCGGGGTGTCCGTGAGGATCCACCGGATCGGTGCAGTCTGGTCTGCGGGGTGTCCGTGAGGCTCCACTGGATCGGTGCATGGGCAGTGGTGGTAACTGAAATCCAACTCCTGGTTTTCGTGCTGGAGTGCAGCATCGATTCTAGCCATCTCTATTTTGTAGTGTTACAATCCCGTGCCGGGTTTTGGCAACGTGAGCGCACCGCTCAAGGGGTCGGATTTCAGTTGCCAGCACTATTGCTCATCTGGAACACTACACATTGTGTAGTAACCGAGCGATGATTATAGTAGCCTTGCAGAAGGTTAACTTGTGCATGTAACCTAAAGTAGACAAAGTGTCTCACGTCCTTGCTGCAAATACATAATGTAATGCTCCATCTCCTAACAAGGGCAGAGCGTACTACATAAGGCAGAACAACAGACCGATATCGTTATCGTGACTTCGAGTTTTCGTGTTTGAAAAACGTCTGTCAGATGAAAAACACGGAACTCGGAGTCACGATAACGATATTGGTCTCTGTTGTTCTGCCCTGTATAACCTAATGTAGATGGGTGTAATTGCTGCATCAAGCAAAGAGATGTGCACAGTGACATGTACATGTGATGTAGGCAGTAGGCCGTGATGCGCCTATCACCAGTACAATCATGTACAGTCGTAATGTCCACACTCCATGAATGATGATGAGAGGAATAGAGTGAGAACAATTTACATTCCAGGTCTGTATTTTCGTAGAGGATATCTACACATCATGGTGCTGGATACGCATTAGACAAGTGATCGAATGAACTTACTTCTGATACAGGGCAACGGGATCATCACTTTCACTGGCCTCTTCGCTCAAATGCTTTTCGTACTCACTGAACAAAAACACACGGAGGGAGGCCGCGAACTGAGCAATTCAAACCCAATCACGAGCAAGTAAAATCTCTTGACTCACGCTCTTTGCGCTTCCAAGCTTCGTTGAAGCGTTGGCTTTTGCTGTCCAAGAGCAGCATTCAATGTGTCCATGTTGCGACCCTGTTTCAGTGGCCGAACGTTCTCTTTACTCAGTTCCCATTCAAATGACATACTGAATGGTGCGAATGGGGCACTGTCGCTTTTCTCTTATTTCCCCTGGTCTTCAGCGCTCCACAGGACTCAAGAGGCCACAAGCAAGGGGCAAGAAACCAAATCAGGGAGCAATCAAGCTAAGTAAGTCACATCCTTGTCCATTACTACTGCTTACTGCTCTGCTTTGACTGGACTCGACTGTGCTGCTCCTTTGGGTGTTGCAGTTTTTGTCTGAAGCCTGAAGGCCGAGGTCAGAAAATTCAAATTTTCGCGCATAGCATTTCCTTGGTGACGTTCCATGCTTGGTAACGTAGAGTCTACGTAACGACGTCGCACTCATTTTTTTTCAACACTACTTTTTTGTAGTGTCATGATTATCTGCAAACATGACTGTATCTGATGCTGTTGCTGGCTAGCTGGCAATGAGTGTGCTGATATTCTTGACAAGAGCTACATCGAAGAAAGACTTGTGTTTTGAGCTTCGTAAACAATCGACGTGGTGTTGCATGGAGGCAAGCGCTTAGGCTGTAGACACGATGAGCTATCAACTTTATCGGAACACTACACTCGGCCACAGCTTACAAGAGTGCCTAGATGAGCTCATCCAGGTACAGAGAAGCAATTGTTACTTTTCAGATTTTCTCCTGGGTTCTCCTTGAGAACTTGTGCCTGCTTTTTGATCCTTCCAGAGTCACCAGATCACACCAGCCCTGGCTCTGCAAGTGTTATTGGAGTTCGACAAAGCCATAAGCAAGGCGTTTGGAAACGTAAAAACGAAGAGTCATTTCAAAGTAGGTGCCATCAATGGTCCATAACCCCTGGATCTTGTAGTCTTGCTTCTATGTATAGCATGCCTAGCATTATCACAGAGTCACTTTCACTGCATTTCCTAGTTGTATTTTTCATGCACTCCATACACACCAGTATGTATGTCATGACCCGACCTCAAGGGTCAGTCAAAAGCCTGCGTTGCCAACAACACCAAATAGGACCGTCACGAAGTGTGAGCGAGACCCAGGTTCCCAAGTGCACAATATATGCACGCCATCACTCAACAGCCCACCAAGAGTTCCATTGTCAAGGACAAGCCTTGCAAAACGTACAAGAATGAGAAGAAGAAGAGAGAAGCGACCGGAGCGAGATTGAGGACGAACACCAGCACAACAGGGGCTTATATTCCGAAAAGCAGCCAATCAGAACGAACTCACTGTACTCACTAGTCATTTAGTAAAGGCGGGATAAGAGAAGGTTTTAACGGTAGAAGCTAGGGTCATATGATAATTCATAGTACAGTAAGGGTGCGTTCTTAAATCCTCGGAAAAGTTGGAGAGTCTCCGAAAAGTTCGAGAGCTGTTCTTATATCCTCTCCGACTTTTAGGAGGCTCTCCAAAGCTCTCCTGTCCCTCCAGAAACTTGCGGAGACATTTCGGAAATATCGCGTAAAAAGTTGCGAGGTAAAATGCCACAAATTGCGGGGGATACTGCGGATTTTGCCAAATATTGCGGGATTATTGTGGTGAAATTGCGGCCGATTTGGTACTTGTACTGTAGACTAGTGCAGTAGTGGTGTACGATGTACGAGTCGTACAGCATAAATCATGCATGACAAAACAGAACGTGTGCTGCACTGACTGTGTTCAACTGCGTGACAGGAGCTTGCAAGACAGCTTTCCTCCATCCTCGGACAACACTCGACGCGAGCCTTATTTTGTGACTTGTCAGCCGCTGATTTGCCCAGAAACTTCTCCATTCTGGTGTCGATCTCACAAGTAAACTACTGACGAACTTCAAGAACTAAACAACATCGAAGAAAGACTCGAATATCGCGGTTGCTTTTCGAAATATCGCGGTGCTTTTTAGGTATCAAGGACAGTTTTCTACAATAACGCGGATGATTTTTCAAATATCGCGGATATCACGGACTTTTGTTCAAATCGCGGAAAACAACGCGGTCGCGGAATCGCAAGTTCCTGGAGGGACAGGCTCTCCAAGCTTCAGAGGTGGTTGAAACTTGGAGATTCCCGCGGTTTGGGATCAGCGCATGCGAACTACGACTAAAAGCCACGTGTTCATCATGAGTGTACGCATTTCCCTTTTCGCATACGCACATACATTAATCACTCAAGATCGAGAATAAGAACGCACCCTAATATAGTACAATCCGTGTCGCCTCCCAATTCGTTTTCAACCGCACCATGGCGCGCCTGAATCCGTTCAATTCCTGTGGCTTTGGATGATAAGTCCACTCGTACACGACGTCCCCCTCAGCCGGGCTCAGACTTGACCAGAGTGTCCTCTCTTCCAATGTGTCCATTATACTCGTACGACCAGAGTTCCTTTTCCCCTACATTTGGATGCCTAGCACACTCGTACACGACGTCCCCCTCAGCCGGGCTCAGACTCGACCAGAGTGCCTTCTCTCCAATGTGTCTAGTACACTCGTACACGACGCCCCTGTCATCTCAGGCTCGACCAGAGTGCCTTCTCTCCTAGTCTGGTACACTCGTACACGACGTCCCCCCTTCAGCCGGGCTCAAACTCGACCAGAGTGACCTGACCCTAAAGCTGCCGAGTGATCCTTTACGGACCTCCCGGCCCATTGTCTTAGTCCTGTGTGTCCTAGTTCGACCAGGAGCACTGATTAGTTCAATTCCTTCCAGTTTTCTTTGGATACTTGGGTCACTCGGCGTTTCCGCTGAGTGTCCCCGAGCCTGCCGTCTCTAGGACTTGTCATCTCCCTTCCGTGCCTCCCGATACACCGTCCTAAGCCGGTACATGTAGTGTGTTTACCCGCGTGTGTTGTAACACTTCTCACACATTACACCTGCAGGCGTTCCCGTAAGCCTGTGTGTCCTCTCCTGAATATGCTGTGTCTTAGCCTTGCCTGACTAAAGGACAGCATCTCCATTCATTTCTAGAAAGAAAAGTGAACAACGACCACTTTCATTCTAATGACTGCATGACCATGTCGATGATGAAGAAGTAGTTCAAACTGCATTCACGTATCAAAAAGGCTTATACATGCCGCCAGGTTCTGACCAAACAATCTCAAGAAAAATGAGACTTCCCCACAGTTTTGGTCCTAGCCTCCATTCCTCACCATACACGCGATCAGAGCGCAACCAGGTTTAGATAACAATACTTTTATTGAATTGACTTAATAATATTATTATGTGATCCAATAAAGAGGCCGCATATCACTGTGACGCGAACTTGTCGGGGGTAGTTGGCAAGTCCGTTGGGATTTCCGTGTCAGTACTCGAGTCCTTCTTGCCACTAGTAGACGCCTTGTCTTTCTTGGGCTTACGTGAGTTTTTACGAGTTTTCTTTCTCGGTGGCTCTTCTGATTCATCCGTGCGGTGGCCGGCATGCCAGCCCAATATCCTGAAGGATATCAAGGACAGAAAGTCCAGGTCTTCCTTCAACTTTCTCAAGTGTCGTCCTTGGTCGGGGCGACCCACGCCTTCAAATAGAGCTATCGCCCGTTCCAAGCTCTGCATCGTCGGAGTCTCCCGCCCCTGGCCTGCTTCTCGCGTAAGGGCGTTGAGCTCCTCTATCATTTCCTGTGCCATTCTGGATAAGACAAAAAACGCCACACCAGAAAAAGAACCGAGGATTAGTTCACATTGAGTGACGGATCCTGGTCACAGCACCAAATATCATGACCCGACCTCAAGGGTCAGTCAAAAGCCTGCGTTGCGAACAACACCAAATAGGACCGTCACGAAGTGTGAGCGAGACCCAGGTTCCCAAGCGCACAATATATGCACGCCATCACTCAACAGCCCACCAAGAGTTCCATTGTCAAGGACAAGCCTTGCAAAACGTACAAGAAGAAGAAGAAGAAGAGAGAAAGAGAGAAGGGACTGGAGCGAGATTGAGGACGAACACCAGCACAACAGGGGCTTATATTCCGAAAAGCAGCCAATCAGAACGAACTCACTGTACTCACTAGTCATTTAGTAAAGGTGGGATAAGAGAAGGTTTTAACGGTAGAAGCTAGGGTCATATGATAATTCATAGTACAGTAATATAGTAGAAATCCTTAGCGTCTCAATAATGTGTACATCAAGAAGAGTCGCAGATCAGAGCTAGTGAAATACAGCCTACACATGTATAATATTAACCATAGTACCGTATTATCTCTAATATAAGCACAGTCTCCAATAAAAGCACGTCTCCAATAATAGAACACCTTGGGGCGGCATTCAAAAAATAAAGTGCTCAGTCTCCATTATAAGCACACTGTGTAAATTCATTATCTGTACCGGCGAAAAAAACCCTGAAATGTGTGCGTCATACATGAATTTGGCATGGCAACATGCCTCTGAAATGAGGTTGAAATAATAATGGAACAGTCTCCAATAAAGGAACGTCTCCATTAATAGCACGGGGCGGAGGTACATTGAAAAAATAAAGGACCGTGCTTATATTAGAGATAATACGGTATGAACTAAATCTGATTGGTCAAATGCTAGCAACAACCTGACAGCAGGCAGCAGGCACGTGACATATTATAAAGTACTCAGTTTACCATGACCCAATGCTGATGCATGGCGAATGCGACTTGCTGACGTATCTGCTACCTGTCACTTGCCACCGTGTGGTCCACCTTCGAACTCGGGTCACGACATGTACACTGTTGCTTTAGTTCCTCCTTGGTTTCAAGGATCAAACTGCCGATCGGTCACCACCAATCTGGCCAACGTATCCAGAAATACAACCCGCGCTGTCAATAGACACTGGACAGAACCACGGAAACTTGGAGAGGGGGGGGGGGGGGCTGCATTCTCCTTGCTTGTACCCTGGGTAGTAGTCAGGATCGCAGTCCGGGGTTGCGGGGGGGGGGGGGGGGGCAACTTATACTCGGCGTGGCTGTCACCCCGGAGATCACGAAACGTGCCCGCATTCACATCAGACTGAATTAGGGGTGAAACAATTATACTGAGTACTCGAGTACTCGCTCGGTTTTTTCAAAAAAAATCGTACTCGGAATAAATCAGAGTGCTCGTTCATACTTGGTACATGCATTTACTGCAGAAATCTGCAGTTTCAGAGCAGCAGTCGGCAGATGGTGATGTGCAGACTGTGTGGTGAACATTTGTTCACGAGTAGAGAGAGCCCAAATGACCCACCAACCAATATACCCGAGAAAAATGACTGCTACTCGGTTCAATCAGGGTTGTATCATGTTATTTTAAAGCCCTTGGTGTGCAATTGTTAGGAGATAAAAAATACTCGAATACTCGAATATTCGATCGGAGAAAATCAGAGAACTTGAACTCGGGATCTCAGTGCCAACTTTCACTTCTAGACTGAATGGACACACACTCTTTCTTGATCCACTCCTTGAAATGAAAATCATAAGTTTGCATCGCACTTCCGTATATTTGCCTGATACGTAGGAAGTCCAGATTGCAGCAGCTGTAGAAGCCATCACCTACCAGCTAGCTGTCCATGGGAAGCAATGGCAGCTAACATTGTACTGTCAGCAAGACAAGGATATGATGAATCAGACACCTGCACTTCTTTGTGTATACACAAGCCTGCAAAGCATCACAACAAACTGGATGTGTGCACTCCTGACATGCACTCAACAGATAAGTTGCAGTTTGGTGCTTCAAGGATTGTTTTTTTAATTTCTATTATATTGTTGGATTTGCATGTCTTCATGACCATGTTTTCTGTGTGTGTGTGTGTGTGTGTGTCGTGTGGTATGTGTGTGTGCTTTTTGTGTGTGCCTCGATGATCACCATTAGGGCAGCCTGAGGACGTACCGCTTCTGTGATAACGTATGGACGTTTGTCCTGAGCAATGTGGCGTTTAAAGAGGGACAAGGTCCGGAGGTTAATGTGGACAAGGTGAAAATTGTTGCATGCGATGCGAAGGGTGAGTAGTTTGCATAGCTTTTTTGCCTGGATTTGACGGCCAGTGTGGTTGCTCGGCATCTTTAAGAGCGTTTTTGCTATTGTCAATGTGAATCATGGGACTTACGTCTGATGCTTGCTATTGCTGTAATAACATTTTATGAAGATAGAAGTCAAAGATATGAGCAGTGACTAGCTAAAATCGACCCATGGCTATTGCCATGCGCGATGTAGTGAGGAGAGTTGTTCTGTTGCTGCTGGTCCGCATGTGTCCAGCGCAGTAATCACTGGCAGTTTCAGCTGCTGTAGTCTTGCCAACATAGCAAGGCCATTGTTGCACCGAGTGGTAACATCCTGAGTACAGTTGTTTACCTCCATTTGTCACTTAGCCACTTGCCGCTCATTGAAGACCTTAGTCTGCTTGCTGCCATGGCGAGAATGGCCCACCCCTGGACCACCTGCCTGCGGATATATGACGAGAAGTTTTTAAAAGATAGAAATAATGTGTACGCTCTCATACCACAACACCAGAGGAACACTTGTGTAGGGATTTTAACATCATTTTCATCTGACTATCATGTGACTTGGAGCACAGCAGTCAGCTGGGGAATGTGAGGGCCATCGCTCTGGACAAGCCTACATGGAGAAATCTGGCCAACAATCCATGATTTGGCGTCACAGGTCATCAGTGCGCCGTGTTAATAATTATCTTGATAATGGAATTTGATCATAGGAGATAGGACAGAAGCGGAACGTATAATTATACCCACATAATTATATTATTACGCGTACTGTGGTATTATTATTATTATTATTATTATTATCATCAGAAATCATCGTCACACACAAAGTTGGATCACAGAGGAAATAGTTTGGTAACAATAGGTTTCATGTCTCCACTCCGACTTTTTAGTTTTTTTAGGCGCTGCATCTGCCGCTAGGTTATTTCGGGTGTTAGCGGCCGTCATCCTGCCTCGGAAAGAAAACAAAATTAACTTGTTAAACCTTTTCTTTAAAGAGACTAACAGCTCGTCATGAATGCATCAACGTGCCCCTACATAAAAAACGTGTTGAGCCATGCATCCTTGCCTTTTGTTGTCATTGAAGAGCTTTCCGGTGCTCAGTCAAGTGTAATGATGTTATGCCAAACTCTCCCTTCTAACCTCCATAACCCCCCCCCCCCCCCCCCACACACACACACACGCACACCTCAGACATGCCCATCGCAGAAGCGATGATAGCGAACAGCTATGTTAGACATAGCACCTTGTGCTGGGATTACACCATTCAACAGCTTGCAAGGCTGATGAATTGACCGCCACTGTTTTTTAGCCTGGCATCCACCTTACAGCTGATTGAAGTGCCCCCCCCCCCCCCACACACACACACACAACAAATCTTTGATTTGCTTTTTTTCATTATGTTCCCTTGCACTTTGTGTTTTTGCATAGGTTCTTCTGAGATTTCATGACAGCAGTGATGGCAAGTTTATAGGTATGTGATGTCAAGGCACTGGCGTACATGTATGCACTGCACACCCACACCTAAGGCGGCTTCCTACTATCCGTGAAATGGGACATTGCTGCTAGAAAACCTTCGACTCCTACTGTCACTACCCTGTCCTTCCTCGCTTACGCAGTGTTGGACGCTATTCTCTCATTTGCGACCTGGTGGGGTATTATAGTCTACGATTCGCAGTGCTGCCGCTGCTTCGCTATTTGAGTACATCTGCTGCCTAGTAACGAGATCAAATGTACGTCAACACGTATCCTGACAGCTTTATATTACCTACGAATTTGTTCTATCTGGTCAGATTTGATTCTGTTGCTCTTCTTATCCGGAGCTATCCGTATTCTATGGGTATGTCACACTCCCGGTGCTGCCTATGGGCTGCCAGTCCCATCCTACAACTATTTGATAGCTCTGGTGAGATCACCACTGTACTGTTGTTGAGTTTACTCTGTCCTCATCTCCAGGCTACTTTTGCATTTGTTTTATACCTGGTGTTACATGCACCGTGCTGAAGGAACAAGGCTATATATAGCATAGTCGTTGGCTTTTTTATTGCTTAGTTTTGGCGTACTGTGGCGTGGCATTAGCTATACGTTACATACGTTTTGCTTGTCTTGTTTTCAAAGACACACTGTGATGCAGTGACATTGCCTGCAGGGCAATACTGCGGCAGACAGTACCATTTTCCCTATGCTCAGCGATAAGATTGCTATTCCTCTTCTCTTTTTTCTATTTTTAAAGACGTGTTGGCATGTTTTAGTCGGTGTGGTCTCATCTTTCCAAGTACGGCTCCTGTACATCTAGCGGTAGTACAGCAGTGACTTGAAGTGAAGATAACAGTCTCTTGTTGGAAGAGACCTTGTCTGGGTTGTGGTGTCATGTACAGTGCTAGTGATGCCAACTGAATTGCAACCCCTGCTTTTTACGTGTGGCATTCACTCTCTGGTCTTGTGTGTGCGTGTGTGTGTGCGTGTGTGTACTACATGTACTACTGCATAGATGTGTATACTATCGCTGAGTTTTGCAAGTCTCCCCATGTAATGTTGATGGTGTAACTGCTCTATCCGGCACGCATACAGTATGGCAGCATGGACAGTGCACACTGACCTGTCCATGCTTTGGCCGTTTGAGGTTGGTGTGGTCGCATGCTGTGTTGGTGCAGTGCGGCCCTGCTCCTGGGGTCGAATTTGACCCGGCACCATTGCTGCAAATGTTCATTTCATGTGGGTGTAGCACACTGCCGGAAGTTCGTTTGCATTGGAGTGCGCCATCAGGATACGTTCCAAACTACTTTTCAGACAGAGGTGGAGTTTCTTGAGCGAGCGAGTACAGGGTGCGATTTCGCAGGTGTACCATAAAATCCCGCCAGAGCGCCCCAACTCTCCCATGCGCCCCTCCCGGACTTCTTGTCAGGGAAGTGGTTTATTGTATCCTCGTATGACTGTGATGCCGTACTGTACTGCAGACGGGTGCTCAGCCCGATTGGAAATGTACGCAACAGTTCCCACCCTCTTGGCCAGGGATCGCACAAACTGCTGGGTTTGGATGGATCTGTACGACTCCCTGCTCTTGACCTTCTGTCGGTGTACGAGATGCACGCAACATTTTTGTAAGGTGAGTACTTTTTCATGTAGTACTGAATGTGGCGAGTAGGACTCACCCATCCGTCCCTCCCCACCTGGACCTACTCGAAGGGGCGCCGCTCTGGCGGGATTTTACGGTACATGAAACCAGCTAGTGCTGCCTCTTTCGCTGCTCTCCGGGAAGCTGCGGACCGCCCCTTGGCCCGTCGTATGGATGAGCTGTCCCGCAAAGGCCCCTCTTCCTGGCTCACTGCTCTTCCTCTCAAGGAACATGGGTTCCACCTCTCGAAGCAGGAGTTCAGGGACGGCCTTGCATTGCGGTATGACTGGCCTCTCCTCGATGTCCACACGAAGTGTGCCTGCGGAGTTCTGTTCTCCACTGCTCATGCCATGTGTTGCCCCCGGGGTGGCTTCCCTACAATCCGCCATAACGAAGTCCGTGACATGGTAGGGGAGCTACTCACGGAGGTCTGCCACGCAGTGGCAATCGAGCCTCAGCTAGCCCCGCTCTCTGGAGAGGTGTTTACGGCTGCATCGACAAACACCGCCGAGGATGCCCGCGCCGATGTCCGTGCCCGTGGCTTCTGGACCCGAGCACAGGATGCTTTCTTTGACGTACGCGCCTTCCATCCTGATGCGGCGTCTTACTCGGCCCAACCACTGGATGCCCTACTGCTTCAGCACGAGCGCCAGAAGAAGCTGCAGTACGGAGAGCGAATCCTCAATGTGGATCGTGGCACATTCAGCCCGCTGGTGTTGTCAACTTCTGGTGTTGCTGCTCCTGAATGTGAAAGGTTCCTTAAGCGCCTCTGTGGCTTGCTTGCCAGGGCTGATTCCAGCATGCCCTATGCACACCATGTTGCATATGTGCGCTGCAGGCTGTCTTTCGCGCTGCTCCGGTCCGCTGTCATGTGTGTCCGTGGGTCTCGGTCGGCATACCATCGTCCAGCTAACGAACTCAGGGAGCTGGCAGTGGTTGAAAGCCGGATCTAAAACCATTTGTGTTTTAGTGTGACTCTCGCCATTCCGGAGACATATTTTCCACACCTGTGTAGTATTTTTAATATCTTCCTATCATACCCTGGTTTCTCATCATTGTGTTGCTTTTGCCCGTAAAAGAGGCTGTTTAAAATTTCATGTACTGAAATCGGGTTTCATGTACTGTAAAAGCCATTATTCTAATGATTTCTATTTTAACGACAGATTTCTCCTTGTTAACTCGTTAGAGTTAGCACTTCGTTATATTATGGCTTTTACAGTACTCTTTGTGTGATGCGGACAAGTTGCCATGGATTCGCAATGAAGGCAGTGCACTAGTTAGTACATAATAATTATGAAGACGTCTTGCTTGGTAGTTTAACATGTTTTTCGGTTTTGACAGCATGTTACAAGGCGAGGACGCATACGGCATAGTGCTCCTGACTACAACCATAACCCGGTTGGCAGAGTCCACATGTAGTCCATAATCCCTAAGGTTATGGACTATCGCTAGCAGGGAGTCATAAACACCTGGTACTCTTATTTTACTGTGGCGACAACCAGCTTGTAGTAAAAACAACTTTCACACCAAGGTTCAACTCGAGTGACAGGAGTGCACCCAAATAAGGTCAAACAGGCTAGTAAGTTGTACCCTGCAGGCACGGTGACCAGGTGACTGGTGTACGCAGGAGCACGTGACCGCTTGTTCAACCATGTTCGATTGGGAATAAAGGAGGAACGCTGCATCGCAGCCTTTTCGGACCAAAACCAGTCGACTCAGCGTCCAAAAAACTACAACATATGGGCCAATCGCGGTCATCCGTGCTTTTATAAGAACGAAATGGCGCTTTTAGTGACATTTTGCATACAAATCCCCATCTCGTAGGGAGCAGTCACCCAGTTTCGGTGGAAGTGTGCGAGTTCGATTGGGATTCAAGTAGGAAGGGAGCGTCTCAGCTTCCTCGGACCACGACCATTCGACTCAGCACCCCGAAGACTACAACTGGTGAAATTTTAATTTTTGCCTTAACTTCCCCTTTAAACGTTAGACTGTGTGACTCGTTAGACTTTCCGGTTTTACAGTAACGATTTTGTAAAATTGACAGGTTTACGTGTACCCGGCAAAGGTAATGATTCTCACTCATTCTTGACGCTCACCACTGAGCAACCTAGAAGTTTCCAGATTTCTGTATAACGACAGATTTATCCTCGTTAGATCTAGCACTTCGTTATCCATGCCGGTTCCTTTTTTTCTTCTTCTCCTCCCCTTCTCCCTTCCTTGCCGTGGTTGGCTAACACCCTCTCTCTTTGTATTGGCCGGTGTTCTCACTGTGCTATGAGATGCTGTAATAAATAAAATAAAATAATAAAATAAACGAGAGAGCTTGGAAGCTCAGGGCCCTACGCTATGCTTTTTTGCCTTGATGACCTAGACAAAAAAAAGCATAGGGATGTTATAAATTCTTTAAAAAATTCCTTTTTTTAAGACATAACCTGGGATTCGAGCCCGCACTATCGCACCCTGCATGCATCCCCCGGTCTTTAAAAAATTCCTATTTTTTAAGACATAACCTGGGATTCGAACCCGCACTATCGCGCCCTGCATGGATCCCCCGATACACATCGCATACATACTAATTCTTCCAAGTTGCTTCACATTATGATCTTGCATTTGAAAGCCCTATTTGAATATGCATTGTGGCCAGCCGTCTTTGATGGTACGGTACGGATAGGTACGGGACAGGTACGATCGAGGGTAATACGACACCGTCTCCTGTACCGTACCATCAAACACAGCTGGCCACATACAGCTGCCCGCAATATTCAAATAGGGCTTTCAAACGCAAGATCATAAGGTGAAGCAACTTGGAAGAATGGGTATGAATGCGAAGTGTATGGGGGAATGCATGTAGGGCGATAGTGCGGGTTCGAATCCCAGGATATGCCTGAAAAAATAGGAGAATTGAAAAATTTATAACATCCCTAAGATTTTTTGGCTAGCGCCAGACATTACTGAAGTAACGTCTTCTGCATAGCTACGGGAATAAGACTTTTACAGTAGTACTAGTACTGTAGTAGTCAACAGTTCACGTACTAGCAGCTAGTCTTACAATCTACATTATTTTAGGTATCTAATATTGACTGAGTACGAGGTCAATATAGGAAATAAAAACCTCGTAAAAGACCTCGGCTTCGCCTCGGTCTTTTACTCGGCTTTTATTTCCTATACTGACTAAGTACGAAGTCAATATTAGATTTATCACGACAAACAGTCCGTATTTCAAATTCCAGAATGATAACCTCATGAATCCCGGTTTTATGATTGCACAGCCGGCCGTTGCACCACCTACCTACTCATGCAGTGACAATGCTGCACTAGGCACCGTTCAAATGCGCAACCCCGAAGCAGTCAAATATAAGCAGTCAATATAGCCCTAAGGAGTGAAATATGCAGGAATATTTGACTGCTTAGGTATGGCAAAAATCTATGTGAGTCAATACTGAGGGAGTGATAAAATAATGTCTTTACGTTTGCTGGTTAGTACTCATATTCAGTCATAATCACAGAGTCACTCACCCTGCTCACTCCAATAAGTGTAGCCAGGTGGAAGTACGTCCGCGGAATGCGCGGATCCGGCCAACAGATAGATCTGCATGATTGTGCATACGTCATGGCTGGCAAAATGGCGCTTGTGGAGGGTCGAGTCATCTGGAGGAAGAAAGCGATCCCTGGGCATCATGGTGAAAAGTTGACCCCACAACATTACCAACGCACTCCGGGTCTGTCACCTCGGCAAGTCTTCGAAGAAGGAAGCAACCGGAACAAGTCCAGACGATAAGTTGGAGTCCATGTGCGGAGGCAATCCATTTTAGCCATCCGAAAGATCAAGAGCGCCAGCGCCGCAGCGGGCTAGCACTTCACGAAGTCACCATCGCATCTTCGTAGTACTGCACCACTGCATGCACTACAAGTACAACAAGTACATGTACATTGTACAAGTCAGTGTAGGAATGCTCTGAAAGACTGGATAATAAGCCGCCATGCACGTGCACATGGTGCATGAACATGATGAAAAGGCGGAATCAAAATCACATGCAGAACATGGACCATGTCAATAGTCAGAGATCAACAGTCAGAGATCTCTAGTGACTCTAGAGACTGACAGTCTAGTCCAGGCTGCACAACTACTTACTAATACTACTTACTAATACTAGCGCTAGCAAGCACTGCTTTGAGTCTGACTTGGGCTTTACCACTACCCCAGGCTTTGTAGTTTGGGCAGTTTGGCTTTGGGGCAAAAGATCTGATGCAGCACTTCCATCTTGTAGTTGTACTTCCAACAGATACTCGGAAACACAGTGTAGCGGGGAGCAGTCAGTTCGCAACAGGTGTGGGTTGTTTTTTGCTTTCGAGTGTTCCGGTTTGATAGCACACGGTGCGGTTGTGCCTGTGCCATCGGTCCCTTGACTATCGGTGCTGCTTGGAACGTTGGCGATGCTTCAAGCGGCGAGGAGAAGGTAAGCACACCGTGCCATAGCACTATGCCTTCTTTTCATGGGCTGGCTCAGCACAGTTCAACCAGTAGTCCACTGGTTGCCTTCGGTAAAGACATCAGTCATTAGCTGGGGAAAGCGGATTGAATACAAGTCATGTAATCGGAAATCCGGACAAAGCGACGTTAGATGTTCCGGATGTGCAGGGGTCCTTAGGCCGCTAATATTATAATAGGCAGCACCTGAGTAGCGCACTGACTAAACTGACTTAAAAATAGCTCCACAAAACCGACCGAAAAACATTTACTGCAGGTGGGTATGCTAAGACAAACAATTTGCTGCATGAAATTCTCCGAGCAAGCCGAACACACAGGTGGCTAAGAAGCTTTCTATTCGCTTCTAGGGTACTTTAACTGTGGCCCACTGAATACAGACTCAATTCTCTGATATTGATAGGATCTGCATGGACAGGGCCTGGAGCCAATAAGCCTCAAAGTCAAACTTTGTGGGGACCCAGCAAGGGCAAAGAACCTGCTTTTGTATTCTATCTGATCGCCGGTCAGTTCAGAAATCAGCCCAAGGATGGCAAGTTTGACGTTTGGATAGCCGCGTAACCTGAACTCCTCCACCTCACTCCTCAGACCACCGTCACTGCCATCGGGTTGCTTAGACCAGATAGCTGAAAATTAACGGATGCGAATAGAAAATTTCTTGATGTGCTCCATTGAGAAGTTAGTGAATGGCGAACGTTTGATGGGCACGGATTATTACTCTGCTGCATTAATGTATGACTATCATTTTTTTGGGTATTGAGGACTGAGCGTCTTGCGCCCATAGGCCTGATACTCGCATCCAGGGACGCACCGGGCCACTGGATACATGTATTGAGAAGACGGTTATGCCCGGGACTGGTGGTTACTCGTTCATGCAGAGTAACAGGGTGATACTAAGACCTACTGTCTGTCATCCTGCCCATGCTCTTTGGTAGAGCCTCGGCTCAGTAGCCGTCAGGGTCCGCCGAGCAGTTGTTTTGTGCATTTTTGACATTGGGTGACCGACTGACTGCGCGGCGTGTGCAAATATGCCGTTGGTCTCCTCCTCCGGCGCTGGCTATGTTAGCCTATGCAAGCATGATCATTTAGGTTAGATAGCTGCCAGTAACATCCACATCCATAGTGACAGTGGAACATTATAGGATATGATAAACTTGCATGTCAACAGTTATCACCCTTGAACTGGACTACTGAAAAAGGCTGGTGACTGGGGGATGAAGGCTGTGCAGTTGTTTGCACTAATCCATGATTTTGGCCCCATCTGGTCGCAGTGCACACATCACCTAAGCGGAGGTGGATTATCTGTATGAAACAACCGTAAGACTGTGGTCTGTGGAAACCCTCAGCAAAAGCCCTACGAGTAGATTTGGAATTGCAGTTGAAACTTTGAAAACTGCGCCGATGCAATAATTCCGTTCCATTTTTTCAAATTTGTTATTCACACTCAGATGATTTTGCTGGATTTAAGGCAATATTAGTGACACACTCGGCATGTCTTCTAGCAAAGATGCCACCAACTACGTGCTGTTGTCAACGGAAGAGTCCCAATGTGATTCGGATGCGGTCAAAGGCGCAGCACCTTTGGAGACGTTGCATGTAGCAGTCAAGAGAGATGCTGTTGGTATGTACTTGTGTGTGTGTGTGTGTGTGTGTGTGTGTGTGTGTGTGTGTGTGTGTGTGTGTATGTGTGTGTGTGTGTGCGTGTACGTGCGTGTGTGCGTGTGTACGTGCGTGTGTGTGTGTGTGTGTGTGTGTGTTTGCTTGTCGCAATTGTGCATATGTGCCATTGTGCATGTCTGGATGTGCATGACTGTGCTCCAGCTGTGGTGGAGGCAACAGGGGCAGGGATAAGTGGACACAATTCGTGCTGGGAACAGCAGGCATAGGTGATCAGACAAATAATCCCTTGTATGAGCAGGCATTGCATGATAATGATATCTGCCAGTGAGCGGTGAACAGTTGAACAACACACCCGCTTCTAGATTAATACTCTGGATACCGTGTGCTCTATTCTACTTGTATTCTCCAGAGTATTGTATGCTAGAGTGTATTCCAGAAATTGTGTGTTAGGTTGGAAATTGTGAGGGACAGTTTCACCTCCAGAAGTTTGTATTCTGTTACCAGCTGGCAGTCCAGCATGAAGCACACTGCAAGCATGTACGCCGCCCGGGAGTACTAGCAGTAGTATGCCTTTTTCTGTCATGAGAAATGTTTTCTTGTCCCTGATCCATGCAGTTAGCTGGAACCTGTTTAATTTGCAGTCATGATTTGCCTCTTATCTGGCTGTAGGTGGTTTCATTAATTCAAGTACTTCAGTGCTTGACACCACTTTGTGCACATAGCATTATTTTGCAGCACACCAGCAACTCCATGTGCAACAATGCCCTACCAGCTGTGGGCTTTGCTGTACCTCCCATTGCAGACAAGTGCATCAGAATAGGACACTTTTAGCGAAATCTGCCCCTGCTGTTGCCTACCAGTAGTTCCACTGCATAAAGCTGCTAGCTGCTACTTTACACCATGCATCATCAGTGCCCAGTACTAGCTATGATGTCCCAGCCATCCAGCACCACTATGGGACTGTGTGGATATTGTCCTGTGTACAGTGTATCTGGAGCTTGACCTATGCTGAGTATGGCCCTGTGGGCAATTCCTACAGCACACAGTGCAGTAAGCATTGTGCAGCCTAGTAGTAGACAAAACACACCACTATTAATCAGTGTAGTGCATGGGATATAAGAATGATTGTCACCACCAATGAGACTAGAAAGTCTCTACATACTGAACGTAATGCATCCGAGTGTTTCACAGGCTAAACTATTATGCATTCAGGTATAATAATTATAGCTGTACTGACTTTACCAAGACTGAGATAATTCCAGTTGGAAGCACATAATTATTATGTGCTTGCAACTGGAATTATCTAAGTCCTGGTAAAGTCAGTACAGCTGTTAGCTGCTGTCACGAAAGTGCATCCCTGTTACACACCGTTTGTCACCGCCGGTTTTCTCCCAGTACTTTTAACATGTAGGTTTTGCACTAGTAGAATGCCAGTGCCATTGCTGTGTATTGTTGTGCGTGTGTATGTGTGTGTATGTGTATGTGTGTATGTGTGTGTATGTGTATGTGTGTGTGTATGTGTGTGTGTGTGTGTGTGTGTGTGTGTGTTTGCAGGGCAAGTGTATACAGTGGGTGATGCTATTGAGTACATAGGAGCTGGACGAATGCAGTACATACTGCTGGTAGCTGTTGCTCTTAGTGCTGTGAGTTCTTACCAATGCAATGTTACCATGACTAGTGTAGGGTCAGACAAGCACGTATCACATGTGTGTACTTCCAAGTGTAGTGCTGCTCACTGCAATTCCCTGCAATAGCGTGACTCGACTGGCGCTGTGCAATCCCGGACCTGTGTAATCCCGGACCTGTGCAATCCCGGACCTGTGCAATCCCGGACCTGTGCTATCCCGGACCTGTGCAATCCCGGACCTGTGAACACTGTACAGCCTGGTGTGCTAGCTTATTTGGATTTCGTTCGGTGTGCACGGCTGCTCTTCTCAGTATCAGCAGATACACATTAACCGGAGACTGATTGCATGACATGTGTGAGGGACTGTAGCAAGTGCCAGTGCAGTGGATACTAACCACTCCCAGTACGCGCAGAATATGTATATTGCTCCTTGCGCACAGGTCATTTCCTTTTCAGGTCTATATGACCGCATGTGACACCACCCTTCAGTCCTGGTTCTGATGGCCCACCGATTCTTAGCTTTTATTTATCAAGTTACCCGTGAGGGAAACAACGCATATATCCAACATTATACCACCACCACCGCCGTACACACACACACACACCCACACCCACACACACGTAACATCTTTCCGGACATGCGTTGTTCAGGCCTGCTCGTATGAAGCATTGCTGGCCATGGCAGCATGCGTAGGTGCTTGAATGCGCGCCCACACCAGTTCTATGAGGAATGATACATGTGTGAACACGCGGCCTAGCTAGGCTAGGTTTGGATCGGTACATCGGTACAGTAAACACTTAAGAATATAGTACTCTGGGTAGTGCACATACTTTTCTCTTTGCATTAGGACATAAGGTACTTTTTCCAGTCATTTGACCTGGGTGATACAGTAGCTCGGCTATGAAGTAGGTCTAAGGATTTATTTTCTCTTGGACGTATGTTATAACTGTTGCACTGTATGTTACTGCTGTGCATGTCACAATGCTGATCAATGAAATCTGGTCAAATGAGTCAACTTTGCGCCCTGTGTGGCATTGACTCGCTTGATCGGATTTCATTGAGCAGCACTGTATATCCGATGTGCACGAAATGACATGATTGCGTTCAACGTCTATCATCTGCAGTTATCACAAGGTGCTGATGTGACATACCTATCTATTCTGCCTTCACAAGCTGGCTGTGATTTCAACCTTACACCATGGCATCGAGCATTGCTGACTATAGTAAGTAGTGCTATAGTACAAGCGCTGGTTTGGCAGCCTATTCAGTACTACCAGGATTTGGCCTACTTTCCTGTGCGACACTGATGAGTCCAGTGAGGACGGAACGGCGCTGTCAGATTGAGCGTACAACACTGGTGTTATCTACTTCCAAGTACTTAGAAACATCATCTGCGGTTACTAGTAGGTCCTGTGACGTATGCCGCAGTCATGTTCGGCAGGCACTGGACAGATGCTATGTATATCTGCCATTCAGGAGTATGTACTATCAAGACTCCTATTTCCCCCACTGCTCGACCTGCATCCCATGTACCGGACTACCTCCAATAACACGTCCAGTCACGGCTGAGGCTTATCACAGCATCATGTTTTCTCATTCTGTACGATTTTTGAACAGTGTCGTTTAAAGCCCTGTTGATCTTCATGAGATATGACGATCAACTTGATGGGCTATTGTGAGATGGGGGTACATGGACAGAGAAACAACTGTAGTGGAGATGTCTACTTCAGAAACATACCATATTCGTATGATCTACTCCCATGGCGTGTGGCTTGTAGCTCATTTGTGTATTCTCGTACACAGACATGCCGATCTAGCTGTACACGTTTGGTCAAGTGTTAGCCTTCATTCCCTTCAAGCCAGTACATGCTCTGATGTGTGTTCACAATGTGTACTTCACAGGTATATTTCAGTGGGTGTACAGTGGGAGCGTTTCTATTTGGCTGGGTCGGCGATCGCTTTGGACGGAAAATGGTAAGTACAGTGTGCCACTGGTTTTCTGTGTGGCTTGAGTACGTCTGCATTGACTAAAAAATTATGAATACATCTCGATTCAAGTCAAAACGCTGTCCGTGTTCGTGGGAGTTTGTTCACTATCTCTGGTGTGTCATGACTTTGATTACACAGTACTCATGGCAAAAGTACCAGGCGATGGCAAAAGTACCAGGCAATCAAGAGTATGTAGCTCAACGATCTCTCGGCACACAGTGGAGTATTGTCATGAGTCTTTACTCATAACTCTCTCTACCAAAAAGCATATTCACTGTATTTGTACGAAGTATTAAGATAAAAGTTCATAAACCTCATAGTGCAACGACATTTAGAACATATTTAGGCAAATTTGCATGTTTGTTCTTCGACTCTAAATAAACAACAACAACTACAACAACTACAACAACAACAACTACAACAACTACAACAACAACAACAACAACAACAACAACAACAACAACAACAACAACAACAACAACAACAACAACAACAACAACATCTGACTGCCTTGCTGTGAATGTGTGTAGGGAGTTATGGCAGCCATGAGTGTGGCCGCGTACAGCAGTATCCTCGTCTTATTCGCCTATTCCTACGTGTGGCTTGTCATCCTCCGCTTCTTCGCTGGAGTGGGACTGGGAGGATTTTCACTGCGGTGAGTTGGCGCCCTTGGACGTTGCATGATTCCATGATATGCTTATGCTTTGCATGATTCCATGATGTGCTTATGCTTTAGCACACTGGTAGCTGTAAAGTCAGACTGTCTGTCAGTGTGTGCGGACCAGGGTGACATGTTGTGCTGTCTTCACTGATCAGATGTGATTCGTTCTTGTAGAAAGAAGGTATGAATTGCCGGAGCGGCTGTTTGTATTAGTGAATGGTGTGTAGCATATTGTGTGAGTGAACAGAAAGAGACTGCTTGTGAGAACCAAGTGAGTGAGAGAATGAGAACGCTTGTGAAAAACTGGCGAGTAGATCTGTTAACACTATGAGCGTATTGGTTTGCGCTGCTGCTGCTGCTGTGTAGGAATTCTTGGTTATTTGAAGTTCTACCGACCAGATTCCGAGTGCGAGCAGCTTGTGTTGTGCTGGTAAGTGATGGTGTACAGTACTTGACATGTACTGTATTTGTACACCGGTAATAGCCAACATACAGGGTTGAAGTGGTCAGTGGGAACCATGGTGTTAGTTGGACCAGAGTGGGCCACGGTTCGTTTGGACGCTTCCTGCCGCTTCATTTTGGAATCAAATGTGTTTTGCTATTCTCTCCAGAGTGATGAGCAGTGCAAATTGAGTTGCGATGGTTTGCATAGAACACAGCAGCCATTTGGATCAGGATTGTTCTGGGTTGTAGTGTCTCACGTTGGATAGAATGGGAAGCGGTCGCGGGATGTCTTTTTCATTCTCCAAAATTTCATTACTGTCACATTGGAAAGGAGCCAATGTGCGTATTGTTGATGTTGATTGGTTGTTTTTTCATACTTACAGTTCTTTTGGACGAGTGGCACGGCATTGGACGCACCTCTGTTCATGATCGGTAGCGTGGACTGGAAAAATGCTATGGCAATAGCTTTCTCTCCGCTTTTCATCGCCCTGATCCTTATGATCTTTGTAAGTCTCCAGTTTGATATGAGATTGGCGTGTGTACCTGTACGAGTCTATATGCAACATTACCTCTTTGAACGTGTTTCGAGCCGCACTGGACTAAGCTTCGGTGTAGCTGAATCGTAGATACTTGAAGTACATGTAGAAATTCCGGTGTATCCAACCGTGCTTGGTATGCAGTATTCGTCGCCGGCTTTCCTGTTACATTTTGAATCTTTGATTGTGTGTTACTGTCCTGTAGATACCGGAGTCTCCACGGCTACTCTTGCAGTTAGGGTATGAGGAAGACGCATGCGAGGCACTCGAAAAATTTGCCAGGTGGAATGGGACATCGCTACCGCCTGGAGAGTTGGTTACCGAGGAAGAGAAGGCTTTCCTTTCCGGCGCCGAGTTAAAACCAAAAGTAAGCACCCAAGCGTATTACAACAGTTCATTGTTCTGCACATTCTGAATTCCATGGACATTGAACCCCATGCAAGGGAGCTAGCAATGAGGAAAAAATGAGTAAGGTTGTTTGCAATGTGCAGATTCTCTTCATGGAGAAGCATTATGGGTTGATTTTGAGCTTGGCGAGACGACTCTGAGCATGCAGCGTGGTGAGAATTGACAGTTGCTGTTTACATGTACTATGACCTACTTGACTACCCTCTAGACATGTAGTACTAGTCTAGTGTGTGCTTCCCTGCATAGCTATCATTCCGTTGAGATGACTTTACCGTATACTAGTATGAGTGTCTCATGAAAATCGATCAGGAAATTTCGTGATTCATCTATCATTTTGTTAGTTCAAGTCAATGTTCAGTGTCTGCCTCACTACATGTATAATTATAGCATTACTGTAATGAAGTACGCCTTCTCAGTGTTTTCACTTTGCCTTCTTGCCTTACATGTGTCTGTACAGAAAGAGTCAAGCTTTGGAGATCTCTTTAAAACGAAAGAGCTCCGCATGACCACCATATTGCTGTCTTTCATTTGGTAAGTTCCGTCTACAGGTAGACGTGCAGAGTAGCATACAGTAGCGTTGTCCTAACATTGGTCTGTTGAAAGGTGATGCTATCTCTGTACTGGTCCATGAAGAAGCATTGGCTTGTCGGCTCAGCAGATTGGCCCCATCTCCTGCGAACACGTAAACCTCGTGGTTGAAAACTTCGCCAGTGAGTGCCTGGCTGGCCACGGAAAACTGACCGGTCATTCCGGTGAAGATGAAGATTGGTTCAGACCGTGAAGAAATGACATTGTTGTGCAGGAGCGGAGTTTGTGAATAATACGTAATAACGTTCGATAACACTGGCATCCAAATGGGATACTTCTAAAACACCAACATCCAAGTCTGTGCCGAAGTGCAAACTTCACTGGGCACCCTTTTCTATTTTTAAAGAGACCTTTCACCCATTTTCTGATGTGTATGCGTGCATGTGTGTATGTGTATGTGCATGTGTGTATGTGTATGTGTGTATGTATGTGCGTGCATGTGCTTTCTTCTTGCTGTAGGTTTGCTCTGTTCTTCTCTGACTTTGGTATGTACATATTGACTTCTGAATTGCTGCAAATCTCTCACCTGTCCGGCACTGGGGCAGGCGGCGCATCAAGTAAGTGGACACAGCCTCATAGTTAACTACATGATTAGTTTATTAATTATGACTGATTATGAGTACTCGGATGTTGAGCCATAAATAAATGTGGAAGAGAAAAGGACATATGGATACGAGTTAAGAGTAACTCTCCTTCACTGTAACATGATACTATATACAGTCAGAAAGTGCAATAACTAGGCACAAAACTGACAGAGTACTGAAACATTCGACGTCCTGACACCTAGCTTCAACACATCTCCGTAGCGCTAACCGACAGCCTTCCAACTTGGAAGGTTCAAGGTTATGGAAAAGACCAAAGAGGGGAAGGCAAGCGCAACGAAAACGAGCAAAAGCTACAGTCCCAACGGAACAAAGAATGTCGATTGTTACTGGACGATGACGAGACCAGTACGATATTTGACAAAGCGGTCTAACTACAATTCGAAGCAGCAAAGCAGCACACCACCCAACTTGGGTGGGTCATAAATATCAAAGATAAGTAAAGAAAGGGAAGCTTTGCGAAAACGAATTGTACAAGCCGAAAGCCAAACTCCTACAGTACTCCTCATGCATGACATTGTGATGGACTAGTTGACTACAAAACAAGTTGTTTCACACGACGTACGTTTCGCCGTATGGTTCGTGACGGCTCATCAGGTGTGCAATTTGAAACTCGGATGTTGAGCCATAAATAAATGTGGAAGAGAAAAGGACATATGGATACGAGTTAAGAGTAACTCTCCTTCACTGTAACATGATACTATATACTATTTTCGTTGCGCTTGCCTTCCCCTCTTTGGTCTTTTCCATAACCTTGAACCTTCCAAGTTGGAAGGCTGTCGGTTAGCGCTACGGAGATGTGTTGAAGCTAGGTGTCAGGACGTCGAATGTTTCAGTACTCTGTCAGTTTTGTGCCTAGTTATTGCACTTTCTGACTGTATATAGTATCATGTTACAGTGAAGGAGAGTTACTCTTAACTCGTATCCATATGTCCTTTTCTCTTCCACGATTATGAGTACGTTGCCATGAATAAACATTCCATGCATACATACTTCGAAGTACTAGTAACAATGCCAAGAATATAACACGCTTGCCTATAGCGGTAAATGGTTTTAGGCATGCCGTGTAGTATCCTTGTGATGGGTCTTTTACATGGGCGTGTTGCTTGCTTTGTATTTTCATGTTTCTGTTTTTCTGATGGTGTGGAAAGGTCCTCGCTCTGTTCTTGGTTATGTAGTTATGTGTGGACATGATTGTACTAGATCCGTGTGTGTGTGTGTGTGTGTGTGTGTGTGTGTGTGTGTGTGTGTGTGTGTGTGTGCCAGCTAGTTCGGTTGGTAGGTACACTTATGCCTGATTGTGTTGGGTCTGTTGCCAACAGGCTCGGCTGCTTGAAGGTGTAATGTTGTACCTGCCACCTTTGTTGGTTCCAGGGTTCATATACTTTCTATTTGAAGTATACATACCTGTTAACCATGGACTGCTTCTGGCTAGATTAACTCTTGTGTAATCAATGGTGCTAGTGAAGCTTTTATCAGATCCACTCTGATTTAGCCACTCACACTAGTAGCAAATATTACCTTCACTGGGGGCAGGGGTAACTGCAGTTGGATTCCGGGACGGATACCTGATGCCGTCAATCCTTTTTCTGCACCTTGTCCTCACCCACTTACTGAGGTGTGGTGAGCCCATAAGTGGGATCATTTTCAAGTCCACCCAGAGTTTTGGGGATTTCAGGGGGTGTCGGCCGTTGGGCGGTTCAATAACCAATTGAGTCATCTTTCCAAGATTCCTTTTGAGTCTCTCTCCCCTCTCCCGGGGGGACTCACGTGACCAGTTTTGGCAGTGAGCAACAAGTACAAGTGTGTGTGTGTGTGTGTGTGTGTGTGTGTGTGTGTGCGTGTTGTCGCGAATGCGATCGGATTTATTCGTAGTCACGAGCACAATGCATGTATATCCAAGAATTCACAGCTACGTAGGTCTACGTATACATGTATCCTTGTTCAGTGCATGATCTGTACGTTCAATCACTCGCATCCCTTTGTGACACCCTTTTTCTCATCTTGCACTCGTTTGTATATCTAAGGTTCAATTCTGGGCACCCTTTTTCTCACCTTGCACTTCGTTGCATTTCTAATGTTTCCGTTCCGGGCACCCTTTGATTCAGTTTGAACCCATGCACCTTGGCTTGCACACGCACCGACATCCAACACGGACTGTGTGTACGACTATCGGCATCTTTGATGGCCTTCACTATCCATTTTCATGCTCACAGTTGGACTCGTTGCACCGTGCGTATCTTTATGTGTCACCTTTTCAGCTACATGCACGTGGAGCTGTTTTAGTTCCACAACTTGGTGCTTTTCTTGCTTCTCTTTGATTCTTCGCTACTCCTTGGGAGCTAATTTCGATGCGTTTGTATATTTATCGCTTGTATATTTCTGCTGACGCTGTACGCAAGACACTTTCACGGCACACTACTGCTACAGGCATACACTCCGACTCACCTATATTATCGCTCTCCCCTTGTAAATATTCAGTTCAGTCTTGATTCACAAGAAAATTGGGCACTAAGGAAAATATGGTCTGCTTCGAGTGGTTTATGTAAAGGGTATGTCCATGGTTCGCGACAATTTGGTGCCGAAACCCGGGAGAGTCGAGCGGCGACTCTCCTAGTACAGGAATTTGAACGACCGACGAACCATGGAAAACCAAGCGGCGGTGAGGGGCAAGCGCCAAAAGGCTGCTCGTCACCACAAGACAATCAAAGATATGGAAACGACAACGGGTAGTTTCCTCTCGGCAATCTCAACGGACATTGAATCGGATCCAGCAGCAGTCAGAGAGCTATGTCAACACAATTTCCAATTGGACTCGCATCTCGAGGCACTCGAAATATCGCTGGAAAAGTATACTGATTTAATTAACAGGTACGAAATAAAAGGGTCTGACGACCAGGAATTCAAGGAAAATCAAACGGAATGGATCGAACTAATGGATGAATTTATACGTGTAACTAACATTAATTTGGTGTCACTAAAATTCTTACAAATGGAATGTCAAAAAAAGGATCCGCAACCTGCAGCCACGGCAATGGCGGCAGGAACTACAGCAACTATAATGGATGACGACAAACTCGACAGACTGCTGTCGGAAATGGTATCAATGAATCAAAGCAATCAGAGCATCATGACAAATTTGACGAATTCTCAGAGTAATGCTAGCAATAAAACTGGTAACACGGTCAAATTGCCTAAACTGGAATTGTTCACTTTTGATGGTGATGTAATGAAATTTAAGGAATTTCAAGATATGTTTACTGCCACTGTTCACGCAAATAAATCTTTGTCTGATGTGGAGAAGCTATCTTACCTGAAAACACACGTGAAAGGAAAAGCGCTGGAATGTATCTCTGTTTTGGCCCTGTCAAATTCAAATTACAAGGTTGCATGGGATTTGCTAATGGATCGGTTTGGGAAAGACCATGTTGTAATCAATGCTCGGTACTTGGCATTAGTCGATTTGGAGAAACCGTCTAGCCGACCTGAATCATTGCGGAAATTCTTGAATGACGTCGAGGCGGAATCGAAATGGATACAATTTACACAACCACAACACTGTTTGTCATGTAAACAGCACGATGGTGGCCCGTTTAAACTTCCGAAACCCCCTCCGGCTTTTGCCCAAGGAAAGAATAATGGAGTTGCTACTGTATGAGTTCACAGGCATAGATTACGTTGGACCTATTGAGTTTTAAATCAAACGAAGGCTCGATGAAATGCAAACCATGATAATTACGAATTCAGTCTGATTACAAATAACTGCTTACACTCAAATTTCCCTGTCGACACTTCATTCACGGTTTGTATTTGTTCACTCACGCGTATGCTATTTCATAACTATGGTAGTCACTTTCAGCGGGCGGGAGTGTCGCGAATGCGATCGGATTTATTCGTAGTCACGAGCACAATGCATGTATATCCAAGAATTCACAGCTACGTAGGTCTACGTATACATGTATCCTTGTTCAGTGCATGATCTGTACGTTCAATCACTCGCATCCCTTTGTGACACCCTTTTTCTCATCTTGCACTCGTTTGTATATCTAAGGTTCAATTCTGGGCACCCTTTTTCTCACCTTGCACTTCGTTGCATTTCTAATGTTTCCGTTCCGGGCACCCTTTGATTCAGTTTGAACCCATGCACCTTGGCTTGCACACGCACCGACATCCAACACGGACTGTGTGTACGACTATCGGCATCTTTGATGGCCTTCACTATCCATTTTCATGCTCACAGTTGGACTCGTTGCACCGTGCGTATCTTTATGTGTCACCTTTTCAGCTACATGCACGTGGAGCTGTTTTAGTTCCACAACTTGGTGCTTTTCTTGCTTCTCTTTGATTCTTCGCTACTCCTTGGGAGCTAATTTCGATGCGTTTGTATATTTATCGCTTGTATATTTCTGCTGACGCTGTACGCAAGACACTTTCACGGCACACTACTGCTACAGGCATACACTCCGACTCACCTATATTATCGCTCTCCCCTTGTAAATATTCA